TTGTGACGGATGTAAAGCAAAACAAGGAGTATGAGTATATAGAAAAGCTAAAAAGGCTTCAATCCAATACTCGCACGCTTAAAATACAAGTTACAGAGGGAAGTGATGAAGGTAAAAAATATGCGAGAAGGAGAATGGATTATTTCAGAAAACTTTTAAAAATAGTAGGAATAAGTAACCACAGTATCAACGATCTTAATATTGTACACATTGCTGGAACTAAAGGAAAAGGAAGTACCTGTGCTATTGTAGACTCTATACTAAGAAATTATGGGGTATACACAGGTTTGTATACTTCGCCCCATCTTACTGATGTGCGTGAGCGTATACGTGTGAATGGAAAATTGATGCAACACTCGAAGTTTTCCCAATACGTAGATGAGGTTTATCATAAGATTACGAAGGAATCTTCTGACAGAATGCCATCCTTTTTTGAATTTATGACTATTTTGGCTTTCTATGTATTTGTGCATGAAAAAGTAAATGGAGCAATAATTGAGGTTGGGATTGGTGGTCTTTATGATTGTACGAATGTCATAAAAAACCCCGTGGTTGTTGGAATCACCTCATTGGGATTTGACCATATGGAAGTTCTTGGGAATACTATTGAGGAAATATCTGCAGCAAAAGCTGGAATATTTAAGCCTAGTGTGCAAGTATTTGTGGCGTATGGAAATTCTGTATCTGCCCTGAATGTCTTAAAATCCCATGCAAATCAGGTCGGCTGCCCGCTATCTGTGTGTCCTTCAATATCATTATATACTAGTGATAGGGGAGAAGTTTGCTTAGGATTAGATGGAGAGACTCAAGGTTGTAATGCAAGTCTAGCTTTACAATTGTCACATTTTTATCTTACCAACTACAGACGCCAGGTTTCTAGCATTATTGACCACCCTCCTCTCCTCACCCTATCTCCTAAGGCAAAGAAAGGAGGTTCATTGTTCTTAGTGTCTGATAAGTGTTTGGAATCTCTTTGCAGAACATATTGGCCAGGAAGATTTCAGGTGATTTTCTATAACGGCGTGCATCTACATTTAGATGGTGCACATACTGTCGAGAGTATTTCGTTGTGTGCTAGTTGGTTTGAAAGCAAATCTAGAATGAAAGAATTAGGCAGGAATGAGTGCTTCCGTGGGCTTTTGTACTATTGTAGAGGTCCTCGTGATTTTAGAGATCATGTAAAAATTCTTTCCAAATTAGATTTTGATACAGTATTGCTATCGCCAGGCATTGTGAATGTCCCTGATGCTTCAGATCCAAATGTTTGGGAGTTTGAAAATCGTATTGGCTGTCTTGAAGAGACGTGGAAGGAATTTGCACCAGAAACGCCCATTGTGAGTTTTAAATGTATTTCTGATTCCATTGATTGGTTCTATTTACAAAGGGCACATTCACGACATTTTCGTACAGAGCTTCTTGTGACTGGAAGTCTGTATCTTGTTGGAGGAGTGCTATCTTTAATTAATCCAAATCTCTGGAACAACAATTTATTATAACACAGCAATATTAAAGGGTCCGTTTTTTTATTATAACAAAACATCTTGAATAGGGCATTTTTTAGTAGTATGATTCTAAATAATAGTAATGTAAAGAATTCCTATTAAGAAAAAGCCTAAAGCCTTGTCACTCTATAACATATTTTAGTTCTATCACAGCCTTGATGGCTTTCTAAATATAGTAAGCTCCCGAACTTTAATGGCCGTGTTGTTGATATCTCCCCATGTTATTCTAATTCTACCGTTTTCCTCTACTATTTCACAGCGTACGGGCTTTGGATACTGAAATCCAGATAAGTCTACAGACTCATCAGAATCTTTTGTCTTGTCTACTACGTTATCTGATTTCTTAAGTGCAGAACTTATGATATCTTCTATTTTCTGTGAATATATAGATCTGAACATCAAATGATAAATAACATTCACTCCTTGTCTATTCTTGAAAACTCCAACTTCCACTATTCCTGGCTCTTTCACTCCTCTTCTTTCAAGTGTTGCAATTACTATTTTTTTCCATGTCTTACTGTTGTTTTTCACATACACTCCCGTATTGATGAAAAATTCATCTGCACGTCTATCTTTAAGGATTTTTGCAACCTCTATTATGTCATGAACTTCTTTTTGCTCTATGATTTCCTCGATGGTTCTATTCTTCCAATTTTCCTCACTTCCTTTCTGTAGAATCTTATGAATAGCTTCAGCCTTCTTTGTCCATCGAAGAACTCTTGGATGGATCATATAGTGATAAGCGATGTCATTTTTCTTAAGATCAAAAACCTTAGTGTCTCTAGTTGATTTTTTACCAGAGCCCTTTTTTTCCTGTATCTCATGCTGGTTTCTTTCCTTTCTCTCTGCCTCTTGTGCATTCTCATTCTTTTCTCTTGGAACTTTGCTTTTGGATTGAGATTTTTCTTTTTTACCCGGTCTATTTTTGGCTATCACATTTTGCTCCAAAGTCTTTTTTGCCTGTTCCCGTTCTTCTTCTTTTATCAGTTCCTCCTGAATTCTAAGCTTTTCTTCTTCTATTCTCTTAACTTCTTCTTCTTCTCTCTTTTCTTTCTGCCTTTCTCTTTTAGCAACCTCTTTTGCAACATTGTTGGCATATTCCTTAGTAATGCTCCTATTCTCCAGAAATACCTGATAGATGAGTTCTGCTACAATTTTCTTGCCATATTTATCATTTTCTATCTCTATTATTAATTCATTGTTAATGCAATGGGGCAAAAACTCCTCTATATTTTCAGACTGATTTTCTGTTTTAAATGCCAAGTTTCTCAGGCTGACACCTATAATAAACCTTATTTTCCTCTCAGGGTCACTCCAAAGATGTCTGCATCCCTTACACACTATTTCCTGTGCCTTGACTATCTGTTCTTTCTTTTCAGCAGTACATAAATCACTTCCATATTTCATAACTTCATTTAGTATCTTCCTTTTTATTTCCTCCTCTACACTTTCGCCTGTTATTTTCTCAGCCTCAATCTTTGCCTTACTTACAACTTTCCTCCCAAATTCTCCCAGTTCATTGACTACTTTTTTGACCACGTTCATTATTAAGTCATCTAGAGCCATTTTCTTAGACTTGTAGAGATCTACAAGATTAATCCTTCTAAGAGGGCCGTTCATAAAAACCTCGTCAACTAAATCCGTATACCATTTAGAATCCCCAGGTATGTATATGCGTGTTATGGAATTCCACATTAAAAATGGAAGCCTTGAAATTACTTTCTCGACATATTTTTTTTCTACTATGCTGCTATATCTATCATCTGGCGATGCAACAAGCTCACCGTCACGGATTATGAATGGTGTAAGTCCACCCGAATCCATACCATTAACATTTTCAAGCTCTTCTTTTAGATTTTGTAATTCACTTTCACTTAATTTACGGCCCAGATTTTTCTCTTGGATTTCCTTTATTTCCTCAAGAATTGAGCTATTTAAGACACAAAGCAAAGAAACCATGAATATTAGATGCATTAAATCAATTGGGGCATCACTTCTATTCAACTGTATATGCTTTCTTTATCCTTTAATTCACAATGTCCATTGGAGAACCTTTCAGATGTCATTGAAATCCTGTCAAAAATAGGAGAAAAGTTTTGTAAGTCCAAATAGAATTTTTTTCTTCTTTTATTAATTTCATAATCTAAGGAGTCTAGTTTCCGTATAAGCCCATTCGAGGTAACCTATCTAAATGATAACTAAAGCATTTTTTAAAATTCCGGGTATTAAAGACGAAACTGTTCTACGTATAACTTTTTGTATTCCGCTGGTGCTTTGGGCCGATTCTATCTTTGCTTCAGCTGAAGCAATATTTCCTATTATGTTAAACATTACAAATGTACCATACATACCTACAGCAGTGCACATAATAGCTGCAATAATAGTAACCATCTTGGCAATTCTTGGTGCAAATTCCGACAATTTATTTCGAAACAGCCACTTTCTTACTATCGATGTGGCTTCTCCTAAAAAGAAAGGAAGAAATGAGAAGATCATCGGATATGTCAAATGCAGAAGTCCACCATAGTCCTTATCATTTTTGACTCCTGAAAGAGTTGCCACTTCATAGAATCCTAGAATACTACGAATGATTTCAACAACAGAATTTGTGCTAATATTCGCCATAATTGTTTGAGATGCCAAAAACATGTATAATGTATGCGTAACTATTAACGACCTGTCATCTATCCCATAGGTCCAGTTTTTTTCTCTCTTACATCTAAAAATCTCACAGATTGCAATAAATGACAAGAAATATACAAGTATGTGAATTACTATAAGGAGTGTCTTGAGAAAATCAAATACAGTAAACGATCTGTCATCATCTTCTTCGAACCCGTCGAATAATCCGTAAGTCGTTTTTATAAATAAATAAATCGCAGCTGTTAATGCTATCGAGATGGGCATTGAGAAGTCACCTGTGTCACAGTTATACTGGAGAGCTACGCATCCCATGAAGAAAATGTCCTCCAAGTATCTCCACCTTTCAAGCATGAAGTTTTTGCATTCTAAGAAAAAGTTCATGATAATGCCCCAAATTGATTATTGGTATTTTTCCATTCAAATATGGCCTAGAGCGCATGATACCCATTGGATTATCCCAAAATTCAAACTATAATAGATTTGCTGAGTTTTAAAAAGCATCAATCGAGAAAAAACCTCGACAACCTATAATAGGACTGCCTGCATATGTGTAGCCCAAGACCTTTAATGCTTTTGCAAAACAAATGATACCAATCGCTCTAATATGGAGTATTGTTCCAAGGAGGTGGGCTCTGTTTTGGAGGACTTGAGATTCCCTTTATGGAATGACTGGATCTTAGAGCAGAGTTCCTTGGTTATCTTTGTATTGCTATTGACGACGTCTCTACACACACCAAGTACCTTCTCCTTATCATGCAAAGTGTCGAAGACACTCAATACGTTAGAGTATATTTCAGATTCAATCTGGTCGCGGCTTTCCGGTGTATATCTTCCGCAGAGCTTATGCTTTTTCCACTTGGTGTATAAAAGATCTGCATAGTCCCCAAAAGAAGTATATGATTCCTGATCACTTTCGCACTTCTTGCAAAGAGAAAGAAGCCCTCTTATTACCAAGTTTACAATCTCTTCATTCTTATCAAGAAGATCCATTTTGGTTATGAACTCCTTCAGAACAAGGTTCCGCACATTTTCGGGAAGAGATGATAGGTTTTCGATGATGTCGTTTGCAACCAAGTATTTCGCATCATCTTCCTCTGGCGCTGAGGCCTCTACCACCTCAAACAATCTTGAGGTCCATTTGCAATCATTAGTCTCCTTCAATCCTTTCAGTGCAAGAAGGCATGCCTTATGAATGACATACGGCGTTTTTTTGCATCCTCGGGAGTAAACAACCCATCCTTCCTCGTATTTTCCATGTTTGATACACAGATCCATCATGGACTTGTTAAGTGCTTCTGAGCACCCCTCCCTGTTTGCAGCCCAAAAACGAACACACTCCTCCCACTCCATCTCCTTTCTTCTGAGAGAAACCCATTCTGCGTTATCCTCTACAGACATTATCCAATCAACATCAATGGATCTTTTAAGAAGGCCCTCGCTGTCATTTAGAAAATAACTCTCAGGTAAAAGATCGTGCTCGCTGTAGCTTCTCAGTAACCTGTCTAGTGTTGTGTCGTCGCCATCCTTAAGGCTCATGAGAAGCCCTAGCCTCAATAACCCCTTGCTTTTTTTACTTCGGTTAAAGATCTTGAAGAATCTCGAAGATTCAGATCTTCTAAACAGAACTGCAAGAAGAAGCTCTATTTCCTTCAGGGTGAAGCCCTCAATGCTAGAATCCATGCACATCTCGTAGGTCATGTATAGGAGAGATTCCAACTCTTGTTCACAGTCTATGTTTATGAGATTGTTTAGCAGACATCCTTTAGTAGCTTCTAATATCTCCCTCCTTACCGCCTCAGGAGATCCTTTTCCTTCTTCAAAAATCTTATTGAAGTCAAGCATCTTTTTCTCACAAATGTTGTCAAGAACAAAGCTTTCTACGATAAAAAGATCCTTAAAATCAAGCGGGAGAATATTGGCCACATGGTTTGATATGCATCCGAGAAGATAGGAATATAATCGAATAACATCATTCCCAGTCGTAGCGCTGATGGCGCTATCACATATTGCACAATCTCCATCCTTCTTATCCATAGCCTTTACCGATAATATCACCCTATTCAAAGCATCAATGACTTCGCAAAATTTACCACCGTCTGGATCCTCCATGCCATCTTCTGTACCCATTTTCTCCTTCAATTCCGAGGGCGAGTTGAATTCCATTTTTAGCTGAAACAAACAATATTTTGACAAATATTTGTAGAGAAGATGAGACAAGTCTTATACCAAAAATTTTATAAAAGGGTTTTACCAGCCTATCAGAGCTCTTTATCCTAGTATCTTTTTAATCAGGTCGTTATTGGTTCTTCTTTCTGCACACATCCAAATTCTTATTTTAAATATCTTGAATAATTCCTTTAACAGATCCCGAAAATCTATTCTCCTATCGCTTTTGAAGTAAAATGTTATCTTCTTCATGTCCCACTGGTACTCACAGCTTAATATTTCCATATTTAGATTCCGGGCACTCACTAGCTCCTTGCACTGCTTCAAAGACTCTACCTCTATTTTCTTTCTTTGCCTTAGCTTGTTAAGATCATCGGACGATGCTCTTCTAAGTATCTTTTTTGGTTCAAACTCTGCCTTCATATCTCTTAATCTCAAGGCAGAGCTCTCAAACTCACTTTCACTCATGTTTCCAATTATTTTTCCGCAATCCTCTCCTCGATCGGCCTCTAGTATCACATATGTATCCAAATCAATTATGTTTGAGTAATACCCGACCTCAAGCCTTCCGCTGGGAAATTCAACAATAGAATACCACCTTCTAGGGAACATCCCCGTAAGGTTTATTGGCAAAATCCCCCTTTCTCTTGTTTCTATATCGCCCGGAATGTCAATGAACCTACTTGGCGCTACACCCACTGTTCTCCACACTGTATCACTTTCATCCCACTTTTCATTCGTTTCGTTCCAGATACTGTTTGGATGATATGATATCCATTCCGGATGATTAAACATTATTTCGAAAACAGGCTTTTCCTTTTTATTCCATAGTTAAAACAAGTTTTCAATTAGATTTTGTTTCCATTCTGACACGAGAGTTTGTATTTGGAGTATATCCTGTTTTGAAAAAGCACTGATAATCTTATTTGAAGATGCCTAAAGGCCACATAACCTGGAAAAAGGCAATTGGTCGCGCCGAGATTCGAACTCAGATTGTCAGATTCAGAGTCTGAAGTGATAACCATTACACCACGCAACCTTCCCAGGTCATGTCTACATTGACATCTCTTCAATCATGTCAGTGCACATCAGTCCATGCCTATATTCTTCTGTTTATCTCATGCTTTTTAGATTTGTTTTCTTTCCTTTCTCCTGTTCAAAGCCCTATCTCCAAAACTTTTCATAACCCCAAAGATGCTCCTTCCAATTATAATTGCAGATGCATTCAGATTCTGTGGGGACTTCCTCCATGTAGCTTCAAAAGTCGTGCTGATAACAAAGATAGCAAGGACAAGGTCTTGCAGTGGACTGTCTCTCAAGACCCAGTTCTTGTACGCAATGGTCTTTATATTTAGGTATGTTGATTTGTTTGATTTCTACATCAAAGGACTTCTTGGAGTATACAACTTTATAATGAAGATCCTATTTATCGGATTCCAAATCCTCATTCTCTTTATGATGAGATTCAAATACTTCTCTACATATGACAAGAAGTGGGATAAGTTTAATATTTTGATCCTGATAGTTCCATGCTTTGTATTCTCACTATTATTTGCCAGGAGCGGCTACGGTGTCTATAGATACATCTCCAATGTTTTGTATATATCGTCCTTGTTTCTTGAAAGCGTTGCCATTCTCCCACAGCTTGTCCAGCTCCAGGAAGCAGGGGAATCCGAGACAATGACTTCGAAGTATATTCTCCTGCTCGGGCTCTATAGAGCCTCATACACGGTATACTTCATTCTTAAGAGGGTCTATGATGTAAAGAACATCGGAAGCATTCCTATTGCTTGTGGAATTATCCAAACATTGCTATATATGGACTTCTTTACAATCTACTACAGATACGTTTTTAGAAAGTCTGGGATATCGGAAAGTCTTCCCTCATCGAATATTAAAGGAGAATTATAATTGCCAGATACTTTCAAATATATCCCCTACCAAATGGTTTATCCCCACGAATGTTCCTTATTCCCTTATCAATAAGAAACAACTTGAGTCTTCTTGTAAGGTTTGAACCAAAAAGAAGTGAAGTTGTTGTAATGAACGATGAACTAAGCATATTACTATGGAATGAGGAATATATCGAGCTGGTTTCTGTTCCCTTGCTGGGCCAGAAGGAAGAAACTTCGGCTTCTAAGGCCCTACCTGTCCTAGATGCTGCAATTGTTGCAAGAGACGATGGCCTGCATGTGTTTGCCATAACAAAGACCAAATTCTACCATTTCACAAAGGGGCTGGGCTCATTTACCGAGATTTCGCACGGCTTTTCTCTTCCTGAAATCAATGCCTGGGGAGAGGTTGTGGTAGTATTTAGCAACAATTCATTTTACCTTCTTACTGAAAATGGGTTTAGGAACCTCCACATTTCCCCATATTTCAGATCTATAGTTTCCTATTCTTGTGGAAGATCGTTGAATACCGATGTAATTGTCTATCAAACAGATTCATACACGAGCATCTACTCTGCTGATGGTACTCCAATCCTAGAGAAGTATCCCTGTACTCAGAAGGCATTTGTTACCGGCAAGGGACTAGCAATCCAACGAGGCTGCGAGATATTTCTGTACGATGTGTCAGATGGCGTTGAGCTACTTGCAAGGATAAATATGAATGTGAAGATTAACGCCAAGTGGAAGCACTTGAAGTATCACAGTGACATGCTTTATATGAGTGGAATTAGTAATGATGGATACATTCTCTATGCGGATGGATACTTATTTGATACCAACGATCTTGTCCAGTCTTTCGAGTTTTACAGAAACTGCTTTATTGGTGTTAGCTCATCTTTCTTATACTTTTTGCCAAGCGACAAGGACTTTGATTTGAAGCTGTTAGATAGCGAATACCGATTGCTAAACAATGTTCTCAATGGCAACTTCACACCATACACATGTAGGAGCTTCAAGCTTTTTGATAAGGAGCGCCTGTGGGAAAGAGAGGAAGGAAAGATATCGAAGACTGGATACTTCCTGGGCTTCTTGGTATATTGCGGGTTTAAGGTTGAGTGCTGCAAGTTGATCTGTAATGCTCTTAATGAAGTACAAAGTGACAGGAAAAGTATCAGGAAGCTCAAAATTCTAAACGAGGCAATGAAGTTTGGGCATAAAGCCTACAAAAAATTTGTGAACATGGATGTACATGTAGAAAAGATATATGGCAAGATCACTGAGATAATTAACCCAGAGGCTATTGATGAAGAACTCTTGGTGGATATGGCAGAAATTTCTTTCAGAGATATTGATTTTATTGAGATACCTAGATATTTTCTTCTCAAGGGGAAAAAGCTTATGGAGCAGAACGGAGATTTTATGAGTCCATTCTACAAGTGCACTGGGCTATTTGACAAAGTAGTGACATTGCTTGAAAAGAATGACAAGGTAGCCGAGATAGTTCTTATGTGGAAAAGCACCGGCTTCTGCAAGGATTCTTCTCTTGAGTATGTCTGCAAGCATAATCTTGCCTATCTTATATCTCAGAGATGTGCTCATGATATAATCAGCGGGTGGGATGCCCTTAGATGTCTTTGTGAAATGTGGAAAAAGAGTAAAAACAAATGTAAAGCATCCAGGGACATAGTTGAATTCATAGATGGAAGATATGACTTGATAGTTGGATGCAAGCTTCCACTCGCCTTAGTAGCACTGATGTCTGAAGAAATAGTTCTATACTGCCTTAGATCCTCCTTTGGAATAGACCAGGCCATATCATTTCTTTTATCGAACGGGAGACATGGCGATGCCTCAGCTCTATATTACCACCTATTTGCCACTACTGGGAAGCAGGCATACTTGGACGAGTCTCTAAATAACATCGGCAGCAGGGTCTTTATATATAGAAACATGTTTGTTGGTAGAGAAACTTTAGAGGATCTGAAGGAAAGAAAGGAGCTGGATTGTAGACAAGCCATTTTAGATAACATTGAAAGGATTAGGAGCACGGACAATGGGCTCCTGTGGAGTAATGTCTGCATGTCTGAGAAATACCCCGACGAATACGGCAAATACCTTCGCCTTCTTGATGAAATGAAGAAAGTTTGAGCCTCTCCCTCATTAGCATAATAAAGCAGTTCTTCAAACGTACATTTTCAAAAAGTCCTCTGAACCACCACCGGGTAACTACTTATGCTGAAATCAGGTCCTTATGCGAGATTTCTTTACACCAATTTTTAACCCCACGGAATGGCTCAGTATAGTGCTAAGATTTCTGATATCCCAAATCCTCCATCAGATACGGTTTCTGAGATAGCATTTAGCCAGATGCATAGCCTGATGGCAGTATCGAGCTGGGATGGCACTATCCGAACATACGATTTGGAAAACCCATACAGCTCAAATACCAGTGTGGTGAATCTAAACAAGCCTCTTCTTACGTGCTGCTTCAGCAAAGAGACACCCTCATTAACTTTTGCAGGCGCAGCAGATGGAAGCCTCCAAATGGTAGATCTACAGACCAGTCGGGTATCATCTTTCCAAGCACACAATGCAGGAGTAAAATCTGTAAGATGCTTTTCAAACATGCTGGCAACTGGGTCATGGGATAAAACTGTTAAGTTTTGGGATATCCGGTCCTCAAAGCTTGTATTCTCTTTAGACCTTCCTGGAAAAGTTTATGCCATGGACCTTGAGAAAGAACTACTTGCAATATCTCTTTCTGGAAATGAGGTGGTAACATACAATCTCAACGACATAAACCAGAAGAAAACGCATGCTTCAAAGCTGAACTGGATGATTAGATCAATAGCCTGTGCTCAAGACAACGAGACTTTTGCCCTTGGGGGAATAGAAGGAAAGGCAGAGATATTTAACATCAACTCTCCAGTAAAGAAAATGATATTTAGATGCCACAGAGTTGATAACAAGGTTTATGCTGTCAATTCTGTATCTTTCCTTCCAACCAATCACAATATATTGGTTACTGCGGGCGGAGACGGAACCATAGTGTTTTTCGATGCACAAGCAAGAATGAAAATATTTACCCAGACAGAAAGTCAGCCTATAACATGTGGTAGATTCAACACTAATGGAAGTTACTATGTCTATGCAACCGGGAATGACTGGTCCACGGGATATGTGACAACTTACAGGCCCACACAGCTTAAAGCCATCCAGGTCAGCACTACAGGTGTAAAAATATGATTAATAAGCATGCTCCATCTGGATCTGAGCATTAGACCATAGTTCTGAGATAAATCTATTTATTTGGATGCAATCTTTACATCCTCTCTTGTTTATCTTTTTAGCCTTTGAACATGAAACGCTTGGAATTAAAACAGAGCAAGGTAAACACAACCTATTGTGAGTGATGCTGCTAAAGCTCTTATTTCTTGCTGTTATTGCCTGTGATAGGTTGTTGAGACTTAAGCATAGGGACAGCCAGTATGTTACTAACAGCAAGGGCGTCCTGAAGCTTGAGTCTCCCATGCTACCTACCCTGTCTGACCAGCGTGTCGTGGTTCACAACAGAGTCTTATACTTCTTTAAGGACGGGATATATTACACGTTAGCCATGGTGCATGGAGAATTAGAGATCAAGCCAATTGTCTATAATGCCATGAGCGAAAAAGGGATAGGATTTTCTTCTAGCCCAACCTTTCGCCCACGCAAGAGAAAGATAGATCCATTTGGCTATTTATCTCACGCAGGTCGTCGGGATAGCCAAGGCGATAGTGAAAAGGGAAAAGATAGTCTTCCAAGTAACAAAAGGAAGCCTGGGCTAGTAAAGCTTCCTTCTCGAAATGAAAGGATTACAGCACAGAAAAGAACTGAGCGGATGCCTAGAAACAGCCCGAAAGATCGTGAAGAAGGAAGTTGGAATGACAAGACTCACCAAGTGAAAAAAGACAAGTCGTTTGAAGCAAACTTAGATGTGAAAAATGCTAAAGCTCCTAAGGAAGGGCCCGATGAAACAGAGACTCTCGACAGTAGCGACAAGCTTCCTGCATATGGGATTCCTCCACCGCGTTTGGAAGTGGAAACCGGCAATGCCTTGCAAAACATAAGGCCTCCAAAGAAGGTTGGCTCTATTCGGAGATCTCATGTAGTTGAGAGCGACTCCAAAATGGATGAGCGTGAGTTTGGATATGTTATAAAAAATGTTACGGTTTCCGAGGTGGACGACAAAGGACATTTCACGTTAATTGGAGGAAGCGACTTTTGTGTAACCTATTACAAAGATTCGTTTGTTTTTATGCCATGCTCGCGTGCTCCTGAGCAGATATTCAAGCTAGAAAGCTCGGAGGAGATAGTGAAAAAAGGAAAGTCCTTTGGTTTAAAGGAGGATAAAGATGCCGAAAGCCAAGATGCCATTGTCCTTGACTCCACGGATAGTGAGGAAGAAAGGAAGGAGGAACTCTATAAAAGCCCTCAGACCCTATCATATTCCCTTAAAAGCGTTGCTCCAGGTGGCGGCAACTTTGGAGCTCGAAGTGCCAAAGCTGGTTTTAGAGATGCTGAAAGATACCCTGATAGAAGTCTGGATAAAGAGAATTCCCACAACCTAAAAGATCTCTCCAAAGACTCCCTACATTTTGAAAACAGTCACAGGCCTTCAAAGATAGACACAAATCCTGAAAAGTCAGCTATCGGTGTAACTCCAATTGCCATGCAGCCGACTCAGATAAAGAGCGGTGCGAGAGGTTTAAATTCTAATACCAAAGAACCAAGCAAGCATCAGAAGCTAAACTTTGATGACGACTTTATAGATAAGTTCAGAGAGCTCCTTACAAATAGCGATCTCAATGATTTTGTTTAATTGGATATTTAAAAAAGATGAAGGTGCCGGCTCCGGGCTAAAGTTGTTTTTGCATGTTTTCTATAGAAAAGTAATAAACTAATAAAATAATTTCTGCAGCCCAAAGCTTCAATCAAAAAGGTTTTTAAAGCCAAAAAGTATATCCCTCCAATGGAAAAAACATTTATAATGATCAAGCCTGACGGGATAAAACGAAGGCTAATCTCGAAGATAATTCAAAGATTTGAGGAGAAAGGGCTATACCTAGCAGCCTGCAAATGTATGATGGCCAAGAGAGAGGTTTTGGAGCAGCACTACTCCCATCTGTCGAGCAAGCCTTTCTTTAACGAAATGGTGGAGAGTATGATGTCTGGGATGGTTCTTGCAATGGTGTGGGTCGGAAAAAATGCAGTTTCTGTGGGTAGAAAGTTGATTGGGGAGACTGATCCACAGGCAGCCTCTTCTGGAACCATTCGAGGAGATTACGGACTTACGGTGGGGAAAAACATCATCCATGGATCAGACTCTGTCGAAAATGCAGAGAAAGAAATCAAGCTCTGGATCGGAGACGATGTCCTGCCTGTTTCTTTCTTTGATGAAGCCTGGATTTATTAAACCCTTTTCATAATATTTTCTCTAATTTTTATCCTCATACAAATTGTGCTGTACGAATGCCTATTAAGCCAACACGAGATAGCAAGTCAAAAGTAGACTCGAAGGGCCACATGCTGTCTTCAATAGAATCATTGCTTGATACAAATATGTCCTCCGTCTCTCTTGGAAACTTAGAGAAGCTTGATCTCGAGCTGTTGCAGCTATACCAGGAGATAGCACCCACACAAATAGAAATCAATTCAAGGATGTACATATTTGAAAGAATTAAGAAGTTGATAGTCCGTGAGCTTCCAAGTGCTAATGTTGTCCCCTTTGGCAGCCACACTACGGGACTAATCGTTCCATCGAGTGATATCGATGTAAATGTTCAACTTGGCATAGACACTGATAAAGAATATGCCAACAGGTACCTGTCAAAGATAAAAAACCTTATGATGGGGGCAGATTTCGTTAAAAAAGAGACTCTGTTTCATATCAGAAAATGCAGAATTCCCATTCTCAAGCTTAGAGACAGAATATTTGGATTTAGAATAGATATTTCTGTGAATCAAGAAAACGGGGTTGAAGCTGCAAAGTTTATAAGGTATACTTTGAAGGAGCATCCTTACATAAGAGTGTTTGCAATTCTGTTGAAGCACTTTCTTACTATAAGAAACCAGTCAGATGCCGCAACCGGAGGGCTGAACAGCTATTCCCAGTTCCTTCTTCTTCTGAGCTTCTTTCAGCTACATCCTCTTGTCCAAGAGAACCGGATCTCTCCTCTTAAGAACATCGGCGTTCTTTTCATGGATTTCTTTCAGTACTATGGATGCGATTTTCCGTATAAGACTGCAAAGATTTCTGTAAACAGGGTTGGATATATAAGGAATGATGCAAAGACACTATCCATCGAGGATCCGACAGACCCTGACTGTGATGTAGCAGCTGTTTGCAGAAACTCACAGATGGTTCTCGAGATATTCCGCCATGCGTTCAGGACAATGAATGCAGCTCTTAAGATGAAAATCCCGGGACAAAAGTCTCTAGTTTCCCTATGGTTCAGGAAAGAAGCAGAGAGTACCAGACAGAGAGAAGAAGTCAGGAGAATATATAAAAAAATTCTGAGACACCAAAAAAAGTAGAAACAGTCTCTTTATCATTTCTGCTAAGACAGTTATAGTATACAGACATGCAAAAAGTTTACCATTCGGAGCATTCAAGGTATTTGTACTCAAATGTAAAGTCACTTTTCTTCATGAAAGACCATGTAACATCGTAGTCGAAGAACAAGAAATCACCCCTTTCATAGTCTGCCGTTATCAGCTTTGGCTCGTCTAGCCTCTGAAACCACGTGAAGTATTTTGTATGGAATCTCCACGAATACGTCTTTAGTTGTGTAGCAGCATAGTATTGCTGAACAGTTCCAAGCTGAGAATAAAAAATGAAGAAGAGCGTATCTATGTCTAGTTTCTTGAATATGTCCTGGCTTTCAAATATATATAGCGCTGTCTTTGGAAAGAAGCTAGGTGTTTCCACAGGCGTCCTTGGAACATATTTTCTTTCTAAGTCTCTGAAGTTTGGAATATGTACAAGAGAGTTCGAGGCTTCAATCTCATAGAACCTTCTTACTCCGTCTTCATGGCCACTTCCATACAACGAAATTCTTTCCTTATTCACTTTCTCAATTTCCGCACAAACATCATTGAAGTCAAAGGTTTTTATGCCTTGCATTGATTTTGGAGTGGATTCTTTTCTTTTGGTTCCCAATAGAATAGCTGCATTCTTCCATACCTCTTCCGGTGTGAGCTTTTCCTTCAGTAAGGGAGACTTCATGCTCTTATCCTTTCTGGCCTCATCCCTCTTGCTGTCTTGAGATTTCTTCATCAGCAGACAGGGTCTGTCATCTTCTTTTTATTTCCCATAAAAGCCTACATTCGCTATGTTATCTGACGGTCTCTTCTTCGATTGTTTTTCCAAGACAGACAGATTTGATTGGCATAGCTTATATAAATTGAGTTTGCTCGTACCCAACAAAATGACAAAGCAAAAGCCTATGCTTCGTGGAAGAATCCACCAAGCTGCCTTCTACCTTACCATCGCAAAGACCTTCATGTATGCTATCTGCTGCATTCACAGAAAAGGAAATCTTGGGATAATGATATATCTTCTGTCCCAGCTTGTATTATTTGGAGTAAGCAGCACATACCACACCACGTCATGGAAGGACGAAAAGACAAAGTCTCTTTTCCAGAGGTTAGATCATATATCTATATTTCTTCTTATATCAGGCACTCAGACATCTGTGATTCTTAACTTGGTTCCAATAGGAACATACACGAAATACGTTTTGGTGATGACATGGACAATATCGCTCGCAGGGATTTTGAAGATCGTCCTTATGAAAAAACTGCACATGCACTTTGATCTCATGGTTTACATACTTCATGGTGTGTCCATCGTTCCATTTTTCCGTATAATTATGAAGAGCATTCCATTGAGCGACCTTTCTCTTTTTGTATTGGGTGGTGCCATATACATAATTGGAGGGCTCATATATGGAATGGAAAGGCCAAACCCATATCCTCAGATATTTGGGTACCATGAAATATTTCATGTGATGACTGTGCTGGCCAATTGGTGTTTTCTTGTTCCCTTGCTGAAAGGTTACATCTCTACCCTTTCTGGAAAATAAACCATGCATGGCTCTTGTAAAAGGTTTGCTAAATCAATTTAATAGAAAGGGTGTTATCGTCAGAATAAGCTGATAGATCCTTGTGCGATCTTTCCATCCATCTCATTGCACTGTGCAGTACTCTATTTCGCAGCTATTCATATAGTTGTGAATATCCACAGCTACTTCTACACTCTCCCTTAGAATATCACAAGGATCATAAAGATATTTAACTAACGCCTCAAGAGACTTGTCGTTGCCAATTGCGCCCAGTGCCTCTGCACACTCATGCCTGACCATTCCATGTTCTCTTACATCCTCCATTCCCTTAATAAGATATGGAATAGATTCTGTGGATCTCATTTGCCCAAACACAAATGAGATCTCATGCTTGAACAGTGATGATTCGTCTTCCATGGCTTTTCCAAGGGCATGTATCGCTTCAGACGTTCCAAGGTCCCTCAGATAAAACATTGCCTGGTACCTTCTATATAGACACTCATTCTTATTCAATAAAATTTCTCTTGCCTCTTCAAAGCTTCCCTCCATTGGAGATGCTGGGTCTCTGGATCCAAACTTGGATACCATATTTACTCCGTTTTTCAGCTTCATCAACGCCAAATAACAGGTTTCAGAAATGGGCTTCAGAGGATGGTTGACATACTTCTCCAATCCCTCAACTATTTCTTTGGTGGGCTTGAAGTTTCCTAGGGCTTCTCCAGCCTCATGCCTGACAATCTCGTTTTCATTCTCGTCAGATAAAATATTCAGAAGCACAGGGACCGACTCCTCCATGCACATTTGCCCAAGAACATATGCAGCCTCGTGCTTCAGAAGAATAGACTTGGATGCAAATGCTCCTGCAATGGCGTTCACAGATTTGGGAAGCAGTATGTTACGTAGATAGAACAGGGATCTCATTCTCCTAGCTATAGGAACTTCGTCGTTCTTTATGATGCTCTCGGCTGTCTCGATGTCCATGGGGTGTCTCATTTTCTGGCCTTTGGGCCAACGGCTCCGTTTCTTAAATTAAAGTTTTTGGACAGAGGCCCCGGAATGGAAAAAAAGATCAAGATGCTTGATTTATTGTTCCTGTCCATATGCAATATGGTGGGCATAGGGGTTTTTAGCATGGCACACTATGTCTTATCACAAACAGGAACATGTGCCTCCTCTATCTTCCTGATAGTTGCTTCTGCGATAATTGCAACTATGTTTGGACTATGCTATGCCGAGCTTGGATCTACCTATCCATATGCTGGGGGAGATTTAAATTACCTCAGTAAGGCATATTCAAAACATCTGGGGACCATTTATTCTTTGGTTTCTATATTGTTGATACTACCTCTATCTTGTGCAATCATGTCCATCAAAATACACGAATGCTTTGAAAACGATATTGGAAGAGACTACTGTATTGCTGCGTTGTTAGGCCTGTGCACTATATTTTTATCTTTTGGGGGAAGATTGGTCACATGGACGATGAGAATACTGTTTTTTCTTAAGGTCGTTACGGTTGCCTCTCTTTTAGTTATTTCTTCCATATCGTTTATTGTGGTTAAGAGCTCTCCAAATCCTGCAATACTTGACGTAAGAAATAGTACCATAGAAGTAGATGCAACCTCTATAGTTAAGGGCCTGTGCTTCACACAATTCTCATTCGATGGATGGAACTGTGGGAATTATATTGCAAATCGAATACACAATCCCGGGAAGAGCTTTCCAAAAGCCATAGTTGGGTCTATATGGATTGTGGCTTTTATATACATACTCATTAGCCTGTCAATGATGTGTGTAGTGCCGTACGATGACATTATTGGAAATGTTTTTTTTATTGATGAATACTTCAAGGCAGTAGGAATTCCCATTACACCCAGGATGCTATCAATAATAGTCACACTTATTCCCACGATTGGGTCTCTTGTGTGCTCACTCATCGTTGGAACGGGAATCATCGAGTCTCTTGTTCCAGTAAAGTTCAGTAAGAAGTTGGAGATGGTGTCCCTTGCTGCTTTCTCCCTCATTGTTTTTGCATTCGCTAAGTTGGAAAGCATAACTTGGATGGTGAATAAGATAGCATTTGGGACATCCTTGTTCTATTCCTTGTCATGCATGGGTCTCGTGTTTCTTAAGCTGAGGCATCCCTCTCTAGACAGACCCTTTAGCCTTCCTCTTGTGGTTCCCTTAGCTGCATCATTAATAGGTATTTCTATCTGCAGTTACATTATTTGCTGCAGCTAGGATGTGTTTATTAAAAGATTCCCCGGACTCTTCATTCTAAAGCCCAATAAACACCCTCAAGGTATTGCATACATGTTTTGGAAGGCTGATGTGATGTATGTTTCATGTACTTACGTATAAAAGACATGTGGTTCCTCAGAAACTATGGAGCACCGTAGGAAGGGGCTCGAGTGTTTTGCTGTTCCCGAGCCTAGCGGAATTTTCCTATCCTTCATAATACCGTTAGGAGGGCACACGCCAAAGGAAATGGTTTCTTCTATGTACAATGGAATATGCCTAGACTTGCAGAAGATCCTTGTGGGAATAGGCCGAGCTTCGATATCTAAGGACGTGGGGAACAAGGTTCAAGTATCTCTGAATGTGAACCATCGCTACAGCATCCATCAAATGATGAAGCTAGTTAGTAAGTGCTTTAGATATTGCTACAGAGTAGAGATACCTCTCTGCCTATATCCGATGAAAGCCGAAATAACTGAAAAGATGAAAGAAATAATGGATGCCACGGAGACTTCCATCTGCATCAAGATAGATGGCAAGGTTGAGGCCTTTATATGTGGAAAAAGAAGGGCGTGCCTGGATGCAAGAATGAAAATACTCCTAATGATTGAAAATGCATTTGGAAGGACCACCGAAATTAGAAGAGTAGGTATACCTGCAAAGGAGGTTGTCAGGAATGGAGGGAGGGTGTTCTACCACTCGAGAATAAATTCTGACGAATGTCTTATATCCCACAATGGGGCAGCCATTGATCTCCAGGAGCCTGAAAAGGTAGTTGAAAGGCTTGTACTCGACTCCCAAAAGACTGCACATTTGCTTTCATATAAGGGAGCTGAGGTTGAGGATATTCTGTCTGACACTCAATCATACATTGACACAAGAGAAATATGCGAAGATTACACGGAGGTGATTTTAAAAGGATTTGATCTGTATGAGGTTAGAAGAGCAAAGAATAAGATAAATCTACTGTACAATAGCATAATGAAAATGGTGGTAGAGAATATGAAGTATCCTAGCTATGACGGTGTTTTTATACTTCAGATCAAGAACATAAGCTGTGGATTCATGGTCATTGGTGAGAAGCAGACTCTATTGAGGATAGTGGAGGAGAATGGAGGATATGTGGAAGGCGAGATGGATATTGAGACAGAAACTGTCGAGTTTCTCTGTGGAAAGAAGAATGGAAAAATTACAAGAATAATGAGAGATGTGTGCTGTGGAATTGCAATTCACAAGAGGCCTGGAAGTACTAGGATCCATATGGTTATAAGTGGATCTTCCGGAGCATTCAAAAGCGCCTTAGAAATGATTGAAGACGAGTTTCCGGAGGAGTTAACTTTTTATATTGATGAGAGACATCATAAAAGAATAATTGGGTATGGAGGTAAGAATATCCAAAAGATAATGAAAAAGCATGGCGTCTATATAAAGTTCATGAACGAAAGGGAAAGAAAGAGATTTGCATACAAGGACAATGTTGTGATAAAGACTCCACGCAAGAACATCGAGAATCTTGTCAACATGAAAAATGATGTGATGGGCTTGATAGGCTGCTTCAGAGATGATTCCGAGTGTGTGGAAACAATGGTATCATTGCATGATTTTTACGACCTGGAGTACCCAATATACCGGTTTCTCTATAACGAGGCCATTATTAGAGGCTCGGAAGCTGGTGCATCGTATTACCTTAGTGAAAGCTACAGAACAAGCACCGGTCCTTATCATACATTTAAACTAAAAAACTGCAGTCAATGGTTCATAAAAACTACGGAGACACTCCCTTTAGAAAGAGTTTCTACAGTTCACTGGCTCAAGGGGATTGAAAGAATGTCTGTATTTTCGTGGCTCTTTGGCCATGGATATAGCTCCCTCTTCAATACGGAAAGGGAGGAGAAAGTCAAGGGCCAGGTCCACCTTTTTGAAGTAGGATTCTTATCCAAAAAATAAAAGATGTAAAACTATTGCAAGCTTTCAAAATGCTGTGTCTCTGGTTTTAGAAATGATTCTGAAACAGAGAAATAGGATGTCTCAACAAACATTCGAGAAATACAATGCACGATGATTTGCTCGGAAAAAAAGTAGACGAGATATTGACAATGGGGGAAGGTGTTAAAGCCCTTCTGTTTGACGAGGACACAAAGGTGATTCTTAGCAATATCATTCCTCATTCCCGATTTCTTGAGAACGACTATTTCTTATTTGATAGTATAATGAACAGAAGAAGAGAGAAGATACAAGGAATCACCTGTATAGCTGTAATACGCCCGGAGAGCATAAGATGGCTGATAGAAGAGGTGTCGAGCCCCTTTTACGAGAGATACATAATCCTGTTTACAAACCAGATAGATTCCTTGATGCTAGAAATTCTTGCTACAAGCGATGTATACTGTGTCATTTCTGAAGTCCACGAGATATATATGGACTTTTTTAAACAAGACAACTTTCTGTATACACTCCACCGGACGAAGGTCGACGACTATGCATCTCCATCCATCAGGAAAAGAGCTTTAGACGGGATTTTCTCTCTTATTATGAACCTTGGAAGTATTCCAACGATTAAAGTTCAGGCTGGAGATAAGTACCTCCTTGAGGACTCTGACATGTTGAACACCAGGCTTACAGGGCTCAATCTCGGGCAGGGTGGAACACTGATAATGCTGGACAGATCTTTTGATCTTTACACACCGTTGCTATATGAATGGAGATATCAATCCTTACTTTATGAACACACAGAATACGAGAACGGCATTGTCAGAATTGGAAAAAAAAGCTACTCTGTAGTTGGAGATCCATTTTTTGATGCTTCGAAATTTAAGGACATATATGAGGTTTCAGAAGACATCAAGGGGCTGATCAAGAAGGCGGAATTCAAAAAGAAGAGGCTTCATGAATTCATTTTTGACGATCTCGAGGAAAATACCAAGCTCTCTAGACAGCTGGAAGCACATCTTGCACAGCACGGCCACGTGATGAAGGCATGCCTCAGGCTCAAGGATTTAAGCGAAATAGAAATGAGCATCCTGAAAAACAACAAGGTCAGCAAGGAGGAAATTGACGAGTATCTTGCAAGAAAGGACATTTCGGTTATAGAGCGGAGCAAGCTGCTTATAATATATTCTCTTAAAAACAGAAAGAATCCAAGCAACGAGGTCAAAAGGCACCCAGACCTTATAGACGAAGTTGAGGCGTTTACAAAAAGATATCCACTCTTGATGCCCATATGGAGGCACTATGGATATCGCTTTGATGACGATGTCGATATTAAGCTAGGGTATCAGCCTGCGATCAAAAGGGTTCTCCGTCATTGGTGGACAAGCAGACTCGACGGAAAGTGCTTTTCTACTGCAAGGGAGTCTGAGAACCCAATGAGCTACATAATAGTTTACATAAGAAATGGAATCACCTACTCGGAATATCGAGCCCTGTATGAATATTATAGTACAGAAATGGAAGGAAAGTCAAGGCTCTATATTGTTGGTGATTCAATGATATCCTACAAGAATATTATGAAGGCCATTTAATCAGTGACGACTGTATGATCGCACACCTAAATAATTATTAAATCGATCTAATTTATTTACTGTCAAAATATCTTGGTTGGCTCTCATTATAAGCAGTGGCTATGGAGAGAAAATAAGATCATAATTAGCCCAACAAACATCAACCCGATAGATAGAAAGTAATTTTTCGGACCTATTACTGACAACTGTGCAAGTGATACATATTTCTTCCCGTATGGAAACATGGAAGTAATGTTAAGTGTATACATCCCTTCTGTCCCCACATCGGCCACGCCCCAAAGCTTTCTGAAGCTGGGAAAGGGTGCTATGTAAATCCAGTTTATGAATCTCTCGTCTGTGCTCAGATCAGGGACGTCACTGTAAACTGGCCACAGTGGAGGAGGAACAACTTCATCTCTTGTATAAGATGATGGCTTCACTGAGCTTCTTTCTGATTCCCACGAAATTCCTTCGGTCTCAATATCGATTCCATCAATCCTATATGTATCATGAGGAAAGCTATTTGGAAGAAGCCCCGCTGGATATATAATCTTTCCGTCCTTGTAAGATAATGGACTGGCTGAACTAAGGCTCTTTGGCCTTTCTCCCTTAAGTTGATCATAGCTAATGCTCTTGCTATACCTCAGGTTAGTCTGATAGAACTCTCTCATTTCCAGAAAAAGATAGATTCTGCCCCTAGGAAGATAGATATCTGTGCTCATGCTGTCTGTATATGGAATAGTTACTTCCATCAGGCTGCTATACACGAATGTTGCTATTATGCCAAGGACAAGGTTTAGGAGACCTATGACAAAAAGCGTGGTCAAAAAACTTCTGTTAGACTCTGATCTATATGTCCCGGGAAGCTTCTGGGATAGAAAGTGCCTTTTTATTCTTGATAGGTATGCTAGAAGACTCATCTAAATACAAGGCGCTATTATTGTTTGGGGTATGTCTGTATCTTTATTTAAGAGTAACAACCAAAAGCTTGTGGAGTTCCTATTTCTACAATCTGAAACTCAAGATTCACAGAGAACAGAAGCTCCTTAGTAGCTCACGCCCATAGACGCTAAAGTTCATTGCTTCGAAAATTTTTGCCCTTAAGAATGGTAAGTGACTGAAGAAGTGTTCTAATTTTGTAGACTGTTAAGAGGAGAAACCATGGAAGATCAAAGAAGAACAGAGGAAGTGTGAAGCCCATTCAGTGCGACAAGTGTGGGCGTGTGACCCCCAAGGACAAGGCAATCAAAAGATTTAGGATCCAGTCACTTATCGAGCAGGCGTCATTTGATGATCTGAAGGAAAAAACCATTTACGAGGTGTTTGAAGTCCCAAGAATGGGCTACAAGTCACAGTTTTGTGTGTCTTGTGCATGCCATGCCAAGATCGTTAGAGTTCGCTCTTCTCAGGCAAGAAAGATCAGGTATGGATTCAACCCGAACAAGGTAAGTTCTCATAATTAAAAGGCTTCCCAGATCTCTATGAAGATTCCCCCTTAAAACTCTGAGTCGTTTCAGACCAAAATATTTTATTCCTTTATTGCTCTTATTACACCAACAGCTATAGTTTTACTTTCTAGCCTCAATGCAAATCTCTGTCTTTCGTCCTCGTCTCTGCTGCCGTGGAAAACGCAGATGGGTGATGAAGCAACAATCTTAGCAAGAACCTTGCTTCCATGGCGGCAAAACCTTATTTTCTTATTGTTAATGTCTCTTATCTCCTTTATCTTGCACTGAACAGTGACAATCCCCACATGAAGAATACAAGTATAACCAGAACTTATGATGGTGTCACTATCAAGTATATTTAATCCGCAGGTGAATTCCTGAGTAGACTTATAGTCCATGTTATTGACATCAAGTATCTTACTCCCCACTGAAACATCATCAGCTTCCTCCTTCAGCTTTAATTTCACAACATCCCCGGGCTCTCCTTCTTCGATCTCAACCTCTTCTTCATCCATTATAGCTGAAATGGCATTCCTTGTATTCTGCGGCAGGATCTTTACTGCCATGTCGGGAACTACCTTTCCGCATTCGACTTTTCCAAACAAAACAGTAGTTCCCATAAGTTTCACCTTTTCTGTCACAGTGATAGCCAGTGGGGCGTCAGGCTTCCTTGGAATATTTATCTTGTCCAGCTCCGAAAGAAAAGAGTCCCCGCCATACCATGAACACGTTCCCTTCTCCTTAATATATTCTCCAGTAAATCCGCTGACAGGAATGAATATGGGTGACGGAAACATCCTCTTAACAAATGACCCGACCTTGTCTTTTATCTCATCAAACCTTTCTTTGCTCCACTTCACACTCGGATCGTCCATCTTGTTGACCAGCACAATCAATCTCTGGACACTTCCAGCCTTTAGAAGGAAGATGTGCTCCCTGGTCTGCCCACCCTTCTCAAATCCTGCTTCAAACTCATTTATTCTTGCAGATATTACCAATATCCCTACGTCCGCCCGGTTAGCTCCATTTATCATCTCAAACACAAACTGATTATGCCCAGGTGCATCCAGTATATTTATCCTTCGGTGGGGAAGCTCAAAAGATGCAGACCCTACCTCAGTTGTCTTCCCTCTTTCCCTCTCTTCAGGGTTAATGTCTAAGCACCAGCTCAAGTACCAACTCTCTCTGTTTTGCTCCCTAGACATCTGTTTATACTTCTCCAGTGTCCTTTGGTCCACCAGTCCCATCTGCACAAGGATCTGCCCACATATCGTCGACTTTCCTGCATCAACATGCCCAACAAACACAATATTGACCACCTTCTTCCGGGAAATGCGCACCTTCTCCAAATCCATCAGGGAGCAATTTGGAGTCTATTTATTAGATAACAAATTTTTGGGCCTCTGATCCCTGATGATGGCCGAGTTCTTTACGCGCAACTTGCATAAAACAGTCGACTTTCTATCGAAGGTTGGAATAACATCTGACGAAATCTCTGTGTCATTGTCTTCAAAGGAGTATCTTTCACTGACATATCAGAACATAAAGGAATACAGAAAGGCGTATGCCTCTCTTCTCTGCAAGACTAGCCTTCAACATCTTGAAGAGATTGTGTTTTGCGCATGCTGTTCCCAAAGAATCAACTTCATAAGAAACATAAACTTGCTTATTCATCTTAACAAACCCGTGGAAATTCACTGGTGCGGCTGTGAAAAGGACGAGTTTTTGCTCTACATTGAGGGTAAGGTGAAGAGAGACTTCCGCATTCTGTCGGATGTTGTTGTGATAAACCCATGGTTTTGGGAGGCATATCTGGACCTTGCAGAGCTTGCAACACCAGAGATTATCGAGTCGATCAACATTGTCGGCGGGCTAAGCGACTTCTTTTTCATGTATCTGTTTTGTACAAAGATGATCAAGAAGGCCTGGAAACCGTCTATGATGTCTGAAGACGAAGGGCATGGAGGCAAATGGATAAAGTCTTCGGACGGACTGTGCATCAACATGAAATATCCGAATTTGGCAGGCGCAGTCTTATACCATCAAAAGGACTTCGATGGATGCATTGAGGTTTTTGAGAAGGTCACAAGGAACTCCTTTTATTATGATCTGGACTACATAGATTTGTATTCAAATGCTTTGTATATAAAAAATGATAACAGAGTTATCCTTTTGGCAGAAAATGTCCTGAACATAAATAAGTATAGGTCTGAGGCTATGTGCTGCATAGCTAATTACTATTCTATGAAGAAAGAACACGAAAAGGCCATTGAGTATTTCAGACTTAGCATGAAGCTGAATCCTTCCTCCTCTATAGTTCACACTCTTATTGGCCATGAATATCTTGAGATGAAAAACATGGAGAAGGCAGTGAGCTCCTACAACGTTGCCTTAAAAATGTGCCCCATGGACTACCGAGCCTGGTACAGCATTGGGCAAGCATATGCAGCAATGACCATGTATGAATATGCCCTTTTTTTCATTAAGAGGGCATTGGAATGTAAGAACAACGACTCCATTGTTTGGACAACATTGGGACAGTGCTACATGAACCTCAACAGAATGGATGATGCCATTGGATGTTTCAAAAATGTTATAGAACTGAATGATCCTGACGGGTACCTGTACATTGGAGATGCTTACAAGAATATGAAAATGTACACTGAAGCTGTTGTTTATTATGAAAAGTATGTCGAGACTAGCAAGGATGACACTCGGAAGATATGCCTGTTTCTAGAGGAGTATTTCAAAAGGATGTTTGATGACAAGCGAAGTGCCTACTATGCTGGCCTTGCTAACAAATAAACTTGGCTCTGGCCCACCCTTTCACATGGAGTCAATAGAAGAAATTAACAAAGAATTGGAAAGCAAGCTTAAAAGGCTTGAAGAGGATATTATAAGCGTAATGGAGTACAATAACAAGTTGAAAGAGATGCTGGAGGCTCTCAAGGCCGAGGAAAGGCTTACCCTCGAATGGCTTCTTGAATGCCTCGACAACACCAAGAAGTTTGTTCAGAAAGCTCCCAGCATGGACTTCTTTGTGTAGTAGTTGGAAGAAAACATCAATAAAATTGCTTTATTTCATTTCAGAATCTTTTCAATGGAAACTTAAAGAAAACCGAAAGCCCCATGGCAACAAGGAACACACAGACAAGGACAGCAGGCCCATATATGTCGTCGTAAGGACCCGGGTCTCTCTTCCTTATCATACTAGCCCTCCATAAATACAGATACAAAGAATAGAAGGAAAAGATTATAGCTACAAGAATCAAGATCAGACCCGAAAAGCTAGCCCTTTCATCCCCGAGCCCTAGAAGCGCACTCCCAATACCTCCCAAGAAAATCGCAAATTGAACCCAAGACAGAAAGGTCCTTTCATTGGCGAAGAATACCTTTGGCTCTACACGAACAGGAATGGATATTCTTTTTCCATGAACGTCTATAGGGCTAAGTTTCTCGCTGTTGCTAGGCTCACTGTCAGCGGGAATATCGACCAGAACTGTATCCTTAAAGGACTTCTTGTCTACGTCCGGCTGGAACGGGTCCTTTCTTATGTCTACAGATACCTGTGGAAGCCAGTAGGGAATATCCTGAATAAATGGATAAAGAGCCGCACATCCATGCAAATACTTCGAAAACTTATGCACATGCTCTACTAGTGGCCCATTGATAAGCTCTTCAATCCACTTGGGCTTTGTTTCATCAAGGCTTTGCGTTTTGACCTCGAGTATTGCGTGAGGAAACCGTATTATCTCGTTCTTTGGAATGTTTCTGAAAGGAAATTCGCAGTTTATGTCATTTCTCCTCCATCTTTTGATCGGGTAGGCTGGATTGGCTATTTCAGCATCACTACATTCTTTTATCATGCATAGATCTGTGTCAAGGCTTACCCTAACACTAGAATCGTTTGGGATTTGGAATGCGCTTCTTCTGTAGAATGTCCTGACAACAGGCCTCAATCTCTTATTGATGATCGACCTCTGAACCTCCTCGTACAGCGTCCTTACATCCTCATTTCCATTTAGCCTCTTCACATCGTCCCATACATCCTCTCCATTAATGTACTTAAGAACCTGGTTTTCACTGATCATGAACCTCAATTTTTTACTTGACTCACCCGTCCATCCGTCCTCATGTCTTTTTCTCTCGATAAACACAACATCAGGAACCTTGGAAGTATACCATCTTATTCTGATCGCCTCGGAATGATGAAGCTTTTTAAGTCTTTCCCCATAAAGATCAAATGTCACATTGTCGAAGTACACAGACGATATGCATGTGTCATGTGAATCTTTGTTCCATGAGCTGTATGGACTCTTCTCCTTATCCTTCGAAAAAACATATATTGGAAGATGCTGGGTAATATAGAATTTTACAGGTATAACATTTTCCTTGTGAACCCAGTACTTATCAGTCCTTCTTATAAACGTACAGTTACTTTCAGACTTTTTCTTCTTCATCTTTGTAACCTTTAGAGAAACCTTACTTGATTTATATATCAAGTCATCAAGGTCTTCAATGGATCTAATCTTACCCTTCAGCATCGGCTTGTAAGAAGAAAAGAGCTTGTAACTGGTATCTCTGTCGTGCCTCTTTAGAAGCTTTTTGAATCCTATGACATTTATCCTTATAAACTCTGCAAAGTGGCGCATCTCCCCAGTTATCTCCTTTATTTTGGCCTTTATCTCTTTAGATGGTTTTTTCTCGACTACCTTCAGTCTCTGAACAAACTCAGAATGCTTGGATTCAACAAATCCAAAAACTCTCTTTATGTTGGCATCCAGCTCCCTAATGAACTCATCCTCGTCATCCGAAGTGAAATTTTCTTTTTTAAGCCTCTCTCTTAGGTTCTCGTAGTCCAGGTAGTTGTATTTGTATGGCGTATATACATTTCGCTTAAGATACTTCTGAAATCTCATGAGTTTCCGATTTTGGAAGAAAGTAATTATATATCGTGCCTACTTGTTTCATCGTAGATATGCACTAAACGGGTTTCTCCAATGAAACAGGTTTCTGATTCATAGATGGTTTGCAACGTACTCCACATCTCTCATTGGCCTTTGGATAGACTCTCGATCTTCCTCCCAACTTCCGTAGACCCGATAATAAGCTCCTTAACCTCATTGAATTCAAATAGTGTTATATTGTTCATGTTCAAGGCTCTTCCGTCTAAGCATTTGATGCCCTTGAGTGTTTTTGCAAGTCTTATCTCCCTGATCTTTTCAACCATCACTTTGCTTTCCTCTATGTTCTCTGTGTTGTAGCAGCATTCCAGAAGCTCTTTTGCAAGGGGGAAAAAGTACGGGTGGATGCGTGAGTACTCGTCGACTTTTTCTACTTCTGTATCCACTGCTGCCTTGAGATTTTCTAGTTGCAAGTACAACGGGAGTCTTATTTTGCACATATTTGATTTCTTCAGGAGCAAGGCAGCATATAGTGGGATCTTTACTATGTCCAGAGGCACCATCGGAGGATAAACTCTGTCCATAAGACACAGCTCCGGTATTGAGGTGGTGGGCTCTATCTCAACCAGCTCTTCGTACGCAATATGAAGAATCTCCTCTGGAGACATTACCATAAGGATACCGCTTGTGTAAAATATAATAAGCCAAGTCATACCAGTGGAAATAACAGCCTTCTAAATATTTTTGATGACAGCCGAGGAAGTATATCCGGTACAAAGCCCAGCCTCCACTCTCCCTAATTCCACCCTATGGATCGATTCTGCACTTTCTATATCTACAGTACTTGCTGCCTAGTTAGTCCTAGAAAATACTTTAAAAACAAACATCAACTGTAACCCTGATGAAAAACTCCACAGGCAGCCCTGAGGTTCTGGGGATTCTCCAAAGGAATCTAGAAAGGAAGATATTTGCTCTAAGAATAGATAAGGTAAGAAGTAAGGGGCTTCCTGTTGCCAGGCATCTGCCAGAAAAACTCTCCGGGTACATGGCCACTATGGAAATAAGCCGGCCAAGGATTTCCATGAAAAATAGGAATCTTTGGGTCAGCTCTACTTCCAGAATGGCTTAACTCTGTAGCCAAACTGTAAATTATTCCTAAAAGTCATATAGTAGAACAAAAGACGTTTAATCGGCACGAGATATCAAATAATTAAAGAGCCTTCTGCAAACCACTATTATTCTATAAAGGAGGTACTTCCCCAAAATCACAAAGAAAAGAGAGTCTGGATGCCTATTTTAAATGCTATCCCTTTGAAACAAGGTACTCTATTCCGTTCATGGTCCTTATATAGAACAGGGAAGAATCCCATTTTATAATTCTGTTAATTGTATTTGCCCCGTCAAATATCTTCAACAATTCTACAACCCTGTTGACCGGAATTGCACGCCTATTCTCAGACATAAACAATGTCCTTATTCTGTTACTCAATAGCAAGTTGTCCTCCTCCTCCTTGGACTTGTTCATAAACTCCTCTCTCCTTAGCCTTTCTTTTTCTCTTATTCTTTCCAGTATTGTGGACACCCTCTTTCTTGCAGACTCCACAGCCGCTGCGTTCCTTTTTGCTGGGATACAAGTCTCCTTTTCTGCAGCCTCTTCCCTAACCTCCTCGGGAAATAAAGGCTTCCGAGGCAAAGGGACCTCTTCGAAGTTAAATTCTGGATGAAATTTACCTCCGCTGCAAGTATATCCATTTTTGTCAAGAAACTCCTGGTGGCATTTCTTGACATGCTTCTCAAGCTTTTCATTGAACTCTCTTGTTTCCCCGTTAACATAAATAACAAAGGTATCAACTTCCTCCCCATCGTGGTGAATACTTATCTTTTTGAATTTGAAAAGATCCGGCGCTATGTAGTACATTCTCTCAATATCTCCAACCACTATTCTCTGCTTGACAAGGTTTTCTATACATCTTAAAGACTTTATGAAGATTGTCGTTAAGTTTCTTGCAGCATTAAATCGTTGAATCGTTTCCAAGACACGGAATATCTTCGACAGCTTTTGAAGAGATTTCGGAAGATAGAGGTGCAAGTTTAAGCTCAGTCCTTTGAATTCTAAATGTGATATCCCTCCAAATTGCCGGATCTTTTCCTTTCTCTCCTCATTCGTTCCCCATTTATCATCTATCTCTCCCCTATCCTTTCCAACAGACATGCTCTCCTCGTCATCCCTTCTCCTTGAGGCTATGTTCTCCTCTCCACTTAGCCCAAGCTCCTTCAGCTTCTCGAGCCACCTTCCAACCAAAGCCGCCTTCCCACAGCCCTGCTCCTTCCCCATCTTGTGCCCTTTGGCCTTCATTGCTTCCTTGCCGGCTTCCTTCCCTCTCCTAGACAAGCACTTTCTTCTTATCTCGTGCTCTCCCATTCACAACACCCATCAAGAAAAAATTTATACAACGAAAAATTACAATAAAAATGTCCCAGAGGATAGGTATTCACGCCCCATCAGAAGCATGAACGTTTTGTCCTTGGTGTTTGTTTAAAAGCTTTTAAAGGACTTCACACTAGCTCAATCCCTTCTTCTGCTTTACAAGGGTGTGCAAAAACATTATTTATAACCTTTAATTAGACATCACTTCCCTATCCTAACATTCCCGAACAAAACGTTTATGTACTCTTCAACAGATATGCTTTTCACGTAACTCTTTTCCTCGTCAGGTGCTTGTCCAACAAATCTTTTCGATATTTCCTGCACCAATCTGCCTTTCTTTTCCCTACCAGGAACAAGCCTAACCTTGTACTTGTATGCAGATATCACACTCCAGGGTCCACACACAGGCATCGAGTGGACTATCTCCATCCCCGACGGGTCACTCACAAACTTATGATCCTCCTTCTCGTCAATCTTCATGTCCCCTATCTCCTCCTCAATGTCCTTCAAAACCTTGAATAGCAGCCCAAGACCATACTCAATCTTATGGCATTCCACATAGTTCTTCTTTCCCTTTATCATAAAAGATCCCTTTGTTAGGTACTCTCCTGAAGGGGCAGTCTTACTAACTTGTTCTCCATAGACATACCAGACAGGAGAAACAACATTAGCTTCCCAGCACTTTGACATGCACAATGCCATAGACGCCGCCTCTTCTATTGTCTTTGGCGTGGGTTTCTTGACAATAATACTTGAGCTTCCATGCATGTCACCATGGAAGTATAGGTCATTGGGCTCTAGATGCTTCTTGACGAGAATCTCGTTCTGCTGTGCATTCCTCCCCCCTATTACAAGCACCCCATCAGAAGAAAAAAAGAAGTGGAACTTTTCAAACCAGTAAAGGGCCCTTGTGATCTTCTTGGTCTCTACTTTCGGTGCTATCTTTTTCAGCACCTCCTCAAGACTGTCCCTCGTCTTCATAATCTTTTCTTCAAGTTTCTTGCTCTTCTGATAAAACCTGCTTACGTTGTTAAATAAGGTGACTTCAAAATCAATCTGGATCTCTTCGCCTTCTAAGACTATTGTACAAGTATGTGATATGAAGTCTGTCTTTACAATGGCCTTTGAAATCTCATTTCCCTTCCTATTCTCTTGCTCCCGGAACTTTTCAAAGTCGGTCCACTTCACCTTGTTTTTCTTGACAACCTTGAAAATGTCCAGTATTTTGTTCACAAAATCTGCATTTGCCTCTAGCAGCTCTGCCTTCTTCCTGTAGGACTCTCCTTCTTGCTCCATTTCTTTCATGTAATTCTCCTGCCTTTTCCTCACCTTATCCACTTTTGACTCCCTGTCGTTCTTTCCAAATTTCTTTCTGCTTTGGAAGAAAAACTCTGCCGCATCATTGAATGTTGGAAAGTCTCTTGCATCATCAATCTTGAAGGGAATAAGGTTCGATGGCTTGCCCTTCTCCATAATCACTCCTCCATACCCTTGGATGTCCTCGATTCTCTTTTTAAACTCTTTCATAAACTCTTCAAAGGTGTTTTTCACATCCTCCTTGATTGGAATTCCGTTCGATGCAGACTTCTTCATGTCCATAGGATTGACCCTTATCTTTACACCTAGTTCTCCCAGGACTTTCTTAACTAGAAGCTCATCCAAGGGAAGAAAGTCCCTCAAATCACTCCTGATAAAAGCATCAATGCTGAAGTCAAAGTCAACCTTGTTAAATACATATTCCGACCCTTTCACAATGTCCAAGTCTTTGACAACCCGAAATATTTCCGATATCTTCCCATCTTCCACAATCAAAATGTTTCCTCCAGAAAAGAACTCAAATACAATCTTTTGCCTTCCAAGCTCAAGAACAACAACACGATCAAATCCACATTGGTATATATCAACAACCTTGTCCCTTCGGGCCTTTCTTCGCAGAATCTTACAGAAGTGGGAAATGTCCATATCATGCTCCTGTGTCAAATGGATCCTAACCCCGGGCTCGACAAGGAGAATGTCCTTGTTACTAAACTTTATGTAGATGATTCTCTGCGACGTTGTGTAAAAGTTCTGGATGAATTTCCCCACTAGCCTGGGCCGAAGCTCATTGACCGTTGCACGGATGTCCAAAAAAGTATACCTCTGCTTCATCAGGGTTCATCTGATGTAAATATTTCTAGTATGAAGCACTGGTTTGGGATCATGCGTGAAACACTTCTTAATAACATCTTTGTTTATTTTCGCAATGGATCTAGAATCTAACCAAGCCTTGGCAGAAGAGTGGAAGACAGAGGCGGGGCTGCTCCTTTCCTCGCAACTTCTATTGGAGTACAATGCGTTCTATTTTTACACGGCATGTGCTGCTCACTTCGGTAATCCTACGGTCTGTCTCAGGGGACTGGAAAGGTTTTTCAAAGAATGTAGTCTTGAGGAAAATGAGCATGCTCAGAAGATCATCGACTTCATGAATATGAGGGGTCTAAAGATCGAGTTCCAAAGCGTAGAGGCACCAGATATCAAAAAGTACGAGAAGACAAGCGACATTCTTGAGGCTAGCAAAGAATTTGAGCAAGCGGTGCTTAAAAATATATTGACTATTTCTGAAATAGCTGCAAAGGCAGGAGATGGAACCATTGTTGAATTCCTTGAGGATTTTGTTGCCGAGCAGGTCAGATCCATTTCAAAGCTCAACGACTTGCATGTCAACTGTGTCAGATGTGGAGATAGTGGCATGGGATTGTTTGTCTTTGACCAGTCACTATTAAAGGAACATTAAAGATACTTTGAGTTTTCTTTAGATGCCTTCTACAACCCTACATATGGATGAGCTTATCTCAGAACTCAGGAGCACGCAAGCAAGGAAGGAAAGCCAAACGGGCTCTACGGTGAATGGCAATGATCTTCCTGCTAGCAGTATTGTATCAAGGGGCTTCTCTAGCGAGATGCCTCCAGACCCATTTGCTCAAGAAGGTTTTGAGAAGATTTCGGAAGACGAGGATACAAAAGACGACGTCCATGAGCTTACATCTTCACAAGTTCCTACCTCATTTCATATAATGAAGCTTGATTTCGACGTATTGTCACGGGTAAAAAAAGAAAACCAAGTCGATGCAGACATAAACAAGATAAAGGGCAGCAAAAAGTATAAGATCGAGAATTTATTTGCAGGGATTATTAAAAAGTTGAATGTGTTTGGAGCAGACACCGCCTGCTTGGAGCTTGTGGACGAAAGCGGATCAATATGTGGGTCTTGTCCTTTGAGCGTGGTAGATGAGTTTGGATTAAAAGTAGGGACAATTGTGTTGTTGTCCAAATGCTCCCTATGGAAGATCAATGGAAACCACTTGAACATAGTAGCGTCAAACATAAACAAAGTCATATGAATATCAATATTATACTATTTTCACAGACCAAAGAAGTCAAGGATGTTGTTTTTTCTTTTTCCTAAGATGTTATTTCCATCATCCATGACATCAAAGTCTATTTCCACATATACTGGACAGTGATCGCTACCATAGATCTCAGGCTGTATGTTACAATCTTTAAATCTATGAGAAAATCCAGATGGAATAAGGATATAATCTATTCTTGTGCCCAAGTTGTGAGGACGCATGTTGAGCATTGTGTTCCAGCACGTATAAGACTCAGGCTTCTTGTGCAGAATCCTGTAGGCGTCCACATGCTTTCCGCCATCTATTAAACTCTTCAGCCATTTCCTTTGTTGCACTTCGAAAAGGTATGCCTCCAATGCATCCTCGGTGTAAAACTCGTAGGGAAGCTCGGTTTTGGACACAAATTTCTTTGCCTTTCTCCCTATTTCATGTATCTCTTCTTTCTTCGATATATGCCTTCTCTTACTCTGTATGCGCAGAAGTTCGTTATAGAACTGATAATGATCAATGATTGAGTAGACTGCATTGAAATCTCCACAGATAATTGCATCCTCATGCACCCTAATAAATGCACCAATTTCATCGTAGAACCTGATCACTTCAGACTTGTCCTTCTCAGACCTCTCGTCAAAAAAGGGAAAGTAAAGGTTTAGAATCTTGAACTCTCCGTGGTCAGTCAATAGAGACCTTCCCTCTTCCGAAAATGGCGAATGAATAACTCCCCTACAATACAGTTTCTTCGATACCACTGTCGAGACACCAGACCTTCCGCTACTCCTCTTGTTTACGCTTGTGAATGTGACATAGTCCCTAAGGGAGTGGAACTCTCCTAGTGCATTTTCATTTCCCCTTGTTTCTTGAACGCACAAGATATCTGCTCGGAGGATGTCCTTCACATATTCGTTGAATCTCATTTTATAGCTTTTCATTACATATTTACTGAAAGAACGCATGCCGTTGACGTTGAACGACGTTATCCTCATAGGTCCGAAACAAAAAAGCTGATGGGCACATAAATATCATGGATTTAATAATCATCGGCTCTAGGAATCCTTCTTCTACTCCTCTTCTTCACAAGAGTACTCCCCAAGAACTTTAAAGATCTTGGCTGTAACATTGTTGGCTGCCTGGTAATCAAAGGTAGCGATCAACTTGAGAATCCCACAGAAAGACGTTACTAGCATCCCTCTTTTGCGCCCCCTTTCATCCCCATCCACGCTGATGAATATTAGCGAGGGTTGTGCATCATCATTGATCGACCTCATGAAAATATATTTCTGGCTGTTGTACTCGATGTTTTTTACCTGAATATTCTCTGTGCACTCATCCAAGTCTCTCACACTCATAGAGCACTTTCCATTGGTTTCATGTGTGTGATTTACGTCATTGAAATTCGTGAGCTGTAGGGATAGAACATCTTCTTCTAAGTCCTTCACTAGACTATCAAACACTTCTTCATACTCCATATTCGTTCCTTTTCCTTCATAAATCATCCCACCCATTTTGGGGCCTTGAACAAATTCCTTGATTTTTGTTTGTACCCTAATGAAGTGTTTTCTTCTTTTCGTAGCATTGGTGACAGCAATTACAGATGACCTGAACTCGACACTGATGGCGATCAAAAGACTCCATGAAAAAACAAACTACAGTACCTTCTACGAAGTTTTTGGTGTCTCAGAAAATGCCTCCATCACAAGCATAAAGAAGCTATACCAAAAGATGATGAAGCTCCCAAGCCCCATCTCAGGAATTGAGAAAAGAGAGGATGCCGTTGCACTCTTGACAGAGGCTTACAACATCTTGAAAAATAAGAAGTCTGCATACGATTTTATACTTTCAAACTCATATATCTATATTGGGGGCAAGGATAACTTCAGAAACAATCTTTATGTAATTCTAATGTCCATAGTTGCTGGACTGTTGGCAATTGACTTGATACACTTTGGTATCAGATACCTGGCTTTCATGGCCAGCCCTAAGAAGACTCCAAGAAAGAAGGGGCCCAAGGATACTAAGGAATCCGCGCCGTCTATGATGATTGTAAGTATTCTCCGCTCTATTAAGTCTTTGATTAAAAAGTAATGTTCTCTTGCCGTTTCGGACTGCGCTTCTGAGATTGCTGTGTTCAGAACTTGCTCCTATTTTTTATGGGAGGATATGTATCACATGATGACTACGTCTCTATATCCCCTCGCTATCATATCTGCATGGAATCCCGCTCTCCCCATTATGGATGGACATATCCTCCTCGCCATAACAGTAAGGAACGTTTTGTCCTTCAGACTTAAGCAGAATCCTTCCTGCCCTGCCAACAAGATCAATTTCTGTGCAATCGCTTTTGGGCTCTGGCTCGATAGAAAATGAATTTTTGTCGAATCTTTTCCACTCTCCGGAAAACGCATATTCGACCTCAAAGGGAGTCACAATAGGAATGTGCAGCTCAAGGTTGCATTCAAAGAGCGGGCAATCCACAATCACAATGCACTCAGTCCCCTCTATGGTTATCATTCTTTCATAGGAAAGGTCTTTTAGAAACAGGAGATATGCGTTCTTGCGCCTAGAAATAAGTGCCTTTCTAATAGTCCTTGCTAACTCCTCATAGACTCTCGATGTAAATATTATTGCAAATATCTGAAGATCCTGGATCATCCTTCCCTTGTTGCATTTCGACGAAAGGTACTGCATTCTATCTCGCTTTTCCAGCTCATAGAAAGATTTTGCATCGTATTTGTAGAAATAGTAGTCGTAGAACATTTGGCTCTTTGTTACCACGAAGGTGTTGCTATCTATCTCATCCTCGCTCTTTGAGGAATATCCTCCGTAGACCGAGTCACATACTATGTTTTCCTGCTTTCCTTCCAGGCGGTTCATGTCTTCTTGAGACATACAGCATGAGATGCTTATAAAGTCTTCGAAAGGATGAAGAGGACAGCAAACTCCAAGAAGAACAAAAAACTCAAAGGATTTGGTCTTCAGAGGACAAAGAATACCCTCTCCGTTGAGTAGAAATGTATCTACATGCGGGTGTCTTCCTTTTATATGGTCATAGACATCCCTCAGCATGTGCTTGTACTCCTCAGTGGATAACAGGCCTACTTCGGTTTTTCCTCTAAGTTTTTCATCGAGAAGGCCAAAGTCCATTGTGGGGAGGCTTCTTTCAGAAAATATCCTCCTTGGGCTTCTCTTGTGAGGTCATTCTATTTCTGATGGTCGAAAATGCAAAGGACAGGACGTATAGAAAGTTGAAAAGCATCTGAGCTGTCCCCACCTCCCAATAGACGAATGCATATATTATCACCTCAACGGCATAGTGCGAATATTGAAATGTCTTTCGAACAAAGACAAAGTAATGGGAAAGCAACTGAAGGGCGTTGAGAAGCACAAAGATACCTTTGCTTCTAATGGCTTTGTCCCTGAGATGTATACAGATAAATGTATAATATACCATTCCATGGGCGAACTGAAGAAGGCTCATCCTACTTCTGCTGGAATATCTAAGAACCTTGGTTTCTATGAATCGGCGTCCAAGATGAAAAGGATAGATGTTTTTGATTGGCAGTAAGAACGACAGGATAATCCCATATGCATAGAAATACTGGTAGTTGTTTTTTGAAATCCCCTTTGGTATATGGCCATGTCTCGTCAGGCTGTTTGCAAATATGTACGAAGCTAGAGTTACCACTGGTAGCAGAGCAAAATACGAAGTCTCAATCAATGCAAACATCAGGGATCCAAACACTTTCCAAAATTGCTCAAAAACAACAGTTTATTATTGATCTCCACACACCTATCCATATTTATTCTGCTATTTATAGTTCAGAAAGAAAATAAGACCGGCGTCAACTCTAGCGTAGATATCATTATATGCCTTCTTCATGTAGTACATAGACATAAATCCAAAGAGAACCTTGTCTAGTGCAAAGTCAAACTGATTCAATCTCCAGAATGTAAACATGTAGTTGAATATGGAAAAGAAGCTTATCTTAGAAAAGACTTGGTAGAGCAGAACCATAATAAAGAGATATATAAACCCATTCGTCTCCACAAACTTATATTCTAGAGGAGATTGCTTCTGGAAGAAAACATATTCAAGGCCCCTTCCCATCTCGATATCTACAAGTGCATGGACATCCGTGAAAAAGAAGTCTCTTATTATTATGACGAATGCGTCGACTAATGACTTAAACAGAATGGTTGACACCAGATACATTAGAAGCAAGATGCTAACTGTTACAAGTGAAACCACAACTCTATGCGGTACTATCTCATTGTCCAGCCTGTAGAACGAAGAGCACTGCTCACATTTTCTTATATCCTTAATTCTTTTGCCTCTGTATCTCCACATTTTTAGGCATGCGCTGTGGACGAGACCTATGGATCCTTTGCAGTTACAAGGAGAGATCAAATCATCTTTCATGTTTATTGGATTTGTCAACGAGTAGCAAATCTTACAAAATCTAGAATCCTCTGCCATATTTCTAGGCACTGTTATGGACAAGCTGATGCCATCTTGCTCTTTTTTAGCTTGGAAGCCATCGCCGCATTCCACGCCCTCCATGCACAGTTCCTTGCTCGGTATTATATCTTCTTATCCACCACCAATAAAAGCCCTCTCTCCTTTTGCCTGGCAAATAGGCGGATAAAAAAAGTCACTTGCTGATCAATCATATTTCTGGGAAGATGGCTTTGATAAAAGACTTTAAATAAAAATGTGTGACTCCATGGCACATGGACCCATCAAGGCCATGTTTCCTTGGAGCTCTTTTTATACCTCCAAATGGCAGAGATAGGAACCGTCCTTACTCCGTAGCTTTGGAGGGGGCTATCATTTTTGTGTTTTCAAATACTCAATAAAAGTTACATTGAAAATTTTACTCCAGCCTGTATCTTGAAAGTACATCGTCTTTTGAAGGGATGCTTGTTATTTTTTCAGTTGCAAAGTAATCGTCTTCGAAGAAAAGCCCGCTTGCTTTGTCTATCTCAATCTGAAGGCTTAAGACTGTGTCCGGGTTGTCATAATCCAAGATCTCATAGGCTAGTAGCCCCTGGTTCTGAACAAACGAAGCCATCTCATCATGTATCTTCTTTTTCTTCCCCACCTTCTCCAGGCATTCTAGCGATGCAACGTCTTCCAAAGGGTACCCCAGATCAAGCTTTCTCCAGCTATCACACTTGCTAATCACATTAATCTGAGCCGACTCAAGGAGGCATAGGCATAGTGTGGAAATCAAATATGACGAAATCAATGAGTGGTCGTTCGAGAAAAATACAAGATCAACAAGATTGACGATGACCACCGAATATCCATTACTCTTGAGATATCTGATTATATTGTTGGGAACGTCGCTGGACATAAAGAATTCCACTTGTCCTGGAAAGTCAAACAGAATATAGTGGTCCGTTCCCTCAATATTCTCCTGAAAGAACTCGTCCATTCTTGCAGAGAATTCTTCTAGAATGCATTTTGTAGACATGTTGGGTCCAACATTATGCTTTTCCTGATACATCAAGGACGGAGAGATTGAGCATATTGAATAATCGAACTCCCTGTCATTGCAGTTGCCAGGATCAAGATTCACTGTGTATGGGCTTCTATGTGCAAGCCACTCCTTCTTGCACATGACATAGGTAGACTTTCCACTTCCGGGTGGCCCTATAATGACTTCTGCATACTTCATACTCTGTGCTCAAGGGATCTACTTAAAAAGAATAGAATAAAGACATTATAAGAAAGCAGCCTCATCCAGGGCTCAGAAGCCCATGAGGCCTGCAGGCCTCCTGCAGGGAAGCCGAAACGCAAGCGCTCAAACTTCTCTGCACTAGCCTGCCAGCCCAAAAATTCAAGAACTTATCCTTGCGGATAATGCCAGTTCTTACACTGACAAGAACAGATACTACACTTGATCAAAGCCGATTGGCTTGAGAGGTGGGGCTCGTGTAAAAAAACATATTTATAGAAAACAGATTTATTTGTTCCAAATGGAGCAATGCGATTGGACAACGGCTTGAAACATTGTGAAGAAAAACCTGTCCAAAACAAAATACACTCAAGAAACCATGAACAGAATTAAAGTGCTAGGACTGGTACTCATGTACTATGTTCTGTCGCTAAGTCTGGGATATCTGACTTCGTTTCTGCTTTCCAGGAAGACATATAATTTCAGCTTTCCTTTGTTCAAGGCATCGATACAGAATCTGATTCACTTCCTTGGTGCATCCACAGTGCTAAGGCTACAGAAGGAAAAAGCTCCAAAGCCCAACTACTTTGGACCATCTTTTCCATGTGCGATTGCAGGTGCAACGGACATAGGACTTTCGTCGATATCCCTGAGGTTCACAACCCTTGCATTCTATACAATGGTGAAGTCCTCATCCCCGGTATTCATCCTTCTGTTTGGATTTGCACTTGGAATTGAGAATCCATCGATAACGTTTTTCCTGACTATCTTCACCATAGGCGTGGGTGTGTTTCTCACATCGATAAAGAACACAAGCTTTGACATTGTCGGCTTTGGAACAATCTCACTTGCCTCTCTGATGGCGGGATTTAGATGGGCGTTTGTCCAGTACCTCATTAGGAACCAGGAGGCTAGAAAAGAGGGGGTTTTTGTCACCATGAGAGATCTCTGCCTCCCCATATCGTTCCTCCTTCTTCTCATCTCTTTGCATGTCGAGGGACTCATGGAGATAGCAACCTCAAGGTTTTTCAACACGTTCGATGCTGCTATGAGGAACTTTGGATACATTTCGCTCTGCGGTGCCCTGTCGTTCATGCTGCTGTGTGCAGAGTTTTCGCTTGTTTCAGAAACGGGGGTTGTGTTCCTGAGTGTTGCTGGGATTGTCAAGGAGCTGATTATTATTTTCTATGCGATAATAACAAAGGACATTGTTCTGAGCAGCCTAAACTATGCTGGGCTGGGCATAAGTGTTGCGGGCATATTAATATACAATCTCAGTAGGAAGCCGCTTTCCTCGCACTGAGACCTCTCTGATAGATGTTTATTTAAATAAAGTTTTGAGTAAAGGATACTTTCCGGGTTCCAAAACAAGCGGTGGTATCTAAAAAACATTGCGAACCAAGGGCCCATGGATGGTGAGTCCAAAAGCAGAAAGCTTAAGGAAGCCGAAAGACTAAGAACAAAGGCAACATTTCCGTTCAGTCTGTTTTCGTCGCCAGACTATGATGCATCTGCAGAGATATTTATGGAAGTAGGAAACATGGAGGAGGATATATCTGGGAAGGTGGGGTACTATGAGGAGGCAGCAAGAACATATGAGATGGGAGATGGGGAGTATGGGAGATATCAGGCATCGCAGGTATATGAAAGGATAGCACAGATGTGCGAGGACGAGTATCCCGAGAAGTCTATTGCGGCATACAAGAGGTCTGGGATGTATTCCAAGCAATGTGGACGGGAAAGCCTAGCAGCCATAAGCTTTCAAAAGGCATCTGAGATGCTGAGAAAGCAAGGGGATCTCGATGGATGCTTAGAATGTTTACAGAAGGTTGCCGAATGCTACTGCGGAAGCAACTGGAAGCACCATAAAAGAAAGGCAATGAGGGATATTGCAGATGTATATATAGATCTCGGAAGGTACGGGCTAGCAGCTAAGATATTCCTGGGCTTTAAGGAAAATATATATACCTTCTGTGCATTTCTTTGCCATACGATCGAGGGATCACCTTTAGATCTTGATGTTAGTGGAGACGAAAAGGAAGTATGCGATGCACTTGAAAGAGATTTCAACGAGGCTCATAAAACGATAGAAGAATATATCACAACACATGCAATGATTTCTGAGGTAAGGAAGCTGCTTGGGATTGTCAAGGAGAAGCTCAAGCCCGAGAACGATATTCTGTAGTTGTAGGATGTCTGGATCTATTAAACGAGTTGTGTGTAAGGTAGCTATGGTGTGTTTCTTGCAGATGCTGTGCGCTGTTCCTATTAAATTTTTATAAGCTATTCTTCTACCCCCATCATTATAATGGTAACTGAGAAGAGCAAAAAGCCAAAGAGTAAAACAGCGGTAAAAAGACGCAAGGATCCAAATGCACCGAAGAAGCCCATGTCTGGGTATTTCATTTTTGGGCAAGAGCAAAGAAAAAAGAATGAGGAACTGAGTAAACTCCCTGTTGCAGAGCAAGGAAGAGCTATTTCTGAGATGTGGAAGAAGCTAACTGATGAAGAAAGAGAAGAATACAATAAGATATCGAATAAAGAGAGAGAATTGTACCAAGCAAAGGTTGAGGAGTATAAGAAAAGTGCAGAGTACCATGAGTATCTTGAAAAGGTTGCGGCTGATGAGGAGGCAGCAGGAAAGAAGAAAAAGGGAGTCAAAAAAGTAACTGGATACAATGAGTTCTTCAAGGCTGTACGCAAAGCTGTTTCTGAGGAGAATCCGAACTTCACGATGATGGAGACCACATCTGCAGTTGCAAAGAGGTGGAAGGAGCTTAGTGATGACGAGAAGGCGGTGTATAACAAGATCGCTGAAGAAAAGAATGTGAAGGCAGGCCTGGTTGGAAGGTAAGTATTAAATGAATTCTATTTACTAGGCTTTGTATTTGTACTTTTTGTGCAGTATTTTTCGATGTTATATGCCCCCTAAGATAGGTATGAAAGGAGAACCGGATGATTTGTATGAAATGCCTACAAAGCAGAGATCCCCCTACTCAGTTTTTGCCAGAGAGTTTTTCCGAGACAATAGGAACGAGTATCCGAATTGTGTGGATCTTGCGAAAGCTCTTGTGAAGGTATGGAATGAAATGGAGGACGAAGAGAAAAGTATATATGCAGAGAGGTGCGATAGGGGCTTATCGGACACTAGAGGGCTAGAAGGGGATGAAGGCAACATGTCTTGCGATAAGAATACCATAAGCAAGCTAAAAAGGTATGTCAAAGCAGAATGTCCGTACAAGTGGGAGTATTCCGGATATCTCTTCTTTGTAAACGAAATATTCGATATATGTGGCGACATGACAGTGTCTCCCGAAGAGAATGTGTGCATGTTTGCAGAGATGTGGGATTCACTAGACGATGAGACACAGAATAAATACAGAAATAAGGCTCTGAATTCATTGGCGGCAGAGAAGACAAGGAAAAAGTGCACAAGTGAGCCAGAGAGAAAAAATGCAACGAAAGGCACACGACCCCAGAGGGATTCGAACCCTCAACCTTCGGCTCCGTAGGCCGACACTCTAACCATTGAGCTATGAGGCCTCTAGTTTCAAGGCCCAAAATCCAATTCTCCCCAGGTTTCTGTTCGTGCTTAGAATCAGAAGTACGTTCACAGTTAAAATTACCAACAAAGCCCGTTTATTTTTTATTTGTTTGTATTGTCTTTTTCCTCATTGTTTTTCTCTTCATCATAGAAAAGGAAAACTTTTCCTTTCTTTCCCTAATATAATCGTCCTTTGCCACACCAAATGCAGATGAATGGATTCTAGAGTCTTTACGAGCATAGGGTATGAACTCCTGATCTCTGTACTCTTTGTTCTCCGGCCTCTCCTTTTCTCTTTCGCACAGGGCCTTCTTACTATTCATCTCCTTCAACTTATCAAGAAGCGTCTCTCTATGCTCAAACATAGAGTGTGTCTTGAACATCTTTATCTTGTCTTTATACTCTCCAGGAACACTGACTTTTCTTCTGAACTCAAGGCATTTTTGGTGTCCTCTGCTTGCAACCGATCTTAGATGTTCAAATTCATCAAGGTTATAGACATCCAGGTATTCCTGAGGAATTGTCCCTATCTCCACGTTCGGGAGGTATGTCTCTTGAATATTAAAAAAATGGAAAACATCTGTGTAAGTAACGAAGCTGTACTGAACACCCATTCCTCGAACACGTCCAACTCTGTGCAAGAACGTTCTTTCATCGCACAGATCATAGTTCACAACAGTGTCGAGGCATGGAATATCTAGCCCCCGTGCTGCAACATCGGTCACAACAAGAATCCCGGCACTCGAGGTGTTGAAGTCTCTGAAGTTGGCTCTCCTTGCTTCGTCATCCATTGAAGAGTAAATCCCACACGACTCAAAATTGTTTTTGTTAAGAATCTCTAGAAGAAGTTCAACAGCATATTTCGTTGCAACAAACACAATCGTCTTTTTTGTCTTGTCCAATATTCGGAGCAGAGCTGCCTCCTTGCTCTCGCTTGGGATATAAAAGAAGAAGTGCTTGACCGTTTCATTAATCTTCGCTTCGATCTCAACCACTTTCATGTTCAACGGATGGTCCGGAAGCGTTGCGCTAAAGAATATCTTCTGGCATGCCAGCTCCTCACTTATCTTGTCAAACACAGCCCTAAGGCTAGGCTCTTCAAGAATCCTATCTATTTCATCTACCACTAGAAGATCAACACTCGTGCTTTGGATATTTCCTGGAGTGTTTATCTCAATCAATTTCCACACATCCTCCATCCCTCTAGACAGCTTCTTTAGTACCCTCCGAACCTGCGTGGCAAGCTCCTTCGTAGGGACCATTACTAACGTTCTTTCCCCCTCAACAGCCCGCTGCACAGCAGGAATCAGATAACACAATGTCTTTCCACTCCCAGTTCTCCCAACACCCACCAAACTTCTTCTCTCAAGGACTAATGGAATCGTCTTTCTTTGGATCGGCGTTGGGTTTTCATAAGAAATGTTTCGAAGAAGCCGGTAGTCCAGCCCCATGGTCTTGAAGGATCCACCCTTGATCTTGATACTCTTTTCCATGGGCGAAATAGAGCACAGATAAAAATACCCTCAGTGAGCCCAGAATGATCTTCTGTGAAACATGCGGCTCTCCCCTAGAAATTATAGAGAACGATTACATATGCTCAGAAGGTCACACCATCAAAAACAGAGTAGAACTCTTGGATGAAGGCGTCTCAACCCTCCTTGATGGCTCATCTAGCAGGGTAAAGCCCAAAAGGCTTCTGTTCAAAAAATACGGCCAAGACTACATGGAATTGCTAGGCTTCTATATATTGTTCAACGACATTGGGGAGCATCTGCACGTCAAATCCCTCAAGTATTTCAACATCTTTGTCGACTTCATCAAAGAGGGCCCCCACAAGACTCTCTCGAAGTCCCTGCTGACATTTACGACACTCAGGGCACTGACATACTACTCAAAGAGGATAGAAATGGAGGCAGAGGGGAAGACATACCTGTACATGGACTATTATAAGGACATGATGACATATCCTTATGAAGAAAGGAAAAATGCGAAACTTGCCGATTTGGGCATAACGAATTCAAACATTCTCCCTATACGCTTCGAAAGCACGGGAATGGTCCCTGTGTATAGAATACTTAGATTTTTTGGAGAAAGGAACGTCAAGCTTCAAAAGAACCGTAGCTACGGCCGCTTTGTGACATTTTACGGAGAAACCGGCGTTCTTGATAAAGAAGCCGAAAACAGAAAGGCCTGCTTCAGAGAGGACCTTAGAAGGGATTACGAAATGTTCTTCAAATACCTCCAAAGAATCTGCGATATCTTTATGCTAGAGATCACAGAGGACCTCGAAAAAAAGTTCAAAGGCTTCTTCTACATGCTTGACTTTACCAACACCATTTATATCCCTGAAGTAGAAGTATCCATGTTTCTTTACATCTATATCATGAATCACAAAAAAGACTTTAATGTGTTGAGGGCCATAAGAAACCTTGACGAGATACTGCGTGAGCCTTACTGCACTCTCCCAGAAGAAATCGGACATGCAAAATCCGAAAACTTCTGTGGCAAGGAGGAAAGACTCCAATCCCATCTCAAAACTCTAATATCGAAAGTTACGTGGTTTTGCAGCGCAGAGATCGAGCGGAAACTCAAAAGCCTTAAAAGATTATTTAGCTGCTGTAAAACACCGGGATCGCTGGGCAATTACTGGAAAAGTATTCACAATAGGCACAAGCTACTTTTTAGTCGCAATGTCTGGTATATGAAGAAGCTAATCGTTCTAAGGAGAATGAAATCTATCGATGAAAACTTTTAAATAATATAAACTATATACTTACTCTATTCAGTACAGAGTTTCCAATAACCTCTCTTAAGGCCATTGTAGCATAGCATGAGCTATTAAGCGAAAACCTGACCACGATTCCATCCTTGATTTCATTTACTGTGATGTCTTCAGCTCTTTCTACCATCTTTCTACATCCACCTTTCAGCATTTTGTTATCGAACTTCTCCAATGGTAGAACAACATCGAATATGCTGAACTCAAGAGGATCCTCCACAACCTTTATTTCTCCGCCCACACAGACCATGTCTCCTTTAACGACATCTCCTCCAAGCTCCATCCGGCTGTTGATTGCTTCATTGAATTTTAGACTTTGATAGGAGTGCAAATATAGCATGCGAAGCTCTCTGCGCAGCCCATAGACCATATCTTTTCCTTTCATCCCCTTGGATTTACACTTCAGAATGTACTTCTCTGTACTATCACCAAGACCCATGCCTTCTTCATACTTACCTCCTACATAGAATTCGTGGCACTTTCCTGCTTTCATAATCTTGTCTATAGCCTCTTCATATCTTTTTGTCAGAATATCGTATCCTATCTCGTGATTTCTGAGCTTGTTGCCGAACCTCTGCTGCCCAAAATAGTTAAGAAATCCTCTTTCCAAATTCTTTACTAGCTCCTTATCTTTGAATCCCTTCAATGCTATGCTGAATCTATTTCCCTTCAAATCCCCCAGCTTCCTTGTAGCAGACTTTTTGATATCAAAAATCTTTATCGACGACTTCACCCTTTCCCATCCAGTCAGATCTCCTTTCCTGGCCCTTTCTTCTTTCTCTTTCACTTCATGTTCATCCCCAAACCCTTTCTTCCATTCGTCTGCACTAATCCCTACAGTCATAAGAATCTCTTGCTCTGCCATCCTATTCTCATTCTCAATACTTTCTTTAGTGTACCCTTCTGCAATAAAATCTTCCCACGAGAAGCAGTCCACTTCCCTGTTCAACTCTACCGCGAGCTTGTAGAGCTTCATAAACGAGCATCGAACAGTAACCTCCTGGAACGTCACTGCCCTCTTATCTTTATTTCCTGCAAACTGAAATGCACTTTCAGGCACTCCAAGCCTCCTACAGATCCATTTCCCTGCGTCAATCGTATTGAACATAACCTTTTGCAGAACAAACGAATAAACACCCACATCATTGTTCTCAAGCCGTATCTTCCCCTCAATTGTCTTTGCCTTTACAAAGGGATAATACTTCAGCTTCTTGTGTATTATCGTGCGATACTCCTTCTCTTCACTACTCAACCCCTCAGAACATCCCGCCACCTCTTTTCCATCTAGAAACTTCTTGTAGTCGACAATAGGGTACACTCCACACACTCTCGAATCAGTTATCTCCTGGACTACAAAGTCGAATGCTTCCTGCTTTAGTATGCACTCTGCATCCTTAACATGCTTGTTAAAAAACCTCTTAACTCCTATACTCGCAAAGTCGTCCATTGCACAAGGGACATATTAAATCCGCCCAAAAAGAAAAACAAGACAACATTCCGAGACTTTATTCAACTCATCTTCTTCTCTTTCTATACTCCCTCATCTCCTCAGCCTTTCTCCTTAACTCCTCCTTCCTCTTCTTCTCCTCTTCCTTTTTTTCATCATACATCTTCATGAGTCTTTGGTCCACGACTCTCAGCTTCTCCGCCTCCTCAAAACGGCTTTGTTCAACAAGAAGCTCAAATAGTTTTTCTTTGGCACCAGGTATCCCGGCATCCACACACAATCTATATCCGTCAACCTCATTAACAATTCTGCAAAGTTTTTCAAGCATCTGGCGCGAGTATCTCATCGAGGAGATCTTCGAAAAAACATCCATGGCCTCTCTATATCTTTTACAAAGAATCAGAGTGTTCCCAAGATTCACATATCCACCCACCCAGTCAATTGTCACGTTATTAAAAATGTTGATAGCCTCTTCAAGCCTCCCCTTTAGCGCAAGACATATCCCAATTCCATTTCCGCAATAGTAGGACCTCATCCCTTTTGCAAATGCTTTCATTGCCTTTCCCAATGCAGAGCTATCCCTGTCTTTACAAAAACTTCTAATGTATATGTTTCCAAGCCCAATACTGCTGTACAACGTGTCCAATTTCTGGAATATCTTCTTTGCTAGCTTAAACTCTTTTCTTCTCATGTGGTAGAATCCTAATAACTCGAGTTCGTTAGGAATAGAGGACGCCTCTTCCCCTTCAACCGACAGAAGTCTCCTTGATTCTTCTAATGACAGCTCCGCCAGTAACCCTCTATCCTCCGTTACATATCCAAGATTGTATCTTATAACCTCCTTGTATTCATCAGGACACTCATCCAGTGCCCTTCTCAGGTACTTCTCTGCCTCTTTTACTCTATCCTCAATCATCTCCCCATCAACTAAGCACTTGTTATCTTCTCTATCTATGCCAATCGATCCAATAAGAAACCTATCGTTCCCTTCCTGTCTTTCCTCATACTCTTCAAATGGTCTCAAGTATCTGCATAAAGAGTATCCTATATTATTCATAACTACAAAGTTTTCGATCCATGGATTCCCTATAAGCCTCATGTATCTTCTTACCAAAGTATCTACTCTTTTTGTATTCTCTCCAAGTACAGCCAGGACTGCATTTCGAAAGTCCTCACTGCATCCTTCCAGATTCATATCGGTAGATTTGTTTTTGAGATCAAGATAGGCCTTGAAGTCGGAAAACTCACTGCATCTATAGCTTCCATTCCCCATCTTATCCTGAACTATTCTCTGAAGATTGTACTCACTTTTAATGAAATTCCTGTCACATCCAAGGCTTTCCATGTAATACTTCTTGGCAGCCTCAAAGTCCCTTTTCTTGTGCTCTATCTTTCCTCTTAGATATAAAATTTCTGCATTATTCGGCATGGTTTCCATCATCTCGTGTGCCCTTGGAAACTCTTCTCTATCTACAAGCTCTCCCACTAGCCTCATCTTCACGTCAATATTCCCCTCGTCTTCATATTCATCCCCAAGCCCAAGTCCAAACAGAAGGTCTTTCTTGTTTGCATCCCTAAATAATCGTTCAATCTCTCCAAGCTCTTCATTATCTCTAGCCTCCTTTAGAAGGCAATATCCCCTCAAAACTTTGCTATCAAACTTCTTGGCCTCCCCAATGTTTCCAAGATAGTAGTTGCATATTTGGATTCCAAGAGCAAACCTCGCTTTTCCAAAGAGAAACAATGCACTGTCATAGCTCTTCTTCTTCAAAGAGACAAATCCTTTGAGAATATCAAGCATAGGAGACTCATAGAACTCCATCCTCTGCACTACATCGATTCCATCCATCCCGGCCTGAAGCCTGCATGCAAGAAGAAGTAGGAGGGTGTTGTAGTCTTTGTCATCAACTCTACTCAGTTGCTCAAGTATTTTCATGGCAAGCTTGGGATGCCTTCTGTATCCGTGTGCTATCTTGTATTGTACCAGTGCAGGGACATCCCCAGCCTCCAGAGCCTTTAATAGCTCATCAAACTTCAGGCCCAGAGGAGGATTCTCGGCATCAAAGCTAATACTTTCATCGTCTCCAGTAGAAATTTTAATAACCATTTTAAGGGCAGGCCAAAATCCCTTGTGTTAACAGCTACCTGAGCCATAGTCCTTCCTCAAGAGTTTGTCAAGAAAGCTCAGTCCATCCTTTACAAACTCCTTACCTTCGGCAATTATCTCTCTATAATCGCTGCATAGCTCCACATCTGCCTCCTCCGAGTCTACAAGTCGGATAATCCTCTTTCTGCAGTCATCAATCTCTCTCTTCAGCTCCTCCATTTTGTCATAAACATCACTTAGTCCTGCATCCCTCTGGATAACGCCTATCGATGTGAAGTAAAGAAACAGAAGGTGGTTTACCTCGTTCTGCAAGTCTGTTATCTTCATGCAGTTCTGGGGGATGCAGCTAGCACCTTTCCTTCGGTTAAATCACTACAAAATTTTGCCCTAAAAATGGTAAGTGAATATCTCCTTGGCTAACTTTAGAGGACAGTAAAACTGGGAAGAATTGTGGCACCTGCACTGAAAGAAAAAAGGCATACATATGGCATAATTGTCGGCATCATTGATGCAACTTTTGTGCTTATTCAAAGAAAGGATGGAGAGAGGGAGATGTGCTCTATATCCAATCTTCACCTTGATGAAAAATCATTTGACATCAAGGGCCTTAGCGCAGAGGAGATAGGAAAGCTCATTCCCGAATCCACTCATACGGAAGACACAACCAATGATTTTGACAGGTTCAAGATGAATCTTAGGAAGAAAGTTGAGGAGTCACTTCTGAAAGAGAAAGGGCTGATATGATTAAACATCTTTACCGTTTCTATTGGGCGCCTCTGTTCGAATGGGCAATGGCCTTTTGCCCATTGCTATTCTTCTTAAAGCATCTGCTTTCGATGAAGAGTAGAAGCTCCGAAATGTCCCTTTTTCCATTGGCTGGATCCTTGAAGATGAATGGGAAAATGTCCTTGGGCTTTTTGAGTGTTTTGGAGTCGAGGTAATTGCTTAGCGCCTGCATGACCCTGTAAAGTGTTGTGTGTGCGTCATGTGTACTGGCTATTTCTTTTGCCTCCTTGCTGTGTTCTTCGTCTAGTAGAACCATCCACTTCTCGTGAATTTTACGCTTTACTAGTTTGAAAGCTGTGTATCTAGGGCCTTTAAATACCGCACATGTAAATTCTAGAGCAGCTGTGGGAAACACATAAAGATGTGGGATTCTAAGCTCTTTAATCCTTTCTAGCTCTAGAAGCATATATACCTTCTCCTCCTCCCCAGGCATCATTGCTTATAAACAAAACAACATTTTGACTGTACGCTTTCTTTTTCGAGGAATGAAGCTTCGGAATGAGCTCATGCCTTACTGGTTACAGGTGAAGTCTCAAGATCCTATTTGTAGGAAATGAAACAGAAGACCTAAAACATTTAAAAGAAAATGATGGATAGAAAAGGAGACAGGATGGAAGACGACCACAATGGCAAGCCTATAGAAATTCCATCGAGGGGACGGCCTCGCAAACGGGATGTGGAATCCTTTCTACACCTTACCCAGTCTCAAAATGATTTTGGAAACAAAAGCAAGTATGGGCATCATCAGTTTATAAATCAGGGCGATCAAGCATCTCTAAGTGAGTTTCAAAGGCTACAAAACTCCATATCTAGTGAATATCACCAGAGAGACATCGCCAACGGCTCTCCAAATAGCCTAACCAGCTTTCTCGAATTCAATAGGCCGTTTTCCAGAACGAAAGATTTTTCTTCTAACGAAGTTTGTAGTACCGGAATTGGCCCGAGCGGTGTGCAAAATGTACAGGGAATAGAGACCTACGGGTCCAATGAATTAGGTCACATTGAAGACATTGCGGGAAGTCCCATCGACAAGGACTCCTCGTACTCCAATAGAAGAAGTGCAGGTGAGCAGAACGTCACAAAGCGCCCATCCTTTCTTCAGGAATTCAAGACGGAGGCTTGCAGTCCTCAAGATGGTAATTTTTCAGAAATGAGCAGAAGACTCTTCCGAGAAGACATGTTCAGTAGTCCCGCGCAGCCTGGTCCACATGCCTCATGGGGGTTTCAGCAGGACTTCACTAAGGCCAAAGAAGACTACGACAGGCATGAGTCTCTGAAGAAAAGTATTCAAGAAGGAAGACCCCATGAGGATTCAACACATACCCTGTATCCTGAAGGACAGGGAATCGAAGAGCTCAACCAGAGATTTCGTAATGGGCACTTTCAAATGAGGATGGGGGTTGATCCCTACTATGAGGGGTCTCCCGGAAACGAGCGCCACTCTTTTTACGAAAGAAGAGCAAGTCCCTATGCGCCCAACGAAATTTCTAGAATACACATTCCAGAAGGGCATAGAAGCTACCCATATGCCGGCGGCGGATTTCCTTCATCTCAGATGTTCATCGATCGCGAATTTAATCAAGAGCAGGCTTCCCATGTAAATAATCAGAAAGTGCCTGGAAACACGGAAGGAATAGACTATGATAGAAGGATGATGGCTTCGTTATTCCCGGGAGGGCCTACCTTTAGGACACACTTTCAGCAGAGATACATGGACACACCAGCACAAGGTAATATATGGATGAATAGAAAGAAAAGAAAAAGCAATCCTCTTTTGTGGCAGTATATAAAAAGCAATCAAGGAATACACCCTGGAATTGTCCATCCATCAAAATATTCAAGCCTAGACTTTATTCAGGGCGTAGATGACAGTCAGAAAATGTATCTTGGTGCAATGAGGAAGAGCCCTCCCGAAAGGAGCAATGGGAACTCTATATTCCCACTGTTCCTTAATTCCAATAAGGGTGTCACCGACGAGTTCAAGGAGGTTGTGCAGAACTTTAGGAACTCAATAAACGAACTCGATTTCAACAACGTCACAGTCCAGCAGCTCAAGAGTCTTATGAAGGAATTTGGGCTGAACCACACTGGTAAGAAAAACGAGCTCATCGAAAGGCTTCGAGACATCCTCAAGAAGATAGATGGGAAGGAAGTCCATAAGCCTGAGGAGCAGATCCAAGAAAAAACAAAGGAGGCTGATGACTTTGAATTCTATTTCTTCTAGCTGTGTACACATAGAAACATAAATAAATTCTATTTAATCGCCAGGAACATTCATTTCTTCTTTCCTATAGACTTAGGCGGGTTGACTTTGAAAAGAATTATGTCTCCGTCATTGACAACATAAGTCTTGCCTCTTTGGTGGTACTTTCCGGCCTTCTTTACCTCAGCCTCACTCCCGTAAGCTTTGAGATCTTCAAAAGACATAACCTCTGCCATTATAAAGTACTTCTTAAAATCAGAGTGAATCACCGCACCTGCAGAAGGCGCACTTATCCCCCTCCTTATTGTCCAGCTCCTAACCTCATCCTTTCCCACCGTGAAGAAGTTAATGAGGTCTAGCGACTCATAGCCTTTCTTAACAAGCTTATCCAAAAACACCCTTGAATCATGGCTGCTCTCATATGCTGCGCTGAATACAATCACATCGCTAGAGTATTTCAAAACAGCTCGCAAATGCTTGTTTGCACGGCGCATCTCGTAATCCTTCTCACTGATATTGGCAAGGTACACCACATTCTTCACCGTAAGTAGGTTCAAAGTGCTGATGTATGCAATCTCTTCTTCGTTGAACTCATGCTTATTCACCCAATCCTTCTTCAGTATCTCCACAAGCCTTTTGACCAGTGCAGCCTGATCCTTCAACTTTTTGTCAGAAGGCTTTGACCTCAGATCCTTTAGCATTTTTTCCTCATGCCTAACCAACGTCTCATAGTCCTTGAGCCTTAGCTCTTCATTGACTATTTCTATGTCTCTTATTGGGTCTACCCCGTCCTCAAAATGCGCTACCTCCGGATCTTCAAAGCATCTTACAACATGGAAGATCCCGTCCACATTCCTGATATTATCCAAAAAGTGGTTTCCAAGCCCAACACCCGTACTTGCTCCTTTTACTAGTCCCGCTATGTCCGTCACACTTAGATATGCCCTTACAATATTGTGGGGCATATACTTCTCAGCCAGCATCTCTACTCTTTCGTCTTGGATCTCTACACGCCCCTCAGAGGGATCAATAGTACAGAACGGATAGTTTTCTGCGGGAACGTTGTTTCTAGTGAGAAAATTAAATAGGGTGGACTTCCCTACATTCGGAAGCCCCACAATCCCCATGCTCAGGTTGTTCGACTTCGAAGACCTTGCAAACAGCACCTTCCTTCCATCAACCATTCGAGGGCTAGAATTTTCATTGATAAATTTTATTGCTCAAGACTTGTAGCATAAGAGCCATGCAATCACCAGATAAAAACCATTACAACTCTTTATTCCTACCCACCACAGCATGTGGAGAAAATAGATCCAAAGATAGACGAGAACCATCCCCCTTCATTCTTCTCCTCTTCGGGGTCTTGGTACGTCACCGCGCCTGCTTCAAGGCTCCCGTCTACAACCTCCTTTGTAGAGCTCTCACTATTTATCTGGCCACAAGGGCTCTTTTCATCGGAGGACGTCAGAATCCCAAGGTTTCCTTTTGAAAGATCGGAGATTTTATAATGAGTGTCATAAGCATATATATTACATCCTGCACCATATGGATTCTTCTCCACTTCGGGAGAAGCATTTACATTATCAACATATACTACCTCTTGTTCAGACTGCATCGGGTTCTCAGACTTCACCACAGTGTTTATGACATCCATGTCGCTTTCCCTTTCCTCTTCTAGCTCCGCCAAAAGACTCTTTTTAATGTCCTCGACAGAGATTTCCTTAAAGCTATCATCATCTACCCCTTCGTCCTTATACTCAGGTCCAACTTCACAAAGCTCTCTCCCAACGCTAGATTTACATTCCTCAACAATTCTCGACCTTTCACCATTGATGCCGTCTCCATTCATCCCGCAGTCCCCTAGCGTCTCTCCCTGCACTTCGTCTTCCTTATCTTTCAAACAAACAAAGCCCTTGGCACACACACTCTCTGCATCTCTTTCCTCCATCCTTTTCCCTTGATTGTCAAAACCTTTTATTCTTTCTTTCACTCTTCCTTCCCGCTCATATTCCATCTTTGGCCCCTCAAACACCCTTCTTTTTTCTTCTACAAATTTTCTCTCAGGTTCTTCCATTATCCCTTCAATCTTTCCAACCCTTATAGAAACTAGCTTCCGGGAGTTGAGACTTTCTCTTCTTCTCCTGCCCTCCTCCTCCAGCAGAATCATCTTCCTAAGGTTTCTTTTGAAGAGAGAAAGACTTTCTTCATCCTTGCTATTAATCTCCCTGGTCATGGGGCAAAAAATCGTCCGAATTTTCAATATCTACACGCTATCGCAGTACTCTAGCCTAGTATGCCTTGTAGAAAAGAAACTCCAGTGCTTCGTGGACTTTTTCCTCTCCACAAGACATCTTCTTGCAAAACTGATCCATGCATGCTCCATTCCATTCACTTCCCTTCCTCTTCACCAAATACATCCTAACAAACTCCTCCTCCTTATCCTTCATGTCGTAATTCCTTCCTGTGCATATGAAGTATATCATCACAGGAATGTAAAGATCGAAAAAAAACCTTCTTCTTCCTTCCAAGACCTCCAACGACCCTTTTCGAGGTCTATTCATGTGCATGCTTGCATCATTATAAATACCTAAGATTCTGCTTCCCAGAGTCTTATCCTTGACGTGTTTTTCGATTATCGGGAAAATCAGATTGTATACAGTGAAAATTGAAATCACCTCCATTGAGTATTCATATGAGTGGTCTACATCTTTTAGCGACATTTCATCTGCTGCCTTTTGCGACATTTCAAAAAGCATGGCGGTGGATTCCAGTACATCAGAGCTTTCGATGTCCGGCATGGTGATGGACAGGACATCTCTAAACATGCTCTTCGGGTGTTCCTTTTCTTTGAGATACGAAATATACCATCTCTCTATGACTTCTGAGTTATGTGTGCTTCTTAACTCTGTGGTAACCAGTTCTATTGCCTTCTGCATTAAAGGGTCTCAGGACTACCGACGGTGTATCCGCTCAGTGGAACACAAATTTGTTTGTGGTTTAAACACAACCTTGAAAATTTATCCATGGTGTATAAGAGAAAGAGAAACGTGAAAATAGACAACACCCAGCCATATCCTATATACAAGCCTGGGGCCTCGGATGTATCATCTCTGGAGGAGTATGTTCCTCCGTCGCTTGATACAGGGATGGAGGCAGATGAGGAAAAGGAGCTTCATCTGAAGAAGATAATGGAGGGAGAGAAGGGAAGCATCCCCATTCCGGTTATAGTTGAGGTACACAATCCTGCACGAAAGATATACGGCAGATATGTACCCAGACGCAGGTATGTAGAGTGGAATGAGGATGCAGAGAACAAGTATCTGCTCAATGATGAGGACAAGAAAATGTGCAAAGAGTATGGAATAAGCGAAGAGGAGTTTTACACGTTGCTATGCACCATATCACAAGAACAAAGCCTTGTGAAGGGCAAAGAAAAGCTTGTCAGGGCAATGGCGTCTAGAATATTAACCAGGAGCGAGGACTTTAGTCCACTTGCCTATGTATGCTTCAGAAAAAGGATAATCAAGCCCAGTAGAAGAAGCAGAAGAAGCGAGGAGCTTTCCAAGGAGAAAGTTGAAAGGATGTGGAAAGAGCTCTGTTTATTAGAGGTTCTGTGCGGCCTATACTGCAAAAGGAGTGAGCTGGAAAGAGACCTGGAGAGCGTTGAATATAACTTATTCCAAACATCCTGCTTACTAATCAAGAACGGCTCTAGGAGGGCAAGAAAGAAGATTGGAAGGAAGATTCTGAATGAGCAAGGAAAGACGCCTGAGGATGGGCAGAATGCCACGAACGGGGCTATTGGAGGCATCATATTCGACCGGACAAGAATTAGGCTGCTAAGACAAAGAATCCAGGAGGCCAAGGAGAGGATACATATAAGCGAGTATGACTCAGAAATTCAAGCCTTCAAAAAGTACAATGAATTGCATAGAATGTAAGTTTTATTTTGGGGAAAGAGGTTTTGCTTGTGTTAGCCCTCCTAACAATGAGATGTGAATGGGAAGGATGCCAGGAGGATATTGAGGACAACGTAAGAGACCATCTGCTCTCACACATAGAAAAGAACGAGGAGGCAAAGTGCTTGTGGAAGGGCTGCCAGAGATATGGAGAGGCGCAGGTCAGCAAGCATGCTCTTCTTGCACATGCACGAAGGCATACTGGCGAAAGGCCGTTTGAGTGCCATCTGTGCGGAAAGGACTACACGCGCAGTGATCCCCTTAAAAAGCACCTTCTTCGGCACGAGGTTGCTGATAGCAAAAATGAGAATCTGATGCTGAGAATTGAATATTTAGGAGTACTTCTCACAGAATATCGTAGAGAAAGCCTGAGGATTATGAATGATATCGAATCTGTACGATACAACATTCAGGCAATGAACAGAAAGATAGCATGCGAAATCAAAAAAAATAAATCTCCCTTATAAATTTTCATTTTGTTGTCTAGATAAGTGCAAGGCCTACATCGCCTGCAAAACATACTATGAATCCAATGCTATGTGATCAATGTAAGATCCCTTGATGAATAGGGAGGAATAATACCTAGGCTCCTGGCCATTTTGGATGTAGGACACAGATTCTAAGGATATGTTGAGATATGCATCTATTGCAACAGACGTTCCTCTGAATTCCGAGCTGTCACATATCTTTACCTTGACAGCTCTCCCCACGAAGGCTGTATATAGGGCGTTGTCCATTTCTTGTTAAGGGCTCCCTTGGCTTTGCACTATTTTGAATTGTGTGCCTGCAACGATAAAAATATTTTTCCAGGAACCGTAGCAATGAGCAAAACTTACTTGAAGTCATGGAAGGAGAAAAAAGAAAAGAGTCCAAATTCTGTTCTCTCCTTCAAGCAGAGGCTGAGAATAAAGCAGCAGAAGCAGGCGGAAAGGAGAGCTCTTCTTAGCAAGATCAAGATCTTGAAGACAAAGAAGAGGAACTTCCTAAGGGAGCGCCAGAAGCAAAGGGAGATGAAGAAGCTGGAAAGCATGGCCAAGCACTAAGCTCGGCATATAGGCTTGTTATTGGAAGCCATATCCTTTTCAAATAAACGGTCTTGGCCTCCTTCTGTTTTTGTTAGAGTGGCGCATTGGAGCTCGAGTTAAACTATGTATTCAGGGCATTTTATTATTCAAGTTCAATCCTTATGCTCTTATTCCTGATGTCGCTTATCAGATACTCCAAGTCGTCGTTATCCTTGCATTCTCTCCTAAGATACAAGATCCAGTCTTTAAGGGCAGACAAATCCCAAATAGACCTGTAGTAGAGTAAGAAGACTGCATAGACCTGCAATTCCAATGAGCCCTTCATTATTAGTGAGCTGTTAAAATAGGATCCTCCACACAGAAGGTTTCTTATATTAACCTTCAGAAGTAGGTCGATGTCATCGTACTCCCCTATCAACCTGACAATCGAGTCTATGTTATTGAGGGACAGAAGCGTTATTAGGCATTGCCTCAGAATCATCTTTTCCGACGGGCTCGAGGACTTTGACACCATTATTCTTGTGATTTCTTCCTTGACTATTCCCTCAATCGCCTTGCTGTTTTCTGCATTGATGTCTCCGATGAAGAAGAACAGGAGAAACTTCTCGAAGTTACTGGCATTGCTGAACATGTTGATAAACATTCCTGTGTCCTTCTTTCCGATATTTATCAAAAGGTTCTTTGAGGAAGAGACGTTCAGAGACATCCCCGTAGCGACTTCGTAGTATCCGAGTAGATCTTCTATTCCCGTGTACTGCTTCATAAGATACTTAATCCTGTCTTCGACATTGTCCCCCACAACTATCCTGCACTTGATATACAAACAATACTCGTTGATGTTTGTGCTGTCTAGGACATAGTCTTTGTCTGTGATGTATCTTGAGTATGGGCTCTTCCTTGTGTAAACGGAATAGAGAATTAGCTTACTGAGGATTCTGAAGATAGACGGGTGGGATATGTCCGGCAGAATGAATCCCCTGTCAAAGCTAACATCCACATTCTCAATATCATAATCAACTAGATTCTCGTATATCCTAACAGCCATTTCTTGCACATATGGATTGTCCCTGACATATGCATTGAACCAGTCCTCGTTATTCATCACAAACTTGCATGCCTCATGGTTGCCCTTCGTCACCTCATAAAGATACTTGAATCCCTCCTCCTCGTTTTCCGAAAGCCTTTCCAGAAAGTTCTCGTTCATGAAGAATGAAAAGTCTCCAAATAACCTTACATATTCAAAGAACCTTGGATTCGGTGTATTCATGATCACGTTGATTATCGATACATCACCAATCACAATTCCTGTGCTGAGCTGAAACTCAACAACCCTATTAGTGACTTGTGAGTTATTCAGCATTGCCACCCGGATGTGCTGAGACATCAGGGAGAGCTGCGAGGTAATGAACTCGGCGCCGATCCTACTTTCTGTATCTCTCTTGTCTGCAAATCTTTCAATCACATCGAAACATCTAGTGACAGTCTGCGGGTCTTCGCTTTTGAGTGCATGCATGGCAAATCTGATGCATTCTTCATTTCCAAGAAACGTGCAGAACTTGAGGAAACTTGGCGTCATGGCAAAGCTCTTAGTTACAAGTTCCTTTTCAAAGTCGGAATGAACCGCCTCCTTGTTGAATATCCCTACACCCCTCATAAACTCGCAAATAGTCTCTCTCGAGTCTTCGTCTCTCATGAACGAAGAGAGGATTTCGTATATGCACCCCTTGATCCTTAGCGATATTTGCCCTACAAGAGTGTTTAAAAACAGCTCGACAAATCTCATGAAATATAACCTTACAAACCCAAGCCCATGCTCATCAGAAGACATCAGCTTCTCAATAACCTGCATGAGGTGGTAAATAAGCCTCTCGTCCTCCGGTCGGATCCTCTTGTATTCCGCCTGGTTCAAGACATTTATCATTTCCAGAGCCTTTCTCAGGTCGTTGAAGAGATTTGCCTTCGATAAAATTTCATATCCCCTCAAGCAGCTTTCCCCATCAACCATGAGTGAATATACAAATCCAACGTATGCCTCCTCCTTCTCGTCCTCTTCAATATCAAGCAGCTCAAGGTCTTTGGTTGTGTTGAGTTCGTAAAATATCTGGTATATGATAGTTCGGTCTCCCTCCTTCCTAAGCCTTTCCTTGCAGGAACTCAGTATTCTTTCTTTTATTTGAGGCCGAAGAGACTCCTTGAAGCTTCGAAGCAGTTCTAATAAGACTGGCCCAACAACCAGCTCATTGATTACTCGAAGATCATACGACTTCCAGGTTGGCGCAGTAAACGCTACAGCAAGATTAACACTAACACCATCGGGGATCTCTTGCTCGCTCAGATATGTTTTGATTTTCTCGGCATGTATTCCTTCCTTGATACTGCACAAGATGTCAACAATTACCTCATCAGTACGCGCCTTTATGTCCTCAATCTCCAACGAGCATTCTGGAGATACCTGGGGAATCCCCTCAAGCAGCACGTTGCACAGCGCCATGCATACATCACTGTTGAGCTCCACTCCATTTCTGGAAATAAATTCTAGAAGAACAACAACGTTGTACTTCAATGTAAAGAGCGCCAGAACCTTGCTGTCCTCTGCAGAATATGTCTTGATCCTTCCGTACGCCATGCTCTGTTGGCACAAGGCATCCCTCATGAACCTTATGTCTCCCTCAGAGACTGCATGGATATCTTCGTATATCTTATTTCTTATTTCCTTGAACCTCTCAATAAGCATTGGTTTGTAAGGACTGCATCCTTGTAGAATTAAAATTTTTCTCGACCCTGCAATGAAGAACGCCTACAAGAAAGTCCGAGTACGTTATCCAGTCAAGAGGCCCGATGTAAAGAGAGAGCCTAAGAAGCCAAGCGAGGAGTTCAGGAAGGCTCGCATGCTTGCGGTCTCTGTTGCTGAGGAGCTGGGAGGGCTCTCTCCGCTTGAGAAGAAGACCATTTCACTCATTGAAGCTAAGAACAATAACAAGGCACACAAACTACTAAGGAAGAGGCTGGGCTCTCATAAGCGTGCTGGGAAGAGGATTGAGAAGTTGACGAGGATGCTTCTGGAGGAATAAAGTATACTTTTGGCCTTTACTACTTGTCTTACTTTTTCTATTTTGCAGGCCATCGACGATTTTTTGAGTAGTGAAAAATTTAATCCCTAAAATGAGCGCTATTATCGTCGATAATAATGAGATCCAGTACATCGTTCGTATTCTCAACACTAACATTGATGGTACAAAGAGGATTGCCTTTGCTCTTACAAAGATTCGAGGGGTGGGGAGAAGGATCTCGACTGCCATATGCAAGCGCCTTGGTATCGACCTGGAGAAGAGAGCTGGAGAGATGACTGAGGAAGAGATGAAAAGGATTTCTGATGCAATTCTCGATCCTGCAAGTGTCGGGATTCCCGAATCCTACATGAACCATCAAAAAGATATCATTGATGGGACAACATCCCACCTTATAGGTACAAAGCTCGATGCAGATCTAAGGATGATGATCGAGAGAGGGAAGAAGAATAAGCGCATCAGAGCATGCAGGCTTGATGTCGGGCTCAAGGTACGTGGGCAAAGAACTAAGTCAAATGGTAGACGTGGAAAGTCCATGGGTGTTTCAAGAAAGAAGTAAAAGATCTTTAACTTTTTTATTATACCTCTTCATATTTAATGAATCACTGCAGTCCTTAGATGTCAATACCCTGGAAGCTTATCTATGCTTTCTTTGTTGACCATGTTCTCAGGGATTATGTCGTATTTGAAAGCCACAAGTTCTTTGTATGTGTTTTTTATTGTAACTTCGGTGACATTGGTGACAAACTGGATGTCTTTCTGGATCTTTTTTTCCTCCGGGAACAGGTTGGTTACCATGTATATGACAGCAGCAGCTATGGAGTCGGGGCTTTTTCCTGCAAGGCATCCTAGCTCGTGTGCTGCTTTTGCTATTTCCGTTGCAATTTTTTGGATTTTGATATTCAGGTTAAGATCAGAGCAGAATCTTGCTATGATGTTTTCCGTCGACATGGTTGCCATTCTTTCCAGATGGGGAGATATCAGCTTGAAGCACCTTCCTATCTCTCTTTTCTGCACGGCAGTCATTACGCTTATCTCTTTGAATGTCCTAGGGCACTCTTCCTGCCTACATGCTATGTATATGCAGGCTGCAACAATCCCCTCTACATTCTTGCCCTTCAGAAGCTTTCTTTCCTCTATGTTCTTAAAGATGTAGTGTGCTCTATCAATGATGGTCCTTGACAGATTCGATCTCTCGCAAAACGCAGTAATGAGATTCATGCCATGCTTCAGGGCTCTTTCGGGCCCTCTCATACTGTTTTTCATCTGAATCTTCGATAGCATATAGGAGTTCATTCCCCCTCCAGTGCTTATCATCGTATCCAATTGCTCAGATTCAAGATAAGGGTTACTTGCGCTTCCAATACGGCATGGGTCCACCTTATTGCTATCCCCAAACGATCTCCATTCGCTTCCCTCATCTATGATTCTGTTCCCAACAACACATCCACACCTTCCACACACGTGGTATCCATTCTTGTAGTCCTCAATTATGTTCTGTGTTTCCCCACAATCAGAACACGTCTGCACGAATGGCTTGAATTTTGGAAGTGTTTTCATGCTTGGGGTCCTTCTGTATATCATATTTATTCTTTTGATCTTCTCTTTCAATAACTCCTGATGAGTAAACATCCAGGAATGAAACCCAGCCCGCCTGATAAGGATGAAACAATCCTATAAATAGAGGGACGGTAGACATAAACATGAAGAAGGAGCAGAGCTATGGAAGAATCCTGGTAATACTCGCTGCTGCATGGATTCTGTATAGGTGCTATGGCCTCATAGCAAGGACTAGGGAAGAGAAGATTTCTGTAGAGTTCCTTCGGGATACCATAGATGATGCACAAAACTCTCACACAAGGAAGATGAGCAAAAAGGAGATAAAAGAAAGGCTTGGAAGGTCCACATGGACATTGCTGCATACAATGGGGTCTAGGTATCCTGCATTCCCAACCTTCCAGCAGAAAAAAGACACGCTGGCCTTTATTCATCTACTGTCATCGCTTTTTCCATGTGGAGATTGCACCAAGCACTTCCAGAAGCTACTTCGGGACCATCCTCCAAGGGTCGGGAGTAACGAGGAATTCAAGACATGGCTGTGTGAGGTTCACAACGTAGTCAATGAAAGGTTGGGGAAGGCCGTTGTTGATTGTAAAACTGTCGACGAGATCTGGCAATGCGGGTGTGAGGCCTAGAGGACGCAAGTAAATAAACTTTATGTTTAACATGGTGGATATCCATAGCTCTAGAGGAAGGACTCACAAAAGCCCAAAAAATTTGCACCCTGAAAATGTAAGTGAGATGGCCCATTTCTAATTTGAAGGTCGAATGAAAAGAGAATTAGACGCTTAGCATCTGGAATTCTGAACTGCGGAAAGAATAAGCTCTGGCTGGATAACAATGAGATTGAGAGGCTTAACAGCGCAACTTCCCGGGAGCAGGTTAGGCAACTCATCAAGGACAATGTGATTATTATGAAGCAGGACAAGCATACCAGTAGAGGACGATTACGAAAGAGATTGGAGGCAAAGAAGAAGGGAAGGCACATGGGGCCTGGAAAGCGTTTTGGTACTGCAAATGCAAGGATGCCAAAGAAGGAGTTGTGGATGAAGAAGATTCGTGCAATGAGAAAGATGCTGAAGGAGATGAGGGCCAGTGGGGAGATCACCAAGGAAGACTTCCGCACGTTTTACATGCAGGCGAAGGGACACTTATTCAAGCACAGATTCCACATGAAGGACTGCATTGTCAAGAGGAAGGCTGAGGAGCAAAGAGCTAGAGAGCTTGCGGAGCAGGCAGAGGCACTTAACTTGTCTAGCAGAGCAGTTTCGTCTTGAATAAACATGATTACTTAATTTTTGTTCATGAGAGATTATTCACTGATTTATCAATATTAAGGGGAACAGAAGAGATCTTCATTTGCTTCTTTTAAATTAGTGCTTTGCTTAAAAGACTTTGCCTGGGATGACAGAGGATGGATAGAGAGGAATTCACCAGTATAAAAGAGAAGAAAATTTTCCCAGAGATACTGACGTTTGTATCCTTGTTTTTCATGACATTTGTACAGTATGGAGAGATGAATCATCTAATGGTTATCTATGCTACCAAATTTCTTGTATTTACAAACTTTTTTTACCACGTGGGATCCTCTATTTGGAGGATCTTTACCTATATCCAAGAAAGAAGATCCCTTATAAATGGAGTGTTTAGCATCAGAAATATGCTAGAAGTTGCAATGATGTGCTTTCTGGTATTGTACTTTAGAAAGGTTGTTACTGACCCCCAAGAGGGAAAAATAGATAGGTATGTGATTGTTGTATCGATGGGATATCTTCTGTCGAAGGTTAATGAGGTATTGGACTATTCTACTATACAGAAGCATTGCTCTAAGATGCTTTTTTCATCCGTGGTTGTTCTAATCATTGGAATTGCGTTTATAACAGATTTCTGGAATGATGGCACGGAAGGTGTCTACACAGAGATTGCTTATGTGATAGGTGTTTTTCTGTCAATTTTTGAACTAGCTGTTGAAGGAAGAGTTGTGGAGAGATCTTTGCTTAGACGCAGGAGCTTTTCAATATTTATGGCTCTTTTGCTTATATGTGCTATATCCTTTCCTGTTATCTGTCCTGTCATGATAAAGTGGAGTGATTTGTTTGTTGGATGGATCAAGATTAAGATAATTGGATTGATTAAGCCGCAGCTTATCAAGATAAAGGACAGGGTTCTTAGTCTGTCGAAAGAACAGATCAAGGTCTTTGTTTCTGAATACGTAAGGAAGATATTAGAGGAGTACCTTCCCAACTTCAAAGATGCTGTTAGGCGTAAGGTTGGGGCCTACGTGCCAGAAAAAATAAGTGGTATTCCAAGCTCTGTACTTAAATGGTGGAAAAGTTCAGACGTGCAGCCCCCTTTGAATGAGTTTGATTAAAGTTTGAAGAAATTGATAAATACGGGAATTTAATGTCCATCCTTATCTCCATGCTGGACGATAATGAAGTATTGGACACACACAAGATTGTTTGCAGGCCGTTTAGAGAAACAGGATATTGTGGATATGGAGATTCTTGTAAATACTCTCACGATAGATCTGTCGAATATACAGAAAGCTCTGTTGTTTCTAATGCAGGGCTTCTGTGTGGAATATGCAAGAAGCCATACGAAGAAAAAGTAGTCACGGAGTGCGGGCATAGCTTTTGCTCTTTGTGTGCAATAAGAAGATATCAAGGTGGCGACGAATGTGGGGTGTGTGGAAAGCCGGTGTATGGAAAGTTCTGGGTGTCATGAATATCCTAGGTGCCTCCCGATTTACTCCTTAACAAAGCTTATTTTGATTGGATTGTCTCCTATTTGAATAGGAGAGCTACATAAAGATATATTTTAATTTTGTTTCTTTACCAATGGACTATGACCTTCCATTCCTATGTCCGATACTCTCGCCTCGATACTGCCTGGCATCTACCCTGTGTCCGTGCTACCTGTCCTCAATAATATATGCAAGGATATTCAAGAATAAGAGATTCTCTATGTTCGGATTCTTTCTGGTTCCATTTAGTGTGTATGGAATACGAAGGTATGTCCAGGATAAGCTCCAGTACAAGGAGAGCTTTGAAACGAGTGCAATGAAAAGCCTCTGCTGCTGCAATAGCCTGGCACAGGACCTCCATGAGATGAAGATAAGAAGGATTGGGGTTTATAAGTTCCTTTCTGAGCCGATTCCATGTGACGACAGCGACCCGAGCTTTTGATATATATAAATAAATTTTGATTGTACTTAGGTCACCTTTGGCCCTTCCATGGATGTTAAGAAGAAGAGTGGGGATAAGCATATTAGATTGTGACTTTATCAGGCTAGAGGAGGAGCTGAGAGGTCTGAAGGCAAACGGGGTCAGTAACATTCACCTGGATGTTATGGACACAACCTTTGTTAACAACATCACCTTTGGACCATGTGTAATCAATAAGATTCTTGAGCATAATTTCGTGTTTGACATACACATGATGGTTGAGTCTCCGCTAAATATCATCATGCAAATAAACTTGGAGAAGGTGTCTTTGGTGACGATTCATCATGAAATAAGCAACAAAGCAGGTGTTAGGGAATATCTCCGGCAGAAGGGTGTATTGTTTGGGATTGCCATCAATCCGGAGACCCAAGTAGAAGAGGTAGAGGTTGAGGATGTAGATTTTATTCTTGTAATGAGTGTCAAGCCAGGGTTTGGAGGACAGAAGTTCCAGGAGAGCTGCTTGGCAAAGATAGAAGAGATTCGGAGACATGGGAAGATGGTTGGTATTGATGGGGGAATAGGAATGGGGAATATTGATAAGGTTACGGGGGCTGACTATATTATAGTAGGATCTGGATATTTTCGATCTGAAGACAGGAAGAGATTTCTTTGCAGCATCACAGAGAGGTTTCTAGGTGAGGCTTGCTCGGAGGGAGATTCTTTTTTACGGAGCCCTTAGCCCTCTGGATGAATTGTATGAGTGAGATGGTTTTTGACTGTGAAAAGAATCTAGAGCTTATTCTTGTGTACAGTTTGCTATCTAAGAATGAGGTCAAGGTAGCAGTTAAGAGGAGGCAGAAGATGGCAAAGTCCTTTGCCAAGCTCTTACAGAAGATATCCCATGGGTCTGCATACTCTGTATCTGAAGGATATGTGACCTTTACCCCTGGGTCGCTGAAGGGAGGAGAGGTTGCCATACAGTGTGAAGAGGAGATTTCGATGTACATTGAGCCTATTCTTGTCCTGTGTCCCTTTGTAATTGAGCCTTTGAAGATAAAGTTCAAGGGAATAACGAATGGGAAGCTCTGCGTTGACTTGATTAGAATTGCACATTTTGGTGTGCTAAGAGGATTTGGAGTCAAGGAGTGCGAGATTGTTGTCAAGAAGAGGGGTTTTGGGCCTATTGGAAAAGGGGAGGTTGTATTTACTGTGGGTAGCCCTGGGAAGATTTCCACCATTGTATTGGAGAAGCCGGAGAAGATTGTCAAGGTCCGAGGATTGGTGGTGAGTAGCCGGGTGAGCTCTATTCCTGTGAAAGAGATGACAGAAACAATCAAGGAGCTTATGGGAGATGTTTCGAACACAAAGGTTTTCTCAAACATGTCGAACAGATTGGACTCTGGGCCCTCTCCCGGGTTCCAATGTGCTGTTTTTGCAGAGTCGAAGAATGGGGTTTACTACTCTGTGATGAGTGGAGAAAAGTTGACGCCGAGGGAAACGGCAACGGCTGCTTGCAAGGAGCTTCTTCTGAGTATCAGACATGGAGGAGTGTTCGACAAGAAGCTCCTTTATCTTGCACTTTCCCTGATGTCTCTATCATCTACAAGCATAGGAAGCCTATGGGTTGGAAAGGTTGACTCGGATGTAAAGGTTATCCTAGACCTGTTGAAGCAATTTTTTGGATTTGAATACGAGGTTAGAAGGAGTGGAGACGGAGACGTTGTCTATGGAGCAGGATGTGGGCTAAGCAGGATTAGCAGGCAGCTGAAATGAAAATTGAGTGGATAACACAACCCAATGCTGGAAGAGGGGGCACTGAGCAAGAGGCTTGAAAAGCTGTACATGGACTACATAGAGATAGAGAAGATCTTGAAGAGGCTGAGGGACATAAAGAGGCAGTGTTCGTACAAAAGCACTGCAGCCAAGCCGAAGAAAAAGGAGTCTGTTTCTTTGTCTGTTGAGGCGGACGTGAAGCTGGATGAGAGTTTCCGGAAGGCAACAAAGAACTGCATGAGGTTTGACCTCGGCGATCCTTTCTGGAAGGAGATATCCAGAAGATTTAACATTCCAAGGAATGAGTGCTTCAACAGATGGATTAACAAAGTAGAGGACTTTGATAGAAAGCTGTGCCGAAATGACATGGATAGGGTTAAAGAAATGAACGACGAGGGAAAGGATTGGATTGAGATATCCAGGGAGATGGGATGCAGGCCACTAAAAGTGTTTGTTGAGCATCTTCGGTTGAATACTACATCTGTGCCCAAGATGTGGAGTGTGGAGGAAGATAGGCTCCTAGAGCAAGGCGTAGAGAAGTATGGCCTTTCAAAATGGAGATATGTTTCTAAGATAGTTGGGACAAGGACTGGAAAGGAGTGTGCGATGAGATTTTATTTCCTCAATAAGAATGTCCGAAAAGGAAAGTGGACTAAGGATGAGAAGGAGAGGCTTGTTGAGGGGGTAGGGATATATGGAGAAGGGGATTGGCGGGGCGTAAGCACCCATGTGATGACGAGGAATCCTATCCAGTGTAGATCTAAATACATGGCTGAAACAAAGAATAAGAAGGATAATAAATAGGCTTTGACTTAAAGCAGTTTATATGTAAGGAATTACTTCATCATTGAGCTGATGAAGTCGTCTATTTTCTCATCACTCCATGAGATGCAACCTCTCCTGGTTAGAAATCCGGTGAGCTTCTCTTTGAACTCATAGCTTAATGTCTTCCCTTTGCTCTTGAATGCAGCCTTTTTATTGGAAAGCATGACATCAGCCTTGTTTTTGACGAGGAAAGCATAGGTCTTGTTTTCGTCGAATGTTTTTCTTCTTTCATATAAATACTTCAACTGCTCTTCTATGGATGGAATACTAGACATGGCGTGTCTCATTGGGTTTATCTGTAAGTTCAGCTTGTCCATTCTAGCAATGCATCGTCTAAGAACTTCTTGGGGATTGTCCAAAGTATTGAGCGCCTTCTTCACCTCTTTGACCTGTGTTGGATTTGTGTGGAGAAAGGTTATCTTGTCTATTTGGTGTTCTATCTTCCTAAGCTGCTCTTTTATGGTGCTTCTCAAACTCTCCATGATTTGAGTGGGGAAGAAGGCCTCAGTAAAATATTTCCAAGAAGAATCTTGAGAGTAGAAATACATATTCCAAAACGATTTGTGAATTGAGAGTCAGAGATTGAAGCATTGATGAAGAGGGTCCTTGTGGATCTTCTTTTGGCAGTAATCAGAACAGCCATGCCTCACCTTATAGGAAGTGTCAGAACTTGTCACCTTGCTGCACGCAATGGGAGAAGTAGCATTGCCAGAGTTGGAGAAGAGAATTTTGCATGTATATGGAAAACCCAGGAGGGCTGGCTCTCTACAAAAAATAGATTTGAGGACAGAAATACAGATCAATGATCCCACGAAGTGGTGTTAGAAAAGTAAGTCTAAGGTTTTAGTGGAAAAGTTCCCTGGAAAAAATTACCCCAGTCGATGTCAGATCTTCTAACTGATGAGCTAGGCCAGACATTTCAAATAACCGATGAGGAAAAGACATGCAGAACGAAGGGGAATCAATGCATTCTTGCAAACATTGGGGTTGTTAAGTCCATAGCAACCTTTCTTTCGACCTCGCTAGGGCCTACGGGTATGGACAAAATACTTCAAAGCAAGGACGATGACATAGTTGTGACCAACGATGGGGCAACCATACTTAAGGAGATGGAGATGACGGAGAATCCGATTTCAAGGCTAATAGTGCAACTAAGTGAATCGCAGGACGAGGAGATAGGAGATGGAACGACTAGTGTGGTTGTACTTGCTTCTGCACTTCTTGATCAGGCACAGGTTCTTCTTGGGCAGGGGGTACATCCGATAAAGATATCCGAAGGCTTTGAGTTAGCCTTGGAGCACACGATTGAGCACTTGTCCGAGATTTCTGAGGAGATTTCTGATCTGAAGGAAACGATGATGAAGGCAGCAAAGACAAGCCTGGGGAGCAAGATAGTGTACAAGTCCCTGGAGAAGTTTGCTGAGATATGCACGTCTGCAGTCCTGATGGTTGCAGACATGGAGAGAAAGGACCTCGACTTTGAGCTGATCAATATTGAAAGCAAGGTGGGGCGGGATATATCTGATACCACTCTTGTCAAGGGTGTTGTTCTTAACAAGGAGTTCAGCCATCCTCAGATGAAGAAGGAGGTCAAGGATGGAAGGATAGCGCTTTTAAGCTGTCCCTTTGAGCCTCCAAAGCTGAAGACTAAGCACAGCCTTGTGATTTCCAACCCTAAGGAGTATAAGGAATTGGAGGAGTACGAGAAAAGAAAGTTTGTAGAGATGATAGAAAGTGTTAAGAGGAGTGGTGCTAATGTTGTGATGTGCCAGTGGGGCTTTGACGATGAGGCCAACTCTCTTCTGATGGAAAATGACCTTCCTGCTGTGAGATGGGTTGGAGGGCATGAGCTCGAGCTTCTGGCAGTCCACACTGGAGGATCGATAATAGCTCGGTTCGAGGACTTAGAGAAATCTGATGTTGGAAGTGCAGAGATTAGAGAAGAAAGCCTTGGGACGGAGAATGACAAGATCATTGTGGTTGAGAATTCTGAGCGTAGCAGGGCTGTTACGATTCTTGTGAGGGGGGCAAACGACTTAGTGATTGAGGAGGCAAAGAGGTCTGTTCGAGACGCCCTTTGTGCTGTAAGGAACATCCTTACAAACGACAGAATAGTTTATGGAGGAGGGTCTTCTGAGATGTCATGCTCTCTTGCTCTGGAAAGGGTGGCTGAGGAATACTCTGGTGAGGAGCGGGCAGCCATTCTTGGATTTGGAAGGGCTCTAGAGGAAATACCGCTCTGTCTTGCAAGAAACAGTGGATACAATCCAGTTGAGTACTCATCCGATCTTCGTAGGCTACAAATGGAGAGCAAGAACTCTTATCTTGGGGTTGATTGTCTCGGGGCTGGGGAGAAGGACATGAGGGTACTAGGGGTTTTTGATGCTCTGAGTAGCAAGATCAGGCAACTCCAGATGGCAACCCAGCTTGTGACCATGGTTCTTAAGATTGATAACGTTATCTCTGACTTCTATGATTAAAGACTATTTTCTGTTTCTTGTAGAGAACGGGGCTGGGTGCCTCCTTGATTTAGATTTACTTTTGTGCTGACCCATTCGGCTATGGAGAGGATTGAGGAGTATATAAATGGTAAGCTCAGGGAGTATAAAATAAAAGTGGATGTGAGCTCTGTAGTTGAAGAGCTTGCATTGTCGAACAAGATAAACGAGTTTATGACACCGAGTTCTGTATATACTGTGTTTCTGATGCACCTGGGGAAGGATGACGAGATGTACAAATCCATTCTTAACGGAGAGTATCTGTTCGACATTGAGGCTGGGCTGAATGACAGAGAGTCGTTATATTGCGACAGAGAGCTTAAGAAAAAGATTACGAAGATTTATGGAGAAAGGGCCAGATATGTTTATGTCAGCACCTCGGGAAGTAAGCATTTTATTGGGATAAGGCTCAGTGACAAGGGATACGAGCCCATAGCAGGGCATGGCGGTCCTGAGTGTGCGATTCCATACTTCCTACTGGTTGACGGGTTAAAAGAATTTGGAATTGGTGACTTTGAATGGAACGAGGTGATATTCGGGTATAGGGTTACGGAAGATGAGAGATCGAAGTACATTGAGATTCTTGAGCATGTTAAGAAGATGAGGCTTCCTGTCCAAATAATCGATAGCGATGCAATGCACATATCTACGTCGGTGATGAATGTCCATGAGTGTTATCTACATTGTGGATCCTATGCAAATTGGCCAGAGGATGAAGATGCCCTCAACTGTGCTAAGACTGCCCTATACTGCTTGATATACAAGAGAAGCAAGTATAGAAGTGCCATTGGATACGATTATGTCCTTTTGAAGTACAGAGGCTCGTACTTCAAGTTTAAGATTATGATAAGAAGAGACATAAAGGCAGAATTCAGGGTCAATGCCCGAATATCTGAGATTATTAGTCAAGAGTCCGACATATTTAAGAAGAACGTGAGGTTTGTCAAGGCGTTTCTGGATTGCCACGGGTATTTCCCTGTATACTTTGATGACAGACTTATAGAGCTGATATGCTTGATGGTGGGGAAAGAAATAAGCTCGTTTGGAAGGTTTTTCAACGAGTTTCTAGGATACAAAATCAAACTGGAGGGTCTAACATTCAATTTAGAGACACTGAAGATTACAGAAAACAAAAACAAGAGGTTTGAGGTAGTATACCAGCATGATGTGGTAGTTGTGAGAACTCCACCGCCGAAGGTCATCCAGAGACTGAACGGGCTGAAGAAGGCTGTTATGGCACAGAAGATTGAGCTTTTTGATGGAAACCTCCGTCTGCAGACTAACAAGCTGTTACAGCCGTTTTTCAAAGACTACGACTTTGTCCTCAGTCTTTCTGAAAGGCCAGGCTTTAGTGAGGTTAAAGACAAGGCAAAGCAGGAGTTTTTGTTTGGGGTGCCTCTTGTTGAGGAGCTCCTTCTTCCCAGCCTGAAGAGCAAGGGATACTTCTTCTACTCTTCAAGACACTCTGTTCTTATGGTCAAGGTTAACGAAGAATACAGCCCGGAGGAGTTACTTTATTTCCTGCTGCTGAGGACAGGATTTAGATATTTCCTCAGAAATTTCTAGGAAGCTCAAATAAAAACCGTATTAATATATTTTCCTCTGAAGGCACCCGATGGATGAGTGTGAAGCGGGATTCATTTACATATCGGCATGCAGACAGTATCCAGGCCTTTGGGCTCAAAGCGGGTACTCTTCTTGTCGCCACTCGAAGCAAGCTTGTTGAATGGGACAGGATGAGAAGAAGGGCTATTAGGGAAGTTAGTGTGAGAGGTGAGATAACAGACGTCAAGTGTCTCAACGGCTACTGGATCTTGCTAACAAAGAATAGTGTTGAACTCTTTGATGGAGACACGATCGAGCATATTGGGCCAAAGAGGCCGCTGGACGCTTCCATTGCGTACAAGGATTGGCTTCTGATTGTGGGAAATGAAGAGATTACAGTCATCTCAATCAGAAAGGGGAATGCCGAGGCTAGAAAGGTCAGGCTTACATCCAACAACGGGATATGTACATGTGGGGCCAGCTCCGCAGAAGGACTGTTTCTCTCATTTGAAAATGGAAAGGTGTTTTCTATTGGAGAGCCTGAGGTGATGGGCATCGTGCTTGGAAAGGCTGATGAGGTCCTGGTGGATGAACTGCCATGCCTGATATTTCTGAAGGAGGCTATAGTCTCAATTAATGTTCTAGAAAAGGATCTGGTGGTATCTCTGTTTAACAAAAAGGTTCTTGTATTAAGCCTAGAAACAAGAGAGGTGTTATTTACGGAGCTTCTGTACAACATCAAATGCTCCACAATATGGAATGAGATGATTGTTGTAAATGATTGTAAAAACAATATTCTGTTTCTTGACAGGAGACTTGTAATTTCTTATAGTAACTGTCTCAAAGAGGAAATATGCGGTGTCCTAGCAGATGGAGACGGGTTGGCTGTAGGATTCACGATAGGGGTAGTGAAAGAGTATGTGACGGATGGCAAGACACGGCCTGGGTTTGTGTGTGAGGCCATGGAGTGAAGCCTTCTCTGGCACACTTTGATGCTGATGTCATTAGGACCTGGTTCCTTGTTTGGAAACATTGGATTTATTTCTAATTAAGAACGTTGAGAGTATTTACAAATTTAACGCAGGCCAGTTTGGAAAATGAGGAGGATTAAATTTTAATTTCCCAAATTATAATTGAGCCAGAATTATCTGTCAAAACGACAAAATAAAAGCAAATGAATCCAAGGAGCCCCCATGTTGAGTAATAGCATTATTCTTATGCTTCAGCTCACTGGGTATGTTGTTAAGGTATACATACAAATGGCAGTGTACATAGTACAGATGGCCCTTAATCCAGTATGGGTATTTGCATCTGTTTTCTGCGGTTTTAAGGTTGGGATAATTTATGGGATGAGGTGTATGCTAGTTCCTAGGAATGAGGAGGAGGAGGAGCAAAGGGAGACTAAGAAGGCAAGTCCCTCACACAAAGGCACAGAGGCGCTCATGGATAATCTTTGCTACAAGAAGTATGTCCCCCAGAGAATCAACAAAAAGTTTCTTTTAGGGAAAGAGGACCTTGCACTGGTTATAACTGATATTGTCGACAGCACAAGTCTCTGGAACTGCTCTCCAGATGCAATGCATAGGACCATTAAAGTGCATGATGAGGTTGCTAGAGGCCTGTGCAATACATTTGGGGGCCTGGAGGTAATGAACGAAGGAGATTCGTTCTTTCTGATATTCACAGATATTCGAAATGCGCTTGATTTCTCTATAGGGTTTTATAGGGAGATCGAGCGCATTTCTTTTAAATTTAAGCACACACGCCCGAAGAAGACTGGTAAGGACAAGGAGGTAGGGCTTCTACCCTTAAATATCCGAATGGCGGTAAACAAGGGGCCCATCATACTACACTGCAATGAGTTCCTTGAGATCTATGGAGATGCGGTGACCAAGACCCTTGAAATGCTAAACCACTCAAGTGGGAAGATCTGTATTTCACAAAGCTGCTTGGAGCCTGAGAGCCCTTGGAATAGAAGAAAATGCCTTTTTTGTATTCATAAATAGTAAAGCCTGTAAATGAGAACAACATATCTTTTTTAATCTTCACTCTTTATCTCAGAACCTTTATCGAAGAAGACAAGAAGAGGGAGAAAAGAAGGAGGGCTGGTTTGATACCCGGAAGGAATGCTAGCGTCAGCATCATCCACACCCTCAGGATCTCTGTAAGCCCCTGACCGATCTCAATCATGAGTCCCATGAGAACTGCACACAGGTGCACTGTGCATACAAAGAAGTCTTCTTTTCTGGTCATGAGGCCTTTTCCGTACTTTTCCCAAGAAATATGGTTCAGTAGAAGTGTTATAGGGAGTAAGAATGAAGATATTGCTGCAAGGGTATTGAAAAGCACATCATGCTTCATCAAGTGGGTCCCGCCGTTCTGGAGGCTCAATACACTGTGCCTCTTCACCGGGTTCCACTTCCATTTGGGACTTCTTGCAAGCCTCTTGTGATGCTCGATCATCTTATGGATAAAGCTTTTCTGAGGAAAGTGCAGGACTGTTTCTTTAGGCCTTCCATCCTCGAAGTTCTTCTTGAAGAAGTCATGGTTCTTATTATCGCTTATGTAGAATAGTCTTGATTTGTTATCACTGTACAAAGACCCCTCTACGACCTTTTCTGCATCGCCTCCTCTGGTTTCGCCCTCCTCAGATTTCTGAAGGCTCCTGACACACAAGTCCATTGCGGTCTTATAATGCCTGAACTTTATTAATGACCTTCTGCTGATAATCGGCCCATCTCCAATTATCTGCCATATGTCTTCTTCGTCGGCCTCGTTGTCCTGCTGAGAAAATCCAAGGACCTTCCTGAACTTATCCTCGCTGTCTTCATTGGAAACCCTCAGGCACATGTTACTCCCAAACTCCACTAACTTCACAAGATCTCCATGGCCTATGTATCTACCCTCCTCTTCTATGTTTTTCGCGGAATCACTCGGATGAACCTTAATTATCACCCACATGGAGTCCTCAGTCTTCTGATTCGAGCATGAGGGAGTGCCGTCTTTCATATTTAAATATGCAAGGTGCTTCTGGTTCAAGATGGTAACTATGCTTCTGTCCATAAGATACTTGTCGGCAGGCTCTTGGACACTTCCCACCAACGTTGCCTGGAACTCTATAGAAAACTTCTCTGCATCGTCTGTGTATTGCTGCTGTATTGAGTAGTGTATAAAGAACGACAGGACATATATAAAGACAGGGAGAAGGATAAAGGCTGCAACTCCCTTGATAAGCTTCAGAGCAGCTTTTCTTATCTTGTTCTTAGGGTTTACAACGAATGAAAACAGATGTAATCCATAGAATACCATAAGAGGAGGCAGGACCGATATGGAGGCCCAGTTCGATGCCATTGAAAGGCCCATCAAGAACCCAGAGAAGACAGTGCGGCGCCTCTTTAGCTGTGCAATCGCACACACAAAGAAGAATATTGAAAACACCTCGTTTGTGAGAAACACAATCTGAGTGTTGATCAGTAGTCCGACTATGTGAACGGCCACAACCATCCAAGATAGTATCCTGTTGTACGTCTCTCTGGCCAGCCAATACACTTGCACCATAGTTATTATAAAGAGAACGAGACTGACTAGTCTGGGGCTTTCTAACACTAGGGACAGTAGGGGCATATTCATGTGTGTTGAGGCTCTATACAGCCCATAGGATATCAAAGACGGCAATGGAAGACTTCTGTAAAAATAAAATCTCCCGGCTGCATAAGACCTGAAGTTTCGTACGAACTCTGCCTCGTCTTTCGTTGCAGGTGCCTTCTTATTGAATAAAAGGGCGGACAAAGCTGCTATAAGTACAATTTCAAATGCCTGGCCTGAGTACGAGCTTTTTATTTTGGTCTGCAATGCCTTTGCCATGTTGTTTGTTTTGATCTGGTTGTTTATATGCAGTAAACAATTCCTTCTCCATATTGGATTGAGAGGCTACCTAGATGATAAAAGACACAACGTGGGACCCTGGCGGCAATGACATCAAGAGAAGAGGTTGTCATCGTATGTGCACTCCGAACACCCATCGCAAAGGCGAGAAAGGGTAAATTCAGGAACCTCAAGAACGATGAGCTTGTTACAGCTGCTATTCGGGGCGTCATCGAGAAGACTGGAATAAATCCGAATGCTATTGAAGAAGTTATTCTTGGGCACTGCCTTTCCTCAATGGAGGGAAGCCTAGCTGCAAGAATGGGTGCTCTAAGAGCAGGGGTGCCTGTCGAGACGCCAGTCATGACTGTAAATAGACTATGTGCATCTGGAATGGAGTCCATTGGGCTTATTGCGGAGAAGATTAGATCGGGGAAGATAGATATCGGATTAGCCGGGGGGTTTGAATCCATGTCATCCCACGGACTTCCTAAGGAGTACAACCTGAGCAGAGACGGGCTGTGTGAAGATGCAATGGACTGCCTTCTTCCATTTGGGGAGGTTTCTGAAATGCTAAGCAAGTCTCTTGGTATAACGCGTATTGAGTCTGACGAATATGCGCTGACGAGCCAAAAAAGAGCTCTCGACGCCACAAAGAGGGGCTGCTTTACCAGGGAGGTGATTCCAATGAGGATTGGAGGCGAAAGCGTCAAGGACGACGAAGGAATAAGAGAAACATCTCTTGAGGTGATCAGAAATCTGAAACCTGTATTTAGGGATGATGGTATTTGCACATCTGCGAACTCCTCGCAGCTGTCTGATGGTGCATCTGCAATACTTCTGATGAGACGCAAAAAGGCCGATGAGTTGGGTCTGCCGGTCATTGCAGAATTTGTTGACCTCGTTGTCACGGGGCTCAAGCCTAGAGATATGGGGTTAGGGCCTGTTGCTGCCATTGAGAAGCTATTGGAAAGAAATAATCTCAAGAAAGATGAAATTTCATGCTTCGAAATAAACGAGGCGTTTGCTTCCCAGGTTCTCTGCTGCCTCCAAAGGCTGGGGATTGATAGAAGCAAGGTCAACAAGTATGGGGGTGCCATAGCCCTTGGACACCCTCTAGGGGCTTCTGGTGCAAGGATCGTCTGCACGCTGCTGAACGTCATGGAGAACGAGTCATCGGGAGAGTATGGAGTTGCATCTCTTTGCGTGGGCTCAGGATATGGAATAGCTGCATTATTTAAAAAATGCTACTAGGCATAAAATAAAAGGTCATTCAGGGACACTTAAGCTTTCTTTATTCACAATGTAGCAACAGCACAGTGCAAACACCCTCACGGTTTCTTGATGTTTCTTACTTTCTTCAACTCCTCCTCAAGTTTGAGGAAGTCTCCCCCTCCAAAGGAGTCTCCAAATATCTTTTCGTCAAACATATCAGATATTTCATCACACTCGTCTGTCTCTGTAGAGCTGTGGATGGCATTGATGTCAAAAAATATCTGTCTATCGCTCTCCTTCATCGCAGGGGATGCCAAAATTTTGTTTAACTACTAAGCTTTCTTGGGCAGGTGCATGCTCGGAGCCCTTCTAAGGCAATCCCCTGTTCTTCTTTACAGCAGTAAGCATCTTCATTATCACAAAGTCGACAAGCAGTGTGCCAGAAAGCACAAACAGGGCGGTAAGATAGAACACAGGCAAGGAAAACAAATTGAAAGCCGCATTGTTTGCCGTAACATCCAGCTCCTGAATGAAGAAAAGAGTTATGAAGTTGAGGAAAATGCTCAGTGCAATCGCTATCCACGAGTAGACAACAAAGAAAGAGATCTCTCTGATCTGTGTGGACAGTACAACCAGGAAAACAACTATTGAGAAGTAGTTTGTTAGGAGTATGTATCCCCCAACCAGCCCCTCCTTGCTAACCATGTCCTTTATGTATACAACGCCGACAGAAAGTACAAACACAACCACTCCAAGCAAGATCGTGTATATAAACCCAAAAACAAAAGAAGGCCTACTGAAGAACTTCCTTGCATTCTTGTAGTCCTCGGGATGAGCCATAAGGTAGTTTTCTGGCTTATCCTTGTCGAAGAGCCCTATGGATAATGGGATGAAGGATGTGAACAAAACGTTGTAATAGTTCAAGAAGAAGTTGTTGTATATGGGCTTACCAGAGTATCCGTTGAAGAAGTTATACATGAACTGTATCGAGATGAAGAATATGTTTTTGAAGAATGCATTAAGTGTTATCTTCGAGAACCTTATGAGATTGTATCTTCCATGTACAAGTATGAGCTTCTTCAGGAGTCGGAACTCGGGAATCGCAAAGTCCGCAGACAGGCTTGCTTGCGTGCCTTCCTTCCCCATAATCCCCACCCCGACATGAGAGCTCGTGAGCATCGGAACGTCATTGTTCCCGTCTCCAACAGAAAGCGTGTTCTTCCCAAGCTCGACTATCTTCTCGGCTATCTTTCCCTTGTGGTAGGGCGTCGCCCTGTATATCACAATTGACCTGTACTCAAAGATGTCTTGGTCTGCAAGCCTGTTCAGAAACTCCTTGCCATCCACTACAAGAGACTGAGTCTCGTGGTTCTTCTGGATAATCCCACAATCTTCCGAGCAGCTGATCGCAGTCTCTTTTTTATCTCCTGTAATCATCCATATGCTGATCCCTGCATCCCGGAGAGAAGTTATCGTTCCCCTTACATCCTCTTGGAGCTCGTCCTCTATAAATGTTGCTCCCAAATAAATCATTCCCTCCTCTACCGAGTCGAATATTCTTTCCTGCTCCAGGAATTTGTTTTTCAAAGAGACCTTGTTGTACTGGTCCTTCATCTTTTCGAGAACATTTCTGTCTAGCTCCTTGTATCCAACAACAAGAGACCTGTACTCGGAGTTGTTGTTTATAAGCGCCTTAATAGTCCCCATATCCCCTTCTTCAAACCTCATTCTCTTGTCTCCGAGGAGCTTCTGATCAGAGCCTTTGCAAAACAGAATGTAATTGCCTAACACCTTCATCACAACAGACATTCTTTGTCTTGATGAGGTGAAGTCCAGGGTAATCGCTATGTCGATCTTGGTTCTCTTTCCATTTATCTCCAGTACAACATACTTCTCATCGCGTTCTATAAGCACATACCCCTGGTTCTTTAGCTCTCGTAAAATGCATAGCTCATCCTGCGAAATCCCTTCAAAATTGTTGTTAAGAGGCTCGATCGAATTGCAGCACAAGAGCGCAAGTATGAACATCATCCGTGACCTTTCTTTCTTTGATGCCGCGCCGAGGTCATTTACAAGATCAATGCTAAGACACTGATCCTTCAGGTCCTCTCTCGAAATAAGCCCTTCCGAGTTGTACACATGGCAATACTTAAAAACCATCGAGTTCTTTGTAAGTGTTCCAGTCTTGTCCGTCAAAATGTATTCAATCATCCCCACATCCTCTGTTATGTTCGAGTTCCTACAAACAGACTTGATACCATCAATAGTCATCTCGTCATCATAGGATATAAACATCGAATGGAACATTCTCGAAACCTCGAGAGTCACGAATAGGGACAGGGGAATCAAGTAGCTGAAGAGAATGTAGTTTGTTCCCGTCTGCTTCAGCGAGTCTGCTGTCAGATATTCATTCAGGTACAGATACTCAATATCGCTCTTCTTCAGAAACCTGGCACCAAGAATCGAGGTCAACGCCAGAATCCCCAGGTATATCATGAATATCCCAAATATAAAGTCTCCAATGCCTTTTTCAAAAAGCGATATCTTCACCTTCGCCTTGAAGTGGCTCTTGCCTAGCTTCGTCTGCTTTCCCACACACACCACCAAGGCAAGAACACACTCCGTGTTCTTGATTCTTGATCCCCTTAGAAGAACATTCTTTTCATTGCACAGGATGTTTTCTCCCCCAATGCTCACCTGGCACTCAAACTTGTTAAATAGATCTCCCGTATCCTCAACACTAAATTCAGATATGTTGTCCATGTAATATCGATCGCAGTCGCACACATTCAGTCTTTCTCCACAGAAGTCAATCTCCATTCGTTCCCCTTTACACTTTATTTGATGCTGTGACGTCTTCTTCTTCAAATTCGTTTCCCCGTCTAGATTGCTTGTCTCGACAAAGCAGTAACTCTTGCATCTGGTTCCATCCCTTGTCTCCATTCTACTGTTCAACAAAACAACGTCTCCAGGCACCTCCTGATCCTTCATCATAAATATAAGGTCTCCAGCACTAATGTCCTCCACATGAATCTCTTCCACATACACGTCCCCTCCGTTTCTTCTCACAACATTCGCGGGCTTCTCATTTATTATCTTGTCCTGCTTGTGTCTTCTGTAGTCCTCAACCCCATCCTTCATCATTGACGCCCCGACAACAACAACAAACGCCAGGAGATAGGTAAAAGGGCTGAAGGGAGATATTGCCGGGACAGACAGAAGGATCAGAGTCAGGAGAAAAAACAGGTTTGATGGCCTTGACAGTTGGTGATACATATTCAATGGAAAAAAGGTTATTGCTGTGTACTTTGATGTAACTATTTTGTTTTCCTTTCTGTTCATTGTGCTATGGGTTAGGCCCCCGGATTTAATAGTTAGGCGTCGCGATCATTCTCCAAGCCCTCCCGTGCTTCCATCCTCAATTGTCTCAAACCCAGGGTAGACATCACTCATCACGTAACAGCTCCTGTGCTTCCAAGAAATAGAATATGTCCCCGGGCAGTCGACATACATAATGCTCGACTCCTTAGACCCGTCAAATAGAAAAAACACCGCACATCCTATAGGACTCCTAGGTATCGATACAACCTCAATAAGCACAATTCCTCCGCAAAGCTTTGCATGATAGAATCTGTCCTTAATCTCCGAAACCACCCTCATCATATTCTGTAGTCCAAACATCGCATTGAAGGCCGTTTTCAAGCACATCTTTTCCAATGAAACCTCGACAAAACACAAATACAGCCTGTGGACTATGGGAAGTACTCTGTCCTCGAATTGCTGCAAAATGAACTCATCCCCTTTGCTCCTACCTAGTACATACGAAAGTATCCCATACACCTTCCCTGCCGAAAGATCTACTCCAGCTTTGGACAGCACTTTGAATTCATCAGAGTTGACCTCTAGCACTGCTTCAGAGGCCCTGCATATAAGAGCCTGGATGCTCTTCAGCCCCATCTTGTCCTTGATCCTTCCATCAAACATTTCAACTGTGTCCATCCCGATACAGTATTTGCACAGGATCATTCCATACCGAGTCAGACCCTGCTCCTTGACGAACAGAGGACACTCCACTTTCTTCTCAGGTACACGTCCCAGCCAGTACGAATACGCATAAAGCTCCTTCCTCCCAGAAGAGCAATAGTACAGGGGAATGTCCTTGCCGCAGAAGTAAAGTGCTTTTTTGCTCTGCTTTAGATAAAGAAATACTCTCGAGCCCATGAGAGAGTATCTCTTGACATCAGAAAGCGAGTAATCAACATAAGATAAAGTCTCATGATCATAGTAGTCTGTACCTACAATGTGAATCTGATCAACCTGGGGACTCCATCTCCTATCTACCCATGAGTCCACCACCCTCTTTGTGGCAAGGTACATTCCGTTCTGGATCCCAGTATATTCCAAGGCAACCTTTGCGTCTCCGAAAAACCTTTTGAAGTATCCAACCACCTTTTCCGTCGAACAGACTATAAGGCATGGGCAGCTCTCTACATCTAGCCCATGCACATTCAGAGACAACCTGGCCTTGAAGTCAGAGAGAAGCCCATGGTATGTAAGGGCTGAAGACTCATATACCTCGGCTTTAGGCTCCTTCAGGTCCTTTTCAACATCCCCAATAAGCTCAATTCCGCCTCCCACAGTAAACGGAAGGCCCACCAGAACCATCGGGATGCTTCTCATGATACAGTGCACCATGCAGGCTTCTATAAGATGGTTTGAAATTATGTCATGGGCCTCCAGAATGGTGACAGCCCCTGCAGAGATCTTCCAAGAAATAAACTCTTCGTATGTGTATGGCTTGTAACCCAGGAGCATAAGCCTTCTTTTCTCAGCATAGTTTGGCACAACAACTACTTCCGTACTAATCTCGTCATGGAAAAGTCTCAGCTTGATGCAATTATCCATTCCAGACGCTTTTCTCATCATTGAAGATTCCCAGAAAGAGCTAAATATCGAAGGTGCCGACAATGAAGCACCCCTCAAGTCAAACGTAATAGGCTCCGTGGGACACAGGTAATGGCTGGACAGTAGGCAGACATTTACAAAGGGAGAGACAGTGTGCAGTCCATAGTTCTGGCTAACGAACTCACACCCGTTCTCAAATGTTATCACATCGTAAACAATAAGCTCTTGCTCTCTAGGATCTGTTATGAAAAGATAATATGTATTTGTGTATATCTTACTGTCATCAAAATCTTTCTCAATTCCAATGCTTACGACATAGTCCCCCGACACAGGAACCCGGATACTCAGCTGAATATTGAACTTAGGAACATATTTCAAATACTCAACTATACTGCTCCCACAGATGCCTATTTCGTTCAGCCCCTCCTTGCCCAATATCTCTATCATCCCAAACGGAATCTCCTTCATCTCAAGACCCCTAAGAGCATCCTTATCACATGCAAAGTGCCTCAGAGGCGTCTGATACGGAAATATCCTGTGTTCTGCAGCCTTGCACCACCCAAGTATCATTTTCGAGGTCCCAAGCTTTTTTCTCAGTCCAACCTCGAGTAATGCCCTAAACATCCTGCAAAGGTTCTGCGAAAGAGAGCTGGATTCCATCCTGTTAGCTATGTAGCATTGCACCAGAACCCCGAAAGAAGACTCCGTGGGAATGGGAACAAGCCCCTTCAGTGCCTCCATCTCCTTTTGATCCACACTCACATCAGAAAACTCCCTTGTTTTCTCCAGAATCTCAAATAGTGACGATTCCATCATGTTGTGTGAAACCTCATCAAACAGCCTTTTTGCATCTCTGTAGTGGATGTAGTATCTGGAAGAAACCTCGCCTATTGTTGTAGGACATATCGACGGCTCTAGAGTGGCAAGCCCTGCATCTTCCAAGAACCTCAAAGCACTATACACAAGACCCTTCACCATCTTTCCAGGCTCTCTGTTCAGCTTCACAAGCCTTGTGTAGTAGAAGGTGTGCTTAAACCAGTCTATCATTTCCTCAAATCTTCTTGTTCCCCTCACTATCTCCGCATTAAGGCAATCACACAGGCTAGGAAGAAGCCTAGAATCTATGCTCCGTTCAATAAGAAACTCGCTCTCCTTGCTAGATATTAGTATCCCCTTGCATCTGTCATCTCCAAATCTTCCTGCTCTTCCAAACATTTGGGTCATTTCAATCTGCTTAACTGGCTTCCATCCACAAGAAGCATCATACACCTCGGTTCCCTTTATTATCACCGTCTTTCCAGGTAGATTCACCCCCCACGCTAACGTGGCTGTAGACACCATTACATCTATCTTTCCGTTTCTGTACAGGTCCTCAACAACCGTTCTTGTTCTTTTGTCCAGCCCGGCATGATGAATCCCAACCCTATACGCTAGAAGCTCTTGAACACTTGGAATGACTCCCATCTCATCGCAGCCAACCCTTTCCATATACCTTTTAACCTCATTTGCAACATCAAGAGTTTCATTTCGCGAATGGACAAACACAAGCACAGGCCCATTGGCCTCAAGATTCTCCAACACTTTCTCAACAGCCATGCTCATCTCTCTTTCTTTCACCCCAACATTGATAACTTCGTAGTCTATTGCACTTCTCCTGAACTCAGGCCCAAAGTAAAAGATGTCAGAGTCTCGGCACCTAATAAACTCGCCAACATCCATGTAGTTCGGAAGTGTGGCACTGAGGCCTACAATCCTGCATCCCCCGCACATAAGCATTCTTGCCACAATAGCTTCTATCACCCAGCCTCGCGGGTCCCCAACCATGTGGATCTCATCAATAATCAGCAGGTCAAACTGAAGATCCGTGTTTCTTGTCAGGACATCAAACTTCTCCGGTGTGGACACAATCACTCCCGTCCTCTCCAGATGCTTATATCCAGAATAGACATCAGAGGTATGCTCCACAACAACAACCCCGTCCCCAGAAAACACTTCGCTAATTGTCTTGCATATCTCCCTGGCCAGAGCCTTCATGGGAACAATATACCCCACCCGCATCCTCTCTTTCCTCTCAACTTCCTTGAGAATCGACATCATCCCTATAACAGTTTTTCCACTTCCAGTAGGCGCACACACAAGAACATTCCCATCTCTTTTCAGTATCGAGTCCTGCACCACACTCTGGATATAATTAAACACAAAGCTCTTTCCAAAAAGTCTTCTTACATTGTCCGGTACTTCCCCGTCAAAATCAACCCTTACACTCTTTCCAGGAACAGAGACAATCTTAACCCCGTCCTCGTATCTCATGCTCGATTCCGGCGGATACTCTCCTTTTACAACATGTGTGCTGTTCATCTCAGACGTCTTCTCAAGATCAATCACCTTGCTTCCCCTCATTAGGCTCAGTCCATCACTGTCTATATACCTGATAAACCCCACTCCCCCAGAGACCTCGTGGATCATTCTTCTAGCCTCCCCTCTCCTGTCCGGAAACAATTGGTATGTAAGAAAGTATTCAAACACCCGGCTGTTGTCGGCCATGTATCTCATAAAATACATCTTTCGTCCAGACAGAACACTAGGAAGCACCTCCTCAAGATTCACCCCATTCTTTATCATCTCAAGAAGACTTCTCTTCTCCCTCCGTGTGAACAGAACATCGAACAGCTCGACATCCTCAAAACTCATCTCTCTTCTCTCCTTACAAAGAAAACGCTCCGTCAAATCCATCATCCTTGAAAAGTCCTCTTTCGATATCCCTCTTCCAATGGCATCCTCAATAGCACTCTGCTTCTCCGCTCTACTTCCACACAGCACTTCCACGGCCCTTTCGATCATCCTCTCGTCATCCGTCTCCATCAAAGCCCTAAGCCCTTCAAAATAGTCATCATACCTAACACCTTCAAATCCCATAGGGACTATCCTCCCCACCATTTTTACTTACGACAGACCGTAAACCCTAATCCAGTTAAATACAGATATTTATTATTCTCTAGCCACATCTCTCAAGGAAGAGAACATATGTGTGCTCCTTCTTAATCTTGTCAACCCTCTCAATCTTCTGGTCATTGCAGAGATACCACCCGTCCTTCCACAGGTAGCTTACATAATGCCCGCTCGATGTAACCGTCTCAGAGTCATGGTTACATACTCCTATGACTCTGTATTCTGCATCCCCAATGCGAAACTCATCAAGAGGATACTCAACTAGGGTCGAGATCTTCATGGGAAAAGAATTGACATACTGGAATCTTTTCAGCTGGATTATGAGGTATGTTGGGAGGCTCTCTAGATCAATCTTCTTGCTAAACATTTTCTTTTCACCACATCCTTCACAGTACAGAAGCTCGGATGGATGGAGGTCTTCCTTCTCCAGAAACTTGTCTATGCAGTAATTAAGTGTAGGCATCGGCGGCCTTATGGCCTGTATCATATCTAAGGGATCGCACAGGGGGTTGAGGAGCTTCCTTCCCCCATGTGCCCTGCTTACTCCTATCACAACAGGAAAGTCTCTTGCAGCCTCCTTAGATGCCCGACCAGGCAACTCCAGCTTAACATAGGGAGATATATCTTCATCTTCCAGGAGATCTTGTGACTCTTTCTGGACAAGGTAAATGAGTGCCCTCCGAACTTCTAAAAGCATTAGTGGCTCGCTATAGGCAAACGCTTTGATCAGTATATTGAACTGAAGCGACCTATCTATAAATAGCTTCTTAATCTTCAGATGAATCCAACAGTACTCTATGCCCTCAAAATACTCGTAGCAGAATAGGGCCTGCGGGATATTTCTTAGAATGGCATCGTTTGGTGCCTCAACCATATTTCTGCTGCCATCATACCATATACATGCAATCCTTCCCAAAACTCCATACTTGGTCCCTAGTAACTTCTTGAGTTCCTTGATACAGATGGAGCTGTCCGTGTATATTTTTATGGGCTGCTTTCTGCTCGACTCGTAGAACAGCACAATGTCGTTCTTGTGCTCCATGGGATGCGGGACAGGCAGAGAAAGGCACATCGCAGGCTCCACAGAGGCTTTGCTCCTTCCGCAAGCCCTGCATGACAGCGTAGATCTCAGACAGAAGAAAAACAGATCAGTGACAATCGACTTGCTGTAGTCCCACCATCCCCTTCCTTCCTTTTTCTTTTGGCATTCTATTTTGGTTGAGAGGCCCTCGTGCAGTGTGTCCAGCATCTTCGTGATAAACTCCACTGTGTCCTGCTCATCACTTCCCTTGTATTCCTCGTATATCGATCCCAAGCTTCTTTTGATTCCTGCTGGCGTGATGGGGTGTGTCCCTCCGTCATGTACTTGTGCAACAAGATCATAATATGCATTAGCCAAGGACACATGGTCAGGCTTGTGCTTTTCCAAGTGGCTTTCATATTCTCTACTGATGAAGTACTCGGTAAGCTTCCAACAGTTCATCAGGCATTGAAGCCCACTGTTCATAAAGCACGTGTTTCCTTGGTTCTTGAGCCCTCGGATAGCATTCCTCATGTGCTCGTCAACAGATAGAGCTCTTCCGTCCCCCATTCTTATGATTTTTGAGATCCTTAGCACGTCCCCATCAGAAAGCTCGCCCAGAACCGCAAGGGGGTGAATCACCCTGCCGTTGGATGCTAGGACCCTGTAGTTTCTCATGAACCCTTCCAGATCAAGCCGGAAGTCCATGAGGTGCAGTACTATATCAAACAGCTTGTCCGAAGGATCGGCAAGGACATTTACAATCTTCCTTGATCTCTTCATCCCGTTGCCATAGCTAGGTTGTTCGCTGGGACTAAAGTCACTGATGTTGGCAAGAGACTTGAGTATCGAGTAGATCCATCCGACCCTGACAATCACACTCTTGCCTGCCTCGGGGGTGACTGTGTTTGGAACAAGCTCATCAATCATAAAGACAACGAAGACCGCCCTTCCATCGCCCCTTGTTTCTGGCCCGTCGCCCTCTCTGTATTCCGTGACTGAACTCTCCTTCATCGTCTTCCAGGTGTCCTCTGGAACAAAATAGATTCTGGCCCCAGATACCTTGCCACCTATAAGTGCCCTGCCGAATTTCTTTTGGGCTTTAGCAAAAATAGAAGAGATGGCGTATTCCTGCTGCCTTGGATCTGAGCTGGAGCTTTGGCCCTTGTGCCCGTCCGCCATGATAGGGGATTGTTTTGTTTGGATTTACTATGGCTTGGAGTGATGCAGGCATTGGAGGATAAAAAAGCACAATCAAGCCTCGAGCGGAAAAGGAAATGACGGAGCTAGGATTTGAACCTAGAACCTTCGGGACTGGAATCCGACGCGCTGCCATTGTGCCACACCGTCTAGGCTGCACCCCATGGTGCTTTCTCTTTTCGTCAGGTCGGCACGTGTAAGAAGTAGCCACTCGCCTACCACTCACAAATAAATAGCTGTTCAAATAAAAAGAATTTATTCCTCCTCGGCTGCAGAAAGTTTCGCCTGTACCCGTTGCCTCCTCTCCTCGTATGTAAGTCTTGGCTGCTTGTACTTCTTGAATCCAGAGTAGTCCTTTATCTCCCTCTTCTCTTTTATTGGGTCCTCTGCAATCTTGTCAAAGGCGTTCTTGTAAATCTGCGGAATGTCTTCCGGCTGGATGCCCTTCTTGATATAATCAGAAAACTGCACCTCATACTTCTCCGGGTTGCTCTCCCTAAGCTCCTGCATGTACTCAGAGATGTTGTGCCCAAATATCCTGTCGTGCAGCTCTTGTGCATCAAAGCTTCCGTCCTCCTTGTATCCATAGAACTTCACTTCGCTGTGGGGAATGTTCAGCCCCGCATCAGATGCTCCCTTCATCGCCCCAAACACTTTTGCCCCTTTTGTAGACCTTGCAAGCCCTATGTCCAAAAACACCTTGGGCGCCTTCTTCTCTCCATCAACATCCTCCGTAATACTATAAGACCCGTCAATCTTCTTTGGCCCATACACCCCATCAAGAGACAAGGCTGTAAGTGCTCTTCTCCCAATAAGGAACCCTGTGGCATATGCTGCAGAGTAGTTCGTCAGCCCAAAGTTGATCCCATACTTAGGAAGCTCGCTAGAATCTGCATACACCATGACCCTGTCTCCTTCCATGTACGCACCCACAATCTGGCATATAACCCTGCTGTTCGTTATTCGCACAACAAGCCTATGCTTCACAGACCCATACGAATTCGAGTCCTGCCTGATCATGTTCGTTCGGTGCTTGTAGTCCGTCTTTCCCTCGCGTCTCCTTCTTCTCTTCACCTGGAAGTTCTTGTGGTAGTTCCTAGTCCCCTTTGCATTGGTCTTGAAATTAATCGTAGCCACTTACCATTTTGCCGGGGCTCAAAATTTTTCAACATATCATCCAGAATGGCTCCAATCCTAGGCTCCTCTCTATGCCCTATAAGATAATCTCCATTCAGTTCCATTTTTGATCCCCCATGGACGACTCTATATTCTCCAGGATAAAAAAGCTGGCCAAATCGGGTTTCTTCAAGAACCCAGAGATAGACAAGCTTGGGTATGGATCCTTCCTGAAGCAACCGGCTGCAGACTCAAATCTGTTCATCCAAAAGGCCAGAGACCTGAAGTCCAGGGCCGATGCTGCAATGAAGGAGCCTGGCCACAAGGGAGCAAAGATGGTCATGGAGACAATTATGATGTACATAAGGGGATACATAGAGGAGGGTGGCAGGCACAAGACGGTCGACATCATTCGGGGATGGAAGAGCCTTGGAAAGTACATTGGAGAGACCGCAAGGTCGCAGAAGGAGGAGGACATCTCTGCATTTCTTAGGCTGGTCCTATTCAACGTGAAGTTTCATTATCTGTATTTGGAAAGTTCCCTGATAATCAAGCAGGGAAGAAGAAATGAAAACAAGGAGGGCATACTGACGTATTTTCTAAGTGAATACAACGATCTTTATAATCTGTTCATACAGTCCAAGATGAAGAACTTCCACGTACTTCGTCCGGACGATCTTCTGGACATTGTGAAGGAGAAAATAAACTCGATGTAATGCGTGCTTTGTCTTGATGTTTGGGATGAGCCTGGCTCTGTGCAACAATTTCATAGGCCGAGGAGGCATTTATGTTTATTGGGATCACCCAGGGATGGAGATTCAAGAATTTGAAAGACTGGAGAGTTTAACCGCGTCTCTTCTTTGGAGCTGCAGGACGTTCTCTTCCAAGGACTTTGTGGAGGTGTATGACATCATCTACAACCACTGTACAGAGGTGACGGCAACGTTTGAGACGAAGGGGGCGAAGGTGTATGAGTGTCTTGAGAGGGTTCTTTTGTCGCATGTGGACCGTTTGAGATGCTTTACGTCTCTCAAGACTCTTCACGGGCAGCTGGCTGAGTTTTCAAATGCCTTAGACCTCGTATCCAAGGCCTACTCGTACTTGGGAAGATACTTTATCAAGATCAGCATGGAGAGAAGGGACGGACACATTCAAGACATTCGAACACTGGGGCACAGTGTGTTCTATAGGAGATATATGGAGAGGATTATGGGCCAGGCAAGGGAGATAATCTTCTTTGAGATTGGGGTTTCGAGGAGTAGCAAGGACTACAACTTCCAGAGGCTTGGGGAGGCTGTGCGGCTCCTCAAGAGGATGCTATTCTACTGCGACGAGTCCTCTGTGTATGAGGATATTGTGCAGGGATATCTTGATGGATTCCACAGGTCGATGGACTTTAGCGGGGACATTAGCAAGGTTTTGAAAAGAGTGTACTTGGAGATATACATAGCCTCGAAGGTCTTTGAGCCTGACAACAACAGATTGTACAAGGAGATTGCATCCAGGGTGCGGGACAGGTTCGATGATGTCCTAAGGCTCCTTGGGTGGAAGATGGAGAGGTTTGAGAAGTTTAAGTTATATGTGAAGATTGTCCACTTTATGGAGCCTGAGTACATGGGAAGGGTTGGGGAGAAGTACAGGGAGATTATTCGGAAGAAGATACTTTGTGCTGGAGGTCTCGGGGACCTGACTCGGGAGTACCTCCGGATTTGCAAGCAGATGAAGGAGAATCTGATGGATGATGAGGAGATGGTTTTGTATCTAAACGAAGAGATAAGGAAGCACCTGCATATTTCTGGAAGACTCGGATTTGAGGACGAGGTCCACAGACATATTGACAGGGCTGTAAGAAAGGGAGAGGAGGTCTCTGGGGAAATGGAGGTTCTTGTTGTCTTTGCAAGCTTGATGTCGAACAAGGAGGTGGTTGCAGAAAGGATAACACAGGATGCACGGAAACGGATGCTAGGATGCAGCGGAGGGTTTGAAAGGGAAGGGATGTTGGTTTCGCTGATGGAAAAGCATTTTGGAGGGGCCATTAACAGGAGCATGAGCATCATGTATGAGAACCAGGTGAACTACGTAAGAAATGGATTCAATATAGCAGGGCAGAGTTCCGAGCTGATTACGGAGACAAGGTTTCTAACAAAGGGGTTCTATGAGCTGAATGCAAGCGGAGAGAATCTTCCGCAGCCTTTGAAAGATATATGGAGGATTGTGTCGCAGCCAAAGATGGTGAAGTACCCAAGGGGGGAGCTGGCATGCTGCCATAGCCTATCGCCAATGATATTTTCGATGAACGGGTTCAACTTCCGGATGGGGACTGACAAGCTGCTAATAATGCTATGGCTGAGTGTCGATAGAGAGACACCCGACCTGAAGAGATGTGTTGGGGGGTCTGGATTTGAGGGGAATCTCGAGTATCTTCTATCGCATGGGTTTATTGTATGCACGGATGGGATTATATCGCTCAACAGAATGTTTTCGCACAAGGAGTATGCCTACATAAGAAACAAGTACAGAGATAGAGTTTATCTTATGGACTCTGACCACAACCTGGCCTTTGAGGGGGCTGAGGAGGGCATGAAGGAGGCAGAGGAGATTGTGGATCTGTTTGAGATTGAGTTTTCAAAGGTCATGGCGAAGAAGGAGATTGAGGCAGTGGGGCCTCTTGGGGCGATTGTAGAGGCCAGAGTCATGCGGATGTTAAAAAGAAGAAAGAGGGTTGAGATATCTCGAATGATCAAAATGATTGGAGATGAATTTGGAGATGACGAGAAGAGTGTTATGGAGGCGATTTGCAGGCTGGATGAGAAGGATTACTGCAAGGTTTGCGGAGACTATCTTGAGTACATTCCCTGAGAAGAGACAGATGGGTGTAGTGAATAGAGATTAAATTTTTGTTTTTTTGGAAATCAACAAAGACCCTTGATGGCATATGACTATGAATATGATGAGTCTGGCCTTGCCTCGAGCTATCTGCTACTATCGATGCTGGTTCCTGTGGCCTTGTATATGACCTATGACCTGGTTGATAGTTCTCCCATCAGGAGGGTGCGATGTTCCTGTTCTGGATGCAAGAACAAGGATGTGAACAGAAAAACAAAGAGGAAGGTGTTTACGACGATTATATGGATTGTCATATCGTATTTGATCAGCAATATAAGGACCTTGAAGATTGAGTATAACAAAGGGTTTGATCCCTTGGAGGTGCTTGGGATTGATGAGGGGACGGGGGAGAAGGAGATTAAGAAGAGGCTTCGGAGGCTTCTGATGAAGTACAACCTCAGCAAGGCGCCTGAGGATCTTCGGAAGGAGTACGAGGAGAAGCAGAAGATTATCAACAAGGCGTATGGGCTTGTGAGCGACAAGAAGAGGTATGAGGCATGGCTGAACAGCGAATCGAAGACTGGGGAGATAGTTGCGATTCCCAAGATTGTTATTAAGAGGGGGATGTATGCGTTTGCCCTGTACTCCCTGCTTCTCGGAGTGTTTCTTCCAAGATGGGCTTACCGGAAATGGAGGGAGATCCGGGACCTTAACAGGGTTGGGGTGAACTTCCGGACTATGGAGATGTTCTACGAGAAGATTGATGCTGGGGTGAATCAGACGAAATGCCCTTCTGAGGCGGTGACGAAGCTGATTATGATTATGATGAGGTCTGTTGAGTTTAGTGAGTACAGGTGGAAGAGCGATGTTGAGGGCCTTCGAGGCAAGATTGAAAGCGGGTTTGCATTTCCGCTGAAAGACTGCGGGAAGGAGAGCAAGGGATACCTTGTGTTGATGGACCATCTTTTCCGAATTGGGCAAGCAGAAAGAAGTGATGTTGAGTATGTGCAAAGGGCTTCTCTGAGGTTGGTTGAGGGTATGAAAGCGATTGGAATAGCGAAGAGGTATGGCAATGTTGTGAAGAGCCTTGTGATTCTTGAGTCGATGATTATCCAGGCTGTGTTTGATATGAAGTACTCGATGCTTCAGATTCCCTTTGTAAGGTTTGAGGACATATTTATACAAGAGAATTGCAAGGAAAAGATATCTGCAGAGGGATACATAGGAACGGCACTTTCGGGGGAGAAGAGGGAGTCTGCACTGAATGTATGCAACAGCATTCCTCTTGTTAGGATAGCGGAGTTCAGTGCATCTGTGATTGAGACTGGGGTTGTTAAAGACGAGGAGGACGACGAGCCCTCTTCATCTGAGAATCTAGTCACCAAGAACGATTCTGAAGAGAAGGCGAAGAGTGCAAGAGAGCAAGCTGTATATGTTATTCCTGGGGGGAGCATTGCAACAATCAATGTTGTCCTTGATAGAGAATGCAAAGTTGATGGCTGTGGCAAGGGAGAGATGATAGTGCATGCACCCTTTATGAGGGAGTCGTTTTTTGTCAAGTGGATTGTGATGCTGACTGTAGACAATGTCATCTATGGAAAGATAAAGGTTATAGATGACTTTGAGAAGAGGACAAGCATCAGGTTCAGTGTGGATGTTGGAGAGGTTCGGAAGATGTGCGAATGTAAAGTGTTTGTGGGGTGTGGGGAGTACATGAATAGAAATGTGGAGAAGAGCATTGTGATCAAGGTTGAATAAATCCCTAGTGTTTTTGTTGTGGTGTATAGGTTGTTTGAGGCAAGGATATGTGGAGGGGATTGGAACCCTTAATTGATGGGCGAGAAATATAAACTATCGTCATTAGGAAGCGATGATAAGGTTCGAAGTGTTGCATTTACCAATGAATCTGAGATAACTATTGGAAGCGGCCTTGACGCCGATGTGAGGCTACAGCAGCCGTCGGTTGAGGAAAGGCATGTGGTTGTGTACTTTGACCAGATGAAGATCCGAGTGTTTGGAGGCAATGTGTTTCTGAACGAGGAGGCACTTGAGAAGGAGGCGATGTATGGGTTCCAGTTTGGGGAAGTGCTGAGGATAAACAAGTACAGGTTTGTGTTTTCTCTGACCGAACCTGGAGACTTTGTTGATGAGGACAAGATTATTAGAAGGCCGACGATGGAGTTGAGCTATCTGAACCAGGAAGGGGAGGGGAAGGATGCGGCTGGATGCAGGAAGAAGATAAAGATTTCGGATAGAGGGGAGGAGAGGAGTGATGCGGTTGTTTCGATTGCATTGAACAAGGTTACTGGGGTGAGTGTTTCACTGAGCAAAGAGGAGGCCGAGAATGTATGTTCTGTGAAGCAGGTGATTGAGGAGCAGAAGGAAGCACTTAAGAAGGAGATCAAGGAGTCGATTGAGATGTCTGTGGTTGACACGCCTGTCCTCCCGTCTCTGGGCCGGAAGAATTCTCGGGATCTTGGGGAGGTGATGATAAAGAAGGAGATTCTCGACAGCGCTGAGAAGGTTGTTGAGGAGAAGATGAGGGAGGAGCATGAGGCAATAGATGAGAGCCTTGATGAGCTGAAGCAGAATGTCAAGGACAACATCAAGGAGGAGCTGAAGGAGGATCTGAAGAGAGATTTTATGGAGGATGTGAAAGAAGACATCAGGGATGAGGTCAAGGAGGTCTTGCTATCGAGCGACATGAAGAACGCCATTGCCACCGATGTGATAAGCCGGATTGAGGGGGAGAAGCCTGATCCTGAGGAAGAGAAGGAGAAAGACGATAAAGTAAAAGAAGAGGAGGAGCCGAAGGAGAACGAAGGAGCAGATGAGAAGTCCGGAGGGCGAAGAAGAAGATCGAGTGCAATGAAGCTTCTACCGCAGGATGATGGAGAGGCGAGTGGAGTAAAGGCGCCTAGGAAGGCCTCTATTAGAGGTAAGAAGCGTGCACCGGCTGGGGAGACAAGCAAAAGAAGAAAAGGAGGGAAGAAGAGTGAGGAGAAAGCAAAGGATGGAGAGTCGAGGAAAGGCAGTAAGGATGAAGAATAAAGTTTTAATGGTTAGTCTTTTTATCCCTTATGGACAGGCTGTACAAGGATGTCAGCGAGGAGTTTTTATCGGGGCTCAGGAGGTACATCAACGATGAGATTTCGTATTCTGAGCTGAAAAGGCTTTCCACCAGAGAGGCTCTTGCATTTGATAGCCACAAATGGGACGAAATTATCGAGAAGAAATCTCTTGAGGCACTCGGGATGAAGAGAAGGATGTATGACGAAATCTTGCAGATTGAAGAGCGTGTCAAGACGATGGAGAAGCTGGAGAGAGGGGAGGAGTTTGATGCCGACCTTGAGGGATTGGTGTCACATTCCGGAGTTGTAGGGAGGAACAGATCGCATCCTCCGGGATATGAAAACACCAGCCTGTATCTTCCGCCGTTTCCTTCTTTACCCATGGTAAGCTTTCTGAATGACTCTGAGGGCGAAAGTTCTGCAGAAAGCCAGGGCCTGTAGCTTGGAGAACCGTGCACTGCTCCTGCTTTACCTTGTGAGAACGAATGCCCTTAATGAAACTGGCAGTCAGCTGTGCAATGAATCAAAATAGAAGCATGCAGACACACGATCTATTTATGAAGAAGGGAATCCCGATCAAGTCTTTTGGCACAAACCCTGTCATAAAGCTCCCAGGAGAAACTGTGGAGAGGCCGAATGTGTACAGCTTTGACAACACATACCAGCAAATCTACGACGATCTGTGCATGAAGAACGAAGATTATTATAGAGAGTCTGGGATTCTTTACTTGCTAGAGAGGAATATGAGGGTGAAGGAGAAGCCGGAGAACTTCTTCCAGAGAGACGAAGACTTCGATCTAGTGATAACTTGCGAGGAAAGAGTGTTTACCAGCATATTTGAGCATTATGTCGACAGTCCTTCTTGCACAAGGTTTTTCTTCATGGTGAATTTTGACATCAAGGATACGCCATCGGATGCAATCACTGGGGCCCAGGAGATACTTGAGTTTGTGGAGGATGTTCTTTCTCTGGAGGAAGAGGGGCTGGAGTATGCCGTGGATGCTGCACTGAGGAGATACTTTGAGAGAAAAGGAGCCATGCTTCTGTTTACTGTTGTGAATTTATAGACCTAGTAATAAAGCTCCGCCATTTATTGATATTTTTCTTGGAGTATATAGATATGCATCGGCTTGATTCTATTGAAACAGAGTACCCCTATGAGTGAGGGGAAAAGGTATTGCAAAATCTGTCACATGGGAGATGTAGGGGGAGATGATTTATGCAACCCGTGCAGGTGCTCTGGAACGATAAAATACATTCATCGCGAGTGTTTGATGTCGTGGATTGAGTGCTCCAAAATCAAAAGATGTGACATATGCCACTATGAGTATAGATTCAGAGATATTTACAAGCCGGACACGCCCCAAATGCTTCCTTTGTCTATACTTATCAAGGGGATATGTGGCATGGGGTGGAAGGTGGCAATTGCTCTTACGTGGTGCATTCTGCAGATGATCAGGTGGCTGGGTGTTTTTTATTTCAATGGATACCTCTTTATGACGTCGGTAGGACTTTATGATTTCAGTTCCAGGCCTGACTTAAAAGGCAGTATGCTACTGATAGCAGTTGGGATTCCATTGGCTTGGCTAGCACAGATAAACCGATGCCTGTTTAACCAGATCAAAGAGAGATTTGGGGGTGCCACAAGAAGAAGGAGGATGGTAAATCCAAGTACAATACTTGAATCCCTGAATAGAGAGCTTTTACAGGATGAGGAGTCTACCCGAACATCTAGGAGGGTGCTTGCTCACGAATTGGATGACAATCTACCTCCAGGCTCCCGTGCTGTTACTTCTGAAGGAACTAGTGAAACTGCCGATACCCGAAGGGAGCGAGCTAGGAGGCAGAATGATCCCATGAGAGACTTCCAGTTCAAACCAATTATATCTGGAGCTGTTGAGATGACGCTTCCGGTATCATTTATATCTGTGATCTATGGGGTTGGGAGACTTGTTTATATCCCTGGTGTTCCTGGGGCCTTTGGGCAGTTTCTTTCTGACATGGGGCTGAAAGGGCTGTATTCCAGGCTGGTTGGGTTTGGGATTGTCTTTTGGATGGCTATGGAATGTGCCGGGCATATATGGAGAAGATGTAGAGCTAGTAGAATGAAGTATGTGCATGTCTTTATGAAGATATATCTTATAATCATGATGAATATATTCTTCATGAATCTAACGTTTGGACTAGTCCTTCACTATGTATTTGGAAGGATACTGAATAGAGGAATGCATGTCTTAGACCTCAACGACGAGTATGGGCCCATTCTAAAGGCATTCATGTCTCTGGTATTCCACATGTCAATTGGATACACCTTCAGCATTGTAATAAGAAACATGTTCCTCAGATTCAAGAGGTGCTTCCGGCCGGGTGTTTTCCACTTTGTACCTGATGACGACGACTCCCGGATGGACGAGCTATACGAGGCTTCGAAGGTGGGGGTTCTTCGGATACTTTTTCGTGCTGCAATGTACTTAACGTTCTTCACCCTGTTCTACGGAGTGGGGCTCACAACGATCAGACTGGCCTGTGGGGAGGTAGGTGTGAAGTTTTCCATAAAAAGCTTTCTAAAGCTAGCACTCAGCTACAAAACCTTTACAATGGTCCTGTACTCGAACAAGATACTCTGCGACTATGTGGTGAAAGGACTCGACAAGGTTGTAAGGCTGGAGGCCAGGCTACTTGGGATGGAAAACTTTCTTTACAATACACGAATAAGACGGTACAACAAGCAGATGCTGAGATGGTGTGCTAATAGGAACAAGATCTTCAAGAGGCAGCATGTCAAGGCAAGGGAAAGAAGAAGGCCGACAGAAAGAGAGATTCACAAGTACTTCAACACGCAGATTTCTTCTGACTTTGCAATCTTCTACATCCCAAGGCTGTTTGTTCTCAGGTGCGGCCTGATAGGGCTGTCTGTTGTTTTGTCCTTGTATTGCCTTTATGCCGGATATGCCTTTATTGCCAGCTGTATTGTTAGAAGAATCAACATGGCAAGATATGTAAGGGACTCTGAAGACATACTATTCTATCTTGTATTGTCTAGTCTCTTTCGCTTGTCATGGATAATGATCCATGTGGTGGTTAGCAGTGTAAGAGGAGAGAAAGATACTCTACAAACGGTTGGGGATCTATGCAAGCATGGGATTGTGAACGTGTACATAAACACGGTCTATCCCCTGTTTGGGAGCCTGATGGTTATTATGCTGTCCAGCGATGGGATTGGTGTCAACGGAGTACGCCCCCTAAGGCTGTTTCTGTTTTTCTTCAGTTCTACCTCGATTGTGGAGACGATTTTGAGTTCGTCTCCTGAGCACTACACCTTTCGAGCGCTTGTCAGGGAGCTGTGCAAAATCAATGCATTTATTTCTGTTGTGTTTGGGATATGGTATATATACAATGCAGTGACCTTACTGCTCGGGCTGGACAACATGGAGTTTATTATCCTGAGTGTTGCTGCCGGATATATAATTTTTGTATCGAAGAAGATTGGGCAGTGTATCCAGAGTGAAAAGGGCTTCTACAAAAAGCTTCTGGATGAAAACTACTTGATTGAAAGAAGGATTGTGAATATTGATGAGGAGTGATATGTTAATAAAGCGGAGCCTTGACTATTTATTTTTTTGAACCGCGGTGCCGAAGGGATGGGAAAGGAAAGCAGGGAAAGGGCGATTGAGGCCAGACTGAGCCGGCCCAAGGAAGATCCAATGGGCAAGAGTCCTGACTTGAAGGAGGAAGTGAATTCGATAAAGATAAAGGTCTATGTTGGCGAGGATGGAAGAGTTGTTCTAAAACCGTCCAACAAGAGACTTTCTACTGAGCTGAGCAAGCTGGAGGAAAGCATGTATGACATCAAAAGCAACGAGTGGAGGATAAGCGTGAGGGACTACATATCTGTGAGAGGAGAGCTGAGGAGGAACAAGCTTGTGTTTGACGAGATTCCAAAGGGGACGCTAAGGATTGCAGGGAAGGAGATGGATGAGGAGGAGTTTGAGCTTGCTGGGGACATATATGACATGCTGCTTCCGTTCCAGAGGGAGGGTGTGCGGTATGCGTTGAGTAGGAGAGGAAGGATAATCATTGCAGACGATATGGGGTTAGGAAAGACCATCCAGGCGCTTGCTGTCTCGTATTACTACAGGTCTGAGTGGCCTCTGCTGATCATTGCGCCTGCATCTCTGCTTGATGACTGGGCCGATGCATGCAAAAGATTTCTAGGGGAAGAAGCTATGGTGATGAGAAGAAAGGGGGACTTTGGACAAACGATCGGGGTTGTGAGTTACGAGGTGGCCTCCAGCAATGTGTCTGGATTGCTTGAACACAAGGCGGGCGTAGTCATTGTTGATGAGTGCCATTACCTCAAAAGCCTGAACACTAAAAGAACAAAGGCAATAGTCCCACTACTCCAGAAGGTTCCCAGAGCCATTCTGCTTTCTGGAACACCTGCAGTGAGCAGGCCGCTTGAGCTGTATCCCATAATAGCATCTATCGACAGAACGATATTTCCGCGCTTTGCAGAGTATGGGGCTAGGTATTGCAACGGAAGGAAGGTAGGCTTGTGGTATGACTACAAGGGATGCAGCAATGCAGAGGAGCTCCACTATGTCCTGAAGAAGTGTCTCATGATCAGGAGAACAAAGGATGAGGTCTTAAGCCAGCTACCCCCGAAGTTCAGGAGACAGGTTATTTTGCAGTGTGAAGGAAAGCAAAGCGATCCTAGAAAAGAAGTTGTGGGAGAAAGCGTCGATGCAAATGTTGTTGTACAGTACAAGGAGGCTGTAAAACTGAAGATGGGGCCTGTGAAGCAATACCTGGCAACGATGCTGGAGAAGAGCATGAAATTTGTGGTTTTCTGCCACCACTCTGAGATGATGGATGGGATTGAGGAGTTTTTTGTAGAAAGGAGGGTTCCAATGATCAGGATTGACGGGTCTGTGCCCAGCGGAAACAGACATCCTCTGGTCAGAGACTTCCAAGAAAACGACGAGATAAGGGTTGCACTACTGAGCATAACGGCATGCAGCACGGGGCTTACACTCACTGCGGGGAGGGCTGTAGTGTTTGCAGAGCTGTACTGGAATCCCGGTGTTCTTCTTCAGGCGGAGGACAGGATACACAGGATAGGGCAGAAAGGCAGTGTCGACATTATATACCTGGTTGCAAGAGGGACTATTGACGAGTATGTATGGCCCAAGCTTCTGTCGAAGCTGAATGTTCTTGAGTCTCTGGGAATAGGAAGTAACCAATTGAAGAATGTGGGAGTATCCTCCCAATCCAGTGGGCAGAAAACCCTATACCAGCTCAACATCAAAAAGTGTAACTGACTTTATTCTTGAAGAAGAATGAGTGATGAGGATTGGAGCAGGGATCCCCTAACCCATGGCCTTCGAAGCACAGAGCTCTCTGAAGGAGGAGCTAGAAATACTAAGGCTGGTTATTTATAAGTCAAAGAACGGGCATCGAGGGTCAAAGCTGTTTAGGAAGCTTGTTCACTTGAAGAGGCTTTCCCAGTCCTTTCTGCTCAATAGGGTGAAGAGCAAAAGGGAAGAAATCCGCAGAGTGAGCGAGGAGTTGTATGTCCTGGCAACATCAAACATTCCGGAGGGACATCTCATCAGCTACACACTTATTGTTTTGGGTCTGTGCTCTAGGATTCACTATTTGGTGGGCGGCATTGAATGCATTGAAGATACCGATGATATTGATGAAATGTTTGCAGAGATTGAGTAGTTTATGTTTTTTATTAAAATTCCAACCGTTTAGACTGTCTCTTCTACTTTTGGTGTCACTATTTTTGGCTTCACTTTGTCGCTTTGCCACCATTTGCGAATGTGTGGAGATGACACTATGGCAATTCCAAGAACAAGAATGAGTAGGCTCAAAACATTAAACATAGCAAAGTCCTCGTGGGAGACCGGCTCTGAGATGCTCCCTGGAGAAAGAAGGTTTTGGATGAGGGGGACAACGAGTCCCACGACTATGCATCCCCACTTGGCTGCATCTGGTATCCCGGTGTGCTTACTAAGAGGAGGAAAGAAGGTTGCAAGCTTTAGAATTAGAACAAGGGAGGAGAATATGATGAGGTAGTCGACGTAGTTGCCCTTTGGAAGGTGCTTGAAGTCTAGGAGCCCGGAAGAGACGACCATTCCCAGCAACGACGCCATAGACACAATGGTGGCATGGTCCTCTATCTTCAGATCACTCAGCTTATCAGACTTAGTAAAGAGCAGTCCGGCGCCAATAATAAAGGACAGTAGATACATAACCATCAAAAGAATCTTAATTCTGTTCATCTTTCTTGCACCATGATCACCTGTAAATCTGCGTAGTTGGTAAAGAACCTTGAGGACTGAAACCAAGAGGACGGCAGAAGTTGCAAATTTTGAAATGTCTACAATGCGGTCGTTTGGGTTTCCAGAAGTCAGATGATGATACCCTATCTGTGCAGCTGCAACAAGAAGGTTGAAGGCGCTTATAGCCAGGTCAAAAGAAATCCTGGATCTATTTTTTTTCTCCGGGTTACTGTTCTCTTCCATTCCCGAATTCATCTTTTCCATATTTATGTTTTCTTCTCCTTTCTGTCTCCTTGATGGCTCAACAGGACTTTAGCTTTTCCAATAATCCATATATGGAATCAATCTTTTTATGTCCAACCCAAGGAAGCAAGGTGATGGGAGTGTGAAGAGGTGACAAGAGAAAGATTTTGAGCCCCTGTATGGAGACGCAGCTTTCTAAGATTTGTTTAAGCGGGATAACTGAAATAAGAGACCTGGATGGAAGCCTTGACGGGAAGTGTGTGAGGGTACGGGGGTTTGCTCTCAAGGTTTCGTGCACAGGAAAGTATGTATTTATAGTCCTGCGAGACAACGGATGTACGATTCAATGCATGTGTGAAAAGCCCATTGATGGAAAGGGAGATGTAACACCGCAGGAATTCAACTTGCTTAAGAAGGTGACGCACGAGTCCTTTATTGAGGTAAGGGGGAGGGTGATTCGGCAGGAGACGGAGATATCTGGATGCACCAAGAAGGACATAGAAGTCCGCATTCTCGGGTTCGATATTCTGAGTGCTGCCGACAAGAACCTGCCGTTCATAATGAAGGATGCCTCTGCAACGATTGAGGAGAGAGAAAAAAATCCAACGCTTCAGAATGTTGCATACCACATCAGGCTCGACAACAGGGCAATGGATCTTCGGACTCCGCAGGCGAGGGCTACCTTCCGTGTGATAGACGGGGTGATGTTTTTCTTCCGAGACTATCTCAGGAGGAATGGGTTTGTGGAGATAAAGACATCGAAGCTGATTGAGAGCTCCAGCGAGGGAGGAGCCAATCTCTTCAGTGTAGACTACTTTAAGAGAAAGGCGTTTATGGCGCAGAGTCCCCAGCTGTATAAGCAGATGGCGATTGTGGGAGGGCTGAAGAGAGTGTGTGAGATAGGGCATGTCTATCGCGCAGAAGAGTCTAACATCAACAGGTATCTTAGCGAGTTTGTGGGGCTTGATATGGAGATGGAGATATCGACGGACTACAACGATGTGATTACATTCATCCACTCGATGCTTGTAAGCATTTTCGATGGCCTGAAGAAGGAGTACAAGGATGAGCTGGAGACGATCAGGACTTTCCACTGTTTCGAGGACATTAAGTACAACACCCAGCCAGTTGTCCTGACGCACAGGGAATGTGTGGATCTTCTTTTGAAGGAGGGAGTTGAGATGGGGTATGAGGACGATTTCAATAGTGAAAACGAGAAGAAGCTAGGATCTATAGTGAAGAGGATGCATGGTGTTGACATCTTTGTGATAAAGGACTATCCTGTATGCACGAGGCCTTTCTATACATACAGAGATGAGGAAAGGGGAGTGACAAGGTCGTATGACTTTATTCTCCGGGGAGAAGAGATCCTGTCTGGTGCACAAAGAGTCAATGTTTACAAGGATCTGGTCAGATATGTTGAGGAGCGCGGGATAACTCCGTCCTCTCTTGGAGGATACCTGGAGTCGTTTAAGTATGGCGCTCCTCCGCACGGGGGATGTGGGATTGGACTTGAGAGGCTAATGAAGGCATACTTTGGAATGGGGGATATAAGGTGCTTTTCGCTGTTTCCTAGAGATCCCAACAGACTCTATCCTTAAATAAAAGTACCCATGGCTATTCTTTTTAGTTTTCGTACATTGCAGAGAAGCCTTTTAAGAATGGTTTGCAAAGGCCTCACGAATGGAAAAGATAAGATACCACCTAGTCGAGAGGTATTCTGAAGAGGGCCTGACCTTTCTTATCTTTTACCTCAGGAACATGAGTCCAATAGAAACGGTGTACTTCTTCTGTACTGCATTGAAGGTACTGGATAGAGACAGTGCTGTGGCACTCCTTGCATACCTCAGGCATGCACATAGCAAGGGGATGGCGTGTCCGAGGTATGCACAGAGGTCTGTCAACTACCATGTGCACATGCTGAACAAAAGAATAGCAAAAAAGATTCCGAGCATTCTTGGGCGCTTTGCTTCTGAGATGAAGCTCTTTGACTTTACGGAGGTGCGGGGAAGGAAAGTGGGAGAAGAGGTAAAGAGGGAGCTTGATCCCTTCAGCCTTCTTATCGACCTTGTTTTTGAGACGCTTGTCAAAAGCAGCAACATTGAGATTGAGAACACCATCCAGACATACTTCCATGAGAAGCAGGAGGAGGAGCGTCCAGGCCCTGTTACCGAAGCCTTTAATCTGCTTGGAAGGATCAAGGAGGCGGGTGCAATAGACGTAGGGATTTCGAGGATTGTGAGGATGCTTGATCCCCGAGACTCGTTGGATGCACTAGTGTTTATGAGCAAGAACGAGAGGTACAGCCATTCATTCTTTATGTATGCATACCTGTTGAACCGGGATGTTTACGACGCCATGGTCGACCTGATTCTTGAGAGCAGGCAGTACTTCAGGGTTGACATTGTTAAGCATCTTGTTTCGCTCGACATAGAGAAGGTTCTGGAGAAGATAACAGATGAGACTGTGGAGATATTGGGCCATATGGTCAAGGAAAGGAGGGCACATGTTAAGGAGATTGTGGAGATGATTTCCGAGGGAAGAGTGAATGTCTCTAGAGAAAATGTTCTGGAAGTTTTCAAGGAGAACTACGAGACTCTTGGCGAATATGCATCCTACTTTAAGCTGAGCGACCAGGAACTGATCGAGGTTTCGAAATCGAATGACGATGCCCTGCCTCTTGCATTGGACGCTGTTGACACGCAAGAGAGCATGAACAGCTTTGTCGATCTATTGAAAGAAAAGGAGGACAGCGCTGTGATCAACCTCATCAAGTCTATGGGAGAAGACCAAAGAAAGGAGGCCCTCATACAGACGATCCTTAGGAGGAGGGTTGTCAAGGGCCAGCTCAGAGTCTACCTACTGGACAACTACTCGGACGATGACCGATTTATATATGATTTTCTACCGTATTTGGAGAAGTCCGATGTATACAAATACATTCCCGACTATGTTGTTGACGCCGAGTCATTGAATACGTTTCTGAAGGTTATAGAATGTTCCGAGCTTCTGATTTTTGCACACAAGATTCCGGACGTCTCGAAGGCCATACGGATTCTCGATCTCTGCTTCAAATCGCCAAGATTCAGCGAGAGCGACTTTCTGTTTACGCTAACCACCCTGGAGAAGGAGCTGCCTCTCCTGATTGTTCGGACGTTGATCCAAACCCTGCTGAAGTTTCCAAACCTGAAGAACTTTGTTGTCTCATTTCTGTCGAGGTTGGCCAGAAGGAACATATGGAAGCAGGAGGAGATGGTGGAGGGTGTTGTAAGGTGCTTTGAGATAGTTGGGCCTGCAGCGGTTGACATTGTTATGTATCTGGACCCTGATGCGATGTCTAAGGCTCTAGGGAAGAGCAAGGGGCTTAGAAGTCTGTGCCGTGAGTATTTGAGGAAGGAGGCGTCTGGAAAGCGCCACGACTCTGCACTGAGGTCTGTGCTGAGCAAGTTTGGTAATAAATAATTGTCATAAAATATTTTTTGGTTCCTTACCCCCGAAGAGTGATGATATTTGCCGCCCCAGACTGAGAGCTGATGACAAAGCAAGATCTGACTTCGCAACCTGATGTAGCTCCACACCTCCACGTGGTGTCAGGTGGAAGGGCCCTTTGTGCCACTAAGATGGAGCATGCCTGCTAGTTATAAATAAACCCTTTGCCTCTTTATCTGTTTATTGGTATACTTAAAAGAGTCCTAGCAGCTTTTTTGAACCCTTCAGGATTACTTGGTTATCCAGGTGCTTCCCGTAAAACCTTGATCCAAGAACAGTGAATGAGAACGAGTAGCTGTCCACCGGATGCGTCCTTTCGATGTCGAGCCCGTCTAGAAGGACGTAGTCCTTGAGTTCTTGGAATCCCTTCTCAAACTCCTCCTTTGAACATCTGTGTGGAATCATCAGGCTTCTGATCCCTAGGTAGATTCCATATGTGGACTTTCCTATTGTCAGACTGAACTTCGAGTTGACGACCGAGAGGTTTATTGTGAAGAGGGAAAACGTCCCTTCCCCATCAACCTTGGTGCTGTTGAGTCTGCCCTTGCACTTGTAATAAATAACTAGTGGGCTTTCCAGTATGTCAACCTGAAGGACAACCTTTCCATCGGAGACGCTAAGAATCCCCTTTAATCCGTTTGTGTCTATCAGTCTCGTCGATTCCTCTTCTCCCACCTTTTTTCCGCTTATTTTACCACTACTCTCTGCAAACCTCAGCCAGACATTTTCATCGTCATGCTTGCTCAGGAACAGGGCTGGATGGTGTGTGTAACTAGGGGGAAGTGTGCTGCTCTCTTCAGCCGTGCTCGAATGGCTATCAACACTCCCCGAACACTTTTCAGAGGAGAGGCTTCTTTCAGGTACGGGCCTCTCTCCACCAGGAAACTCCTCGGAGATCTTTTCAGAATCGTTGGCAATAAGCCTATTCTCCTCGAGCCCGTAATACGGCTTTACATCGAGTATCGAGCTGGACTTTTCCCTAGGCTTTACAGAAGCAGCTCTGTTCGAGTCAGGACTGCCAAGGTCTCTTCTCTTGATGTCACAGAATGTTTTAAATACTCCGACCCCCCGTGCCTTTAGCTCGCTGATCACCATCCTAACTCTATCCCTCGAGCCCTTCTGCAGCATGCGCAGATATACCAGGGTTTCTTCCAAGTCTAGCACCCCTCTTCTGTGAAGATTGAGATAAAATCTAATGACCTCGTTCGTGAGGGAGGGAATGCTCAAGTTCTGGATATTCACGACCCCGGGAGGAACCTCGAGGACATATCTTCCGCAAAGATAAATGTACTTCTGCCTTTCCTGTACCTCCCCCACACCCATTAAAAATGTTCTTATCAGCTCCTCCCACCTTTCAGAAACTTGGTCCGCCTCGTAAAGCACTCGAATCATCTCATCAGCCCTGTGGATGCACCTGAACGGCTCTTCTATCAGATAATCTGCATCAAGCGACTCCTTCAGAATCACGCCAAGAAGCTCTTCATCTCTGCATTGGTTTTCTATTTCCCTCACGGAAATGGCATCTAGCCTCTTGAATAGTAGCCTAAGCTTCTTTATCTTATTGTACTTCTTATCGCTGTGATAGATTGCAAAGCAGGAATTGTCATAGCTTACGTCTTTGAGGAGAGACTCAGCATAGTCAAGCATAAGATACAGCTCCTCATCATCACATGAAAAAAACCCCTTCAGATGATCAAACACCGTCTGCTTGTAAGAGGGATCAATCGAAATAACCAGGGAGGATGCTAGATAGAATATTCGAGGATTGCTTGCAGCCAGTAGGCTGGCCAATGGAGATGGATCAGAAAAATCCTCTGCCCTGTTCCTCATTACTTCCAAAAGACTTCCAAGAACTTCCATGCTCCCAAGCTCCATGCTTCTTCTGAGAAGCTTATGGATGTCCTCTGTAAACAAGATCCGAGTCTCCTCCTCAATGACTCGGACACTGTTCAGCGCAGATGCACACACCCCAGGATCCTCGTCAAACACCAGATCCTTCAGTAGGTCGCAGAGACCAGAGCCATAGAACAGCTCTGAATCTCTTCGGAAGTAGTTCCGTAATGCATCGGCCACCTTCCTTCGTGTTTCAGGCAATGGGCTTCTCCCATGCTCCTTGAGAGGATTGACATAGTTTTTTATCACAACGCCGTCTCCCAGAAGCCCACTATCCTGGATTGCACAGTGCCTCATCTCGCAGTTTTCGTCTCCAAAGTCCTTCAGCATCGTGTTGATGCATATTAGTTGCTTGGCAGGCCATTCCTGTATGTATCTTACAAGGTATAAGTTCAGCATTCTCTTGAGATCAGGATCCCTCGTGTCTATTGCCCTTATGACGCTGTTGCAGAGCTTCGAAAGATCCTCTCCACACTGCATCCTGCATATCAAGCTTTTTGCTGCCTGCACCTGCTTCTTGAGGTCCGGCGATGAAATATACTTCACAATCGATGCTTTGTCCTGAGGATCAACCATAAAGGAGTCGTCTTCAAAGAGCCTTCTTATCCCATCCATCCCAAACGCATCCTTGATTCCCATTGTTTGTTTACCTTCATGCCTCAATTATCACTCTTGTGAAACTTCACAGCATTCCAAAAAGACCCAAAGCTTTATTAATAGTTTCAAGGTTACTTACAGAACAAGTCAGACTCCAGACTCCTCCCAATCACCTCCTCGGCCTCAGACACCTCATTATGCAGGCGCTTCATCACCGCTTCAAAAGCCTCCTCGAGATCCTTAACAAGTAGGTAGTCGTCCCTGTATTTTTCCAGGAACTTCATGAAATTCTTCACCAGCAGGAAAGACCTCCTGGTGCTCCTGTATCTATTAATCAGAAATAGGGTCTTGCAGAGGTATCCAGCCCGGGACCCAAAAATCTCAACAAAATTGTACGACCTTATCCTCTTTACAAACTGCACTCTCCTTTGCATCACCAGTGCTTTGGGCTTATCCAAGGGCTGGCTGATCTGAGGAACAGAAAACCACATCTTCGACTCGAGCATCTCCTTTTCTTTCTTCATCATCTCTATTGTCTTTAGAATCTCGCTTTCCTCTCTACGGATATACAGCCCAAGAGACGTCATGCTTCTGCTAGATCTCACAATCTTTCTCAGAACCTCTGGATATTTCATCGAAAGCCCAGACACCTGGAAAAACCGAAGCCTCAGGGTCTCCATGTCCTCTTCTTCCCTGTAACAATAGTTTGCCAGGCTCAGGTTCATGATAGACATGTTATATGCCAACAGCCTATCCACAACGCTCACCAGAAAGAGGTAGGTTCCAATGGATATGTTTGTAATGAAGACCTCCTTGGACGCCTTCCACGGTGCCTCACTTAACTGCTGGAAAGCAGTGCCAAACCGTATCCAGGGAAATAGAGTCTTCGATACAGTAAGGTACACTCCCAGCCCTGCCATCGCCATGACCGTACTGCCCGTGTAAAGACAAAACATGTCTTGAACCACAGCCCCCACGCTTTTCCGCATGTAGTTGAGTAATCCTCTGACACGTGTATACCTCGGTTTTGTCCACAGAGTACTTTCTCCATATGTTTGAAGAGCCGATAAGGACATACAGAGAATTATGTTGTATACGGAGCACATACTCGTCGGAATAACTGGCACTGAACTGCCTCCGCCTGGAGATTGCGTGGCAAAATATCCAAGAAACAGAGTCTGCGAAACGAAGTAATAGAAGAGAACAGTGGCCTGTGCTCTCCCCGCCTCAAGACCAATCTTTCCTGCAAGATAGAGCCATATTCCGATCCACAGCATCATGGTACGGACAGAGCATAGGTTTCGAAGAAGCCCCTGCGGTGGATTCAGAAGAATTCCTAGTGGATTCCTAACGATCTGTCCGATCACAACAACCAGAAGCATTGCCTCAATCCCTGTGAGTGTGTATCCAACTGCTTTATGCCTTCTTATTTCCTTTATACCACCCATCATGTTTCGGGGTCATTACCAGGAAGTTACACCTATTTCTGGTAACAACACAGGCAAAATTTTAACTATAAATAAAGGCTCAGGTAAGACCCCTATGGTTTCTTCTAATACTTCGTCGAAACTACCTAAAAGTTCTAGGGCTGTCCGCAAAAGCCTTGCTGATACCATGGAGTATGAGCATGTTGAGATGCCCAATGGGATCAATGGATTGATTATATCTGATCCCGGGCTGGACAAGTGCAGCTGTGCAGTCTCAGTAAAGGTCGGCTCGCTCGACAACCCTGAGTCTGCACAGGGGCTTGCACACTTCCTGGAGCACATGCTGTTTATGGGTACTGAGAAATACCCTGACGAAGAGGAATTCACCGGATTCCTCTCGAAAAACAACGGTGGTTATAATGCAACGACCTATGGAGAGACGACCATATACTACTTTGATATTGCACCGGAGGCTTTTGAAGAAGGAGTCGACAGACTTGCAGACTTCTTCAAAACACCACTGCTGAAGCAAGACTCTGTTGAGAGAGAAGTGTCTGCAGTCCATTCTGAGTTCTGCAACGGGCTCGGCTCCGACGACTGGAGGATATGGAGAATGATAGGAAGGTGCTGTAAGAAAGATGTTCCCATGTCGAAGTTTAGTACTGGGAACTACGACACTCTGAGAAGAGAAGGGATATGGGAGGAGATGAAGGAGTTCTGGAGGACGAAGTATTCCTGTGACAAGATGTGTGTTGTGATCTATGGAAACAAGAGCCCTGAAGAGCTAAAGGAGCTGCTAAAGAAGTTTGAAGGAGTTCCAAAAGGACGTGAAGAGAAGAAGTGTCCTGGAGAAGGCACAAAGCAGGACCTCGAGGGTAGATTGGATATATTTGACCCCGAATACACAAACAGGTGGATAAGGGTAGAGCCGATTGCAGACACAAGGTCTGTTGTTGTCAGTATGACTGCCGAGTCTGGGTATAAAGTATTCAAGAACAATCCATACGAGTGTATTACCGAGATGATTCTTAGAGAAGATCCGAAGGGGTTTGCTTGCAGGGTGAAGGACAAGGGACTTGCATTAGATGTCGAGTGTGAGGTTGACGACTACACAGACTATTCATTGATCATTGTAACCATACATCTATCTGAGGCAGGAAGCAAGAGGACTCGGGACGTTGTCTTGGAGCTTGTAAATTACATCCGAGGGATGAAGATCACACCGAGAGAGTATGCAGAGCTCAAGAAGAGGTCCGAGTATGTCTTCAGGTATAAGGAGGGCGACAAGCCTATGTACCAAACACAAAAGATTGCAAAAAACATGCAGTTCTATCCCGTCGAGAATGTCCTCGATAAAGATCATTGCTTTGAGAGGTTTGACAGCAGCGAGATGGAGAGAATAATCAAGAGGATGGGAAACTTTTCTGAGTGGCTTGTATTCTACGTTGCAAAGGATGCAGGGGCATTTGATATGTGCGAGGAGATATACAAAGTGAGGTATGGGGTCGGAGATAGGATACTTGAGGAAAAGGATATTGATGCAAATCCTCTGGAAGAAGGAGAAGTTGCAGAATGGAAGGAGGGGAAGCTGGAGAGCTCGGAAGGTGGCACTGGCATTCTCTCAAGAGAGTTTCCCGGAGGGAAGATCAACTTCTTGTTCGATGACACCTATAAGGTTCCGAAGGTGTTTATTGGGTACTTGGTAAGAACAGAAAATATGAGCAAGGGCGATAAGGTCAACACGATGTTTTTGATTGAGAATGCAAAGAGCCAGTTCTTCAGAAGATACGATGGATATCTCCATGGAACGGGGGTAGACATTACTGTGCAGATAGAACACTATGGGATTGAAATCTGCATCGAGTGTTTCAACCACATGAGTGTGGAGGTATCCCAGAAGTTTTTTGACGTGCTGTTTGGGGAGCCTGAAGGGTCTCGCAAGCACTTGATCAAGGAGAATATTCGGAAGGAGCTTGAGATGATGAGAAACAATAGGCCTTTCAGACGATGCATGGAAGGAATGAAGCAGATGAGGATTCCGGAGAATATGCTTGCAGAGGAGACTATGGAGAGACTGGGTTCTGTGGACACCGGGTACAAGATGAGCCGAAAGTTCTTCCTCGAGATGTTTGCAATTGGAAACATGAGGTTCTCTGATGCAGAAAAGATATTTAACCATGTACTATCTAAGCAGGAGGAGGTGTACGATTACAAGAAAAAAGAGCTTCTTGATGGGAAGTACAGATGCGATGTAAATACAAGCGATAAGGTGAATAACGCATGTGCCCTAAGCTATTATTGTGGGAAGTATGGGAACCATGCAGATGCAGCAATGACACACTTTGTGCATCAGTCGTGCATGTCCATGTTCTTCGATGACCTCCGAACCAAGGAGGAGCTTGGATATGTAGTATTTTCAAGGGTCATACATCTCGACGACGAGCAGTATATAACATTCCTTGTGCAAAGCGAGAAGGACGTTGAATTCCTGGAAAAGAGAATAAGGAAGTTTGTTGAGGACCTGGACAAGTACTTCAGGGAGATGAGTGAGAGCCAGTTCAAGGAGTTCAAGAACGGCGTTGTTTCGTTTTTCAAGGAGAAGAAGAAGAACTTCGAGATCTACAGCGCCAGTATATGGAACAAGTATTTGAGGGGGGTGGTAGACCTGAAGTACGAGGATAAGGCTGCTGAGGCGGTGAGTAGGATATCCAGAGAGGATCTGTCCATAGGAAAGATATTTGGGCCCGTGTATGTGTCAAGGGTATTTGCTCATTAAACTTTTTGGCTTTTTAAGATGCTTTTCTTGTGACAAAATAAGGTGAAGATGTTAGGTGAAAATGTCTGGAGGTATTTTGAGATCATGAAGCTTCAGTCCCACCCTTACCTCCAGGATTGTTATACTTCTCGGGAATCTACACCTTGAATGTTCAAGGCGCAACTAATGAGAAGATGGGATAGGTTTAAAAATTTTATATAAGCAGAATAATAAGCAACTGTTGTTTGGACATTAGCTCTTGTAGTAAATGGATAATATAAATAGATTTATATATAGTTTGTAAGATTTTTGAACTTTTCAACTAGATTGACATCTTCAACCTCAAGGTTTGGCTTTTCGATTTTTTTAAGTGAATCAACAAAATTTTTGTAATGGTCTGAAACTTTTGATGATTTAAAAATATTTGAAGCCAACAATTGGTATTCATTCTTTAGTAGTTCTTGCTCAACTTCTTCAATCGACCTAAAATGACCCATTTTTACTAAATGATTTTTTAGTATTCTTTGCAGCTTTTCTAATTCAGAAATAACTGACATAAAAGGGCTTTAATAAATTTAACAATGTTCGAAACCAGACGGTTTTCAAACCATTTGTTTTTACGTACATTTATCTAAAGCAGAACAAAAAGGTCAGCGACCCTGTTTTCAAGCCGATCCCTAGTTGTATCCTGGGTGCTTAACCGGAATTGATGAAATGGAAGAGTTGAAATTGCCGGGCTAAACTAGTTGGTGTAGGTATGGGGATGTAATTTGGCGGGTGATTCCAAGGGCGATTTCCCTCCAAAAAAAAGTATATAAGGGAAATCACCCGACAGCTCATGAGCCATGAAGTTGAGCCATTGCTGAATCCGGAGGAGGAGAGATTTGTGCTGTTTCCTATAAAATACATAGACATATGGAAGCTGTACAAGAAGGCCGAGAGCTCCTTCTGGACTGTGGAAGAGGTTACGCTTGACAAGGACATTGAGGATTGGGGAAAGCTGAATGCGGGTGAGAAGCACTTTATCTCGCATGTCCTTGCCTTTTTTGCAGCCTCTGACGGGATTGTCAATCTCAACCTGCTCGAGAGGTTTTCGAACGAGGTCAAGATACTTGAGGCGAAGTTCTTCTATGGATTCCAAATGGCGATTGAGAACATTCATAGTGAGATGTATAGCTTGCTCATTGATACATACATAAAGGATGCAGCCGAGAAGGACTTTTTGTTCAATGCGATCAAGAACATCCCGTCTGTGGGGGACAAGGCTGACTGGGCAATAAGATGGATTGAGGACAAGGACTCGAGCTTTGCAACCAGGCTTGTAGCATTTGCCTGTGTGGAGGGGATATTCTTTTCTGGAGCGTTTGCATCGATATTCTGGCTGAAGAAGAGGGGGCTGATGCCTGGGCTGACGTTTTCGAACGAGTTGATAAGTAGGGATGAGGGGCTACACTGCGAGTTTGCATGCCACCTCCACAGGTATCACCTGAGAAACAAGTGTACAAGAACAAAGGAGATTGTGATGGATGCCGTGAGGATTGAGAAGGATTTCCTGAGCAACAGCTTGCCTGTGAAGCTCATAGGGATGAACTGCGATCTCATGTGCAAGTATATAGAGTTTGTAGCTGATACGTTGCTGGAGAATCTTGGGGAGGAGAAGATATACCACACTGCAAATCCGTTTGACTTTATGGAGAACATTTCCCTGGTTGGAAAGACAAACTTCTTCGACAAGAGGGAATCCCAATACCAAAAGGCATTTGTGGGAATTGAGAATGGAAACGATTCCTTTAGGATAGACGTAGATTTTTGATGTTTTAATTAAAGGCCTGTTTGTGAGTGCTTCTGTGGTGTTTAGACACTGTCTTTGTCTCTTCTCAGGTACTCTCCATAAATGAAGTGCTGTGTCACGACGTGCTTCCTCAAGACATAGTCGTCGTACATCCTGATCATTCCTCTGTTGATTGCCGGCCAGTCTTTATCCATGATGCTTTTGAGGATCTGTGAGGAACCACCCAGCTTCTTCTTCACGGCAACGAAGTAGCACTTGGTATCATCTAGTTCGTCGAACCTGAGGTTTGTGTGGCAAAGTTCTGAGGATCCAAACAGAAAGGGAAGGAATTGATAATCATCCAGCCCCCATATTCCATGGCTTCCGGCAGGCTCCAGATTGAACTTTGTTACAAAGAGCCTAACGACATTGAAGTACTCCATAAGGGTGGTGAACACACAGTCTATGGCGATTGTCCCCTTGCAGTACTGAGTGTAAAGGTAGCATAGGAAGTTTAGCTCGTGCCCGGTGCCATAATCTAATCTTATCTCGTTTCCAAATGAGTTTTTCAAGTACTCGTCATCATACTCATCACGTATCCTCTTGAACACGACCTTCGCAGCAACGTTTGCATATCTTTGCGTAGATTGATCCTTCTCTGTGCCCCTTACAACTTTAGCTATCCCTACAAGGAGGTCTGTGTGCAGCTTGCTCTTCTTTTGCTCCGAGCTCTTTATCGAGTCATCAACCATCAGGATGAAGTTGTATATCCTTGCATATGCTCCGGTCTCGGTGAAGTCGGTGCCATCTTTCATTTGGGGTCTATTGCTTTGGTGAAGTTAGCCGCCATGCTAGGGGGTAAGAATCAGGTGCCACAGGTCTCCCCAGAATGTCTTGTGGCTCTTGAACATCTTCTGAATCCTTCCGAAGTGTGTGTAAAACGTCTCTTTTGACACGACCCAGATGAACAGGAACACGAGATCATCGCATATGCTGTTTTCAATAAGAAAGTCTACTATGGAGATTCTGTGGCGCTCCACATGGCATGCATAGGGAATTTCGATGGAGGATCTTCCTCCCTTCATCCTTGCAACTTCTTGAAATACACCTGTGGGAGACCAGTCTTCTCCACCGTTTTTGATGAGATACGGTGCCACAAGCTTCGGATGATTCTCAATGCAGAATCTCACAAACCCTGCTGGATCGTCGATGTTTTCTATAACTGTGAGAACAGAGTCGATTAGAGAGGCCCTTATGTTAGATGACCCTGTGCTTTCAAGTATCTTTATGTACGTTCTTGTGGTGTGCACGTGGGGGAACTCGAGGAGATCAAGGATGGAATGAGGCTCTGCAGAATCTCCTTCATCCACCAAAAGCAGGGGACTCCTTGCTGGATGTAGTCCCGGCCCCCTGATCCTTGGGGAGTGGCCTTTTCGGCCACTAGGTGTGCTGCCGACCTTGCACAGATCTGCCTCCTTTCTTGCATAGTACGAAATAAACTGCAGAAGAGACAGATAGAGTGGCATCTTCTCTTCCAGATTAAGGTACATTCTGTTGGTCCGCACTATGACTGCCTGGGCGAACCTCATCGACTTAAGATGGTCAAGGGCCCTTCTGGAGCATATGAGATACACCAAGCATGCCCTGGAGTATTCTCCCTCAAGGCCCTCCTCAAAAAAGAACCTGAGGGAGTAATCAACAAGGGCCGTCCTGATACTGCATCCAAGGACAATGATTCTTTCTGAGTATGCAAGAGCCAGCCCCAGCTCATCTGTGCCCCTGGATTCAAACACAGAGTCAAAGAAGCTGCTGAGTCTTGAAAAGCATTTGGCAGGAAGGATTGATATCAGGTCGACAAGGAAGTCCATCACCACTTTCTTCTCTTCAATGCTCCCTAGTTTATATATGAAGCTGGCCATCTCGTTGTCCATGAAGTATTCAAGACACCTGAAGCTTATCTGTCTTGTCTGCTCGTGTCTGAGGCATTTATATATCTGCCCAAGGCTGTTTTTAATGTCTCTGCACTCCCTGAGCTCGAGACATGCACTTACAAAGGTATTGTAGAGAGAGTCGTGCTTCTTGTAGAAGGATGAAATGAAGTCTACCAAGGGCATTTCTTGTTAGTTCCAGTGTTTTGATCGGCTTTTATTTAATGTTTCAGAAGAGGAGGATGGAGAGGGCGAGGCCGAGTTGAAGGCTCTGGAGGCCTGGGCATACAGGCTTAAGCACCAAAATTTTTTACCCGATAATATGGATATGTACCAAGTGCTTGTGGGGCTGGAGAAATGTCCGGAAAACTATACCGAGGAGTATGGGAGGCAACTCGAGCTGTTCAACTCCCTTGTAAAGCTTCCCAAGCAGCCTGGGAAGACTATCCGCCAGACCCTCTCGTTTCTTCTTGCATTTCCAAATGTCGACAAAAGACTTCCGGAGATTCTTATTGCAAGCATAGGAACCATCAAATGCCACAAGATAAGGAGGATTGTGGTTGAGAGTCTCTTCAGGCTTCGAAGGAAGGGGCTGATAGATGCTGGGCAGCTATTCAAGAATCTTCTGGAGCACCATCCCGATCCAAAGTCGATCCTGAGGAGGGCGAAGGCCTTGGTCTCTTCTGAGGCCATTCCGTGGATTCTCGAGTACTATGGAAAGGGGACTGACAAGCAAAGGAGCTTCTGCTACTATTTGATTGTGTATCTATTTACGAAGGGATGCAGCAGTCTTGAGAAGGAGGTGTGTGGGGGGTTGTTTGCAGATGGGAAGGTTGGGAAGATCTGCAGGATGTACTTTCTGGACCAGATAGACTTCGAGGAGGAAGGAGAAAAGGCCATGGAGCTTCTCAGTGCTGAGGGTGCAAGGTTTGGGAAGATGCTGTTCAAGAGCCTCCAGGAGGGCAGGATGGAGAGGGAGGAGAAGATTACGAAAATGAAGATATATGTGCTGTTCAGGAACAGATACAATCTGAAAGCATCTGTTGTGCGGATGGCGATGGAGATGCTGAACCCTGAGAAGAGCGACATCAAGGATCTGATGGAGATTATTGTTGAGGAGGTGGGGAGGCCTGATGTTCTTCGTGTTATTGATGTTGTGGGGAATGCGCTGTGCTCTGAGTTCAAGGACGACGACTTTGTTGTGTATGGGCTGAACATGCTAAGGGAGATTTACTGCAAGTTTGATCCGAAGGCATTGATGCTTAAGGGGGAGGAGGACATGGAAGAAAGCGCCTCTGTCCTGGCCTCTGATGGAGGGGATGATGAAGGATGCGAGGGCAAGGAGAACAAGGAGGATGGGATTGTGGGGCAGATGAGGGAGAGGATTGGAAAGTACATAGAGTGTTTCAAAGGATCTAAGAACAAAGGGATTTTCTATGCATACACCTCTGTTATTAATGTAATGAGCCACAGGAAGTACTGTGGAAGGAATCTCGAATTTATCCGGCGGAAGGCAAGCAAGGAGGAAAGGGTGGAGTCGATGAAGAGCGGAAGAGCCTCAAAGGAGGAGTACTGTGGAGGGAAGCACTCCAAGAGGCGGAGGATTAGCAGAAGAAAGAAGAATGGTAATAAAGCACCTTGAAGTGGTATCTGTTGTTGTGGCTTGTAAGCCTGTAAAAAATTGTTAAGACGATCCCCAGAACAAGAATATACAAATGAGAACGCCCAGGAAGAAAATAACGTTCAAGACGCCGAGAAAAGGCACCAAGACGCCTGTAAAGGACGGGTATGTCTCTGACAGCAAGGAGAACAAGACCCCGAAGATAGAGAGTAAAGAGGAGCAGAAGAGCCCTGACTCTGCATCCAGATACAAACAAATTCTTGTTGAGATGAAGATGAAGGAGGAGGACTTGATAGAGAGCTACAAGAAGGAGAACGAGTATCTGAGGTCTCTGAAGACGGATGCCCTGCTCTACAAGAAGTTTGTTGGGTTTGACATAGTTGAGAACAACGGGTGCTACGAAGTAACCCATGAGATTGTATCGAACAATATCACCAAGTTCATCAAGTTCATCTTGACGCCAGAGGACAGTTCGTACATCTACAAACTTGTTGAGTCCAGAAACGTCGAGCTTCCAGACTTTCTGAGTGAGGAGATAACATTTGACGAGTGCCAGATAAAGACCTTCTTTTTTAAGGTGATGGAGGCAGTCATTACAAAGAAGAGCTGAACCTCATAGATTTTGTTAATAAAAATCAATGTTTAATTCCCAGAAATGGCTTCCTATTTTCTCGGCATTTCAATCGCCCTATTAAGCTTGTCTACCCAATAGTCTTTAGTCTTCCTTTCATCGAATGCCAGGAGGAATGAGTAGTCGGGGAAAAACACCATTATTCTGCATGGATGGTTGTTTTCCTCACTGGAGAGATTGTAGTTCCTGATTTCAATCGACTTCTTCATATCCCAGTTCCCCTTGGCATGTCTCTTCCCATTTGCCTTGTAATACTTCAGAATTCCATCTTTTGTGAGGACAAAGTACTTCTGGTGCCAGAAACAGCTGAAAATCCTCCTTTTCTTCCACATCCATCCCTCTGCCAGTATGTTTCCTTTTTCCCTTTCTTCAAATATCTCCTTGTTGGCATTCTCTGCTTCTGTGTCGAGTATTGGAGGAATAAAAACATTTGCATTCTCTTTGGAGAAAGATTTTGTGTTTTCTGCTTTTTCCTCAGTCTCTTTGGAGTCCAACGGGGTGAATTCCTCTTTAGGATCATTCTTGCTGCTATCTCCAGCGGATGCTTCTTTTCCGTCCTCGGGCTTATCACTGCATTCCTTAGTCTCAGAGCATTTTTCGCAACACTTCTTGTTAGATCCTTCGTCCTCTCTTGCCTTTTCTGCAGTTTCCATTTTTTTTTCTGCATCCTTCTCTGCACTTTCTGTGTCTTTCCTCTCTGCACTTTCTGTGTCTTTCCTCTCTGCACTTTCTGTGTCTTTCTTCTCTGCACTTTCTGTGTCTTTCTTCACGTCCTTCTCTGCATCCTCCTCTCTACTCACTTCACTAACCTCTTCAGGCCCTGTTGTGTCGTCATCTTCCTTCTTCCCGTCCAATGTCTTCTTCGTAACACTCAACATTTCTCCCTTATCATTGATTATTATAATGTTCTTCTTTTTTCTTTTCGTGTCCTTGTCCTCCATCTGTTTCCACCCTATCCCATCTCTTTATAAACATCTGCTTCCCCTTTCTGTTTCGCGTAACAAATAGAATCCCTCAGTTTTCTTTATCTTCTTTTGTTTTCATTTTCATTGGTCCCTGCTTCTCCACCAACTAGCCCGTCATATTGACACAGAGTCTACATTAATATAAATTTATATGAAGCATTTATTTACAGACATCATCGTCTCGTCATACTTATCTCCAAAAAGCATCCTTGCATTTTCCTTGATGCATTCGTACAGATATAGCTTGTACCTGTTGCGTATATCGTCATTCACATTCAACCCCTCTCCAATCATCTTAAGGATCTCCTTTTCGAGCTCCTCGGGCCTCCTGAGGATCTTCTTTATCTTCCTGACATCATAGAGCCTCATAAAGGCCTTCTTCTCCTCCAGGCAGTAGCTGAGCTCCATCTCACGGTTCACCGAACCCAAAACCCGAAGATACTCCTCATGCACCTTTCTGCAAAGCGCAAGGCGCTTTAGACCTGTCTTTGTGTCCGGCGGCATCTTCCGCAGCCTGTAGAAACACTCCTCCTCTACCGAGTGGTGTAAATCGCTCTTGAATATCTCCTCGTGTATGCTCGAGTCCAGGTACCGGAGCCTTGCATAGAACCGCCTTATCGGCCCAAACACCTCTTCAACATCTCCTTCTCCCTTTTTCAGAAGTTTTCTTATCCTTCTTTTCAGCATCGAAACAACCTCGCCTACACACTTAACAAGCGCCTTGTCAAGAACAGATACCCTTACAGGAAGAATCTTGGAGATGTCCTTGACAATGGTGTAGAGGAGAAGGGTTTCCTTATCTTCCACAATGTTCTCTTCAAGAATAGAAACAATCAGGGTGCTGGCCCTTTCTCCATTTACAAACCTGGTCAGGCCCTTCCTAGAAATTATGACAAGCCTCCTGTACACCTCCAAGAGCTTACTGAGCCCTGGAGACTGCCCTCTATTGTACTGAGGCCCAGAAATGGCAAGGCCTTCAAGTAGAAAGTCCCCAATAGTGTTCCTGACAATAGGATCCTGGCTTCCTCTGTATGCCCTTTCTTGATGTTCCATTCTTCTTAAGCTGAACATGACATTCCCCCAGGTGCACTGGCCTTTGTAGTACGCAGAAACGGTGCACACTCCTTTTGGATCAAAATCATCGCAGCCGGCCTTTCCATCAATCACTTGAGTACCTCCTTCTGCATCCCGCAGCTCTAAAGAAGCAATCCTGTTTATGAATATGCATGTCTCGTGCAGAAATAGCAGATCCTTGGCAGAGTCTTTGCAAACATCCAATTCGCAGAGAGCATACTCAACATACTCTATGATCTTGTTTGTTATCTGGGTCATTCCTCTTCCACCAAACATCCTGAAGAAGAACAACAGCGAGCTTCCTATATCGTATGGAGATATCTGCGCCTCCCCAAAAAACAGGCTCGTCTTCAGCTCTATGAACTTTAGGCAGTTCTCCCTTAAATTCCCAGGTTGCGAAACACAGACAATCCCATCAAAAAGCTTTACAAGCGAAATGGCCTTGTTATCCAGGTAATAGTTTGTCAGCTCCTCCGTGGATATCATCTTATGCATCCTGTGATAGCCAAACCGCACACAGAAGTCGCTTTCCCGATATCCACATGCTAGCTTCACACTTTGGATCTCTTCTCCAGACCCGTCTAGCCCGTCAACACTAATCGTAAATGTGCCCCGAACATCGTTTCCTATAATCCCGGCACTCCTGTTCCGGATCCCAACATTCACCTCCTTACAGCCCTTACTCAGGACTATGGGCTTTCCTTCCACCATCACAATGCCTAGAAACACATCCTTCCTTGCCGCATCATACAACTCAGTAAACAGAAATGTTCCTCTACTCTCCACAGCCTCCAAGCTCTTTCTAAACAGGAACTCTGCTTGGCTTTCAAATCCACTTATTCTTCTTCTGACATACAGAAAGCTATCATCCCTTGTTCCAGTCACCGGCATTTCGTTCCTCACAGTGTCATAAAAATCCTCATCCACGTCAACCATCCCAATTCCTTCGCTTCCATGCTTCCTCCCTTCCTCATTCGTCTTGATCTCGTTCATCTCAACATTATCATTGATAGGGGCTCCCCTCCTCACATCAACAACCCTAAGACCAATAACTTGGTTGATCCTTCGCTTCACCACTGCAGTAAACATCTTATCGCTCGCCATCTCAGGCTCGTCCTCAAGACTGCCCTTATAGCAGAGCACAAACGATCCTTTCCCATCAGCCTTCCTCAGAATACTTGGAACAGAGAGGATACTGTCCATATACCTTTCAAACCCAAGTCCTTCAGCATATCCCCCCTTCCTCATCTTTGCTTCCGCCTTGAGGGCTTGTTTTCACTTTTATATGCTCCTTTTTTTAAGGAGTTTGCTTTCACATCATTCACCGAAGAACACAACAACTACTCAAAGATGTTATATCAAGCGCCATTTAATAAACCATCATCCAATTAACCTGCATATCTCAGAGAAAATCGTCTCAGGAGTAGCTTCCCCATTGACCGTGACAAGCTTCCCTTGCTCTCGATAGAACTCAACAACAGGCGCTGTCTCTTCGAGATACACCTCATGCCTCTTCCTTGCAACATCCTCGACATCATCGTCTCTTCCCTGCTTTCGCCCACATATCCTGCGAACAGACGTTTCCTCCCCAACATCAATAAATATCACCAGATCAACACTATCCCCTAGCATCTTGGCTTGATCAACCCTTCTAGGATATCCATCAAGAATGTACTTCTCCATACTTTCAACCTTCTTCAATACTAGCTTGTTAACAAGCTCGTCAGATGCCAGTCTTCCAGAATTAACCACCTCCCGAATAATCTCCGCCTCCTTCGTGTCTAAAATTATAAATCAAACTTACTCTTCTTCATCTCCTCTCGGATAATGTCTCCAGAACTCACATGAGGGATCCCATATCTCCCAGATATAAATCCAGACTGGGTCCCCTTTCCACATCCAGGTGGCCCCATCATAATCACTCTTGAGTACTTCATTGGGGTTTCCTGTCCTTCAAAAATATACCGCATAGGCAACGAATAAAAACTGGCAATAATAAATACAATAGGTTTTATTTTCTCTTCACTCTTACATGCTCAAAAGTGTAGGAAATACCTTGGCACAGCGATCATTCATCTTTATCACCTTTACCACCCCAGAAGTTAGCACTACTGCCACTAGGAGGGTTTGAGCTTCCTCCAGAACATTCACCTTCATCGCATGATGACTCAGACTCTGCTAGGCCACTTTTACCAGAGGCGGAGGTATCACTACTGCTACCAAAGAACCCCGATGTGTCATCATTCTTACCCATGAACCCAGCAACTTCTTCCTTTGCCTTTTGCACACCATCACTTCCAGAACCATTGCCGCCCCCCGTGCTTTCGCCAAGTGAGCTCGAATTGGAGGTGCCTGAGCCTGTGCTTCCACTACTACCCTCCCCTAATCCAAGGAAGCCTGAGCTTGATGTGCTTTCACCTGAGTTTCCCCAGAAAAGGTTGGCAGAAACAATAGAAGATAGAGCAACAAACATCACAGTAGAAAACTTCATTGAAGCTAGATTCATCAGATTATTTATATTTTTCAATGCCAATAAAAACTCTTCCCATAACAACTCGCATCCTCTTCATAGCATCCAAGGATATCCCCAAGCCCCTTAATATTACTCCAAAATAACTGGTCATTTTTCCCCAAGCCTATCCAAAAACCACACCCGGCTTTCATTGGTCAGATGGCCTCAATCCTCAGGTTCTTTCAAAAAGGAGATCCCTTGGGCCCTACCCATCATGCCCTCAATCCAGGTAACTTCACCTTGCCATCCCTCAATAGGCTCTCCACCTTTCTGTTGCACATCCAATAAACATTTCTGTTGTCTATCACATTGCTTACCTTGACATAAAGCTTTCCACTAATGAAGTACGGCGTAGTGCTGTCCATATACACCCCACACAGACTCTTATACTCCAGAAACCTCTCTATCTTGGACAGCTCGTCAACATACATAGACGACTGCCGACCACTCCCAAGCACATACTTCCTCGGGAGATTGGACTCACATAAAAATATCTTCTCAACTACTCCTCTAAATCCAACACCTATCCTTATTTTCTCTACATTTCCAATCTTCGAGCTGTACATCCTTCCATTCAAGCAAAACGAGAACTTCGAGGACTTGTACGAAGACCTGAAAACCTCATCCATCTTAGGCCTGCTGTCCTCGCTCAAGAGAACATCCAGGATGCCCATCCCACCCACCTTCTTCATAAACAGCTTTCCATTCGTTCTTCCTATCTTCAACACCTCTTCCTTCCCCTCCAGCTGAACAAAGACCTGCTCCCCCATCTCATCATACTGCCCAAAGGAGAGGTGCAGGGTAAATGCCTTGGATGGGGCCTTGAACAAAATCGATGAATCCTTGAAAACCATTCCATCGGCAACACTGCACGACTCCTTCAGAAGGCTGGTCACCATCCCTAAGCTTTCCGGATCCCTTCTTCCTTCTAGCTCCTTGATAAGATATTTCAGCCTAGTCTTGTCATCAAGTATTTTCATGTATCGTAGATTCCTCTTGTCCTCTAGTAGGCTCCATCCGTTCCTCTCAACAGTCTCCGAGGAACACTCGTTCTCAACCAGAAAACTCGAGTCAGAGTGTATCACAATGTTTCTCAGAGAGTAGAGCCCGTTCTTCTTATGCTCTCCGCATCCAGATCCTTTCCCTTGTAGGTCACCGAAGGAAATCACTGCCTTCCACAGGCTTCTTAGCTTCAAACACTTTCTGACACTTTGCTCCCAATACCCGTCAGAGTCAAATATCCTCATCCTTACTACATCATTGATCATATGCCGAAACCTTCCCTCGAGATCTCTCAAAATAATGTTCATGCACTTGATGAAGAAGCAATCGTATCTTGTGTCGTTGATCACCGTCCTGCAGAACAGATCGGAATTCATCAGCGAAAGCATGTAAAGAGTCCTCTTTGGAATGTCAAGCCCCCTGAGCGTCTCTAGTATCTCATACATAATCAGAAGCCCCTTGTCCTCCTCCATCCCAGACTCCCTCTTGATGAGGGACCTTACAGGGCACAGCCTCAAGCTCTTCTCTATCTTCTTCTCTCTGCATCTTTCGCAGGCCATCCTTTTCTTAAACATCCTCCGGATAGTCTCAACCACAGCATTCCTTACATCCTCCCGCCTCAAAGGCATCTCTCGCGCCATAAACAGAATCTTTCTGAGGTTCTCCAAGGTGGCATCCGCGCCGCTTTCTAGGAAGTCATACTCCTTCTGGGGAGAAAGGTCTCTTTCAATCAAAAGCTTCATAAGAATAGAAAAGTCCTCGTATCTATGCGTGACGTGCGGCCAGTAATGGGAGTTCATGAGTCGTTCAAGACAGTCGTCTTTGATAAGATGTGCCTTCTCTATGCAGATACACAGCACCTCGGCATAATCTCCATCGACCTGCTTGCACCTCTCAAAGAACATCTCGCCGAGTTCTTTGGCTCCTGTGCTTCTAATGAATCTCTTGAGCATCTTCTCTCCCCAAGCTTCGTCATCTTCAAACAGCTTATGGAATATGTGGGTTGTATGCTCTGTTCCAGGCGCCTTGTAGCTCTTGATCAGGATATTGGCCATCTCTTCCTTTGGAAATAGCATCGACAGCTTTACAAAGAGAAAGTTGTAGAGCCTGTGTGACTTTTGCTGTATTACTATCTCCTTGATTATCATCGGATTGCTCTGGTATCTCATTTCCGTGTACAGGAAGTCCGGGTAGTTTGTCAGATATAGCAGCGACCAGTCGTTCATCACCCTTACGTTCTTGGCCCATCTAAGGAGTGTCTTCAAGTCCCTTCTGTAGACATATTCTATAAGATAGAAGATGTCGTCTTCTCCCTCATATCCAGCCTCTCCATTCATCCCGGAAATCTCAAGCACACAATACCCAAGGACATTCACCCTGTCATAGACAACCTTTCTTCTTTGCATAAACGCCTTGCATATCCTAGGTATTTCGCTTATCCCGCCTGTGTAAGAAAACTCGTGGATGTTGCTGTGGATTCTGAATCTATGCTTCTCATGGAGCTTGCACATCCGAAGCCTGTTCCTCCAGTCGTTGCCAAAGCCATACATCTTCAGTGCTAGCTCAAATATCCTCTGATAGAACCACTCTTCTCTATTGTTGTTGTGGAGGTCTGCAACAATCCTATCCATTCTGGACATCTGTTCGGCAGTGAACTGCCGAGATACACACAGAATGCTATCCAGTCCCTGAGACAGCTCTTTTCCTTGCGATATGGCCAGGTTTTCTATCAGGATGTCCAGCGGCTGGTGATTTTCCACAATGGGTGTGGGGACAATATGTTCTCTGTCAAGCATTCGAGTATTTTTGTAAAGCAGATTTAACGGGATCATGAAACACAGAGAAACAGGGAAATCTGTAAAACAAATCAAAGGACCCTGAAATGGTGAGTTTGAAAACACCGAAAGGCACGGCGGATGAATCTCCAAAGCAATGCTTTCTGTACGAGGAGATTATAGAAAAGATCAGGAGTGTGTTTGTTCTCTATGGGGCAGTTCCCATTTCTACACCGACGTTTGAAATGAAGAGCATTCTTACGAACAAGTACGGGGAGGACACCAAGCTGATATACGATCTGAAGGACCAGGGAGGAGAGATATGTGCGCTAAGATACGACCTCACAGTTCCATTTGCAAGATATCTGGCGTCGAACAAGATAAGGAGGATAAAGAGATACCAGATTGGAAGAGTGTACAGAAGAGACCAACCCTCGATTGCCAAAGGAAGGCTACGGGAGTTTGTGCAGGCAGACTTTGACATTGCTGGGGAGTGCATAAGGATGATGGCTGATGCAGAAGTGATCAGCTGTGTGGATAGGATACTAAGGGGGTTTGCAATTGGTGAATTCAAGATAAAGGTGAATGACAGAAGGATCCTGACATCGATTCTGGAAGTTGTTGGAGTCCCCAGTGGGAGTCATGGGACGATATGCTCCACCATCGATAAGATCGAAAAGATGAGTTGGGAGGATATCTCAAAAGAGTTTATTCAAAAGGGATTGAACGAGGGCCAGGTGAGGATGATCAAAGGATACATGGAAATGACTGGGAAAGAGAAGGTTCTGGAGCTTCTCAAGAAAGACCCTGTTTATGAGATAGAAAGATGCAAGGAGGGAGTTCAAGACATGGAGGAACTTTTCAAGTTCTGCAGGATCCTTGGATGCGAGGGGAGCCTGGTGATGGATGTTTCCTTAGCACGAGGATTGGACTACTACACAGGGATGATTCTTGAGGCGGAGTATCTTGGAAAGCATGTAGGGTCCGTGATTGGAGGAGGCAGATATGATAACCTGACTGAGAATCTGGGAGAGAGGTGTGTATCGACGCCCTGTGTGGGGTTCTCTGTAGGTGTTTCTAGGATATTCTCACTTTTGTATGAAGGATATGAGAAGGAATCGTCCACAATGGTTTATGTCGGGGCATCTGGAGGGCTATTTCTCGAAGAGAGGTTGACGATTCTTAAGGCCTTGCAAGATGGAGGAATTCCCAGCGAGACCTTCTATACCAGGAGATCCTCATTTGAAACCCAGCACAAGTATGCTGTAGGAAAGAGGATTCCGTTTATTGTTGTGATAGGAGAATCTGAAATGGCTGCAAACTCGATACAGGTGGTCGATACCATTACAAAGAAAAAAGAGATCATTAAGATGGAAGAGATGGTAGGCCATTTACTTGGGAAACTAGAGTCGATGAGAAGTCAGATATCTGCTATTTTGCAAGACAGGTGAAGCAATCATGTTTACTTCTGGCCACAACATCTATAGTCCTCCTATGTCGAAAGCATTGCCAAAGTAAGAAAGAATGAGCGGCCGGGATGTCTATTCCTTTTCGCCCTTGATGATATAAATTGTTTCTCCAAGAATTTTCCTCACGTTAAGGATCTTGGTTCTGTATCCTCTCCCATTAAGTAACAAAATTACCTCCTTTGGCCTGTTCGCTTCTATCACAAGGAGATACACAACCCTGACACTGACAAGGCTAACAAATCTGTCGATGATCCTTCTTCCCAGATACCCTCCGCCTATAATAGGGTCGTCCGTGTCGGGTACATATGGCGGATTGAACACAATAACATCCAAAGACTGTTGGTTGATGCTGTCTAATAGATCGGCCCTCACCAGATTTCCTCCGCTGTGGTTTTGAAGAGCCTTGATATTAAGGTCGGTCGACACAACAGTGTTCCTTCTCTTCAAAAGATCTGTTAGCACGCCTGTGGATGTTCCTAGGTCCAAGACAACCCTCATCTCCAATTCTTCCTTCTCGATTACATCCATTAGCGTGTATGTGTCTTCACCGGGATCGTACCAGTCCATAGGGGGCTTGGAAGAGCAGGCCCTCAAGAGCATCATCCCTACTTGTGAGAGCCCATTCTTGCACCGAGAATAAGTACAAAAAGCAAGATCCCGTGGAGAATAAGCGTGTATACCATGCATATGCATCCCTTTGTGTAAAGTGTTGTTGCTATGCACCGAATGAGACATCCGGACAGAAATAGCAGTGCGACTGAAGCCGCTTTGAACGCTCTGGGCATCTCAGAGTGAGTGCTGAAGATGGAGATCAGCGTGAGGATGGTCACAAAAACAAAAGATAGCATGCTCACTGCCCTTGAATAATGGCTCAGCCAGGAAATGTGCATCTGAGGGTAGGGTCATTTCGCTTGCTACAAGTATCACTTTTCAAAAATTCTTGAGGCCCTAGGGATGATAGGCCTGACTGTGGAGGAACTAACAGCAGGGCACATAAAGTTTACGCTTTCAAACACGACGGTGGGATATGCAAATGCTCTGAGAAGGATACTGATTTCCGAGGTGCCCACGATTGCAATTGACATGGTGGAGATAGAAAGAAACAACACAGTGCTTCCTGACGAAGTGCTTGCACATAGGCTTGGGCTCGTTCCTATATATTCGAAAAGAAGTCTTAAGTACAAGGAGGAGTGCGGGTGCTCTGGATTCTGCTCCGAATGCTCTGTTGTGTTTGAGATAGACGTGGTACACACGGAAGACACGCTGAGGGCTGTGAGCACAAGAGACATCATCTGTGATGAGGAGGACGTGGTCATCAAAAGCGGGCCTATCATCACAAAACTAGCAAGAGACCAAGGCCTAAAGGCCCGGTGCATTGGGAGAAAGGGGATAGGAAAGACTCATTCGAAATGGTCTCCGGTATCTGCAATCAGCTTCGAGTACGACAAGGACAACATCAGGAGAGAGACTGACTACTGGTTTGAGGAGTCCATAGAAGAGGAGTGGCCCGGGGTAAAGCAGGGAGAGGCAAATCCGATGCAGAAAGTAGACAAGATTCACATGTGTGTGGAGGTTGTTGAGGGAGGTGCCGGGCCGCTTGCTGTTGTCTTGGAAGGACTAAGGATACTCAAGGAGAAGATAGCAGGGCTGGCATCTGCAACAGAAACGATGGATTAAAATGGTGCTCAATAACCTTTATTTTCTTATTTCTATGGATGGGATTTGTTCTTGACACTCTCGACATACTCCTTGGCTCTCAACTTCACCTCTTCAACATTTCCGTTGTTTTCTTTCTCATACTCCAGCCACATCTTGTAAAACTCTTTCATATCGCTCACCTTCCACTTCTTGTCAACAACTCTTCTGTAAAGACTTCGGAGATATGCTCCCTTTTCATTTCTGATGTATGAAATCCACACATCTTTCTTGTCAACCAAGAGCTTCTCTACCCATGCCCTTGGACTATCGCAGTACTTGTATATCATTCCAATCGATATAGAAAGGAATTCCTTGTGTTTCTCGACAAGACGCATCGCCTCTTCTTTGTCTGCCTTGAACAGAACATCCAGGTACATTCTGAACGACTTCTTTGTATTAGTCTTTTCAAAATAGAACTTAAGGACTTGGATGTCGTCAGTGTTCGACGCAACAACATCTAGAAACCTCGGCGAGCATATCTTTGCCAGCCTTCTTATTGTTTTTAGACACTCAGTGTCCTTGACAAACATAAGGTAATTCACAAATGAAATGCAAAGTTTGTCTTTTTCTTCTCCCTCAATCTTAGGAAGAAACTCGTAGAACACCTTTCCAGGTCCCCCCTCCTCTCCTATCTCTATCTTATACTGTATGTACTTTATCACAGGCATGGCTTCCCCAGGGTGTGCCCTAATGTCCATTAGGATGTCCTCTTCCGTTACAGCCTTACTTCTTTTCCTTTCTGCATTCAAGGATTTGCTCACACTCCCCTCGTCCTCCTCCACAGTGCTACTAGACTCATCCTCCACATCCGAGATGTCAAATGGAACAGATAAATTCACACCCTCTTCAGCTTCTTTCAACCCGGACGTTCTTTTAGTACTCATCAAAAACACGCCATCTTTGATATCATACAAAACACCTCTCACATACTCTCCGTATCTTTTTCTCGCCGACTCAGACATCATCATGTATCCTTCGTGGCCCTCATACTCAAGGTATATCCTGTCTCTCCCATAATCCTTGACCCTAGCCTCAATGGTAGACCCAATTTTTAGTTCAGCATATTCTGCAAACATATAGTTTCCCAAGCCAACCCTCCTGACCACGCATTCCACAGTGTCTCCAGCTTTGTATCCGTTACTTGCAACAAGAAACCCCCTGATATTTCCATTTCTAACCCCATAGCTATTTCCAGACACCGCAGAAACAACGGTCATCTTTAGAACACCACTCACTGGATCGTCAACTTGCACAAAGTGAAGCTGCTTGTCCTTCTTGTATAGAACAACACTCACAACACCCTTCACATCGTTGTTCTGTAATAGCAGAGTCCCAGACCCATATCGAGTCTCTACATTATAAACCATACGCCCATCATTGTCTTTCTTCCACTTGACCTCGCCAGTTGTCTTAAACCCAGGGTAAAACGTGTCAAACTTGTATATCTCCGCCACCCTGAGGTCATCGGTCTCCCTAACAACCCGGAAAGTGTACAGCACATCCTTGTCAACCTCGTCGTTCGTGATGGTCACCTTCCCGTCGACAGAAAACAGCACATTGACATTTTCCTCACGGGAAACAAGATAGCTGTTGAATATCGGAGACACATAGAACACTTCTATCTTCCCGTTGTATCTAACAGGATGCATCCCGCTGGCCATGTTCAACGGCTCAATCTCATAAGATCCAGAAGGAGCGATAAACTTTCTGTTCAGTATCCTTCCATACAGATACGTCGACTCCTGCCCAAATAGCTTCATTTCCAGGGAGAAAACCGCCAAGGGATAAAATTATTTTTCATTCCTTCCGCCATGGCACCAATTCCTCTCCTCCCAAGCTGGAAACACATCCCAGCAACACACAGCTTGTTTCCGAGATACTGGCCATAGTTGCATCTACTGCCTGAAATCCACCGGAAGGAGGCACCCACGGCATATCCACACATGAACGACGCCCCCATCGTCCTTAGAACGGACTTCTTGAATGACGGGTGGTACACACACTCGACCTTTGGCTCCAACATCAGGGCCTGCAGCCCACTTCACATCAAATACTAAGAATCACAGGAAAGAGTTTATTTTTATCCACACGGGAAAGACATCGTCTAGCCGTTTATCTTTTCCTCAGTCCACTCCTGGAAATAGTTCATCACAAATACAATGACGAAAACCAGGAGAATTGTGATACCACCGATAAGGAATCCAGAGAACAGCCCTTCGCTTGCATTTATCCCATGCATTCCCCCGAACAGGTCAAGAACACCCCAGACATTTACAAAGGCTGCAAACCCAAGACTGGACACATCGGCCTTCGACATTGCGACTAGAAGCCTTTCGTCTCCTCTCATCTTTCCATAGATGACATATACAAAGAAGAGAACCACACCCAAGATGCTTGCATAGAGAAGCGATTCCAACCTCGTGATCAAAACAATGAAGTATGTCGTTCCATAGGCCGAGATTAAGCTGAAGAGCAGGTCTCTGAGCTCCTTTTTATAGGACATGACGGCTGCAATGACACCAACCACTGCTGCTGCAATCATGTGCATTTCGAATGTTATTCCCAAGGACTGGAGAATGTGCGACACGGCGAAGTATCCACCCAGCACTGCAGTAGTAGAGTACTGTGACTGCTCCAACGACTTTCGTGGGATGTTCATAAAAGCTATGGCCACCAGCAGTACAATTGAGTAAATGATGTTGACTGCCGCGGAGCTTCCTGATGTTGCATATGAGGGAACGGCAAATGCCAAAGACCCTGTTCCGTCAGCTGATGTAGCAGGTGAATCCGATGCTGGGGCGTTGCTCTTTGCAGCTTCACAGAGAACTAGTGAGATAAAGGGAATGAGAACACTTAGTTTCATCTTTTTCAAGAGCTTCTGCATTTGTTTTATACTTTTCTGTCTGTTTTGAACTCAGATAATTGGTTCTTTCTTTAACTTTTCTAACGAATTATGTGCATTATCAGATACTGATGTGACAGGCAATGTACCTATTGAAAATGAGAAAAGGAATAGAGAAAACAAATTGTGCATTACGCTTTATTGATGTACGCCAAAGTCGTCCAATCACTTAGTAATGAAGGGGCGATGCTGCTGTTGTGCCTGCCAATGAAGAATCTTTGCTAGCATCCGTTGAGTAAGGTCCAAAGGCGCCATGACTCCGATAGAAAAGGTACGGACTGTAGAATGGATAACCTGAACCAGCAGAAGTACTAGAAACTGACCTTGAATAATATCTGCTGCTACTACCTAGGCTACTTGCTGAAGAGGAGAAAACAGATGCTGCAAACAATGAGACTATTCCAACTATGAATTTCATTAAGTCTTGATGCTTTTTCCGTTAAATATTTTGCGCAAAACACCTGTTTCAACGTTTTCCAATTGGAAGGCATTTTTTGCCTTAGAGTTTCTCATCATCAAGAATAATTGAATCAATGCATAGTTTATTTTGGGAACATACGTCTCAAGCGATTATATTTATAGCTTTAGGACAATTAGGATTAGTAGCTCCTATAAATTTGGGCTCTTCCCTTGACTCCTAGGAGAATGCGATTTCATAGCTCTTTCTTGTTGTCATACCCCTCAGCTCTTATTTCAAACTTTAGAATCTCTCTGAGTATTGCCATGGGGTCTGTAAAGATAAGGTCTGGAACCTTTTTTATGAACTCTATATCCTCTACAAGAGAATTCTGGCGCCCCACATAGAATGTTATGATGAAGGTTTTTGTACTCTGGTCGCTGACAAACGTTAGGAACCTGTCTATTCCTTTCAAAGCATCACTAAGGATGGGAACCTTCATTGCCCTTTTCGGAATGAGCACCTTGTAGAATGCAGGGAAGAGAAATGCAAACTGGCTCGGAATGAATGCAACGACATAGCAGCACAGAACATATCTGATGTGCAGCTCTATGGAGAGGTGTCCGTCTATAAGGAAGTCCTTAAAGTTCAGCTTTAAGTATTCGTAGAGCTTGTTCCATGCCTCTTTGTCATGAATCCCGGACACCTTTGTAGTCCCTATCTTTTTATTGAATGCCCTTGTCAGTTCGTCAACTTTGTCCACTTTTGCCTTTACGTCATCAGCGACTGGGATTGATCTGTTTTGCGTAGGCGATACTTCCCTTGGAGGATACTCGTTGATTTTCTCGTCGATGTCACTCAGGCTTGCATCTTGATCTGGCGAGGGATCGTGCACTTCTTTTCCGGATCCACCTGGGCTGTACTCTCTATCGTTCGTGCTTTCACTTTCCTGGAGCTTCACGATCATGTTGTCTCTTGGGGCCTTGTCCACTCCGATTGCAGGCTCGTACCAAGACAGGATCTTTGGGATAGTAGCAGCAAGAGCGACCAGCTTCATTGTGGTTCGAAAGACATGAAAATAAATAGAATGTTTAGATCACCTTACAATTCTGATAATGGAGAGTTTCAAATAAATCTGGCACGAAACCTGACGTGGACACAAGTCTAAGATGCCAGGGCACTTATTAGGGTAATAAAATTATTCAAGGTTGAGGGTTATGGACTCGAGCATGAAAAAGAGATTTATTGAGCTTTTGAGCATATATGGGTCTGATTTCGATGCAATAGCAAGTACAAGTGAATTAGATGGGATGACAAGCGAAATGCTATATTCAAGGTATCCGGAAATTCTTGACACTTACTTCCTGAAAAACACGCCGCTTAACCAGGACGAGATCAACTGGCTGCAGATCAAGGAGATCTACTATATGAACGAGAGGTTTTACTTTGATGTTTTGGTTGGGGAGCTCTGCGGATCCCATGTGATCAAGAACGGGAGGGATCTTGAAGTTGGAAAAGAGCTGGTACTACTTCTAAAGGACTATGAGTTCAAGCTACTATCGAAGCTCAGCATTCTGGACAGGCTCTACAAGAACTTGTACAGGGACGGGATGCTGAGCGAAGATCTAAGCAGGAAAATAAGCATATCTTCTAGTAAAGCTATGAAGAGAAGGAGCGAGACCGGGGCCTCTCCAGATGTAGAGGGCTCGACGCCCAAGAAGAAACCTACTAGCATAGCAGTTGTTGTTAAAAATAGCCAGGAAATGTCTTCTACTAAAGATGAGGCTGAAGATGAGGCGGACGCCAAGGATGTAGATCACACAGAGGAGCAGCACGAGGAGGTTGAAAGTGCTGCAGAGCAACATTTGCCGGATCCGAGGCCTCCAAGCAAAGATAAGACTGTGAGGGTTGATTACTCTGCAATCCTCAGACTTTCAAGAGAGCAAAAGAAGTAAATATAAAATTTGCCTTTACACAAAACCCCGGAAAATCTTAAGTAGAAGTCTTGTTGGGCTTTTACGAGTCATTTTCCCTATAACATTCAAGGCGGTAAGAGCATTGCTCCTGATTGGAACGATGTGTCAGACGCCTTGGACATTTTCTTCTAAACTGTAAGGACCTTAATAAGCTGTGTCCAGAGCACTACTAATGCGGGTGTATTGGTGCGAGTCTTGCGGCAAGGCCTCAAAAGGCTATATGTTGATAAAGAAAATAAATTGGCTATAATTATTTAAGTGATTCGCTTATGGGCTGCACCCCGATGTGCGATGGATCTGAAAACACCCATTCGGTAGGGATGAAGAGATTTTCGCAGAACCAGACAAGCACACTTCCTTCTGGATGCCGAGAAGAGTATAAGAAAGTTGTGTATGTATCCCATCCAACAGTACTTGATAAGCAAATCAAATACCGTCTGTGTTACACGAAGTCGAGTGGGCACGAGCCTGAAGACAACGAGGTCCTAAGGATCGAGATTTCTCATGACCTGGAGAATCTAGCACACTACATCAGAAAGATTTTGGACTATCACAGATTCAAGAAGCTGAAGATATATGTAAAGTATAGCGAATTTCTGAAGCTTCACAAGGAGATAGAGAAAGTCAACAATGACTTGTTTACCTGCAACTATAGCTTCAAGTTTAGCTTCATTCCAAGCAGCTACAAAGAAGAGGAGTACGTACTTCTTTACGAAATAGAAGGAATTAAGAGAGGCGAGCACTACGGCTAATGGAAGATGTCGAAAGAAAACAGAAATCTCATTGACAAAAAATTTTAATTAGTAAAGTTTGTTATTATTGAGAGCTTTTGTTCTGTCTCTCTGATAGATAAAGAAAACATACAAAGGAGAAGTGCTGCTAGAAGCATCCACAGCATCTCGACTCTCTAGTCCCCTCGTTCTTCATTTCTATCTGGCGCTGAAGCTCTATCAGTCTAGACTTTGCCTGGGTATTCCCTGTCTCATAGGAGATCGTATACCACCACAGTGCCAAGAATGTATTTTTCGGCATTCCGCATCCGGTTTCGATAAACTCTGCAACAGAGAACGCAGCTTGCGAGTGGCCCCTCACCGCTGCTTTCAGTGCCCAGAAAAACGATTCCTTCAGATTTGACTGGACTGCACCCTCAATTCCTGTAAATAAGATTCTTGAGTATATTACTTGAGCATCTATCTGCCCAAGAGCAGAGGCCCTCCTGTACCAATCAACTGCCAGAGGAAGGTTCTTTTCTTGTTTCAGCTCGCCGAGCTCACAGCATCTTGCCACTCTGTATTGGCAGTTTGGGCAATCAAGCTCAGCACCCTTCAAGTACAGCTTGAATGCATACTCATCGTCTGCCTGGACCTCGCTGGGTGCTGTAGCAGACTCATATATCTGTGCAAGGTCGTAGTATGGATATGGATACTCTTTACTAGCCTTTCTGACAGCAAGCTTCAGGTAGAACAGGCCGCTTTGGAAGTCCTTCTTACTTCCTATGTCTCCATTGATGAGAACAGAGCCGTATGCATGCATCCCAACAATAAAGCCCAGCTTGGCGGAGCATCTGTAGAAATTTAGAGCATGTTTGTGGTTCCTGGGCTTTCCAACACCCTTTTCAAGGCATTGCCCCATCCTGAACGTTCCCACCGGGTGGTTTTGCCTGGCTGCAGAAGAATAATAGCTTATTGCCAGCCTTCCATCCCTTCGAAGCCCAAACAGCCCAAACTCGTATCCAAGGCCCATGTATGTCTCTGCCTCAGACAGAGTAGAATCGTAGGGATGTGACCGCTTGCTACTGTTTATCGTCTTGGAAAGGAACTCAAGGCACTTTTTGTTGAACTCCCTCATATCCTCACGGCTCTCCTCTAGCGTTACCAAGGGATTCTCACCAACCAGAAACAGATGTCTATAGGAATCATTATCATCTTCAACAAATTTCATATATTCGTTAAGAAAACTGAACATTTCATTGCTGGACCCAGATTGAAGAGCTTTTTTGAGCTCCATCTTCAGCGTCTTGTTCAGTCTTCCAAACAACGAGTTCATGGCGTGGGAACATCCATGGTGAGTGTCTTAAGATGTATCCAGCGCACTAATCGAACATCTTTCCCCCTACTTTGACTAATTTGTCCTCCAGGCATCCAATCAACTTCCAAGGCCATTTTCGGAAATTGCATCATCTCTGCCAAGCCCAGTATAAGTGCATTTATCTCTTGCTGCAAGATGTGCATGGCCTATGGAAATGGCCGCCGGATGTTCTCTTATCCTCAGAAGCTGCATCAATGTGACGTGCATTAGACCTACCACCCATCATATAGCGCTGTCCATTCCAGGCTGTTTCAGACACAAAGGCTGCATGCATCATGTTTTCTTCAACGAGAGATGATTGGTTTTAAGTTTTGAAACGACAGGAGAAGCTAGGGATATAAGCAAGAGCTGGGTGTTTTCTGATGGAGAGAGAAAACGGATATGTGGCAACCTCCACCGAGCATGCACATGACGTTGGAGATGGAGAGCAATGTACCTTATCTCCACTAGTCTATGAGTTTTCATACTCTCCAAGTGAAAATCGGGTCATCGAATACTTGGACAACATGTCTGATAGCGATGTAGAAGAGCTGCGCATTGCTGCAGATCGTGAGCACAACATAGAGGAAAGGGTATCTGCGATGCTCGACCCATATCCTATTGGCAGGATCTCGAGGGGGAAGGTAGACGTCAGCCATGGGTTTTTCAATGAGTATCTGTACGAGAGCCACGAGTACGGGGCCAACAAGCTCCTAAAGGCATATAGAGTGATGTGCGGATTTGAGATATATCTACTTGGACAAGGTAATGAAGAAAAGATAGGGTATCTGAAGTCGAATTTGTTCGGAACAAAATACATTTTTTATCAAGGGGAAAAGGCAGTCTTAGAGATCAAGTACGCAACATCCATATTTAAGAGAAGAGGCCCAAGGTCATTTTCTGTGATGTTCATGGGGATACTAGGGTCCTCCCTGGACGAGCCTGTTGTAATGAAGAACAAGGAGCCCTATTACAATGTAGAAACCAACAGCTACTCTCTAAATTTCAATGGGCGAGTGACTACACCTTCTGTAAAGAATTTCCAGCTTATACATCCTCTCGAGCCCACGTATGTGACACTGACGTTCGGGAAGGTTTCGAGGTTCAAGTACATTCTCGACTACACATATCCCTGGTCTGGAGTGCAAGCCTTTGCAATAGCGCTTGCAGCGCTGGACTACAAGGTTGGGTGTGACTAATGCCTGAGGTTGGATGTAGATTGTAAGTAAGAATAAATATTCTTTGATAAGGCCATTTTCGGTGGATAAAATATATTTCTGAGCAGACGCCTGAATTGTATTGAATGAAAAGAGTCGATGTTAAAGAAATAGAGAAGAAGGCCAGTTTTGTGTTGAGGGAAAGAGATGCTGGATCTGGTGAGTTATGCCCAGGAGAATGTTCGAGGATCCTCGTAGTCAAGGGCCACAGAGCTGTTCTATTTGGCACCACATTATTTCTCGATGAAAGGAAGTTTGAGGAGGACATTATTTATCTAAGCAAGGACGAGACAAGGATTGTTATGGCAAAGCACAATGAGGTGGTTGTTCTAGATTTCTTCTCTTCTACCATCAAGAGGATTGGTGCAAAGGCCCGAATAAGAAGAGGAGAGGTATGGAATGAGTACCTAGGCATTCTGGATGAGGACGGACGTCTGGAGGTATTCAAGGATGGGAAGTTCGTGTATGAAAGGGAGGGTGTAAAGGACTTTCTTCTTCCTGATTTTGTTGTTGGCATGGATGAGAAGTTTATGAGCCATGAGAATGTGAAGAGGCTTTTTCGAAATAGTAGAGGGGAGGGGATCATAGTTGTGACTGATGAGAAGCTGGCCCTTGGAGACGTTGAGGTTGAAAACATACTTCATACTGGGGATGTGGACTACGACAGAGATGCAACGCCCTGCTACTATCATTGCGATTTCCACGGTGTGAATCTGTTAGCGTCTAGCAACTCTTCCAAGTTCCTATTCCTTGGAGATGGCCTTTATGAGTTGGATCTAGAAGAAGAAATAAAGCTTCTGAGCTTAAGAACAGATGAGAAGTTCAACGTCAGATATCTAGTGGGTATGGACTACTCTGGAGAGTATGTGTACCTCGTTGATGAAGACGGGGTTGTGAGCAAGTTTGAGGCCTGTGGGATAGAAAACGAAAGAGAGTTGAAGGAAGACATTGATTTTGTAGAGGAGAGATATGTGATTTCGAAAGAAGAGGGACTGAAGAAAGTGGATGGGGAGGATTATGCCACAGGAGCTGGAAAGGACAAGCCACTTTCATCATTGAACAATCTACTGGATTCTATCAAGGAGAGCCGCACTTCTGTAGAAGTGGAGGACAGCAAGCCTCCTAAGGACGAAGATGTACCTAGGAAAGTGACAGGGGATTCTAGAGTGGACGAATTGATTGAGAGAATTGGTTCCCAGATAGATAAGATTACCAAGGACTTTAAGGAAATAAAAGTTGAGAAAAAGACCTTTCGGATGTACAAATACAATGCAAACGATTTGTCATTGTCTGTTGAGCAGGTATATATGAATGTCACAAGGCTCGAGAACCACAGATCGATGGGGGATGAAATGGCGGAACAGCTTTCGCTAATGCTTAACAATCTTGAAGTCTACAGAGGGATTGATGAGGAAAACATAAGAAATGCAGTAAGGTACATTGACAGTGCAATAGAAAGTATTTCTAAGAAACGAAGGAGAAGGATTGTACACTATACGAAGCCATTGTTCTATGGAATTGGAAAGGTGGGAAGAATCAGCCAAGGGTTGGATGTGAATCTTGGAAGTGTTCAAAATACCTTGACAGAGGTGGGTTATGTAGAAAAAAAGATAGACAACGATGATCTGGGAGACAACTTTACACAGCATTTTAATCTTAACCAAGGGCCTACAGATGCTGTGCCCGAGGAGAAGCTGGAGAGCCAGCAAAAGGAAGTTCGTCCAGAGAAAATAGAAAGCAAGCCAGATAGAAGTTGTTTTGGCGGAAATGTGCTACAAAGGGAAGAAGCAGCACATCGTCCAATTTCTAATGCACAGCCTGCTAACATCTTTGGGCAGCCGATGCCTCAAAGTAACTCTATACAGTTCGAAGGATTGTTTAGCGGCACCTCACCATCCAATATTTTTCAATCCATAACAAGCAATGCTCCCACTATTCCTCAAGTTCCATTGAAGAAGGAAGAGACACCTGATCAATCAACCCCGAACGCATTTTCAAGATTTGCAAATAGTAGAAGCCTATTCAAATAAAACACCAAGGATAAGATGCATTCCAAAAACCTTTAGAAGCTATACTCCAGTCAATTAAAATAGTTTTAATTTTCGGGTTTGTTCTCCTTTATTGGCTTTCCTGCCTTGATTATTTCGTCGACCAGCAGCAGGCTTGTGGCAATGATGGCAGAGTTAGAGATCACTGCCGAAACTACAGAGGAATTGTCGACAACCTTCTCACACTCTTGTCCTCTGAGAATCTTTGTAAGCTCTTCTTGTATGTCCTTCCCAGAGTTTCTCAGCAAGGCCTTGACCACATTAAGGAAAGAGTTTTCCATTACTTTGTATCCAACTACATCCTTCTCGGAAACATTGTCCATTCTTTCTCTAATGTAAGAAATCAGCGACCTGTAGAGCGAATATCCACCTTCAATATATGTCTTACTTTTCTGAGACATATAAAGACTCTTCAGAGCACCTCTAATCCCAGACTCCATTCTGGACATCTCGTGCTGACTATTTCCTCTAATTAGAATCGTGCATGATCCTTTGAATGGCGTTCCTTCAATAAAGGTAAACATCTCATCTCCTATCTTTCTGACGCTCACTCTCTGGCAATATCCCAACACCCTCTCATTGAGCTGGCTAACTTGCGTAATCACATTCCCCCCACACATTCTCACAAGTCTTTCAAGATTTCTCCTTTTTGCTCTTCTCAGCGCAAGGATCCCAGAGGCTGCAAACACTTCCAGCGAATAGGGGTCAATCCCCTTTTCAGTCACCACCATCAGGCTTTTTCCGTGCTTCTCCTTGATTTTCCGCCCAAACTCTGCAATGGCTCTTGACCTCTGCAGTATAAACTCTCTTTCCTTTCCTGCAAGCTCCTCCCTTTGCTCTGCAGAACTATAGCAGAACTCCGCATTTATCTCCGGCTTTTCATATTCAAGCGACATGTTGGTTATCAAAATACAAACCTCCTCAAGCTTATCCGGCATTGCATAGTGTCTTCCTCCATGATCAAGCACAAGCCCATCCACATACATGGTTTCAGATACATCTCCTTCCTGCATCTTGATAACCTCCACCATGTTTATGTCGAAGAACTGCGATTGAATCGCGTTCTCAACAGCCTGAACCAATATCGCTGACAACTTCAAGGCTGTGTCCTCATCAACCTTGGTTCTGATGGTGCTGTAGGCCATTTTCGAAAGCGTGTCATCTTCAAATGGCCTTTCCAGCGTCTTGAGATACCTCATTACGTCATCAAGACATAGCTGAAGAGAAGCACATATTCTCGGAATAGGCACCCCGTTTTCAAAATGCCTAAATGCATCGCTGAATATTTCGCAGCACAGAACAATCAGGGAGGTGGCCCCGTCTCCAAATGTAGTATACATCGATGTTGCTGCTCTTGTAATGATGATCGATGTGGGGTGAGTAAACTGTATCTCCTTGCAAAGGGTATTCCCATCCTTTGCAATGCGAAGTGTTTGCCCTGGAGAGATCAGCGCCTTGTAACTCCCAAACGGGCCCATGCTAGACGAGAACAGCGTGGAGAGCGTTACTGCCGTGTTGTTGTTGATTCGGATTGCCTGCCCGAACTGCGTGACCTGAGCCTCGGAATGCGTGGAATTCATTGGGGTAAATTTTTACAGACAGATTAACACCAAGAGGAGTGGAGAGTGTATCCTGTGCCTTGAGGGCATGCAGCCTGCTAAAACACTTTGCAATTCCTGCTTTCATTGGGCAAGAGGCTTCCCAGATATTTATAGGCGATGCAATGAAAAAGAGAGGCAAATTCTTTTACTTAATAGGGCGTTTTTCTGTTTCATCAAAAGGATAAAATAGTAAGCCTATCCTATACTATGAGCAAAAAAGCCGAGAGGGAAAGCAAAAGCCCCAGAACAAGGATGACAGGGAGCCAGATTAAAACACTGATGGCCTGTTTCCAGGATAATCCGTTTCCTACCACAGCAACCAGGCAGGAGCTATCAAAAATCCTAAACATATCCCCGAGGACAGTACAGATATGGTTTCAAAACCAGAGACAAAAGACAAAGAACCGAGCGAGGAGGGGTAGTGAAATGGGCGAGGGAGGTATTTCGAAGGGATGCCCTGCAAAGCTGTATATTTTAGCACATGTGGCAACTAGAAAAATGGAGGAGGGATACGAGTTAGACATTGAATGCTAGGGCACCTGGGCATTATTGATGGAAAGATTGATGGAGGCAAAACCCTTAAATGAAGGGCCTATCATCTGGCTACGGAATGTCTCATCCCAACATTGCAGTCATAAAGTATTGGGGAAAGGTAGATGAAATAAAGAACATTCCCTCTAATCCATCTATATCCTTCCCTCTGACAAACTTCCTGACAGAGACTGTTGTTGAGCACTCTATGGAAGACACCTTCTACCTAAACGGTGAAATGCTTGCCATTGGAGAAAGAATGAACCGTGTTGTGAAGATATTCAGAGACAAATCGGGTGACAGAAGACCGATCTGCATCAAATCGTTTAACAACTTTGCCCATTCGTGCGGGCTTGCATCTTCGGCGTCTGGGTTTGCTGCATTGACATTGGCTCTGAACGACTTCTACAGTCTTGAGATGCAAAAAGAAGAGCTATGCACGATTGCAAGAATTGGTTCGGGAAGCGCTGGAAGAAGTATATCCCCAGAAATTTGCCTGTTCAATGGCGTTGCCGTCGAAAGGCTACCTCCCTGGCCCGAAATAAGGATTCTCTCCATTATCTTGTCGGAAGATTGTAAGAAAGTAGGGAGTACAAAAGGAATGATAAGAACAGCAGACACAAGTAATTTTTATCGAGACAGGCTGCCCAGGATGGAAGAAAGGGCAAACGCAATGGCCCAATACATCTCTCAGAAGGATTTCAGTGCGTTTGCTTACCTCACAATGAGGGAGTCCAACGAACTCCATGGCATCCTCATGGAGACGTATCCTCCAATCAGATATATAAGAGATGACGGATTCCAAATCATTGAGATGTGCCATGAGTTCAACAGGGACGGCATGAGGGTTGCATACACCTTCGATGCAGGCCCAAATCCATTTCTAATAACCCTGCAGGAACATCTTGATGAAGTAAAGAACTTCTTCAGGTCCTACAAGCTGATTCCTTGCAACTACTGAAACACCTTTAGCCTTAGAGGTAGCTTTAGAATTCCAATGAAAATCCAAATCCGTGGGTACATCCAGATCTACTGACCTCGGCATTGACATTGAAAGTCAGTCCTTCAGTCAGCTTTTCTCCAAGATAAAAGCCTAAAGACATGTCGCTGTTCACACTCGCCTTTACCTGGGTCTTTGATGTCGACAGCCTACATCCTATGGCAGCACTCGGAGGACTGACTCTCGGCGCCTGTACTTCTGCCCCGATGTCAAAGAATTTCCCAATTCTATGATAATAGTTGAGACTCAATGCAGTAAACTGTTGAAGCCCTAGAGAAAAGATTCCGCCTTTGTGCTCATATCTTCCACACACCGAAATCCCAAGCTCGGAATCGGCTCCGATGATCTCGGCGCCAAGGCTCAGAGACCCAAACTGCTGGAGCACATTCGCAACATACACCATCCCTGTGCTTTTTACAGCAGGGCTTATCAGCTTCAGCCCAACGCTGTTGATTCTATTCTTCATCTCTACCTCAATCTGGCTGAACACTTCCTTCCTACCTGTAATTATTGTATGGACCCTAGTGGCAAGGTTTCCAGACATATTCATGGCCCTGACCCCAACGCTGTTTTCATGGTCCGTGCTGATCTGCACCAGGGAATTCCCTAAGCTCAGAGTCCCAAACATCTGGCTGACATGCATATTCCTGTCGAGAATATCAACCCTCGACACCTGGAGGAATGGAGAAATCGTCTTCGATATTTCCGTTCTCACGCCGCTGCATACTTGTGGTGTGATTATTTCACTTGCCTCGGCATTATAGGTGTCAAATGTGGATGTTATTTCTCTCTTGGAACAAGACCTTCTGATATCCCTAAGGATGTTCGAGATCCATCGCATCCCATGGTAAAATTTTCATAATTAAATTCAAGCCCACTCTGCATTCAAAGGTGGAGGCGATAAGGTTTATTTCTAGATTCCATACTTCTTTCGGCAGTACTCCTCAACCTTAAGGTAGAACTCATTGCTATTGGAAAACTCCTTGAGATCGCTCAGAAGCATCTTCTTTATCTCAGGATGGTTATTGTCTTCTCCCTTGATCTTCTCCTCCAGGAAACCTATAACTTCAAGGTAGCTAAACCCAGCGCTTGCTAATGCCTTTCCAAGCTTCTTTCCCTTGGTCATTTTGGAGCACAGAATGTCCCCAACTATGTTACAGTCCATCGCAGGCCCAGAAGCCTTAACAGTTCCTAGAAATTCTACTGCTGAATCAAAGTCTCCGCTCATCCCCTCTTCCCATAGCTCCCTTATAACGGCCTTGTCTGTGTAGCTGGATATCCCAATAATCTTAAGAGCTAGCTCGGGATACTTGTATGCATAGTCGTTAAATAGCTCGTCTGCAGACAAGAGGTTGTTGCTTATCGTGGGGTCAATCCTGCCTCTTTTCAAAACATCGACTTGTATTTCTGCAAGTTCTAGCCGAAGCTTCACCTCGTTGAAGAGTGATGTGTTGACCGACACACTCAATGCTGTTCTCAGAAGATCGATCTTTGTTTCCAAAGGAACAGGCTTGTTGTCAGCCAACTCCAACAGGGACTGTGTTCCTTTAATCTTATCGTTTCTGTAGACACAGTACTTCCAGTGAAGTTCAAATATCCTAGGGTCACTCGATGACATAGCCTTTTCCTTCAGGAACTTTTCAAGAAATGGCACAGATATCTTGACTATGTCATTCAGAACCATGGCACCTGGCTTGTCGCAGCAACTGCACTCCTTTCCAAACTCATTCTCCTTCAGAATATCAAGCAGGGCCTCAAACAATGCATACAAGAAATCCTCTCTTGGATCCTCCAGCGCAAGACCTAATGCACCAGCACACCTGATACTCTTCTTCAGAATCTCAACGCCGTACTCAAAGTCGAAGTTAAAGTTCTCTCTGATAAGTGTTGTACTTCCATAGTAGAATCCAAACTCGTTGTACTTTGCAATGAGACTCTCATTATACTGGACATTCTTAAGGTTGTTCAAGGACTCAAACAGCACCTCCCTCGAAGGCCTTTTGTTCAACATCTCGAGTCCTCTCTGGTAGTAAACCTCCTCCATGGGGAGAAACAAAGGACATCGGGCACTAAGCGTCTTTATAAGAGGCTCAACACTCTGGTTCACCTTGAACATCTCCAGAATCGACTTAAGAGTCCTCTTTTTGAACTCCTCACTGTCCTCAAGAAGAACATATTCTAACGATCTTCCCTCCAGATTGACAGAATATTCATATAGCACGTTCATGTAGAAGCACGTCTGCAGAAACTCATCTATAAAGTCATATCCCTCCTTCAGATGCCTGGCCTTGACCTTTCCCCTCATGTTCTTCATCTTGCTCTGGATCCTCTCAAGATATATGTTCTTCTCTCCATTCAGAATATCCTCAAATGGAATCCCTAGGACGGGCTTTATCAATCTGTATAGGTACAGAAATAACGCAGAAGCCTGAGAATCATCGTTCTTCAAGCAAAGATACTCCAATCTCCCCACATCCTCATTGCTTGCAAGAAGCTCGTAGTATATTACCAGCATTTCTCTTTCTCCATAGCTCTTGTACATACTGAAAATCTCCTCAGACCTGCAGTTCAAAAGGAACTTTTCGATGGTCTGGATCTCGTATATAAAGATCCTCCTATTCCCTAAGAGGAAAATGGTCCTGCCGTCAATTCCAATCAGCTCTATGTCGCTTTTCATAACAATCACCTCATAGCTTTCAGAACTCTTCAGCTTGTCGAAGTTGCAGACCTGGTCTTCGTTCAACGATACCACCGTCACAATACTTCCATCATACCGGCCATTCCGTGCCATGCACAGCCTTCTATTCGATGTATGCACCTTCATCTCCTTGATCTCCGTCATGTCCCCAATGTTTGGCGATCTCTTTGTCATTACAAGCCTGGAGTCCTCGTAGAAGTCCCTCGAGCCATCTCTCTGAATTAGGTAGAAAAACACAGAATCTTCCTTCTCATCAACCACCTGTACATCAACATATTCTCTACACAGAACAACTTCCTTCACCTTGTACATCCCACCCTCGATGTTGTATATCGTGGCATTTCTATCAAGGCAAACCATAAATCTTCTTCCCGAGCTCAAGGCTTTAACCATCGACTTCTTCCGTTTCAGAACAGACGGAACCAGGCTCGACAGAATCGACGAGCTTGGATCATAAACGTGCATAATCTTGAATGACCACGAGTCAACACTCTTGTATACAACCTGGTACACCCTTCCATTCTCGCATCCTATAAATACATCCCCATTCGAGGCCTCCGCACATCTCACGCAACTTGGCGAAGATGTCACAAAGTCTGTGTTAACCAAACAAAAGGTGTCCTTCTCAATCCCATAGATCATCACCTGCTTCTCAGTTGCAATAAATAGGCAGTGAGATATCCTCTCGTTGAAAATCCCTGCCTTAGGGACAAACACTATCACTTCCAATACCTCAGACGAAAATGTTCCTATCTCCTCCTCCTCGTTACTCTCGTACCTCCAGATCACAAGATTCTTGCCATTCGAAAACCACAGTGCATTCATGACAGGTAACATTCCACATCTCTTGTACTCGATCTTTGGGATGCTTATTTCCCTCCTTTTCACCATCATCTTCTGAACCGCATATGTCTGGTCAGATCCGGTATATATATCTCTGATGGAGGGGAGCTTGCGTTCCTCATACCTTCTTGCCTCGATAAGGCTTGGATGCTTCGTCTCCATTTTTAAGGGCTTTCTGCCCCAAAGTAAAATTAAAGGACCATCGGACCATAATGCTACACCTGGTGTCTCCTCATAATTTTTTCTATCCTGTCCTTCATTCTAGCCATAAGCTCATTCTATGCCCTGCAGCACCAGCCTTATAGTAAGGGATACTGGCCTCCCTAATCTCAAACCCAATAGATCTGTATAGACTGATTGCCTCGGCATTGGACGCTCTCACATGAAGATCCACCTCGCATCTTCCTCCCTGCGACTCAATTCTTATAGCGTCTATGGAGAGATTGATAAGCCTTCTACCGATTCCACACCTCCTGAAGGGCCCGTCAACACAGATCGAGTAGATGTGCCCTTTCATCTTGTCTTTCGAGAAGACAGCTTCAGAGTACCCTATGATTTGCCCATCGAGCTCTGCAACAAAGGAAGTCGTGTACGACATAGATAGAGAATTCAGGAACGTGCAAAGTAGGAAGTTTTCGGTAGAGTTCCTAAAGTTTATTTTCTGGACCTGCAGCAAGTCTCCAAATCTCATGCCTCTGAATACAACACACGCCGCTTCCTCTTTACAATCCATACCCCTGAATGTCGACGATACATACAGCTCCCACACGAGGTAAAAATTCTCTGTGAACCCTTCTTCGATGAACAACCAAGTTTTAATCATCGGTCTTGACCAGGACAGGGACAGCCTGTCTGAAATCACACCAGACAACTCCCTGTTCAGAGACAATCTATGCATTGTTCAACTAAAGACTTCCCAGCAGGCCGGGCTTCTCCTCAGGAAGCTTGAGGGCCTCCCCCATGTCCGGGCGCATTCCTTGAAAGAGTTCTACAGCATAATAAGTGCAGAAGACAGGGAGTATGTTCCATTGAAAAAGCTAGAGCCCAAGGAGTTTGTTGACTTCCAGTTTTCTGGGCGAGAACAGTTTGCAGTACTCAATGATGGTGTCCTTTCCTTATTCGAGCAGAAAACAAAGGAGTTTGAAGAAATGCGTGGGTTTAATGATGTCAGTAAGTGCGCTGTTAGCAATGATGGGATGTTTGTATGCTTTTTCGTGGGAAGCATCATTGAAATCAGGGTCGGGAGGAGTCTCGAGATATTCAGCAAGGTCAAACTCAATGATGAGGTTACAGATGTATTGTTCAGCCCCGACAATAAGTTTATTGTAGCCTTTACAAAGAAAGAAACCAGTGTATGGGACATATTCAAGAACGAATGTATTGTCAAGCTACAGGGGGTCAGAGGAGATGTTGTATTCGACGAGGGATGTGCATGTTTCTTGGGCCAACGCAAATCCTTCTCACTTTCATTGGGCAGGGAAGTTGAGTTTGATCAAAAGCTCGCCGAAATGAAGTGTATCAGGCACCACAACCACCAAAGAGTGGAGTTTGGCGGAGACAAGATACAGAAGATCATATATAGTAAGGGAGAGTATAAGCTTTCGAAGACACATGCAAATATCGAAGACATCAAATTCTACTTTTCTGAAAACAGATGCTTTGCACTTATGACAAAGAACATACAGAAAAAGAGCGTTCAGTTCGTCGAATCCTATGGAGCAGATGGTATAACCCTCACACAGCTCGGAGGATGTGCAGAGCAGATCGAGGTTTCCGATAAGATGTTTGCCGTTGTGGATTCGAAACAAACGCTTCTATTATATAGCAGAGACAAGTTTAGCTTTAACATGGTAAAGCAGATCAAAAAAGAAGACGATCTTCTCATTGCACTCTACGACGATGTATGCTGTGTCCATGACTCTGATACAGGGAACATAGAGTTTTACGACAACGGAGAGCTAAGAAGTGCTTACTCCCACCCATCATGCACATCTATCTCGTGGTCACACAGTGGACTCTATGTAGCCTCTGCTTCCATTGGGGACTGCTCGAGTGGACTGGTTCAGATGTTCAATAAAAACGGAAGGCTTCTCTGGAAAAAGGTATTCAACAGGCTTTCTTTATTTATGTGGAGGCCTTTCATGCACATCCCAGAGGAAGATAAGATAAAGGCCATAGAGCAGTTTGAGGGGTCCATTGCCGACGATCTGAGCGGCGAGGAGGAATGTACGGCAGACGTTGGCGAACTTCTCTCTAAATGGAAAAGCTATCTTATTTCTAGAAAGCAGAGGGTTCTATCATTGAAATAAATTATGTCACTTATCCTCATCTGATCTAAGCCCATCATAGTAGGCATTGACTCTGTCTTTAGGATACACGGTCGATCCAATTGTATATCTAAATAAGTCTGTACACGGAATCCACTCCCCATCGGATATGATTCCTTTTGAATATCTTTGACTGAAGTGTGTAAGAAGTAGAATCTTGGATCTAGACACCCTGAAGACCTCGAGTGCACCATCTATCGTTGAGTGCCCTGTTTGCATAGCCCTCTCTTGCTGGTCAAGGGCAAATGTGGCCTCATGTATCATAACATCTGAGTTGAGAGACATCATCCCAAAAAGTACGGAAGGCTTTGCATCTCCAGAGTATGTTATAACTATGTCTCCATCCTTCATTCTAATTCCACAGGAGTCGGAGCAGTGGTCTACCCCACAAATACCTATCTCAAATCCAATGTCAAACTTGAGAAGATAGTTCTCCACATCAATTGTGCGCAAGGGAGCCTTCTTAGATATCTGGAATGTATCCCCAAACCTCCTTTCCATCACCTTTGCATAATTTGTTTCTATGTACTCATAGTTTCGAGTACCAAAGCTCTCAATAAACGGCCTTATGGCGGCAGGAGCAAAGATCTTTATTTTATGGCCTATCTTTTTCAGCACGGACGCAATTCCTAGCACGTGGTCTGCATGGGAATGTGATACAAAAATCGCCTTGAGCTTTTTCAGAACATCAAGCTCTCCATAGGCTCTATGTATTTGGAACAAGGTATCTTCTCCGCAATCAAACATAATGGCTGCGTCCGACGACTCATAGAGTATTGCCGACACATTCCTGTATTTCGATGGGATGGCACATCCTGTTCCAAGGAACAATATGCTTTTTTCCTTGTGCTCTCTGGCGCATGGGATGTGCTTTCTCTGGCCTTGATGGGAGTGGGAGAAGCACTTTGCAGCTTTGGTATATGTAAGGACTCCACAGCTATGAATACTTTCTATGGACTCGAGAGAACTGGCAGGACTTCCACCGGGGAGTGGCAGTAGGAAATCCTTGTGTATTGAGCTCAGCTCTAGCTGGATATCATATAGGGATGTATATTCGACAAAGCAGTTGTCTTCCAAATAAAAGAAGTAGCCGTTAACGGCAGAGGAGAGATACTGTGCGGCGTCTTTCTGAAAACAAAAGAAGTACCTCGGTGCCCTTTCCACCATTCTTTCCAGAAGCCTTTCAAAATTTCCAGAAGAATACACAATAGCAATAGTCCCAACATCTATATCATCTTCCATATATTCTGCTCCATCATATACCTTCCCATTGTACTCTACACTTTCTCTTCTTGTGAGTTTTGAGTACAGATGCTTTGGGATGTCTTTGGGAACTTTTTCCACAAGAAATCTTCCTCGGATTGGCTTGATATCCAAAACAAAAGAAAGCTCTTTTCTTTCTCTAGTTGCAAGGGCATTCTCAATCGTCTCTACCCTGATGGAATTGTCCACATAGTCTCTCATGTAACTGATTCTCAAATTCATTGGATCTGCAAACCTTTTTCCTGAAGCTATCATCTCCTGTACGTCTGAGCTGCATACGATATCCAGAGCTTCCTTCTTCACATCTCTCAGCGTCAAGTACATTCCCATGAGAGGAGGAACGGATTCCTCTGACGAAACAAAGATCGTCGAGATCCTGCTGATACTGACATTGGACTCTATACAGTATCTCTGAAATCCTTCGAAAAGATTGAATAGATATCTTTTATTGTCTACTGTTAGCACCAATGACTTGCCACTTCGTGTGGCCAGATACTTAAATTCTATCATGTTTTGTCCCGGGCGTGTAGAGGGTGATCTTTTATCTAGATGCAGCCTCTATTTCGCTCTCTGCAGATGCTGTAGCGTTTCGGAACAGTGTTATTTACCAAACAAACACAATCATCACAGTTGCACAACATGAATCCCGGAAGGTTCTCGGCACTTGGAGCCTACTTGATTTGCACGATTGCCGGTACGCCCGTAAGCCAAGAACTCATTGTTGGCACAGAAGTGGACATGCCCTCAGAGGCTGCAGTTATGGACCTTGAAAAAGTTGTGCTGAAGCTGGACAGGTTGATATGGAAACTCCTAAAAGTAGGAAAAAGTAGGTCGGAAAGCAGGAAGAATGAAATGGAGGCACATGCTGGGAGAATGTTTGGAGTTCCTATTAAGACAGAAAAGCAGTGGAAGAAGCTTGCTGAGAAGATCAGGAGGAAGGAGAGGGAGAGAGACATGAAGCACTGGAAACAGCATTTGATACACAATGGAACATGGCATCAATATTAAACCTTAGAATTTTATTTTAGTCCTGTCGATCCAAATCCAAGGCTTCCTCTCTCTGTGGAATCTAAAGACTCTACAAAGCTCACCTCACAGCTCAGCACGGGAACAAATACAAGCTGGGCTATACGGCAGGACTCTTCGTACACAAACTCCTCCTTTCCATTGTTGATGAGAGTAATCTCAAGCTCCTTGCCCTCTCCAGGACGCACACATGTTTCTGCCACCTCTATCCAGTTCTTCAGAGCAAGCCCTGACCTTCCAAACACTAGCCCGACAATTGACTTGGGAATGTCCCATACCAATCCTGTTCGTATGGACCTTCTCTCTCCAGGAGGGATCACCCCAGACTCTACCGAATGTAGATCGTATCCAGCTGCACCCTCAGATTGTCTCCTCGGGATTCTGGCATTTGGATGTACTTTGCGGACTCTTATTTCTTCAACCGTCATGGAGGGTAACTGTTATTTAGTATTCATCTTTACCCTGAAATCCATGAATGAAAAGACGGGTGCCAAGAAGTCAAGAAGGATGACCAACGGACAGCTGCGGCATGAAGAGAAAATAGCAAGAGTCCCAATCGAAAACATGTTCTACAAGGATCTTCCCCCTGCATTTGTGTCGATAGTAGGACCCTCTAGGAGTGGAAAAACCACGCTTATGAGGTCTATTGTGAAGTACTTTACCCACCAGCTGATAGATACACCTAGAGGCCCGGTGACGCTGTCTTCATCGAAGGAAAAGAGAATTACTCTGTTTGAATCAAGAGCTGACATCCACCAGTTTGTCGATATCTCGAAAGTGTCTGACTTGGTCATTCTCACGATCAATGCAGCATCTGGGCTGGAGATGGAGACATTTGAGTTTCTCACACTGCTGATATCGCACGGGCTCTCCAAGATTCTATGTGTTGTGACCAATGCTGATGGCTGTAAAGATCAGAAGCATCTAAAGTCGATAAAGAAGAGGATATGGGAGGAGATATGCCCTGGAATCAAGTTCTTCTATGTTGGGGAGGTTGAGGCAGGAAGATACAGAGATGCGGACTTTTCCAAGCTTTGTAGATCGATTGGAGTTATGAAGTACAGGCCCATTGAGTGGAAGTGCATGCATCCACACGTTGTTGTAGATAGGGTTGATGAGGTATTTGTTTATGGATATGTAAGGGGAGGACTGATGAGAAAAGACACGGAGGTCCATATTCCTGGGATTGGGGACAACAGAATAGTTGAGATTGAGGCAGTGATAGATCCTGTTCCCAGCCATGGGGAAAGCAAGCTCTCACAAAGATCAAAGATCTTGTACTCGCCGATGTCTGAGATTAACGAACACAAGAAAGAAGAGGTTGAGGAGGAGAATGGAGTAGAGATTGAGATTGAAGAGGACATGGAGGTGAAGATTTTCCGGGGTGGAAAGAGCATCGAAGAGAGGACTGATTGTTGCGTATCTGAAGGTGACACAAACGAGGAAGGCTCTGAAGAGGAGGAAGAGGAGGAGATTGAAGAGAAGGACGAATCAAGCCTTGACTTTGAGGACTTAAAGAAGATGACGTCTGACAGATTCCAAAGGGAAGCAGTCACCGAGGAAGACCTTATCGAGAAATTCAACAGAAGATACGAAGAAAAGGAAAAGGAAAACAGTAACATCCTACTCAGAGAAAAAAGAAGGTTGGAAGAAGAGATGAAAAGAAATGAGGAGATGATGGTTCCGGGAGTCATTATTCCAGGAAAGTATGTCAAGATTAGATTGAATAGTCATATTCCCCGGAATGTTGATTTCAACAACGTCATTATTCTCGGAAGCTTTCTTGTAGCAGAAAAGGAAATGAATATCATTCAAGGGAAGGTTAAGAGATACAAATGGTACAGGAAGATTCTAAAGACAAACGAGCCGGCCATATTTTCTGTTGGGTGGAGAAGATTCCAGAGTGTTCCAATATTCAGCATGAAGGACGCAACTAGAAACCGAGTTATAAAATACACGCCTGAGTCTATGCACTGCAATATTTCCTTCTATGGGCCTGTTGTGCCTGCAGGAACCGGGTTTTCTGTGTACAGCGAGAAAGGGGATTTTAGGGTTCTAGGGCTAGGGACAATAACAGATGTCAACGGAGACCCGAATCTAGTGAAGAAGCTGAAGCTGATAGGATATCCCAAGGAGATCAGGCAGAACACGGTATTTGTCCAGGACATGTTTACTTCCGACCTTGAGGTGCTGAAGTTTCAAGGAGCATCGCTTAAGGCTGTAAGTGGTCTCAGAGGACAAGTTAAGATGCCTCATGGGAAGAATGGGGTGTACAGGGCCACCTTTGAAGGGAACATGCTGATGAGCGACATAATAACGTTGAGATGCTTTGTTCCTGTCGATGTATACAAAATCTTCGTTCCTGTGAACAACTTGGTAGGTGAATGGAGAGGGCTTCGAAGGCTGCATGAGATAAGAGAGGCCCTAGGAATTGCTCATAACTATGGACAGGAGGACTCTTCTCCTGGTGAGGAAGAGGAGTGCGATGCCGTTGAGGAAGACTATGGTCTTCCACAGGAGATTGAGAAAGAGCTCCCTTTCGACCGGAGGAGGATTTCTATTGTTAGCGAGAAGATCGAGCTACCAATTCCGCCCGATTTGAGGGAGAAGCATAAGATGATGAACAGCATTATGGAAGAGAGAGTGAAAAAGGACCGGGAAGAGGAAGAGAATAGACAGAGGCTCCGGAGGATGAAAGAAGACGAGATACGAAGAAAGGAAAAGGAGAGAGAGAAGAGAGTCAAAAAGACCATACATGATAATCACAAAGATATGATGAAGAAGAGACGCAAGAAAAGGTGATTCTTTATTTTTACCTATTAAAACAACTTGGTGAATAACCTGCGGCCTAAGTTCTATGAGTCTTGTGACCATTAATATGATCATCCAGCTTCTTCTCGAATGCCTTCAGCTTTTCTATCAAAAGGTCCTGATCCTCCAAGTCCTTATCAAGGTATTCATGTATTTTTGAAATGGCACTATTATCTACTTCCTCGCTGGAGGAGTCGATAGACCCGTTTTCTATTGAGTCCAGGGAGCCCAAGCCGTCGAGCTCTATGGTTGGGATTTCATCGAGCTCTGGAATGTCGAGAGTGATGGAGTCTTTATCCATTAGGCAAGGAGTATTTTTTTGGAACAAGTTAAGGGGTGCAGAAGCCGGATGTCTTTGCTGATGGTAAACGACAGGCTGACACTTGGAGATAAGTTCAAGGGGACGGTGAGGTATATTGGAAGGATAAAATCGAAGGACGGGAAGTGGATAGGGCTGGAGCTCGATGAGCCTGTGGGGGCTAATAATGGAAGTGTGAATGGAGTAAGGTATTTCCACTGCAAGGACAAACATGGAATATTTATACGGTACGAGAAGATAAGAGAGGGCCTTGTGTGTGAGCCTAGGGAGATGGGTGACGGCGGCAAGGCCTCTCAGCAGGCTCATCTCTATGAAATGAAGATAAAAAAGCTAGAAGAAACAATTGAAGCCCTAAGGAGTGCTGAGAAAGGGGAGATAGTTGAGCTTAGGAGGGAAAATGAAGAGATAAAGAGGATTGTTCTTTTGCTCCAGGAAAAGATAAATTCTAAAAGGGCTGATAGAGACGGAAAGGCCTATTCTGAACTGAAGGAGCTTGCAGAAGGAAGCAGAAGACATATATCTGACATAATAGGGCTTGTTTCTGAGATGAGCGAGGCTTTGAGCCGAAGCGGGCTGGCGAGAAAAAAGGCCATTCAGGAATGCGAGAGACATAGAGTTATGTTCTTAGTAAACAGAATAATAGACGGTGTTCTGGACGACGACGCAGAGGCTGTTGAGCGCTTCAAGGGGGAGTTTGAGAGTATAATGAAGAAGCATGGGATAAATGTTGAATAGTTGACATGTGAATTAAAACAGAGTGTTCTATATGTTGTAGTATACATGACGAATCTTGCTGCTTCAAGAACCCATTCTGCCTGTACGAGAGTACGTGAAGACAGTGTTCGCTGGTGTTAGCAAGCATCATTGGTTTAGTGGTATAATAGCCGGTTGCCATCTGGCTGACCCGGGTTCGATTCTCGGATGATGCATTTTACATTTTGTGCACACGAATGCTTTTTATAACTCAATTTAATAATGGCATCCACTACCCAAAGGCCATCAGCTCCCTTTTCCTACCTCTCAAGCGAACCGCCTCTAGCTTACTTAATACATCAGTGCTTCCCTTGGCCATGTACCCTTTATAGAAACTTTCGAGGAGCTTGGTGTCGTGTCTGCACCCAACTGCTTTTTCAAAGACATACAGATCAACAGCCTTGTCCTCATCCTTTCGGGAGATGTAAGACAGCCCGAAGTCTATCACATGTATTTTATCCTTAAATATAAAGTTTGATGTTGTTAGGTCTCCATGGATCACGTCTACAAGATGAAGCCTTGACACTAGGACTCCCAAGTCATAGAAGAGAGTTTTCTGATCGCTGCAGTCATCAATCTTCTCCTTTAGGGGTGTCCCGTCTATCTTTTCCATCACAATGGTGTCGCCGTACACATCTCTTAGCCTTGGCGCCGGTATTCCAGCTGCTTCCAACTTCTTAAGGATCTTTGCCTCCCTCTTCGTTCTACTGCTTATTATCTTTGTGTCCAGCGCCTCAATCCTATAGGTCTTTCTTATACGTTTCTTTGAAACTGTCTCTCCGCTGTCCCAAATAATCGATTCTGCACCCTGGAAGAGAAACCCCATTCGAAGGGATCCAAATGTAAACTATCTATCAAGCACTCATGCACTCCTCCAAGCCTTCCGCTCCAGGAATTCGCATCACAAAGCTTCTGGCAGATCTCTCAACAACCTCAAGCATATTCTCTATCTCACACTCCTTTCCCACCTTCTCTAGAAGAACTATCTCTTTAGGAGACTTCATCACAATAACGCAATTCCAGTCTCCCTCCTTTTGCTCATCCTCTGAGGGATCAGTAATAATTACACTTCCGATCGAACAGTAGGAAAAACACTGAGGAACATAATTCACTCTCACACCGAGTGCCTCCAAAACAGAATTCACCCCTTTAACAGCAAGACCATAGATGTTTCCGTCGCTTGACAAAACTCTCAGGTCTATGTGAATGAATACAACCTCTTCATTCAGCTTGACACACAGGCTTTCCAAATCAATGCTCTTCTGCTTGATATATACCTTGTGCAGGAAGTTTAGTAATCTTTCGTATCTCTTCCCTCCAGTAGACGCACTGAAGCTTATTATTCCTTCATGGGGCCTGTCAATGTATGGCTTCGACGTGCTTTTCTGGAATGTTGCCAACAGCTGGGATGCTCCCATCCTAACGAGGCAAGAATTTGATATCCTCTCAACCCCGAATTCTCTCAGTTCCTCGATCTTTCTGTTGTCAAACCTTTCCTTAATCCCTGCCAAATTTTTCACTATCATCAAGGGGACTCTTCTTTGCCCACCTGAAGGCGTTTTGCAGGCCGAGTTTGTTTCATAACACAAAGCCACAGAAACCGGTAAACAATATGTTCTTGTTTGTGCTGCTTGCCTCTGTGTCTTGTATGGCAGAAGAAATAGACATGGTGTTTACAACCTTGGATAACAAGGTCCTTCCCATAGAAAGCATCCCTTCATCTTCTAATCTTGCTGTGACCTTCGAGGCTTTTGGAAGGGAGTTTAGACTTGCATTGAATGATTCATCTCTTAAAGTCAATGGTGTGCTTATGAGGCAGAACCTTTGCGACTTCTCCGTTACATGCCTTTATGAAGAGGAGTGCTATGGATCGATGTCCTTCTGCAATTCCATTTATGGATCATTTGTGTCCTCCGGAGTTATGTATCAGATCAAATCAACTGAAGACGGAAAAGTTGAGATTGAGGAGTTGAGGCGGGTTTCTGCAGGTACACAGGAGCATGTCTCCAAGAAGCATGCCGAGACAGAAAAGAAAAGAGTCATCAAGATCTTCTTGATTAATGATTACGACAGGGTTCAAGAGATAGGCCCAGATATCAACCTTGACACTATAGAGATATTCAAGAATGCAAAGGATATATTCGAAGGAAACAAATGGAATATCCGCGGAATTGAGTTATCCTTGAATGGCATCCTCAATGTTGTGGACAGGCCCTTGATCCAAGAGCCCTTTAGTAGATTACAAGAGCTGGAGATGATAAAAAATAGAGGCTTCAATCCAGAATATATAGAAAAGGCCGACAGTATCAGAATGCTAAATGCTTTCAGCCGAACTTTCGGGTCTGCTCCGATGGACACAAATGTTGGGGAGTTTCTGAAGAAGTCAAACCTGATCCTTCTTCTCCAGACGTCCAGTATAAAGGTGAATGGATTGACATTTGTTGGGGGAGTAAGCTCTGCCACAAAAAGGTTCGGCGTTATCAGGATTTCCGAACTAGATTCGTATTTCTATAAAGGAAAGGTGATGGCACATGAAATAGCACATGGATTAGGTGCTGAGCATGAGGCAGATGGGGAGTGCTTGATGAGAGAGGAGGAAAGCCCATTAGAGAAAGAAGAGCATGTTTCTCTTGGGCATAAGGCCATAGAGGCAATAGAAAGCTTTATCCTGAGAAATGAGTCGAAGTTTAGAGATATGGACACGTGTGGGAACGGTGTGATGGGAGAGGGAAAGGAATGTGATTCGGGCCTTCCAAATGGCTCTATTTGCTGCACCAAGCAATGCAAGTTAAGGCCCTGGGCACGGTGTGATGATAGAAATGGAAGATGCTGCAGAGATTGTGGCCTACTTCCAAAAAATACAATGTGTAAGGAGAAATCCTCAAATGTTCACAAGATGGATTGCGAGAAGGGAAGTTATTGTGATGGTGAATCTCCCGAGTGTAGAATCAGATATGCCAAAGATGGGTCGAGGCCTATTCCAGAGGGTGTCTGCAAGAGAGGGGTGCTACAAACAGAAGCTTTGATGTGCGAGAGGGTTGGCAAGTTTTTCAGTGAAAAGTGCCCGTCTAAGGATGGAAACCTCTGGTGTCTTGACCAATACGACGTATGCTCGCCTGTCTTCACTTCGCTTTCCCTTCCCATAAAGCTTCCAGTCCTGAAAAGTCAGAAGGCTGTGCCTTTAACCGTCATTGAGAGTAGGCCTATGCTCTTACTAATAGTTATGTCAATTTGTTTATTGGTTGCTTCGAAATTCATTGTTCCAAGAAGATGAAGATCTGAAGGTGTATTGTTCTATTGAAGTAGCCCGTCAGATTCAATTCCAAGATACCCGATAACCTTCATTGCGTTTTCTTCAAAATCATTCCACTCCTTAGCAAACTTCTCATTCAAGACATGTATGTCGTTGGGTTCCAGCATGTGGGACTTATACCTTAGCACATTAAATAAGATTCTTTGGACAATGTCCATGGATGTAAGTACATGAGGTGTGACAAGGCATATAACCTTCTGAACATCTTCTTTGCTCATACTTCTTACCCAGTCCTCATCTAAGAGTTTCTCTAGCATTTCTGATCCATCAGAATTGTTGGAATCCCTTTCTTCGAAGTTATTCTGCAATCCCTTTAAGAGTAGAAGCTCGGAATAAAGATTTCCCCTCTTATGCCTCCATCCTGCCTCTTCTGCACTGCTCCTCTTCCTAAACTCGGAGAGATTCAGCACGGCTTCCTTGGGTTCTGCGGACGACTGGAAATTGCTCTTGTTCGAAAATAGAATAAGATCATTGTCTCTAGACACAGCCAGAAGAAAATCAAGATTAGGAGAAAACCTGATAAACTTTGCTTCACTATCTAATACAAGCATGTCGAGGAGCGTCGTGGTTAGAATGTCATAGATAAAAACGTTTTGGTTGCTCAGGATAGCTATCCATTTCGAATCGCTTGACACACAATAGTCTACTATCTTATCTGACGACTTAAATACTCTCGAGACTCCATCATCGTAAAACAGGATCTGGGTGGATGTGCAAATGACAGTGAAGTTCTCGATCAGCCTGATAGACACTATTCCTTCCACCTCATATCTGCCAATCTCGCTCCCTTTTGTAGTATACACACGTATCCCCGAACTCGTAGCTGCAACTATTTTCGTGAAGTCCATTGCAAGATCAACCAGCTCCTCACCTACAGAAAACTTGCCATGCACAAGCTTTGATTTTAGATTCATTAAAATGATCTTGTCCTTGCCGAAGCAGCAGAAATCCTTATACACAGCCAAACAGTTGATATCCTTATTTAGAATAAATTTTGAGTTCTTCTCTAGGAAGTTAAGAGCATGGAGGCTTCTTTTTCCGAAACACACTATGCTCTTGTTCACATCCATCATTTCGATATCTCCTTTGAACTTGAACATGAAGTTCTGCTCGTCCCTATACACATTCATATTGAACACACACCTTGGGCCAAATACAAGCACGTTTCTCTCATCCATAAACTCTATCCCTATTATCTCATTGTTATATGTTCTCCTTCTCTTGATTACCTCAAGATTGTAATCCTTTACCTCGTAGATGGATAAGGAATCCTTTGTAGATGCTACAAGAGACCCGTCGTCTAAGAACTTCCCGCTTAGGATCCCTCCCATAGGGCAGTCTTCCTCTTTGCCACCCCCGTCAGGCATGTTTTCCATCGCTATCATCTTCTTCTTCGAGTTCAGGTCAAATATAAACATCCCTTCCCTGGTTATTGCCATGAGGCGGCTTCCTCCAAAGCTAAGCTCTTTAACTGCATTTTGGAGCTTGAATGAAAACAGCACTCTGTCTGTTCTTAGATTGAATATGTGTATGGTACCATTCTCTAGCCCTATCCCGACAACATCGACTACAGGGCTTTGCTCAATTGCCGTTATCGCAGCCTCAAATGGCTTGTATGCATATACCTCCTTTCTGGAGGACACGTTGTACAGTACCATTTTTCCTCCCTTGAGAACTTTAACAACCTTGTTGATATATGTATGGGGGTGGAATAGTCTTTCAATCTCGTCATGCTCAATCTTATACATCTCGTTCAAATCCTCTGTGACAAACAGCTCGTTCTGCGTCAGAATAAGAACGATCTCTCCAAACCCAAGTATCTGTCTGATTATTGCTTCCATACTCTCTTCGGACACCCTGACCCTCTTGTTGGACTGAACAGAGCCCGAAGGCAGTGTAAAGCATCGGACCACTCCTCCCCGGGTGGTGACATACACATCTCTGTACGAACCAACATACACAACATCTCCTCTCTGGTATGTGCAATGAATTCTGCCAAAGGTAGGCCCGCAGAAGAGAAGATTCATCTTTTTTACATCATATATCATATAGCTTGTGCGCGTCGTGGACGTCACAAAAACACTGTTGTTGGCTTCCCTGACCATTAATGGAAAGCTTGAGGCCATCTGGTTGGCAACTCTATATCTCTTAAAGAGATCTGACTCGTTAGTCTTCATCACAAAGGGCAAATTTTTGGTACTGGAAATCAGGGCCCATATGGATAGAAGCGATGGCGGATACATCCAGAGTTCTCCAAAAAGAGAGTTTCTAGGAGTCAAGACACTAAGGGCACTCACAATCAAGCAGATCAACAACTGCGAGTTTGACGAGCCGTCCTCGACGCATCTTGTAGACTCTGCAGAGGTTACAAACATTCAGATCATTGGCTGGGTTGTTTCATCAAGGATATCGGCAACAGGGTCAATGTTCGTTTTGGAGGATGGAACAGGAAGCACAGATTGCACATTCTGGCCAAGCAATTCTTACGAGGAAGAGCAATGCAAAGTCCTTGAGGAAAGAAATCTTCTCAGAATCAGTGGGTCTCTCAGAACATTTAACGGCAAGAGAAGCGTGTCTGTATCTCATCTGTCTCAGGTAGAAGACTCGAACCTTATTACCTATCATTTTCTGAACTGCATCTACCAGCATTTATTCTACACTAGACAGCTTCAAAGAGAAGAAGTAAGGGGGGATGGTGCAAGACTCGATAGAGTTCAGGAGGATATATTGGAGTGTTACAGGAAGAACCAGGACGAAAACGGGCTCCACATCAACGTAGTCATCAAAATGCTTTCATCTAAGTATCCTGAAAACGAAATCAGAGAAAATATCGATCTTCTCCTGAGAGACTGTCACCTGTACAGTGTAGATGGGCTGGAATACAAGACAACTGTTTAAAGAGGTAAACCGTTTAATAAATGCGTTTCGTTACAAGAGGCCTGCAATGGAATCGATTCTTACCTTTCATCTTGCACCCCGCTTAGGTCAAGCCCTTTTACATGCGTGTTAGTTATTCTGATTCTCCTTCTGCTCCTCCTGTCTTTCTTAATCTTTATTGTGGGCCTTTTCTTGACATTTTCGACCTTCTCTATCTTCAGCCCTGCAGTGTTGAGCTCTCTTATTAGATCGTGATATGTAGATATTCTAACCTGGCTCCATAGGCTTTTTATCTGCGGATCAACAGGCTTCTCATGCATGTCATTCCAAAACACCACTTCAGATCCGTCTATATCGTTGAGCACAATTATCTCTCCATTCCTCCTCAACTCTTCCACAAAAGGTGCAATGTTAACTGGAGAGTCCATGAGCTTGCTCATTTCCAGTCCCTCTTCCCCATTTATTTCTCTCATCACTTTTCTCAAGTCCTCCACACCTCTTATGGAATACAAAGGCTTGAACATCAAAGTACTGTGTGTTGCAACAATCCTCGGATTTTTCTTGATAGACTGGAGGAGCATATAGTTATTGTGGAGATCGATTCTTGTCTTGTCTTTGATTTCCTCGAAAGTCAGCGGCCTATCATACTGCTTTAGAAGGCTGATTACGGAATGTATATAGGTGTTTGTATGTCTTGGGATTCCTCTGTCTATTGAGTCTATGTGATCATGGGCCATATCTGGGATAGAACTGTTGTGTTTAATTCTAGTTGTTGAATTGTGTGAAGAAGAGCCCTATCAAAATGTCATGGGACGAGCATAAAATTGCGAGCATCGATCTGGTGACCAATGATCCTGTTGTGAACGGGGAGGCAGTGAAAAATGAATTCATCCGATTTATCGAGCAGTTTAAAACAACACACAAAGAGTATTCCCACGTGCTTTCGTCGAACATAAACCAGAAAAACTTCTCTCTGACGGTCAAGCTAGAGCATATTTACCAATACTCTGATCTCCTGTCACAGGAGCTGTCCAGGAGGCCCGAAAAAGCCATCGAATGGTTTGAAGAAGCAATAGTTGGCAGATACAATACGGAAGGAGTGCAAGGATTCCAGCTTTGCATAGTTTCTGACGGTAGAAGCATACCCATCAGAGAGATAAATGCATCAAAAACGAACAAGATAGTGAAAATTCAGGGGATAGTTGTTTCTGCATCTTCTGTCATTGCAAAGCCAAAGACGCTGTTTCTTGTCTGCAGGAACTGCCTTAACAGTAAAGAAGTGGTGGACATGATCCCGAGGGCATGTGACAAAGCGGAATGTCCCACTGATCCCTACATAGTCATACCTGAGAAAAGCCGAGTGATAGACGTACAGTATGTGAAGATCCAGGAGTTTTTTGAGGATATTCCTGTTGGAGAAACACCTAGGCATTTTAGCTTAGTTCTTGAAAAGGGTATGGTTAATAGCTTGATCCCCGGATCAAAGGTTGTTGTTACTGGGATTTATTGTATGAGGATGATCCGGGACAGTTCTGTTCCAATTGTAAAGGTGATAGGGCTTGAGCATAGAAGCCTTAAGGCCTCGAAGATGTTTACGGAAGAAGAGGAGGAAAGCTTCAGAAGCCTTAGCAAGACAAACATTTACGAGAGGATCTCGAGATCGATTGCGCCCTCTGTATACGGGCATGAGGATGTAAAGAAAGCTCTTGCTTGTATGTTATTTGGAGGAACCAGGAGGATATTCGAAGACAAGGTCACTCTTCGAGGAGATATCAACGTTCTTCTTCTGGGGGATCCTGGAATGGCCAAATCCCAGCTTCTGAAGTTCATGGAATTAGTGTCTCCTGTTGGTGTTTACACTAGCGGGAAGGGCAGTTCTGCAGCAGGGCTAACAGCAAGTGTCATAAGAGATAGCAGTGGAGAGTTCTATCTTGAGGGAGGGGCACTGGTGCTTGCGGACAATGGAATATGCTGCATCGATGAGTTTGATAAGATGGATGAACATGACAGAGTTGCAATCCACGAGGCTATGGAGCAGCAAACGATATCGATAGCAAAGGCCGGAATAACAACCATGCTGAATACTAGGACGAGCATCCTTGCAGCAGCAAATCCAGTATTTGGAAGATATGATGATTACAAGACACCTGACGAAAACATTGAGTTCGGGGCTACGATTCTTTCTAGGTTTGACTGCATATTTATCTTGAAGGACAAGTTTGGGCCGAACGACACTGTTCTTGCAAGACACGTTCTTTCTGTTCATCAAAACAAGATCAAGGAAGATGGTAGCCGTCTGGGCTCATGGGAGGATGAAAAAGAAAAATGGGAGAATGAAGAAGACAAGGGGCAGGATGTCATTCCAGTTCATGTGATAAAGAGGTATGTGCAATATGCCAAGAGTAAGATATTTCCGACACTTTCCGATGCAGCATCTAAGCAGCTATCAAGATACTATGTCAACACTAGGAAAGAAGTCAGGGAATTTGAGCATAATACTCTTAAGCGAAATGCAATACCAATAACAGTTAGGCAGCTAGAAGCAATAATACGCGTGGGAGAATCGCTTGCAAAAATGGAATTGAGCCAGGTTGTCACAGAAAAGCATGTGGAAGAAGCAATAAGGCTTTTTAATGTGAGCACAATGAATGCAGTTTCTCAGGGCCACATGCTGGAAGGAATGATTCGTCCCGATGTGATCAACGATATCGAAGAGATATGCACTAGAATAAAATTGCTTGTGCCGATCGGCGGGTCGATAAAGTATAACGATTTAATCAAGAGACTCGGAGGAAAAGATGAATGGATGTGCAGAAAGGCCATTGACTATATGTGCAGACAAGAAAAGTTAATAGCCAGAGATATGGGAAGAATATTAATAAGGCAGCCTTAAATAAATAAGCATAAGATTGTCTCTGCAGTTTACCTTCGGTAGATTATGTGAAATCCTGAGGGTGTGGATACAGGCTCTGAAATCTCTCCTCTTTGAAGAGAAAACGCAGGCCTCTCAAACTCCTTCATCATTTCGTTTCCACATACAAACCCTAGGTCCCCGCCTCTTTTTGCAGACGAGCATTGGGAATACTTGAATGCAGCCTCTTTAAAGAAGTCCTTAAAACTTTTATCATGAATCTTTGCTTTTAGATCCTCGTGTATTGCCTTTATTCTAGAGAAGGCTTCGTCAACACTTACATCTACAGGCTTTCTCGATTTCTCATGTTTTATAAGTATGTGGTACAATCTAAAGCCCTCCATAGGTCTTCTATCTGTTTTTTCGCCTGTCTCTGTGTTGTAAAAGTATGAATGCCCAGTCTCCTTATCTTTAAGCTTTGTCCACATCCAGGGTATAACTGGATGCAACTATTGTAATGCATTTTAGCATCAAAATCCACGCCCTCTGCAAAATGATAATCCCAATAAGATGCTTCACTTGTGGAAAGGAGATCTCCAGCAAGTGGGAGCCATATCTGGAGCTTCTAAAAACGGACAAGAGAGAGGCGGAGGCACTTGACGAGTTGGGGATGAAAAGAATATGCTGCAGAAGAATGTTCTTAGGACACGTAGACATTGTAGACAAGCTTCTGAAGTTTGACATTGTCAAGGACTTCACTCAAAAGAGCTAATTGGGGGAGTGCATTTATTGGCTGTGCAAAGAGATTCCCGTATGAGCCGGAGCTTCATATCTCCACTCCAACTTTCCCAAGAGCTGTTCTTATCCATTCGGGTATTTCTCTAAATCTTCTCCTCATGAAAGTTTTAATAAATTCAGGATATTTATCTTCCATTATAGACTCTCTGATTCTTCTTGTAAGACCTCTCATGTAATGCAGGTTATGAATCGAGAGAAGCATGCAGAAGTTCGTGGTTCCCTTGATAGAAAATATAAATGCTCGCGAATATTTAGAGCATACATAGCAGCTGCAATCCTCGTCTATTTTTCTTTTATCATTTTTAAGCTTTGGAGTGAAGCAAACGTCCCCCGTGTCAGAAAGAGCCTTTCCAAATCTTGCCGTCCTTGTTGGATAGACACAATCTGACATGTCACTTCCTAGTGCTGCACACACCACAATATCTTCCGGGTATCCTACACCCATAAGATACCTTGGGATGTCTTCAGGAAGGTTTTGGATACAAAAGTAAACGGTCCTTGCAAACTCCGACTTTTCCTCTCCTCCACTCAATCCACCTATTGCGAGGCCTTTTGGAGATCTTTTGAGAATCTCAGCAATACTTTCTGCCCTTAAATCCTCGTCAAGACCGCCTTGTATTATGGGAAATAGTATTTGCGTGCTCTTCTCGTCAAGCTTTATTTGTGGGACATCTGTCTCTTTCTTAATCTTTTTGTTGCATCCATCCGTTCCACAGCCATTGATTGCATTGATGCATCTGTCCATCCATCTAATGGATCTTCTCATTGCAACCTCTATTTTCTCTCTTTCCTCGCATGGATTCACAACATCGTCAAGCTGCATGATAATGTCTGCACCTAACTTCGTCTGTATGTCCATACTGTCTTCTGGTGTAAAAAGCGTGGTTCCAAACCTCACACCTTCTTCCGTGACAACAACATCAGGCAAGCTCCCAATCTGGAATCCTCCAGAGTCCGTTAGCATCCCTCTGTCATATTTCATAAACTTCTTGATACTTTTCCCCAGTGCCCTAAGGTGGTATGTGTTTGCCAAGATCATGCTCTCCTGAAGTCTTGGCACGCAGATCCCTTTCATTGCTCCATACGTCCCTACAGGCATGAATATAGGCAGCTCGAGACATACATCGTTTAGTTCAAACTTTGAAACTCTTGCATTTGTCGTACTACATCTTTTTATCACTTTAAAGTCTCCTAACATTCAGGGTCATCTAAACAGCCTTTACCAAAATTCGTTTGTGAACAGGGTTCGAGAGCCAAAGATCATACACTTTGTATCCGTCAGCCTCAAAACATTCTCCCCAAGGCAGAAGTAAGGCACACTAGGGTTTATTCAAGAAGTTGAATGCAATTCTCTGGTCCTTATTTACAACAACTCGGTTTCTCTTTAAAATGCACTCCTCGCAATCTTGGATATGAAGGCCTTCCAGTTTTATACACAGCTCCTTAGTTAACTCGATATTTGACTTTAAAAGGTCTTGATAGACACTGTAAAATCTCCTGCAGTCCTTCATGGAACCATAGATCTCAAGTAAAGTTCGATATATAAGAATATCTTGTAGGCCTTGCCTTTTGAAGAACAGGAACTTCTTTTTCCTGTCTTTTCTCCACTCTTCGTAGGCCTGCTCTGAATACTTTATGCATAGATTTCGTGTTTCGAAGTCCTCGCACCTACTGCACAATTCCTGAAGTCCCTTAAAAAAGTCCACAGTTAAGTCTTCGCTTCTATGCAGACAGCTGATCATTTTGGAGAATCTTCTGAGAATGGAAATCCGGTGGCTAGGAGAAACTTCATAGAGCTTTGTTAAGACCTCATCTATCAGCACGTGGAATGAATTGACATTGCCGGTAGATATGGAATACTCGACAATCTCACCTATCCTAGCTTTCCAGGCGTTGCTCTTAGGATTCTTCTTTAGACCCTTGAAGCAAAGAATACAAGCCTTACTGACACTTACATTGGTACCCTCCACATCATTTTTACATATCAGCCATCCGTCTTCGTAGCGTTTGTTTTTTATGCAAATCTCTACCATTGAGTTATCCATCGCAGCTGCATCACTTTCTCTGTTTGCTGCCCACATCTGGACACACTCTTCCCAATAGATCCTTTCCTTCTGCATTTTAAACCACTCTCCAATGTCTGTTTCCGAATCTTCTAGCATCTTGCTAACTTTGCGTATACTTCCAATGTTCCCGCTGTATGGAAACAAGCTATCCTTTTCAAATTCAACGTCCTCGAACTCTTTTAGTAGGATTTCTGTTGAGATGTGAGACTCAGGCTTCAGTGTGAATAACAATGCAAGCTTGAAGGCAGCACGGCTCTTCTTACCAGAGGAGAATACTTTGAAAAATCGGATAAGCTCATTTCTCCTGAACAGAAGAGTTAAGATAAGCTCTAGACTCTTTGCCGTGAATTTCTTTCTTAGACAATCATCTGCTAGTTTATAGTACTTATACACTATCGACTCGATATCTTGTTCGCAATTGATTTTGATAGCATCCTCTATGAAATATGTCTTGTATACTGCAACTAACTGTTCTCTTAATGCATCTTCATACATCTCCTTCGTATCTCTTTTGTATTCCAGGACATCCCTGATTGTGCACATCTCTCTCCGTTTTATTTTTTTCATCACAAAATCCTCAACCTCGAAAAACACAAAGAGATCGGCATCTCCAACAGACTTTGTGTGGTGGACAAGGCAGGAAACCGCACAGGCATATGCCTTGAACATGTCGTGAAGGTTGCGGATCTTTGTTTTCTCCTGGCAAAGAACACACTCAATGCCATCCTTCTTGGGGAATTGCCCCAAAATCCTGTTTAACCTTACGAAGCTTCTGATAGCTTTTTTGTCGAGGAGATTTTCATCATAAGAAAAGCTTTCCTCCATGGAGGTTTCCATCAGCAATGTTTATCGCGTTGTATATTTATTTCCATAAACACAAACATTGGAAGAAAGACATTGTGGTGGCACACACTTACCACATGCCATATCTTCGCAAGTTTGTCTCGCATTGGCGCAGCCTAAATTATTATTGCCCAAAGCAAGTAGATTGATTAAATAAATACCTTATCTAAGAAGCTCATTGGTGATTTATCTCTTATTTTATTGCACTTTTAAAGAAGTAGGGCTCCTGAGTAAAAGCTAGATTTGGAAAGGGCAAGGGCTACAGTTAAGACTATTAAGACTGCAACTAAGGTTATAAGGAATCTTTTGAACCAAATACCCCTGGTGAGAGACTTTATACTTGACATAAAATTCTTATCAGATATACTCCTACCGCTAGAAAGTTGGTAGCGCGTCGAGGGCGTAAATCTCCTGTCTAGAAAAGAAATCCCTAAAAGACTGAGTGCAAGTATTGACAGCAATATCACGGCAGTTAAAGCATAGACATTGGAGAAGCTTTGACTCGATGCGTCGGTGCCATTTCCTTCTAAATAATAAGTGATAAGATCTAGGATCGCGCTTTTATCCTGAGCTGAACTCGGAATCATTTTGAGACCTTCTTCTGGCCGTTTCGTCTGACAATAAGCATAAATATCTTTTTCAGGAAGAGTGCTCGGTATAAGCACAGAATACAAAGATCCAAAAAACCACTTGCAAAATGCTTGAACTGACGCGCCATTGGATTCAGAGGGTTGACTTGAGCCGAAAAGCATGTTTCCAATAAATGGCATTACAGGAGAAATCAAGGGAACTAAGAAAGACACAACTGTTTGCGTAATTCTTCCGAATGTTGACAAAGGGTCTGCATTGCATAGAAGTGCTAAGCGAAACACATTACTTGACAAAACCGACAACATAAGGCGGCTGCCGAGGAAGAAGACATCATCCCCTTCAACAAGTCCGAACCAGTATATGATTCCAAAGAAGATTGTAAATCGGAGAACAATCAGTGGTGTCTCCAAAATCAATGCCGAAAACCATAGAGTGGGTGAGTTGTATAAGCCATAGGAAACTTCTTTGGTGGTGTATCCGATTCCCTTTAACAGTCCATTTGGAATGGACGACAAAAACACCGAAAAAATCCTAAATATAAAGCATGCTAGAATACTGCCCGGCAGATTGCATCTCTCCATAACAACACACTTCGCAACACCAGCAAGAAAGAGAGTTAAAAGGACAGTTAGAATGAAGCCATACGGGATATTTAGATTTCTCCAATCTATAATCAGCTGTCTTTTAGCTAGGGAAGTGGCTACTGAAAAGTTTGGGATAAAGTTAACGGCCGTATCAACCGAGTCCTTAAATTTTCCTTGTTTATTTTTTCCAATTCCTCTCTCCCTTTTAATTTCTGCAACCTTATCTTTGTAAAGCTTTCCCCTCTCAGATTTTTCATTGAAAACTCCGAATATAAACTCCAAGTCAGTCTCTTCTTTACTCGTGTTGTAAATCCCTTTGGAATTTAAGTATTTCATAAAGCCACTGGTGGGCCCTGCATATATCTTTACTCCTTTGTCCATAAACAGAAGGCCGTCAAAGGTATTAAAAAGCCCGTGTCCTGGCTGATGAATAGTCACAAGTACCATCGTGCCGTTTCTCTTAGCATAGCCCTTAAGAAAGTTTGCAACATCCATTGCCAGTCCCGAATCAAGTTCACTGGTGGGTTCATCAAGAAGTACTACCTTTAACTTTCCTTCAAGTAGAAGCATCTTACTAAAAGTCACTGCAACACTCACCCTCTTTTTTTCTCCTCCAGAGAGATTCTCCATTCGGTTGGCCCTGACATGCTCCAATCCGAGGACGTTGCACAGCACTTCACTTATGGTCGTCTTGATCCTCTCCTTGTCCTCATGAGGCAAAGAGAAGGCAATGGAATAATTGATAAACTCCTCGACTGTCAGCTCACTAATAGTGTACCCCTGCTGCCTTCCATATGCCGACTCCTTTCCCCATGAATCTTCGTCTCTCTCCTCGTTATCTATCAATATCTCTCCACTGGTTCTGGACCCATATGGAACCATTCCTGCAATGGCCTCCATAGTCGTTGTCTTGCTACTTCCGCTTGTTCCCATAAAAGCATACATCTTCCCAGACTCAAACTCAATATCCAGACCGTTAATAAGTCTGGCATATTTCTCACTAGACAGCATGTTCTGGTTAGGAACCTCAAGTATAACGTCTTTGAGATCAAGCTTATGGGCATTTGCCTCTGATGCATCTCTCATTGCTAGGGCATAGAGAATCCATACAAGTTATTTTAACCATATACCATATGGGGAATATTGCGAGTTGTTCTTATTGAATAACGTTATATTTACCTTTTAGAAATATATCAGTACAGTAAGTCTTATTTTGAAATCTACTATGGAGAATCCATATTAGCCAGATATATTCCACAGATTTGTGAGTCCTTCAAAAATGCAACTTACTTCATCAGGATATTGTCTAGTTCCTCAATTTCCTTATCTAATTCCTCCAAGTTCACAGATGTCCTTCCTACAACATCTAGTGACTCCTCTGTTTTGACTCTTTTACTCTGAGGCTTCTGTGTGCCGTCTTCGGTAGGGCTCTTTTCAAGAACGTTATCCTGTGCCTCCATTACTTTAAGTGTGTCTATACCATTCTTCTTTTCATCTGAAAGTACAGCATTTTCCTTCAAGCGCCCTTCTACATTCTTTTTCCTTTCAAGATCGTCATTTATAAGTGCCGTGTTATCCTTAGAATCTTTCGGGCTGTCTTGAATGTTCATTACTTCTTCGTAATCCTTTAGTCTAGTATCCTCGGGAGTATGTCTCTCAGATCCTGAAGACAGATGCATGCTTGGTGATGGGCTCTGAGGCCTTTCTGAAGACTCCCCAGTCTTCCATGCATCTTTCATGGGGTCCACGTGCCTGTACTCGCATCTATCTTTGGTGCATCCGCTAGGCTTGTTTTCCCAGTAGCACATCTCCTCACGCCTGTTCTTCTTTAGATGAAACTTTGAATGGCGGTATGGACAATCTTCACGGCATGGGATCTTTGATTCCCAGTTCCTGCACGTAACTAGATTGTTTCTACAGCTTTCGTTATGTCTATACGTACACTTGTCCTTGAATTTGCAAGAGGAGTAGAGAAAGAAATAACAATCGTCCATGGAGTGGGGCTAAAAAAGCCTCGATTTATGCAGGACTGCTAAACTTTGGGAAGAATCAACAGTAGCCTCAATGCCAAATTATTTATTGGGTCCAACTCTTCCTTCTATTATACCACCTTTCTTTCCTTCTAACCCAAAGAATAGGACTTGTTGAATAAGTGTCTGAGAAGATTCCGCCATAATCCGTGGTATATTAGAACATTTATGAACAATGCAGTGTAGAACATGTGTGGGCGGTAGGGCCCGGTAATTAATATCATGTGACGGAAAAGGAGAAATGGGAGAAAATGATTTGCCAACGAATCTTGATTAACTAGATTATTAAGCGTACTGTCTAATACAGGTTTAAGTCAAAAAAGCATTATCAATTTTTTTGTAATCCCTAAAGATGGAAGGAAGGTCCAAGCTGAGGTATTTGAATTCGCTTGAAATTGAAAGAGATACAGTTTCAGATGTTTCTGAAAAGAAGAAGTTTTTTCTGACATTTCCTATGCCTTATATGAATGGAAGGTTGCATCTTGGACACCTGTTTTCTGTGTCGAAGGCAGACTTTTTCAGCTACTACAAGGAGATGGAGGGCTACAATGTTCTGTTTCCATTTGTGTTCCACTGCACGGGTATGCCGATAAGCGCATCGGCAAAAAAGCTTAAAGAGGAGCTGAGTGGAGGAGAAGTGGATCTTTCCGTGGAGAAGATTATAAAGGACCTTGGGTTTGAAGATGCCAGGCCGTTTACAGATCCCATCCATTGGGTAAGGACATTTCCAGACCTGTGCACAAACTCTTTGAAAAGGTTCCACGGAAACATAGACTGGAGAAGGTCGTTCATAACCACCGAAATCAATAAGTACTATGATTCATTCGTCAAGTGGCAGTTCAACAGGTTGAATGGATTGGGGTATCTATCCTTCGGAAAAAGGCACTCCATATTCTGTCCGATAGATAAGCAGACATGCTTAGACCATGATCGTAGGAAAGGAGAGAATGTGAAGCCCATTGCCGTTGTCTTGTGCAAGCTGGTGTTTGAGGCAGGGGTTCTTCTTGCAAGAATCAAGGAGGGCTGTGCGCCGTTGAAGGCAGTTGCTGGAAGGCAAAGTGATTTTGTAGAGTTTGAGTACAATGGACAGAATTATTTCGCAGAGAAGGATATTTTCGAGAATATGGATGCTCAAGTGTGTGGAATAAATAGAAAAAGGTCTGTGAAAGGAGATTTCTTCATTGGCAAGCAATTTGAGTCATTTGGAAATGAAGTAAAGTGTGATATCATTGAAAGAGATCTGCCCTGCAGCATTAAGGGTATACAAAGCAAGAAGGATAGCGAGTTGATAGAGCATGTGAAGAAGGAAATTGAATTTATCAATAAGGTTGAAAATACCGAAATACGCCTTGCAGAAACAAAGTATCTTTTGAAGTTCTACGAGCCTGAAGAGGAAGTTATAAGTAGGTCTGGAGGAAAATGCATTGTTGCTTTGACTGATCAGTGGTATATAGACTATGACAATGCCGAGTGGAAGAGGAGGGTCAAGGAATGCATTGACGGAATGGTCTGTACCGATGATACAAGAGCGATTTTAGAAGAGGCATTGGAATGGATAGGAAAGTGGGGGTTTTCACGATCATTTGGACTTGGGACGAGAATTCCTTGGGATGAAAGATACCTCATTGACTCTCTTAGTGATAGCACTATTTACATGGCAATGTGCACCTTCAAACACTTTTTGTACAAGGATTTGGAAGGGAAGGAGGAGATATTCCCAAGCAGCAAGCTTTCTGATGATGTGTGGAATTACATATTCCTCAACCAAAGCGCAACAGGGGAGCTCAGGGACTTCGAGGAAATACTAAGTAGTTGTAGGGAGTCATTCAACTACTTCTATCCTGTTGATCTTCGTGTAAGTGGAAAGGATTTACTGAAGAATCATCTCATTTTCTTCTTGTTCAACCATGTGGCTTTGTTTGAAAAGAAGCATTGGCCAAGAAGAATATTTACAAATGGATATCTCATGCTGAACTCTGAAAAGATGAGCAAGAGTTCGGGGAACTTTTTGACTGTTGATGAGTCTCTAGATAAGTTCGGCGTAAGCTCGACAAGGATGTGCTTGGCAGTGTGTGGAGATACAAACGAGGATGCAAACTTTGTGGAATCCAATGCGAATGCTTTTACTCTTAAGCTTTACTCATATGTAAAAATGATTGAGGAGCTGTGCGCTGGGAAGGACTTTAATCCTTGCATCTTGGGTCTCATGAGAAAGTATGGAGAGATGGGCTTTGCAGACAAATTCCTCCTACAGACGATTTCTATGAATGTTGCACATACTATTCGCGCACATGAAGATATGGTTTACAGAGATGTGGTAAAGTATGGATTCTACGAAATGATACATGCAAAAGAAATGTATCACATTCTTGGGGGAACCAATGACGAGATTGTGTTTTTACTTTACAAGAGCATGACTCAGCTGCTGTATCCCATCATACCCTCATTGGCACGGCATCTGATAGAAACATATTTTCACTCAAGCTTCTCTCTTCCTGCTCCATTTTTGTCTGATACATCTGAGGTTGATGCTGTTTCCCATCTTAAGAACACTCTAAAGAGGCTGGTGACGCAAAAGAGAAAAAGAAAGTGCGAGGCTGTCGAGATATTGGTCGGGGTTGAGTATTCCAAGTGGAAGAGGAGATGCATGAACATCATCGACCAGATAATTTGCGAGTGCAAGATTTTGAACATCAATGTTTCTGAGGAAATGAAGAAAAGTGAGTCTCACCTCTCATCAAAGGCAATAAATGCCATTAGAGAGGTTCTTAAGGAGTTTGGAGTACCTGAGAAAAAGGGCATCCTATTTTCGATGGACTATCTCAACCATCCAGAGAACTATTCAATGAAATTCAATGAATACGAGGTCCTAAAAACATACAAGCGCTACATTGAGGACAACACCGGGCTTGAAGTTATGGTCTGCGTCAGCCCTAGGGCCGACCCTGGGGCTCCCCTGTTTGAGTTCAAATAAAGCATTTCCACTCTGCCTTGAACCACTCCGTCATCTTAATTTTCCATCTATATATCTCCCTATGGCTGTAGAGCAGTTCTTCATAATAAACAAATCAGGAGGAATGGTCTTCAAGTACGAGAGAGAAGAGAAGACAGACATAAACAGCCTTTTAATATTAACAAGCTCTTTGTATTCAGTAAGTGTGATGTTATCAAAAGTAATGGATAAGCCTGCACCAAAGCAGGTTGTTTACTTCAAGAACAGAGCCATCTCTATCTTCAGAACAATCACCGGCTTAGTGTTTGTCTTTGTTGCAGACGAACCTGCAGATAATCTCTTCGAAAGAGTTTACTGCCACTACTGCAAATATGTAACGAGAGATCCATTCTACTCACCAGAAATGCCTATCCAATGCTCGAAATTTAGGCCTCACATTCTATTTGAAAGATAGGCTATGTGATAAATATGCAAAAGCTTTAGAAGCTAAAAAAGAATGCATCCGGATCTAGTCCCTCACGCCGATACCCATTCTCTTCAAAGCACTCAAGCCTCTCGCTGCTAAGCCTGTCTACTATCGAAAAATCCATTGCTTTTTCTTTGGAATGTGCCTTTTCATATATCTCACGCAATATATCCAAATCCTCATTGACCTTGAGAGGCTTAGTCGATTTGAACACAAAGAAGTTTCTCTCTTCGTTGGTTTCACAATGGATATCCGCCTTCTTACTTGTGCTCACGACCATGAACGGCAAGTACAATCTTTCGAGGTGAGTGTCTTCCGTGGTAGAGTTTCTATTCACAATGAATTTAAATACTTTCTTCATCTCCATTAGTTTCTTCGCTTCCTCCTTTCTTCTATCAGCATCGCACGCATCGTCTACTAAGAAGTATCTTTTGCCTCTTTTGGAGACCAATCCCACTGCTTTCATTACATTCAAGACATCGTATATCCTTCTGTTGAGTGTCTCAGTGTTAGGAAACACAATATTCTTGCATATGAATGAATATGTGCAGGCCCTGTTCTCCCTAAGTAGCTGGAACACCGCCTGCGTTATATACCTTAGTCCTTCTCTTTTGTTCTCAGAGCCATCAATCTCCGAATTTGGTTTCATATTCATACCTTGGGATTAAAAAATTGATCCTCATTTGTTATATAGCTTAAGGAAAATGCATGTAATCTCGGTGCTTTGGACCTTCGTATCAAGTTCTGGCGGTCAAAAGCACCAGATTACTTTCTCGATGGTGGAGATCACGTAAGCCTCATTGCTTAGTTCGTTATCTCTCAAAAATAGTTAGTTTCAGATAAAACCCAATTATTTTCTAAAATTCTTAAGACCCGACTATAGAAACAGAGGTGAAACGCTTATGTGAATAATGACTTTCGATTGGAAGAATTGAAACCTTAGAGTTTGAGATAAAAATATAAATATCTCCGAAAACGATCAGCTCAAAATGAAAGGTATTTCGAAGATTCTCTCTGCCTCGATTATGGTAATGAAGCTGGGGAATGTTTATTCTGCAGTTCCGCTTTGCAGTAATACTTATGATCCCTCGCAACAGCAGCCATCATATGTGCTGATTCCCAGTACTCCTGAGGCTATAACAAACTGTGCATACAGCCCAAAGAATGCATATGTCCCTTCTTCTCCTACTACATCGTCTTCAACCCCAGGGACAAACAACGATAACGAAACATCTCCTACTACAGAGGATGTAGGAACATGCAAGATTTCCGTTGTAAAGCATTGCGACACACCAGGTGCATCATCAACACCTTGCGAGCCTGAACAAACCATCCCAGCACAGCCTGTTACAATGGCTACAGTTACACCAGCAATCATTGCTTCTGTTCAAACACCATCCGTTGTGTCTGTTATTCCTGTAACACAGAAGGTTATTCAGCCTGCAACAATGATTGTGCCACCTTCTTCGATTATTCCGGGGTATTATCCTAATGGAACGCCTGCAGCACCTGGACAGCAAGGGCAAATTCTTTCAGGTAGCGTTCTTGCACCTGGCGCCAGCTCATGCCAGTTGGTTCCTGGGAATACTCCAGGCCAAATGCTTCCTGGAATGACGCCGGGTGTTTCTCCATGCTTGCCAACACAGGGCGGGGATGGAAGCAACCAGACCATTCCGGGCATTGTTTATCCATGCCAGCCAGGACAGGGCGGAAGTGGAAGTAACCAGACCATTCCAGGTGTTATCTCCCCATGCCAGCCAGGACAGGGCGGAAGTGGAAGCAACCAGACCATTCCGGGTATTGTTTATCCATGCCAGCCAGGGCAGAATGGAGATGGAAGTAACCAGACCATTCCAGGTGTTATCTCCCCATGCCAGCCAGGACAGGGCGGAAATGGGAATGGCACTACTGGCCAGCCTGGGCAGTGCGTCTCTGTTCCTCAAACTCCAAACCCTATTGCAATGCCTCCAATTTCAGGTATCAGTGGAAACGGGTATCCTACTTCTACTACATACACTCAAAGCCTTGGGCAGCTGGGTCCTTGCATTGACGTACAAAAGCCAACATCTTCATGTGAATCACAGACGAATGAAAAGTCTACTATGCAGTATGCCATGGAGGCTTGTGCCGCACCAACCCCAACAGTTGTCATAGGTAACAGCGAGTATCTTGTCGGGCCGGGGATGTACAGTTCACTTACCTCTCCATGCAACTCCTGCTGTCAATGTTAGGCTAAAATAAAATGAGTTAATCTTCCTACTCTTAAAGTTTTAGGATGCAGTAAAGCAGTTTCTTCTTAAATATATTATGTAACTTTAGACATTTAACCAGCCAATCAATAGGCTTTTAAAAGATATTACAATATTCTGCAAGTGCTCTCAAGATTAGTAACATTGTCATTGTCGACATCGAATTTTCTATACCTTTACTTATTAAGACAACAATCGAAGACATATCATAAAAATGCTGGAGATGAATGTCTTTAGCATATGTGGGTTGTCCATTATAGTGTTCCGTAATTCAGGGTTGATATAACCTGGCAATGGGGCTTCAATTCTCAAGTAGTAATGCGTTTTGCTAATAAAAATAATCTTTCGAAATCTCTATGCTTTTACAGCAATGCCTGAAGGAGTTCAGATACCTTCAGAAATACATAGTGGTACGCGATACCTTTAGCCATGTTGAGTTGAAAAATAAGGCCTAGACGTAAGATTCGGCAGATGAAGGGTGGTAAATACAATTTGAATTGAATTATGTAGAAATACATCGGGGAAAGAGCTCTCTGAACAGTCCAGATGGGGCGCTCGACAATACTCTGAGGCAAGGCCTGATGGTGGATGGAATAATGCTTTTTGAGTCATGAAGCTTTGTTACATTGTAGTGTTTTGGATCGCTTGATTTGATTTGTATTCCGTAGAGTCAAGTCGAAACCAGTACCCCGGAGATTTCTAACGGCGAGGAAAAGTTGGAAGTAATTCGTGAATTTTGAAACATGCACAGCAAAATAAAATATAAAAGAGATCTTTTGAACATCATTAAAGATGTTGTTACTTTTCACCGTAGTTACTCTTGTTAGCGCTGCACAGGTGGCACCTGTAACTCCGCAGGCAGCTGTACCTACACAATTCCTTCCTGGTGCCCAGCAAAAGATTGGCGGTGTGGACAACAGATGTGCCAACAAGCAAGTAGAAGGTGTTCAAATATTTCAAGGAAACATGGCCGATTGCCTGAAAAGAAACTCCGAGGCTGCAAATGCAATGGTTCAAAGAGCCAAGCAAAAGGCTTTAGAAATCTACAATAAGGAGATTAGCAAGGGCCCCACACCAAAGGATAGCGGCCAGTGCATAGAAAGAGCTGTACAAGGTACTGACAGGTGTATTCTTGCAAAAATAATCGACAAGGCTGTGAACATGCTTAAGTACAGAATCTCAAAGGTAGGAAATGCTACAGCACTCTTCAGAGGAAACAAGCTAATTTCTCTAATTCTTAATGTTGATTATGGACTTAAGCCATTCTTTACTGTTGTAAAGAAGAAAACAAAGAGAGTGTTCCCCCAAGGGGATGAGCTGAACTTCAATGGAATTGGTCAGCTTATAGGAGTAAAAGGCACATTCCCTCAAGACAATAATGATGAATGCAAGCCGTGTGACTCTCCAAAGAAGACTGTTGAGACTGTTGCTGAGGAATGTAATCTTGGGTGCCAGCTTAAGGGGACGCCTGGGTTGATAAGCAGAGCCATACAAAAGAAGGAGGTCAAGGAAAGCTCAAAGGACGGAGAAAAAAGCTCAACCCAGAACGGCGAAGGCACCACCGATGATGAAGATGGACAGCAATCTCCGGACGGTAATGGACCAGAGTAATTTTTAAATTAAATCTCCCTGGATTGAATCTTATCGTTTTTATGAAGACCTTGAATAATATTTCGCTGAAAGATTACATAAATGCTTTATATTCTAGATCATTCGATAGAATAATCGATTCTTATTTCCTTTCCTTTGATGGTTTGCCCAGTCAATCTATTCTTGGCAGTTATTGCATCATCGACAGTGTCGAATTGGATGAAGCCGTATCCTTTGGACAATCCATTATATTTATCATAGACTATTACAACCTTATAGTTAGTTATTTCATCTATCCTCTCTTTGAGGAAGCCCTTAACATCATCTTCGGTTATATAGGCACCCAGTCCAAATATCCCAATCGCCCTTGAGGGAGAGCCGTTCCTCTTTGCTTTTAATCCATGCTTTTCGTTTCTATAAGCATGGCTTGACCTCTCATATTCTCCCCCTTCTCTTACTGGCTGTTCTGTCCCATAACCCCTTCCTCTCTCTCTCGCCTCGTATCTGCTACCGGAATATGGCCCGTGTGGAGTCCAAACTCTCGGAGGTGGTGCATAGGGAGAATGCATTGTGTGATTCCCACCTTCTCTATATCTAATTGAATTTCCTTGGTATTGGCTTATTTTCCTTCTCCTCGCTCTATCAAACTCGTTATAATGATTACGCCAGTCAGGATAGGAAGGCCTTCCCCCATGTGGCCTACTTCCATCAGGATAATCTCCTTTCCATTTCGATCTAATATCGCGCTTTCCCTCCTTCTCCTCTCTTTCCATATTCTAGGGTTTGTTTGCTCAGGGTTTATTTTCTTCTCAAACACAAATCACGCATCTTCCCGAATATCGTAACGCTACCCATCACAGTTTCATGACAGACTTAGATGAACTAATCCAATTGATGGAAAGAGCCAATGAGCTAACGAAAGATCACTGGAGAGATCCAGCTTCTGTATTCCCTACAGATATAAGGTATTTGAGGCCAATGCTGCGTTGTATCGACAGTTTAAAGTCTAAAAACAGCCTGACAACGGTATGGTGGCTAGAGGTGTTACTTCAGAATCCATTTCCATTGGAAGTTGATGAGGAGTGCTTAAGTAAAGTAACAAGATTTCTTTTGGAGATGGCAAGGGCAACAAAAACCAGGAGATCAGCATTAAGATGTCTTGGGATGCTTTCACAAAGGGCAAATGCAGCATATTACTCTACGGAAGAGCCTCGCTTCTATATACACAGCATCGAAGTCCCCGAACTCATATACTACGAATTCCTTGCAAAATTATCAAGCTTTGGAAGAAAAGTGGAGATAGTGCCAATTGAAAGTGGTGACTCAGTAGTAATTAAGAAATTGAAGATGAAAATCATGTCGAACAACCCAACCGATACTGTCTTGAAGCATTTTTTTGAAATGATAAACGAAAGAGATTCAAGGCTAGGATGGACATTGTGCAAGTCTTTTCTCAAAGTCTCTAAGTATGCAGAGACGGATTCGGTTATTTCTGCCCTTAAGGAAAGATGCAATGTGATATTTGCGAATGAAAGTACTTGGATAAATGCAATGACAATTCTTGGAATGATGTCTCTCCAGGGGTGGAACATAGGAGACGTATCTGAAATTGTTTCAAAGGGGATCGGCTACACGAATGAATTGGTCAGTAACTCTGAGATGGTTCGTGAGTCTGCTTTGTTTCTCCTATGGGCATTGACCAGAAAGAGCAATGCACTAAGAAAAGATATTCTTTCTCTAGTGGCAGGGAGGGCTCTATTTGATCCCTCACTTTCTTGCAGGAGGGGTGCATCTGCTATTGTTCTAGAGCATATTGGAAGGTTTCCAGAAGCAGGGAAAGAAGAAATAATCTCACTGATAAACTTTCACTCAGTTAAAAGACTAAAGAATTGTTCAGATGCGGTAAAGAGAGTTCTGGAAATACTGAGGTGTGAAGATGTGTTCGAGGAAATACTTCTTGGGAATCTGTTCCACTGCAATTTGGAAACCAAGAGGCAGAGTGGTTATTGCATTTCCAGATATTTCAAAGGTGACGGGGTTGTGGCAAGGATTGGCTCTACCAATCTGAAGACGCCTTCAGACTTTGTAAGCATGTTCATTGTTGTCCAAGAGTTTATTAGGAAGAACAGAAGGCACGAGGTAGAAAAAATCGTGGAAATGGTTGTAAAGATGAAGGTGAATTCTTTTTTTTGTAGGTACAAGGACTTTGATGTCTTTGTAGAAAACTATCTGGAAGTCATCGAAAGCCTTGGAAGTATAGAAGATAGAAATGCCGTCTGTGAGAACTTGTATATGTTTCTTACGAAGAATGTTCTTCCCTTAGAGGTGTCAAGGGTATCCTGGAGATTCATTAGCCAGGATGAGGGATTCGCAAACAAAGTTGCTAAATCGATTAGGAGAGGGTCGGAGGGATTTATTCTTGCAAATGCAAAGAACGAGAGACATAAAGAAAGATTAGAAAGAGAATATCTAAAGTTGCTGGAGAACGGGGATATTGATGCAAAGGCGCATGCCATGAAAGCCGTCCAACTTTCTGGAGACATAAAAAAGTACAAGGATCATGTCATTGGTGGACTAGAAAACTACTATGCCGACTCCCGAGGAGACGTGAGCTTTAAGTTGAGAAGAGAGAGCTTGATGGCCTCCTTTCTAATGGAGGATCAATCTATTTCTTCAAAATATTTCATAAGATACCTTGTAGACAAGTCGAAGATACTGAGAGATGAATGCATCATCCTATGCAGGAACAGCGGTATCTTTCCCGGAGGATTTGAGTACATTTATAAGAAAGGATACTCTGTGGATCCTGAAAAGTTTCTGCCGGTGATTGGGTTTCTCGATACCTTCTATGCTGAATTCAGAAGATTAGAAAAGGAATCGGAGCTTGGAAATGATAAGATACTGTTTATGGCGTCTCTTGAGGCATCAAAGTGCCTTGACGTGGAGCATCAAGAAGAGCTTTTGTGCGGCGTGCTTGGAACGATCGGATCATGCGATGCATCCTTGTGGTCGTTTATTGTAGAAGTAGTGTTCAAGGTCAGGGACAGATTCAAGAAATTTATTACAACGATGTTTGATCAAGGCTTCAAGAACTACGAAAGGATAATGCATCCTGCTATCGAGTTAGTGTGCGAAATAATCAAGCTGGAGATAGGGCAAGATGACCTGATAGTGTTTGGAAAAAGCCCATCGGTTTTGAGCAGGCTGTCCCTTACACTCCAAGAGAATTCTGTCCCAGCAGGCATAAGCCAGTCCATAAAAAGCGCTTTGGAAAGAGTCTCTCAGTTCTCAGACTCGTACCAAGCAAGGCAGGAAAAAATAGAGATATAGCTGATCTTGCAATCTAGAACAAATCCTTTTAATTCTAAAGACCTATAGCATTCCTCTAAGCTGAGGCTTTGCCTTTCCCTTGGTAGTTATTCCCTCCACCGCATTGCCTACGCATCTTGCACCTCCGCATTTGGAGCATTTCAAGAAGTAAAGCCTCTTATCTCTTACAATATCAGTGTCCTCAACACTTTCGCATATTTTACATACAACAAAGTGCTCGATATACCTCCTAAGAACTTCCTGGACTTCCGATCTTATAAACATCCCTTTGAGAAGAAGCTTACCGTCCTTGTTTACGGACCCCGTCGTCATCAACTCACTGCATAGAAAGCTTACAAGATGATCTACAGGCCTGTTCAAAACACCAGACACCTCGGCAATATTGATAGATGTCTTTCGTGCCTCTCTCTTTACATCCAAAGGAAGCTTGATTCTTGTAGACTCCCCTAACTCCTTTCCTTTTTTCAGGACCATCATTGCACAACGGAGCAAAGTATCATACTCCAGCTCACTTGGAATATCACCAACATGGGGTGTAGGCCCTGTATGGTTCTGCCCAGTCCTTGCAATTCCTAGCCTGGATTGTCTTTTTTTGGCGAATTCCTTCAAATTAACGCCCAGTTCTTCAAGATCACTACTACTTGAGTCGGATGGCATGCCCCTGGAGGTCCGAAATCGAATAAAATATTTTCTTTGTGCCTCACTCAAATACAAAGTTCTCGACATCCTTTTCACTTAAAAGGCTATTTCCAGCACCTGTACACTCCTGTGCCATCTCTCTAAAGAATCTTCTTGCAATCGAAAGGGCCATGTCAACACTTAGGTTGCAATTCCCTCCATCAATACAATTTTGTATCCACTTGGGAAGCTTACTTTTCTTATCATTCCTCTCAAATCTCTCGTCTGCAAGTATCATGAGTCCGTAGTCGTTTTTGTTTCTCAGCACTCGTCCCAAGCACTGGGCTGCATGTCTCATCGCATCAAACGTTAGAAAATCATATTCTTTTATCCCATACTCTTCTCTTAGGAAATCCAACCTTTTTTTCAACCTAACGCTTTCCGTGTACTGGAAAGGAACTCCTAACATTACAACACATCTCCCATACCCATCCTCGAAGTCAACACCCTCTGACACCTTCCCTCTGGCAACGCTGAAAAGCATCCCGCCTCTTCCATTGTCGCATGCTCTTTTGTAGTTTGATAGGGCTATTTCCGTCTCTCTACCGTCTGGAGTCTCAACAAAAACTAGCTTGTTCTTGCTTATTTCATTGATTATGTTGGTTTCTGCCCAGAGGCTTACTATTTCCTCCATGTACATGTATGAAGGAAAGAAGCACACAATTCCATCTGGAACAACCTTTGAGAGCTCCACCATAAGATGCCCGTAGTTTCGAACAACAGAGGGATCAGACCTAAGGGAAAACGAAGTGGTAAGCACATCCCCATTGGATGTGTCTGTGGCTTCCACATCGTCAGAAAGGGCTCTTAACGTCATCTGGTCGTTCCCTTTGGTTATTATGAGAGGAGAAATCGAGTTTCTGTCAAGAGTCGCACCAATCTCCACTGTTCTCGAGGAAACAAAATTGAGGATCTTTGGATACATGTCAATGGGACTCATGGTCCCACTTGTTATTATCACGTTCCTGAACCTTCCAAATACAGAAGACATTGCTATCGAAGAGTCCAGGCATGCCAGGCGAAGAGTCGGATTGAACACAGTGGATGCCTGCGAGTCGAAGGGCTCAAATATTACCACAAATCCTTTTGAGTACATGGAAACCATTGTAGAGAAGTCTGCCACGGTTTTCAAATGCCCCATGTCCTCATCATCAACACCTAAGGACTGTGATAGCATCCCCAGTCTCTGCGAACAAAACCTTAACGCCTTTTTTTCTACAAACGATAGCTCTTTGATGCTCTTGCAGAAGGATTCTGTAGATTCTGTGGTCAGATGTGTTGTTTTCAGCTTGGTTTTGAAGAATTCAGTTATTCTTTTCAGTGCAGATATAAAGTGAAACGAGTTCCTAAGGTTTCCAGGAATGAACTCATAGTTTCCCTCTCCTGTTGCATAAAAATAAGGAATGGAGTCTGCCACAGGCTCTCCGACTTTCTCCTTCATTTTCTCATACAGCATGCTTTCTTCCCCGGCAGGCCCTCTCTGCTTTAGAAGGCATTCTAGGTTCTTAATTGCCCTGGTTGCACCCTCGAGGATGTTTCGTTTGATCTCTATCGACAACACTTCTATGCAGTGGCTGTCTATGTTGTGAGCTTCGTCAAATATCACAACACTGTCAGGCCCAAGTTCCTTAGAAACTATTGCATAGATCCTTGGGTCTATGAGGTAGTTGTATGGATAGATTATACAATCACAAACTGGGATGGATCTTCGCACAAGGTAATACGGGCAGATTCCCTTCTTTTCCCCCATTTCTTTGAGCTGAGAAAAGTCATAAACGGCAACAGGTACCTCATTGAAGCTGTTGAGATTTTCGTAAAAGTCGCACTTTGACTCCACCAGCCTGTTTATAAGCCTTCTACATGCAACATCCACATTGAAACTTTTGGATGCAGCCTCGTTGATGCATAGGTTTTTTCTTCCTGTAAGTCCCAACCCAAGAAACTCAATGGGACGATGCTTTTTTATGTATTCAACGACCCTGTCCAGTTCTTTTAATGCCTTTTCAACTTCTTGAACAGTTCGCGAGCAATAGACTATCTTGAAATGTGCATTCTTGGCTTTCATGTATAACTGATAGCTTATCGTCATACTGAGAAGAGCCACAGTCTTCCCCGTTCCAGAAGGCATTTCTATCAGGCAGTGGCCCTTGTTGTCAAGGCTTCGCTTGATTTCCCTCATGTACTTCAATTGCTCCGGATACACGGAGTCATAGGGGAAGTACACTAGAACTTCGTCTATTTGGATCTTCATGGGGTCTGCAGGAAAGGTGGCTACTTGTTAAAAGCCAAGGTTTATCTGTAAAAATATATTTTATACACTTTATTCGATAGAAAGGAGATAAGTAATTCATACCGCCTTGTCAGACAAAACAAGGCCAAGAACCAGCCCAAGAATGCCTATTCCTGCAGGAATCACCTCTAGGAATACCAGCTTGTAAAAAAGTGTTGGGTCTTTGGCATCCATCATTGTAATGGCTGCACAAATAATCCCGCTTGCAAGGGATGAACAGTATGAGCAAGCACCTGCTATGAACCCAGCAGAAAACAGTATGAACTGCCCTCCATACGACTTAACGTTTTCTATTTTTGCCAAAAGTAGATTCGACATAACAAGGCAAAAAAAGAAGTTTGCCTCACAGATAACAATTCCCAGAAGGGCTCTAGTCCCCACACGTGGAGTCTTTATGGAGGCTCCTATCATGTATCTTCCTATTGCCTGATATCCTTTCGAGGTGCCGAAAGAGGAAAGAGCTATGCACATCACAATTCCAAATGAAGGCAGGAATGGTGCATTTCCTTTCAGAACAGTATAGTTCAAGTAGTGAAGGGGGATGTAGCCCAACACCAGAAAAAATATTATCTTCCACATCCTGGGGCTTGGATGATTGATTTGTTTTTCAAAGTGCTGGTACAAACAGGAAACAGCGAAAAGGCATATGGAATAGTTGCAAATGAGATAAACAAAAGAAGATTTGGATTCGACAACCGGTCCATGAGTTACGAGGAGGCACGAAGGACGTTTCTTAGAGTTGTCGATGTTGTGGAAGAGGTTGAAAGGCTAAGGATGATTTTTAAGGGATAGTGTTCCTCTGTTTGGCCGTCCTTGAGTTTGAAAGAGCCTTTCCGAATAAATTAGGAGATGCTGGTTATATTCAAAGGAAAAAATAGCCCTGAGAAATGCTTGCCTCGTCGCTATTCAAAAATGCCCTTACGCCTGACGAGCAGCAGGTAATACCCGAGTCAGTGCTCAATAGGCTTAGTGAGGAAATGGCTTTGTACGAAGAGATGACTGGAAACAAGGTGAGGGAGCTGGAGAAGAAGACAGAGCTTTGCGAGGAGATTATAGATGATTTGAATAAAAAGCTAGTCAAACAGTCTATGGAGATGGCGGAGATAAAAAGCTCATCCTCGCTCATGGAAAGGTATAACGAAATGTACTCTCAGGAGATAAGGTCGTTGAAGGAGGAAATTGCCTACTATAAAACAAAGGCCGATGGAAATAGTGGAAAAGTAAAGGCTTTCGAGGAGGACGACGGATCTCAAAAGATGGACGAAATAGCCAAAGAAAAGGAAGAGCTTGCAAGGAAGACCGAAACCCTGAAGAGGAGGTGTATGGAATTGGAGAAGAGCAATAAGAAGCTTGTAGAAAAAGTTTTAGATCAGAAAAACCAGATGTCATATTTACTAAAGAAGGCTTCCAGTTCTGATGGGGGCAGAGACAGTTTAGAACTTGTGAAGCTAGTTCAAAAGCTCTCAAAAAAAAATGAGGAGCTCGAGAAGGCGCTAGGGCAGGGAAACCACTCCTTTTCACCTCTAAAGTCGAATGCTGAGGAGAGTACAAGGGCTGAAGAGTATGAGAGGATGAGGGAAGAGCTTCACGAGATAAAAAGGAATGGATATGTGCTAGAGCTTGAGTATAACAAGGTATTTAGAGAGAGGAGTGAACTATATAATCAGCTTATTAGGATCAACGAGGAAAAGAAAGTGATGCAGAGGCATGTCGATGAGATGAAGGAGGAAATTATATGTCTGAAGATTGATTTAAGCAACACAAAAATGAAGAATAAGATATTGGGAGATGCTTCCCAAAAGCTTAATGAAATGAACAACGAAATAATTCGCAGCAACTTCGTAATAAAAGACAGTAGAAATAAGATAAGAGAGCTAAAGGCACAGCTTGTAGAGAGCGAGGAAAGATACAATAGATATATTCTGGAAAATAGAACCAATGTTATGGCCATTGTTGGACGGGAGATTGAAGGGATTAAAAAAAAACTCGACACGGACTTCAAACAAATCTATGACATAGAAGATAGTTTTAAGAGGGCCCTGGAGGAGCAGGTAAGGCTCAAAGACTTATTTCATAGATATGAGCAAGAATGCATGGATCTTAGAAATAAGAATGAGGGTCTTGCTAGCGATTTAGGTGTCATGACGAGGAAAATAGAATGGTATGGAAAGAAGGCTGGGGCTCAAAAGAACGCTTTAGAAGGGCTAGGAAAGGATGTAAGCCATGTATACAGGTTCGTTGGGCAAATTGGGGAAGAGCTTATGGGGCTTGCCGATATATCTGGGAAGCTTATGATGTTTGAAAAAGAAAGAACATCTTTTGTCGAGGGAATGTATGAAGAGCTAAGTGTTGCAGGAAAGCTCCTTGAGGAAAGAGATCGGGTACTGCGTTCACTAATGGAGAATCATAGCGAGGAACCGATTGCATTTCTGGAGAAGGAGAGGGATATTCTAAGGCAAGAGAACATATTTCTTCGAAATAAAATAGAAGGGCTGGGAGACTCCTCTGATCTTCTAGAGAGAATAAGCAGCTTGGAGGAGGAAAATGAGCATATGAGGGGGCAGCTCTCGTCACTAAAGGAGACCTATGCTTCTGAAAAAGAGATTGCATCTGAGCAGGTGCTTGCATTAAACGAGAGAGATTATAGGTGCCGCTTGCTCCAGTCTGACATAGATAAAGTACTTCAGGACAATATTTCGCTAAAGAATGAGCTACAGGCAGCAAGAAAGGAGATATCTAATAATTATGCAGTAATCGATAAGTACAAAATTGTTATTGAAAAGCTCAAGAAGATCAAAGATGCATATTTGGAACTTAAGAGCGAATGTCTGAGAAAGAAGGATCAAGAGAAAGATGAAAAAAAAGATGGAGATGGTATGGAAAGTGCACCTGAAGCCTGTAGTACATCTTTCAAGAACCCTGCAGACGAAGACGCTTCCAGAGCAACAAATAGAAGCGGAGAATTAGAAAAAAAGGAAGACCATGCTGCTACAAAGGATGTGGAGGCAAAAGAGGGCTCTAACCTCATCTTGGAGAACAAAGCAGAGCATAACCCTGTTCCAATTGAAGATGTGAACAGAAATCATCCAGGGAGAAGCAAAAGAACTGGAAGGCCTGGAGAAGAACTTAGACAAGGGCATCAACAAAAAAGAACATACGGAGATAGAAAAAGAGGATGGTCGACCTATGAAGTCAAAAGAAATAAGGATAGGAGGAATTAAAGGAAGTTCTGAATAATAAGTGTACATAGAAGAAGTGTAAGTTGTTTCATTAAACTTATTTAATGCCTTGAGGTGTCTTTAGAGAAATATAGATGCAATCTTCCCAAGCCCTAGGAAAATGCAAAACAATGCTACAAAGGGCGAAAGTCTCTCTCCAACGACAGAGAGCTTGTAGAGGACCGAGTAGAGTCCTTTTTTGTTCTTCGACACAAGCGAAGGGAAATGCTGTTTCAAATATGTTGCAGTACACACGGCGAGCACAAGAGCCCTGAATAGGGAATCTATACTAAAGAGTGCCGACATATTCAGGGGCTGCTTTTGCTGACTGAAAATATTCCTTTGGCTTGGCTGGAGTGACTTTTTTGACAGATTGCTGTCTTTTTCTTATTTCCACAACAGCCTTTTGTGATCCGTACATTCTCATAAACTCAAGAATAGCATCGCATCCTTTTCTATTCACTATGAGAGGAAGGTGTTCTTCAATGTGCTTGGTAAAGCTTCTCTTCGACCTTCCATCATCTGCACCTTCGTAATATCCCTGGAGAAGTTCAATTCCTCCCTTTGATCTGATCCATCTGCTGCTAAAGCTTTTCCTAAAGGCTGTATTTATTCCATAATTTCTCTCATTTGGAAGCTTCATCAGCTCGCAGAGCATCGGTGCATACTTTTGCTTGAAATTTCCTTCAACACCACCAAACGTACAGGATATAATGTCATCTCCACTTTCCAAGTAAAACTCCTTCATTATTTTATCGATATTGGAGTATGACCTTGCTTTTAGCAGAGAATGCGTGAGCTTCATGACTATGTTGGAATTTTTGTCAAACTCTGATAGATCTATTACATCAAAGAAGTAATCTGCTTTTTGGTAATGGCACAAAATAAACTCTCCAATGAAATAGTTTCCACACTTTTCCTTGCACAACTCCATCACCCTATCTTTTAGGTTCTCAAAAATATATTCTCTTGCTTTCTTCCCTGATATTCCCACTATTTTTTCAAAGAAGTAAGACATCGATGGGTCGCAGACTCTTTCCCACGTGAAATGGTGCTTCACCACCTCAAGGACAATGGTTTTACTTCTATAACAATATAGATATGATAACAGTGTGATAAAACTGTCTTCCTTTGAAAGCTTAGGGATAAGCTCCATGATTATTTCCTTGTACTTTTCTATATGCCCAGGTTTTACAGAGTTGAAAGACTGGATCCTGCCGTCGATAATTCTTTTTCCGCTTACAAGCTGGAAGAGCTTTCTAATTATATGCGTGGCATTCGTATCAGAAAACTTAGTTTCCAATATGTTTTCGACCGGCTTCACCAGCAGATCGATGTCAACATCCTGTCTCTGGATATAAACCATGTCAAAAATGGCATCATATATCACTTCAATAACCCTAGACCCAAGCTTCTTGCTCATAAGACGCTCGACGTCTAATTTTTCGAAAAGATCCAATATCTGCTTGGAGTTGCTCTTTCTTATAAGGATTTCCATCTGGTGTGTAGTTTCTGCGTCCAGCACCAGCTCCTTTTCATTTCCTTCTATTTCATTATAGACGTTATCTAGTACCTCTGGGTCGTCCACAATTCCAAAATCTATATTCTTTACATACTCCTTCAAGCTATTCATTTCCTGGGGCAAGGCTTAGCAGCTTTGGAAAACAAATCTTACTGTGGCCCTGAATGAAGCTTGAAATCGGAGATGTTGACGAAGTAATGGAGCAGATCACCCGATTAGCTCCCCCATCACAGAAGGAAGACCACAAGTTTCTCAATTTATTGAGAAAGGCCATAGAGAAGAATACTGTTGTAGTTCCTGGGCCGAGTCTTGAGAAGCTCGCAGAGAAGACCGAGCAAAGAGACTTCAAGATGCTGTCTCTTGCACTGCTAAGAAGGGATTTGCCTGTGAAAGCACGCAAGGAGTTTGACGAACATATTAAGGGTGTGAAGGAAAGGATAGAAGGACTAAAGGTAGATGAGTCTTTAAAGGAAGAAGATATTGTGCACGGGAAGCGAGTTGAGAAATACAACAATATGATGGATGAAATCGCTCAGATCGAGGAGTCTGTGCCAAGCATCCAAGATAAAATAAAAAAGGCACATGGCCTAGTTGAGGAGGTATTTAGTAAGTCTTCAGGAAGACGCCTGAGGCCACTTGAGTATGCGGAGAACTTTTTCAAGCTTATATAATTAATAAACAAAAGCTGTATGAGTTTTCCCTTTGTTTTATAAATTTACATAGTGCACTCCTTGGCAGAATGAACATACTGATAGAAACTTCAAGTATAAGGCCTGAGGATATTGAGAAGATAGAATATGACAGAGCCTCGAGTATAGTAACAATGAAGTCTGATGGAAAGGAATATAAATACAAGGTTGAGGAGAGCGTTGAAACTTACATTCTCATCTATGAGCAGCCAACATTTGTAAGTAGGCTGGGAAGAGAAATTAGAGAATAGATCCAGGCCTTTCTCTTAGGTATTATAAGGGAGCCAAAACGAAGCGGTTCGGCTGTCTACCCTCATGAGTCGTACATTTAACAATAAAAAGAAGATGGAAGGAAGGCAGAGAAAGCTTGAAGCAGAGATGGAGAAAAAAAGAAGAGAAGAAGAAGAGAAGGAAAAGGAGCTGGAAAAGTACTGGTCGATCGGCGCAAAAGCTCCCGGGAGAAAAGAGAGAGAAGAGGAGAAGAGAGTTAACAAAGAGAAGAGAAAGAAAGAGCTTAGAGAGTTGTATGAAAAGGAAATGGAAGGTTTATAATAATTAAATTTGTGTTTAACTTCCTCAAATTGTTTCAAAGGAATATTTAGGCATCATATTATCAAACAGGTCAGTAGCATAATCATAGACGTTGTTGTTTTGCTTGCACGTCATATTCTCTATGGCAAGGCCAAGAAGCTCTTCAACTAAATTCACATGAGTTTTCAAAAGAGCCTTGTTGTAGTTATCCGCTGCCGAGTCAAGGTTATTCAACAGATGATCTATAAATCCAGCAGTAGCATAGTATCTCCAATCTGCTTGGCACGATGAAAGGTGCTTCTGTGCTTCTGCAACCTTTCCCAAAAATAGATTACAGTAGACTCTTAATAAGCCCAGCAAACTGTTTTTCTGTGCTGCTAGGTAACTTAGAGCCTCTGGATAGTATTCGTAGTATATGAGAAGCGATATGTATCTTTCTTGGACCTGCACAGATGGATTTATTCCAAGAGCGTGCTTATAAAAGAACGAGGCCCTTTCAAAGTTGTTCATCCGATGGTATTCTTTTGCCAGGTAAAAAGCAGGCTTGTAAGACCCTATCATTGTCTTATAAGCTATGTTCAAGCATGTTATGCTGCTCTCACATTCTTTCATCCCAGAATATGCCATCCCAAGATATAGCCACCCCCTCCCATACTCGTTGTTTATCTGGACGGCTTTGTAGAAGCACCTTCTAGCCTCAGAATAATTAGAGGACATCAGGAAAAATAGCCCAAGAGCAACAAAAGAGAACTCAGAGTTCGGATATAGCCTCACCATCGAGGCACCCAGGTTAAATAACAGCATGTCTTTTCCACTTTTATAATACTGCCTAGCCAATTTGACTCCATACCACGGCGAATAGAAGGGTAGAAAGTAAAAGTCTGACTCAAAGCATGGATAGAATATCTCCATGTAAACATCTTGCATGTGTTTATCCTTACATTCGTCTATAAGCAAAAGAAGCTCTTTCTTGTTTATCAAGCAGTCGTTTTTCATTCTTAGTAGTGCCTCCAAATTGTTGTTGTCAGATCTATATGCTTCTAAAAGGATTTCCTTCTTTTTCACATCTTCTTTTGTCAGCCCCTCAAAAAGTAGCCTGACGCTTCTCTTGGATATCTCTGCAGGAGGATACCTCTCTAGTTCCTCATCACACCCGCTGCTTGCAAGAAGCCCTTTGCTTTTCTTTCCTGTTAGGGATTTGCATCTATAGTATATAACTCTAGCTTCATGAATCTTCATCACAGAGCTGTTCAGCTCTATCGTCTCAATACATCTTTCATAGCATGACAGCTTGTACATAGACTTAAGCAGCAGCATAATTGTTGCATTGGTTTTTTTTTCTCTATAAACATGTTCTGACAATGCTAAAGCCGAACAGTCCATCTCTTCCATTAAGTAGGCGCTGATAAGTGAACAGAGCCTTTCCATTGTCAAAGGGTCCTGGAATCAACAACAAATTTGAATCATTGGTTAAGGTCTCCTAGCTATGGTCATTTATTAGAAAATTTTTCCTTGAAGACGCTTGGCGGCAGTTCAAGCCTTATATTGTTCCACGAGTCCTGGATTGCTACGACCTCGTCCTTCATTGCCTTGCAACCATAGATGACAGCCCCCAATGGATATTTTTCTTCCTTCATTTCATTATTAAGCATTTGAATGGCATTAAAGTTTGTAAAAATAATCTTGTCCCTGAACAACGAAATAGATGTGACCAACGCGTAAGTTTCAAAGAACTTCACTTTTTCAGCACTGTGTCCGTTGCCAAAAGAGACCTTGTACACAAGATACTTTTTCTTAGGCTCGAAAGACTTGATCATGGTAAAGACAATAAAGTGTGTCTCGTTATACTCACAAACATCAATAACTTCGCCCTCTATATCCATCGTTGATGAAATACTTATGTCGCTTGTTGAGTATATAATTTTTGAATATCCCAGGATTAGTAAATCCCCTACCATATATATTGCCTCTCTGTAATCATCAAAAGTTATCTTTCTGGGCTCATTACCAGTAAGGAGATCAATAAGAAGAATCTCGTGCTTACAGTTTTGTAATACAAGTAAGTCCTTTTTTGCAATTAATCTATTAGCCTTGTCAAAGCCGTTTTTAACCTGGATCCCTTCAGGAGAGTTAAGGTCTATAACTCTGGTTTCTGCAGAGTTAGAGTATGCCACATAACTAAAGTCATCGGGTGCAGAAGAGCAAAGGGCGTTTCCCTCTGTGCATATCTTGACTTTGTATCTGTAGTCTTGCTTTTTGTACCCAATATTTCCTGCTGAGGACCTGGAAAGCCTAAAGGTTGCTTCTTTACCATCCTGCATAGAATTCTCCACCACTTCACAGTTTTCCTCATTGCTACCTTTGGACATATCGTCGACATCAAGGTCAAATGAATAAAAATCGACAGACAATCTGTTGTTGATATAAAACATTCTGCTAGTCTTTGACGTCCCAAGCTCAACAGTTCGTTGGAAGATTTTGTTTTCAAAGTATCTATTCGATGCAGGCCATACAACGCTTAAAATAGTATCTTCTCCGGAGGTAAGTATTCTTCCATTGTCCACTTCAATGTTTCTAACTTCAGCGTAGTGTGTGTCAACCTGATAGGACTTTATAAACTTCCTTCCATTTTTTGAAAATGCAATTATTCTGGAATCTGCACCAGATAGATGGAGCTTTTCGTTTAAATATGCACACACATTGAGCGGGCTGCTTCTTACTCTAGTCGTCTGTAGAATAACTCCTATGTCCGTGTCAAAGTACGAAAAACTCCCATCGTCGCATACAGAAACGTATGTACTTCCCGTGATGTGGCATATCATATTTATCTTTCCAGAAGAAAGCTGGAGTTCGGATGTCATCTTTCCAGATTTTATGACCTTTATCTTTCCATCAGAGTCTCCAATAACTAACGATTGATCGGGCGAAAGAAGGAGAGATGTAATCGTGGAGTATCCTCTGTATAAGAGATCTGCATCCATATTTTTTCTCTCATATACGTTGCATCCAACGGAGTAATAAAACGAATTTTGCTTGTAATCAAGCCCATATGAGTTTGCTGTAATATTCGAGGGAACACCGCCAGCATCGCTATGCACTATATCAAAAGTCTTTGTATTGAAAAATACAAGCTTTCCGCACTCTGTTCCACAGGCCACAACATGAAAATCAACAAAGTTACTGGAAACAACTTTGTATTCGAGTTCCGTAGTAAAGTATGGTGCAAGAGTGCAGGAGTCAATAAGCTCTAAGGTTCTGTTTTTTCTGAAAAGAACTATCGTACTGTTGTTCGAGGACATTGCAGTAACGGAAGATGGCTTCGTTTTGATATTCTTGAAAAGATTCAGTTTCATGGGAGAGGGATGAAAAAGTATTCTTATCAAATATTTTCTAAGTATAAAGCCTTTGCTTCGCCAGGGTCCTTTTCCCCCGAGAATGGACTGTGGGACGGTATGCCCGATCTGTTTCTCAGAATACACATCAACAGGGAACCACAGAATAATGTCTCTTCAGTGCGGCCATTTATTTGGAAGCCAGTGTATTCAAAAATGGATGGGAAAAAAAAGCAGGATGCAGTGTCCATTGTGCTCTATTAAAAGCACAAAAAGACAGATAAGGCCAGTGTATGCATCGAAGATAGTTGCTATAGATACAGAGAATGAACAGATGCTGCTGGAGAGGTGTCTGAAGGAAGAAAAGGAGAAGAACGAATACATTGAGATCTGTGCAGGGCTTAAAGCACAAGTAGAAGCATTAAAGGCAGAGTTGTCGCGCGTCATCGAAGAAAGGACGAGAGATGCTTTCATTATACACAAGCAAAAGAAGTTCAGCATCAATGTTGGGTTTAGTACAAATAACTCTATAATAGAGTACGACGAATCAAGCTGTACTATTGTTGTTACAAGAAAGAATGGGAAGGAGGTAGGAATACAAAAATTCGAGTCCTATGATTTCAGTAAGTCTGAGTTTGTTGTGTTGGGAGAAGGTCTATGCATGGGGAATATATCTCTAAGCCCTTTCAATCAAGGCTTAGGGCTGTTTCCTATTGGAAATGTACTTAACATTGTCAATGTATATAGTGGTAGTATAGTTGCAAAGTACACAGTTCATAATAAAATAGAAAGTACATGCTTTGACAAGGACGATAAGAATACAGTATATTGCGGGGACAATAGGGGGAGTGTGTATTTCATTAACATTTCATCCTGTGAGCCCTTTAAGGCTCTTAAGGTATCAAACATTTCTATACACTCCATATGTAAGAAGGGCTTGGAGGTTTTTGCCTCCACAATATATCAAACATACAAGATTGTCTTTTCAGGAAGCCATGCTCCTTACTATTTAGAGATGGAGCCTTATTCAATATGTACCAATATGTCGGAGTATAAGGATCATCTGCTGCTAACGTTTAGAGGTTTAGACTTCCGAGTAAAACATCTTATATGCGGGAAGAAAGAAGTTTATTTGAGCCTAGGAGTAAAGCAAGTAAAGAGACATAGAGATAGAATATACAGAGATTACATATACATTGTAGATGATGAAAGGAACTCCATCAGGATCATAGAGGTTCATTCTCTTGAAGCCGTATACACTTACACCTTCAAGGAAAAGATCTTGGACTTCTTTGTATGCAATACATTTTTATTTGTTCTAACAAGGTTCACCATTCATATATTTTCAAACAATACCTAGACAGATATGACAAAGCACACTAGGAACTTGAATAAAGTCACCAAAGCTAACCCTTTCATGGATAACATAAACAACATCAGGACATTATGTGCAGATATGGTGCAAAAGGCCCGTAGTGGGCACCCTGGAGCACCACTAGGACTAGCACCATTTGTCTACATTCTGTATACAGAGTTTATTAGCTTTGACCCTGATGATGAAAACTGGGTAGGTAGAGACGTATTTCTGCTGTCAAATGGCCATGCATGTGCCCTTCAGTACGTCGTGAACTATCTTATAGGCCGTCTAGACATGAAGGACCTAATGAACTTCAGGCAAATCAGCGGGAGAACACCTGGGCACCCTGAAAAGAAGCATCCAGGAACAGAGTCAAGCACAGGGCCTTTAGGCCAAGGTGTAGCAAACGCCGTCGGATATGCAATATCATTGAAGAAGCTTAACCATCTTGATCTTGGAAATCGTGTGTACTGTATATTTGGGGATGGATGCTATCAAGAAGGAATAAGCCAAGAGTCGTTCTCATTGGTTGCAAGTCTTAAACTAGATAATATAGTTTTCATATATGACTTTAACAAGACAACAATAGATGGTCCAACTTCTCTTTCTATGAATGAAGATGTGGTTCAAAGATTCCTGAGCCTAGGATTTGAGGTCGAGGTTGTCAATGGAGATGACTTGGGTGGAATAAGAAGGGCATTGGGTAAAAGGGTTGCAAAGCCAATAGTTATCATATTAGAAACGGTAATCGGACGAGGGAGTATTGTGGAGGGAAGCTGCAAAGCCCATGGATCCCCCTTAGGTGAGGAAGGCGTTCGTAAGCTTAAGGAAAGGTTCGGGATCCCTGCAGTGGATTTTTACGTTTCTTCTTCATTAGAAGAAAAGTTTAAAAATCTTAATGACGAGAAACGAAAGATAAGAGCAGAATGGAATAAGAAAGGAATTAGAGTTTTAACAATTAAAGAACATATGGATATGCAAAGAAGAATGGACTCTATTTATAAATCCACATACACGGCACAGAATACTCAAAAAGCTACGAGAAAACACTTTTCCGAAGCTTTAAAAGATCTTAGGGAGGCAAGCTATCTTATTGGAGGTGCTGCCGATTTACAATCATCCGTTTTAACAAAAATAGGTGAGGATGACTTCAACGCAGAAAATTATGATGGAAGATATATCAACTTTGGCATTAGAGAACACTGCATGTGTGGAACTATCAATGGAATTGCATCGCATGGGTATTTTCTTCCGTACACAGGAACATTCCTAAACTTCATTTCATATGGATTTCCATCTGTCAGGCTTGGATGCATGGACAACCTGAATCTCTTCTATGTATTAACACATGATTCAATAGGTCTTGGAGAAGACGGGCCTACACACCAGCCTATCGAGGTTTTATCCACCCTGAGAGCAACACCAAATCTTATTACAATGAGGCCATGCGATGGAACAGAGGTCAGAGCTTCATTGCACATTGCGTTAACTAGAGAAGGGTCAAAGGCCGTGATATTATCTAGGCAGAATGTTCCAGAAATCCCGCATTCTGACGTAGAGAAAGCCAAAAGAGGAGCATATTATCTTGTCGAAGTGGAAAATCCAGACCTTATATTACTTTCCACAGGATCAGAAGTCCAGTTGTGCTATGAAGTGGCCGATGCGTTACCAGATCTTAGGATTTCAATTGTTTCATTCTTTTCATGGGAGCTATTTGAGGAACAAGAAGAGGAATACAAGAAACATATACTCAAGAGTGTTCCAAGGATCAGCATTGAAGCCTTGAGTACATTTGGTTGGGCAAAATATTCTGATCTCCAGATCGGAGTGGATACCTTCGGGGTAAGCGGCCCATCTAAAGATGTCTACAACTATTTTGGACTGAACTGCAAGGAAATCTCTAAGAAAATAACAGACTTCATTAAATAGCCTCTGCGTTTTTAGAACATTTTGTTACCCACGAAACAATGAACTCAGCCAACCACAAAGATATTAAAGAAATAAGAAAAATACTTGGTAATTTGGAGGATGGAATAGATGTAATGAATTCGCTTGTGAAATTTAGAGACATAATGCTTGTCAATGAAAATAACGATCTGATTGTTCTCGTAATTCAGAAGGTTCACAACATTCTATACAGCTCATGCAATATTGAATACGTAGAGATCCTTTTGGATATTATTCGTAGTGAAGAAGCATTTGATGAATTGTTCAGAATAATTCTTAGCTTTGGTAATAACCCATACACTCTCAACATCGTATCTAAACTTAGGAAAGATAATGAACTAATAATATTTAAGTATCTCAAAGAGTTAAAAAACAACATCTCATTTAGTAGCCTTTCTAGAGAAATGGACAAAAGATATAGTGAAATTCTAGATACAATTAATTTCAATATTGGCAAAGAAGAGTTTTGATGATCATTAAAGTTTGATTTTGTACAGTGAAGGTCATATGAACGGTGTCCATGAGGTAGAAGAAAGTTGGAAGCGCCGCTTTAAGTTAGTCTCTTTAATTAAAGACAATTCTGCTGCTGGCATTTCATGTGCTTGTATTCTTCATGAATGCCAACGAGAGATGACTGGTTAGTATTTGTGTGTGGTGTGTTGTGTTTGTGATGATGTGTGTGAGTTTTTAGCATCAGGTTGATTCTGCCTGACGTGGATGCTATTCTCTGGGGCTAAGCCATGCATGTTTATGAAGCCTTTATGGGGGATTGACGGACGGCTCAGTGATAGTACGATGATTTGATTGGGAGCCTGGATGTAACTGTGGGAAACTGCAGGTAAGTTCTGGGGGTGGTAGTTTGTAGCTACTGCGTACCGAGTAAGTTGTAGGCCTATCAGCTGGTAGTTAGGGTAATGGCCTAACTAGGCGGAGACGGGAGACGGGGGATCAGGGTTTGATTCCGGAGAGGGAGCCTGAGAGATGGCTACTACGTCCAAGGATGGCAGCAGGCGCGAAACTTGCCTAATCCTTATTGGGGAGGCGGTTATGAGAAGTAAGATGTTTAGCAAGTATAAATTTGTTGTGATTTACTGGAGGGCAAGTCGGGTGCCAGCAGCCGCGGTAATACCTGCTCCAGTAGTGTCTATGGTGAATGCTGCAGTTAAAATGTCCGTAGTTGTTTGTATGTCTTTTGAGTGATGTTTATGGTTTTTAGTGGATGTAGTTTTATTGTAGCAGAGGACGAGGGGCACTGGATAGTTGGGCGAGGGGTGAAATACGAAGACCCTGACTGGACGAAGAGAAGCGAAGGCTGTGTTCTTGGACTTTTGTGGTGATGAAGGACGAAGGCTAGAGGATCGAAATCGATTAGATACCGTTTTAGTTCTAGCAGTAAACGATGCCGACTGGACGGGACTGTTTTAGTGTTGTCCGAGAGAAATCTTAAGTATGTGGGTTCTGGGGATAGTATGCTCGCAAGAGTGAAACTTGAAGAGATTGACGGAAGGACACCACAAGGAGTGGAGTGTGCGGCTTAATTTGACTCAACGCGGGGCAACTTACCGGTTCTGAAGTGAGTGTGAGAGTGTTTTTACATGATGCTTACGGCGGTGGTGCATGGCCGTTTTAAATGGATGGCGTGAGCTTTGGATTAAGTTACGTAAGATGTGAGACCCTTTTTGACTGTGCTCTATGGGGCAAGGGAGGAATGGAACAGAACAGGTCCGTTATGCCCTGAGATGAAGCGGGCGGCACGCGCACTACGATAGATGCCTATGTGGGCTACTGTGAGGGATGAAGCTGTGTAATGGGCTTCTGAACGTGGAATTCCTAGTAAGAATGATTGAACAAGTTATTTTGAATGTGTCCCTGTCCTTTGTACACACCGCCCGTCGCTATCTAAGATGACGCAGTGGACGAAGATTGAGAGGTCTGAGTCTTTCGTGTTAGATAAGATATAAGTCGTAACATGGCTGCTGTTGGAGAACCAGCAGCAGGATCAGTATGTTGATTTGATTATTTTGTGGGGATTTTTAGTTTTTTAGTTTTTCTTTCTCTATCCATGGGATTGATTGGCATTATCTGCGATGAAGGACGTGCTGGAGGACGATATGCCGTTTTTTTTAGCGGATGTCTGAATTAGGTGTTTGTGCGCCTGTGGACCCCTTTGACTTAAGCATATTACTAAAGGGAGGAGAAGAAACTAAATAGGATTATCTGAGTAGCGGCGAGTGAAAGGATATGAGCCTGTGTGGTAATCACGTGTGTGAGTTGTGAATTAGGATGACGATGCTGAGGACGGATTGGAATCTGTTTTCTTAGGGGGTGATAGGCCTGTAAGTGTTGTCTTTTTTTGTGATGAGTAGGGTTGTTTGGTAGTGCAGCCTGAATGTGGGTGGTATGTGCATCCAAGGCTAAATATGTGATGATGACCGATAGCGAATAAGTAGAGTGATTGAAGTGTGAAAAGATTAATGATGAGAAATGAAAATGGATTGAGTGAATGGGGGTTTTTTTCCCACCCGTCTTGAAACACGGACCAAGGAGAGGATGATTACATTGTTGAGCGAGAGCGATTGGATGTGATGATCCGACCCGAAAGATGGTGAACTATGTTTGTATTGATTGAAGGGATGCGAAAGTGTTCTGGAGGATCTAAGCCATTCTGACGTGCAACTCGATGGCATGATATGGACATAGGGGCGAAAGACCAAACGAACCATCTGGTAGCTGGTTCCCTCTGAAATGTCTCTCAGGACGGCGGCGACTGATTATTTATGTAAGATGTTGTAAAGCACTAATGACTTTTGTCGTTAAACTTTGAAGATGTCTTTTAATGATGTTGCTAGTGGGCATATTGTGGTAAGCATGATGTGCGAGGAGGGATGAACCTTTTTTGCGGCTAAGGAGTCTTATGCAAGGGAAGTGAATCTGGCGGTTTGATTTTGACAGTTGGACGGTGGCCATGGAGGTTGGCATCCGCTAAGAAACGTGTTGCAACGTACCTACCGAATTGGGCGCTGGAGAAAATGGAAGGGATTGAATTGCTATCTGATGCCGCTGTGGTTTTGCTGAGTAAGAGGGCGATATTATTCTGATGAAGGTCCTCGCGTGAGCGGGGGTGGAGGGGTGATATGAGCAGATCTTGGTAGTAGTAACAAGAAAATGATTTAGGATGTGGACGAGGGTTCCCTATTTTTAGGGGTGAATCGACTGTTTATACGGAGACGCATTGACGATTGTGTGTATGTATGCTTTGAGGCGACTTGATGATGACGGATGGGGGTAACCTTTACTCTAGGATAGCAGAACTAGGGTGATTTTTGTTGTGGATTGTTAAGAGACGAAGCAACTGATGTGGGGAGTGCCTGTTCCGATGAAAAAGAAGTGTATGTGTCGTACCTATACCGCATCTGGTGTCCACTGTTTGCCACGGAAGCGTTTTATTTAAAGGTTGTAAGGGAAGTCGGCAAAATGGATGTGTAACTTTGGGAGAAGGATTGGCTCTAGCGTGCTAGAACTGTTTATTGTGGGGAATCTGACTGTTTACTAAAAACATAGCTTTGCGAAAGGACGCAAAGTGAATTCTGCCCAGTGCACTTTTAGTTATGACTTTTTAAGTTTAAGCGAGTGTAAACGGCGGGAGTAACTATGACTCTCTTAAGGTAGCCAAATGCCTCGTCATGTAATTAGTGACGCGCATGAATGGAGCAACGAGATTCCCACTGTCCCTACGACTTGTATTGTGAACCTACAGCCAAGGGAACGGGCTTGGGCTGATCAGCGGGGAAAGAAGACCCTGTTGAGCTTGACTCTAGCATGTGAGAAGTGCTGGGGGTGGTTATGAAGAGAGGTGGGGAGTTTGTGCGAGACCACTATGACTGCGCCTCAGCGGTTTATTTATGGATGTGGGGAGTTTGGCTGGGGCGGCACGACTGCTAAAGATTAACGCAGACGTCCTAAGGCGGGCTCAGCGGGGAAGGAAACCACGCGTGGAGCACAAGGGCATAAGCCTGCTTGAGACTATTCCTATTGCGGGATTGTTTTGGGGGAAACCCTGGCCTAGAGATCCCATGTCCTATTAGTGTTTGGGACATGGGTGACAGAAAAGTTACCACAGGGATAACTGGCTTGTAGCAGCCGAGCGATCATAGCGACGCTGCTTTTTGATTCTTCGATGTCGGCTCTTCCTATCATCGTGAAGCAGAAATTGCGAAGTGTTGGATTGTTCACCCACCAACAGGGAACGTGAGCTGGGTTTAGACCGTCGTGAGACAGGTTAGTTTTACCCTACTGTGATTGACTGTGCAGTAAATCTTGATAGTACGAGAAGGAACTCTTGATTGCGACCTCTGGTGGAGCGGCGTGCCTGCTGGCTGTTGCGGAGCTACGTCGGGAGTATAATGGCTGAAGGCCTCTAAGCCTGAAGACTGACTGCGCTGTATTATGATTAGCGGAAGACGACCGTTGTGGATGCAAGCTGTACGAATGGAGGAGTATTCCGACATTTTGAGGCTGTGCATTTTGTGTTTTTGTGTGTGAGAGGGTGTGTTGTGTGTGATGCGTGGTGCTGTGTGGTGTTTTTTTTGTTTTGTGTGTGTTTGTTGTGTGTTTAGGTTATGGGTGAGTGATGATGTGTGTTGTGTGAGATAGTTGTTTGTGTTTATGCTGTTGTGTTTGTGTGTGATGATGTGCGTGATGTTAGTTTTAGTTTTTTTGTTGTGTGATTCTGGCTTTTTTTTTTATTTTGTGAATTGTGTAT